CCAACAACTCTATTTCTATCTCCTCTCATCGAGCGAGTGAGCACGAACCCTGGCTGAACACCAACTCAGCGGGCTGTCAGGGTCTCGTCAGGGTCTCGTCACCGTAAGCCCCAGAACCACCTCAACAGCCATCCCAGTTCGCACTTGGTCCTTGGAGAGATACAGACGGCTAACACAAAACAAGGTAGACAACAAGGTAGACTGCCTCGGGTGCCGGGTTACGGTGCTGCCATGATGTGATGCCAAACATCTCGGAGCCTTGGCCAAACTCGTTTCATTCGGTGGTTTAATCAGTGCCATCTGGGCGGCGGAGGCGCAGTTGAATAAATGGATGGCCAATTCACACAATAATAACCATCCGTCCGCAAAAGCCCACCCGCACGACACCACCATCTGTTGAAGCCGCAAACGGCCACAAAAAAAAAACTCTTCTGTTTTCGTCAATCCGGTCTGAACAAAGGCCGCAGTCCTTTGGCGTGGCAGACGCCACCGAACAAGTCACCCGGTCGCCGCAAATGCACGACGAGACAATGGCCGACGGCGATGCTCAAAACCCATCGCACCGCCTGGTGCCAGACTGTATCCATGTCGAGATGCGAGGCTCCATGGACGTCGACCCGGCACCGAATCTACCAGAAGAACTCACCATCATAGCTAGGCCCAAGCCTCCCCCGTCAGATCTTGACGACTCCTCGGAACTGTCCTCACCACCGTCGTCCCCCGAAACCCCGTGGTCGGCGGACAAGAAGGTCATCATCATGTCTCCCACAAAGGCCAAGCAGAAGAGCGCCTCTCCAGAAGCCACAAAGAAGGCGCCGTCCCGCAGTCAGGAACCCGCATCGCCCACCCCCGCCGCAGCTGGCCGCAGGAAGACGCCCAGGGCCGCCACTCCGGTCGCCAAGGTTGCTCCCGCCACCGTTGCTGCTGCTGACGATGTCGGCTCTCCCTCGCCGGCAAAGAAGCCGCGCGCGTCCCCGGCCAAAGCCGTCAAGGTGGCGGTCAAGGCGGCGGTCAGCAAGATCACCAAGCCGGCCCTCACGCCCGCCCAGCGCCGCAAGAAGGCGCGCTGGGAGGCGCCCTCGGTCTACACCAGCGCCCGCTCCCCGCTCGCCGACGGCAAGGTGGACCTGCGCGCCATGCTCTGCCACCCGAGCGCCTGGGACGGCCTCTCGGCGGCGCAGCGGGCCCGGCTGCTGGCCGTGATGCCGGCCCGGTTCGTCAAGGACGGCGGCGCGCGCCCGGACGCGCTGGCGCTGTCCAACAGCGACGACTTCCGCCACGACTGCGCCCGCTACGTCGGCAACATCGGCGGCGGCCGCCACGACCCGGAGTGGATCCGCCAGGCGCGCGAGGCCCACGACAGGCGCGCCGCCGGCGACTTTGACGACTACCTGCGCGCAAAGTTCAAGGAGGACTTTGAGGTCGACCCGCCCCAGGGCTTCCCCGAGGACGGGCGCAAGTCGCGGGGCGGGGAGGCTGTAGGGACGAAGTAGGGAGGGCGGTGTGGGAAAGATGGCGTTTGCGTGGCGGTCGCAGAGGGGGGAGGGCGTTTGTAAGGGGCCGGATTTATGAGAGAGGGCCTACAGAACCAGGGACAGGCGACCTAATCGCCCGAGGGAGTACCCGATAGGTGTTTGGGGGTGTGTGTAACTCCAGGGGTGATGGATAGGTATTTTACTTTTGCCATTTTTTGTTTTTGCTTAGTTTTCATAGGCTCCGCGGCCTGCTTTTCCTCTCGCAGCTTGTATAGATGATACCCGGGTCCCCCGAATAAAACATGACTTTATCCAGAAACTGAGAAACACAAGCCCAAAACAAGACCAGGATTAGAAAACTCTTTCGGCGTATCGAACCTCCTTCTTTTCGCCCAAGTCGAAGACAGTGACCAAATTCTGCATAAAGACGTCGCCCAGGATGTAGGGGAAGCCGTCCGTGTAGCCGATGCCCGACGCGCACCGCCCCCGGCTGTCCCGCACCTCGGGCAGGATCATGCTGCTGGGGTGCGTCTTGATGACGGTCCCTCCGAGGGTGACGCTGAGCGAGGGCGGCGTCGCGTCGCACGGGACGAACCACGCGCCCTGGGCCGGGTCCAGGACGCCGGGGGGCGCGAATAGGTTGTTGATGGAGGCAGCGATCTCTTTGTGAGTGTGAGTGTGTGTGTGTGTGTGTGAGCGAGTGTCAGTGCTGGGCTAGCGCACGCCCTTGGGCCGACAGAAGAAACACACCATAAGGGAACAGATTGAGCGTGGTGCCGCTGTCGACGATAAAGGCCGGCACGTTGGAGGCGCGGAGGGCGCGCTGCGAGTTGTTGAAGGAGATGGCGTCCGGAAGCGCCGTGTAGTAGAAGTAGTCGACCACGCCGTCGACCCTGTGCAGCTGCACGACATGGCGTTTCCCCCCCTCGAATCGTCAGTATACCACACAGATGCCAAACATAACAGCCAAAACACAGCAGACCAAACCTTCTCGATCGGCGTCGCCGCCCAGACGCCCGTGGTCGCGGCGTTGGGCGGCACGCCGCCAAAGGCGATGAAGGACTCGGACGAGTTGCGGTGAAGCGCTAGGCTGAAGACGGGGCTGGCGAGCTGCCTGTTGATAGTGGCGACGAGCGGGTCGTAGGGCACCTGGCGCGCGCGGCCGTCGGCGCCCACGGTGCCGTCGGAGCTCGCCGTGAGCGCCGGCAGGCCCAGCCCCAGGATGCCGCTGCTGATGCCGTCGCCGAACCACATGCCGTCGGTCGCGAGCGCCACCTGCTGCCGCGCCACGCTGATGTTGGCGACCTTGAGACTGCGAGGCGGGGCTCTTGCTGTCAGTGGGGGTTCAGGGGGAGCTTATAGATAGATAATGGCGAGGCTCACTCTGTAAAGCCCATTTCGCCGTTCAGGAAGGGTCCGTTCGCGCTGCCGTACTGCGCCGGGTCTTGGGTGTAAGTTATTGCATCTGCTGAGAGGCTCTCGTGTCTCCACGGGGGGAAATATAGCGTTGGAGATGGAAGCATGAGAGCAACCCACGGTGATGTTGAAGACCAAGGGCGACGTGCCGCCGGACAAGGCCCCCCTAAACACGGGCCCGAAATCGCACGCCTCAAAAGGTACCAGCTGGCGGCGCGAGTTGACGCACTCGAAGCCTTTGCAGGTCAGCGGCTCATCGTCGGGATACAGTGGCAGAGAGTAGTGCAAGCAGGACCTACCGGACTTGACAAACCACGTGTCGCTACTGCCCGTGTCGACGATCAGGTTGTACTCCTCGCCCCCGATCCCAACGGGAGTCATGTACCTTTCGACGCCATCCTGTCAGCCCCTCCTCCCCCTTTCGAACAAGATCAACAGCAGTAGCAGTCGAGAAGGCACGAACTCGATCTGATGATACGCATTGATAGCGGGCCCGACGCCCTCCGCGACCGGCTCGCCGTCGTCCGCTACCCAGACCTCGCGGCCGCCGACGCCGTGCTGCCGGCGGCGCACAATCATGGGCCCCACGGCGTCGCGAGACTTGTAGTCCACCACGCCTTCCATGCTCCGGAAGCCCGCGCGCGAGGAGGCGTTCGGGCCGTGGCGGACTCGGCGCTCGAGGTGCAGCACGTCCGAGTTCGCAGCCACCGCGGGCGCGCGCCTTTGCGGTGGGACGACCCCGGGCGAGCCGAGGGCCGCCGCGCCGGCGAGAAAGGCGGCGGCGCCCAGCAGGGAGCGGATGGTGAGAGGGGACGGCATGGTTGCTTGCCGATCTGGCTTTTGGGCCCTGGGCTTTTTATGGATGCTTATGGGTGGGATTTACTTCCTAGAGGGCGGCCTAGACAGGCGCGAGGCGTGGATCCTTCTCTTGCCCTGTCCATAAAAGGATAGAAGGAAGATGGAGTGGTGCGGAACGAGTGCTTATCATGATCTTAGGGAGCCTCTGGGATATGGGAGCTATATCCTCCCGGCGGGCATGCCGCCCGATATTTCCTATTTCACGTCTATATTACTGTTGCTCTCGCTTCTCCAGCAAAGACGCTGCCGGCAGGCTGACTCGGAGACACTACCTCTTGGGTATCCAACAGAAAAGACGGAGTGAGCTTGATGGACAAACCGCCCAATCAGAGAATATTGATAGCGCTTTGCAGATCATTCCGGAACCCGAGAAGTCTGCTTGGGCCTTTGGGGACTTTGGGCGTTCACGTCAGGGACACGCCGTCGTCGTTGAAAGACCGCTAGGCAAGCGTCTCCAGTCGCCCGCTATGGCAAGCCACCCTCCGTCGCTTCATCTAAACTGCAAGCCGCAGCCACCGCGGACCATGGATGGCACGGCAAACTGTCTTGTCCAGTCTTGAGGGTAGGAAAGGGGGTGGGGATGGACATGCGCGGGATGCAGTGATAATGCATGCCAAGGCGGCATTTGATGGGTGTTAGGTGTTACGTATATTACCTTGGCCCTATTCCGCCCTGCCTAACGGCAGATTAAGATGGACCGCTTGTGGTGATCGCCCAGGTATTTGCTGAGTAGTGGCCATAGGACTGCCTCTGGGGCAACGGACCAAATCTGTATCCACGCCTTGGTATTTTCCAGTGAAGCGCTCTAGAGTGATTCGATGTGTTAAACCTGGCTGAGTGTCTTGTGTGTTGTCAGGTAGCCGTTCGAGGAACGGCGTCATCAGGGTTCTCGAAACTATCCGCTTTGATTTAGCCGCCCTGTCTAACAATAATATGGCACCCCATCCTGGCCGCCGGGGGCGGGCACGTCCTCGATGGCACGAGTAGACCTCGTTCCGGCCGAGCCTAACTTGAAATATGTGGAAACTCTCGGCGCCCTTTGGCCCCGCGGTGCGGCACTCGTCTTGAATCCTCTTGTAGACAGAGTCGAGGGCCTCTTTGCGGGACTTGAACTTGATTCTGTGAATATTTAGGAGCAGGCATGTAAACACGACGAAGTCTCTGCTTGAGCCCGTGCGTAGAAGCTCCAGCACACCACAGCGTGGCATCTTGGTGGGCGAGTTCCTCCCATGCCCAACCGGCTGAAGGGCACCCAGGAGCTGCCTGCCGCGCGCAGGCCCACTTGGCCTTTCTGTGTTCAACTGCATTGCAGATTGTTTATTGACAAAGCGCGGCAGAATCTTAATCATGTTATGTACGGTAATGTAAAGCCACAGTAAACAGCTCAACACCCCAGCCAAGGGAGAGGTAACCTTTCGTAATGGGAGGCCATGCTATACTTTAACAAGTATGCAGCGGCAAAGAATACTAGCAACAGCACAAAATCAAAAAGATTGTTGCCCAGCCGCTTTTGAGGGTGAACAGGTACGAAACCGTTGAAGGTTTTCTTCGATTTTTGGCTCCCCCACAGGGGATCGAACCCGAGCTCCTAAGAGCACAGCAGCCCGCGCGGTATGAGTACCCCGGACACAACCACTGCACTACAAGTAGCCAACTTGTAGCGTCCGAGTTCGACGACTGCAACAGCCGGAAGGGCACTTATATGGTTTGGGGTACAGATAGGGCAGTGCAGTACAGTGCAGGCGAAGACATTGCGCACCGCGGCCCAGTCGACCGCACCTAGCTCTCTCCCCATCGCACAACCCAAAGCAGCGAAAGCTGGAGGCAATTCTAGACAAACGCACTAACCTTAAATCATGAAGTATTACCGTCTGCCCCTTTTCGTGCTCTGGTCCCCAGCTCGCTCAGTTCTGTTTCCCAATCTGGCGCATTATATTACTCCAAGGAAGCAGTTTCACTCCGAAGAGCCAGTTCGCACATCCCAGGCACATCCCAGGGGTCGGCAATGGTAGGAAGTTGTCGCCAACCATGGCAAGGACAAGATTCTCGATATTCTCGTCAACGTCGGCCGTAAAAAAAAAAACACCCGCCTCTCCGCCGCCGATATCCTCGCTCACAGCGCTCACTTTCATTGCAAATATCAGAACCCTTTCCTTGCTATCAAGCACTTCCTGCCGCTGCTCGAGCGTTTCTCAGGGCCCAGGATCGCCAACGTCTCATCACCCAACACCCACCGCTTACCGAGATCCGACGGGGAGGGCGACATGTACACGTGCATCAGAGGCATAAAGATCGTCCAAAAGATTAAACGCGGAAGGAATGGCGTCTATATCAAATGGGACGGCAGTCGGCTGCAATCTAAAGGGCATCTTGACCTTACGGTCAGGCTGTTTTGTTTTCCGATAGATATGATGGCCCGATTTTCAGCTTGCGATCGGCTGTCTCGAACCCTCCCAATGTTTGCCTGAAGATACTGTGGCACCTAGATTTTTGGGGGAATCCCTCGCTGTATATGATAGCGAGAAAGGCAGCACCAGGAAAAAGACGGCCAAAGTCAAGTATAAAAACCACAAGACCTGCAGGTACGGATTTTGCGGCTCCACCCCGCCGCCATACGTCACAGCGCGGGGCGCCCATCACTCGGCGATGGCGGCAGAGCTAATCCTGAAGCTCCAGAGGTGACACAAGAACCAATCAACACAACATCGCCCTGTCTGCGGCACCGGACTCATAATGGCCCCTTCGGCGCAGGCGCACAGGCGGTCCCACAGCCTGCTGCTCCTGCAGAAGCTGCTGAACCTCCGCGACGGCGCGAGCCCCCTGACGCTTGTCCTGGACTCGCTCGAGCAGGCCGCCGCGCCGCTGATGCGCGAGTTCACGTCGCGGGCCAAGGTCTGTCTGTCGACTTACAGTCTAGTGTGAGCCCCAGTCTTCGGTAGATTAACACACCCTTCACACCCCCGCCCGCGTAGATATCCCGAAACAGGGTCGTGCTCGTGTCGTTTGCAACACTAAAGAAGCCGCGCGACGTCGACGTCTTCGTCAAGGCCCGCGGCAAGCCGCTCAAGGCCCTGCGGTCCGAAATCGCCGCCCATATCCCCGACCCCAGGGCAGCAGCAGCAGCAGCCGATGGGCAGGGTAGAGGCGGCGCGCCGGGCCAGCGTAAGCCACCACCACCACTCGACCGGCACCCCCCAACCTCGCTAACACACCCCCACCACAAAGGCGCCCTCATCATAATCGACTCCCTAAACGCCCTCGCCGCCTCGTCCCCGCGCCTCCTCGCCGCCTTCCTCTCCGGCCTCGTCACGCCGTTCTCGTCCGTCGTCGGCGTCTACCACGACGACGTGCCGCTGGCCCTACCCTACCCCTCCCCGGACGGCGGCCACGGGCCCGAACCGCTAGCAGTACTGCGCCACCTGGCCACCGCCGTCGTGCGCGTGTCGAGCCTGCACCACGCCGCCGCCGCCCGCCGCGCCCTGGACCGGAGCGAGCCCGAGCCCGAGTTCGGCCTGCGCGAGGGCCGCGAGGGCGTCCTGGTCGGCTTGCGTGACGACATCGCCGCCGCCGCCGCCGCCGACCGAGACGCCGTCGTCCTGGAGATGGAAGTGCGGCGCCGCAGCGGCCGCGCCGTCTCAGAGCGCTTCGTGCTCGCCCCGGCGGCCCCGGCGACGACGTCCGGGCTCGTGCTGCTGTCGGACCACCCGCTGTTTGCGGCGCCCGTGGCCGACGAGGCCGCGCATGGGGCCGCCGGGGAGGCCGAGGCCGAGACGACCTTCAACCTCGGCCTGACCGAGAAGCAGCGGCGCGACAGGGAGGGGATCGTGCTGCCCTACTTTGACGCCCAGACCGACATCGGGGGCGGCGAGGGAGGGCGGATTCTTTACGAGATGGGTAGGGAGGACGACTTTGACGACGAAGAGGACGAGATCTAGACTTCACTATACCCAAATCGCTCGTCACTCCATGGCAAGGATTGAATCAAAGCCATCTTCTCCACTCGCACATGGGAGCCCAGTGTGCCTCCATAAATGCAAGCGACTCGTCTCTAAAAAGGGGTATATCTGCGTTACATCTCAAGGGCATCACAAACGAGTCCAAATTCTTGGTCATCCTTCACAGCTCGTCCTTCACCTCGTGAGTCTTGCCGCTGCTGCTCAGATCATCCATAGTCATGATCTTAACCACCAGGCTGGTCCATCCGGTAAAGTGCTGCGTCCTCTGTCCCTTGCCCGTCTCCGGGTTGTACTGCTCCCACGCGAAGCCTGTCTCCTCCCAGCTGTTGAAGATGGTATCAACCAGATTCTCGCGAAGCCTTGTGTAGAGGTCCCTTGCTTTCTCTTGGTGAGGGCCCTTCTTTTTAGCCACGTTCTAAAGTGTTGAAAGGGTTGTTAGTAGTTGCTCCAGCACCAGTCGCGTTGATTAGAGTAAAAAAGCGGAAACTCGCCTCAAGCTGCACCAGAGCCAAGTAGTTGATATTGATCCAGACCGGACTCCTCCAGTAGTTCTCGTTTGTACCGTAAAGTGGGCTCGTCTTGGTCAGGCTGCGGATTCCATATGGACTGAAAAGTTCATCCTCATCGCCGATGAGGTCTAGAATCTTGCCTAGCTTGTGGTCGTCATCGTTGATAAGACCAACCAAGAAGGGGAAGAGGGAGATGTAACCCTTGTGGCACACAAGCACGTGCTCTTCGAATTCGTCGATGGTGGCATCACAGTAGCAGCCATCCTTCTCAGACCAGTGGAGGTCGTTAAGATTGCGTTCGATAGCGTTCAGGTTCTTCTCAAGCTCGTGAACTTCTTCGGGCATACCGAGGGCGTCGGCGATATTGCTGAGCGACTTGGTCATGAGCCCCATCCACGACAAGAGGTCGACGTGCAGCTCGCCAGGGTGTGGCACCTCGGCACGCGGGTAGTCATCCAGTCCGCTGGTCAAGACATGCATGACAGTCCGGCCGCGCCACCGATAGGCCTCCTTGGAAGAAAAGGCCTGACGATCGTACGACTTGACATCTCCGGACTGGGTCTTGCGGAACCAATCATACTGGCGGCGGAGGAGCGGGTATAGGTTGCGCAAGAACTCGAGCCCAACGCTTGGGCTCTCAACATGAGCGTTGGTCAACGAAACGCCCTGGGAAAGGCGCTCCTTGCCCGCGGGTTGGCTTCCATTGGATTTGCGCAGCCTCTCGACAAAGGTATCAACAATGAAGAAGAGCGTAGGCGGGTTCGCGTAATGCGGGTACTGCACTTGGAACTCGGCTGGAACCTTGCTGCGAGCCTCGTCGCCGAGGATCTGCTCACGAGCAATCCAGCCGTCGTCATCCATGAGGTTGAACCAGCTCTTCACAATCTCCAGTGTCAGATCCATGTCCCAGTCAGCAATGGGCAGCAGGTGGAAGCCTTCGTCCCACAGGAAGCCACGTGGGAAGAAGGGTCGAGAGGGAATGCTAGTGAACAGGGAGCTCGGTCCCTCAACCTTCTCCTGCTTGCGAGCTCTCGCTACCTCTGCCTCCTCCCAGAAGCCCTCGTTCTCCTCGTCATATTCGGGCGCATAGGAGCGATCCACGACCGATTGACCATGGAAGTAGCCGATGCCACCAATGAGGTTGGAAAACATGCTGCGTCCAAACTTCTTGTACTTGGCATCGGTGAAAGGAGCCTTGAAGTTGAAGACATCGGAGAAACGCTCGCCGAAAGACTCGGTGGTCGACTTGATCTCCCTGGTGATGTCGTCGCTCGTGAGTTCCTTGCCGGCCGAGGCGCTGTTGAAAATGACGTCAAACTCGAACGGCCCTTCAAAGACCTTTTGGACAATGTGGGCATTGCCGGCGCCAGCCTTGTGGGGCAGGGCATAGACATCCCATGGTGGAGGCGGGGTCTGGGGGTCAAACTGCGAGCTGACGCGGTCGACGTGCTCCTTCATCTGGTGGAACATCACCGGCTTGGCCTGCCAGAGATGCTCCTCGGGGAGCTTGAGGGATTGAACAATGGTCTTGTCGAGGTCGCGCTGCTCCTGCAAATCGGGGTCACCGGGAGGGTGCTCGCCCGTGCCTCTGGTGATGACAATCTTGTAGTCTCCCAGAGCCTCCGAATTGCCGTTAAAGACAACGTCACCAGGGAAGCCGTTGGGATCGCCTTTGTCGGCGGTCTCGAGGCTGCCGAGGCCTTCCTGGGTCAGGTAGAAGAAGATGCTGTACTTGGTGTTGCTGACAGCATCGTCGCGGAGCTCGCCCTTGATCCTGGCTGCCCAGCTGCCGCCATGAGTGCCGCCGGGGATCTTGACGAACGAGGTAGTGATGTCGAGCTGGTTGCCGGCATCATGGATGGTTTGGACGCCACCTTTCCTGGTGTCATACTCGTCCCAGCCATATCCAGCCATGCCCTCATGCTGCTCGCAAGTGTACCGTATGCCTTGGCACATCAGCAAGAAGAATCAGCATGGAACTCCCAAAGTTGAAGATCGAGCACTGCCGCAGTACTAACTGTTCTGGACCTCGTCGTAGCTGTCGAGTTTGGACCACATGAGACCTGTCATCAGGGACTTTGGGGCACGGGAGCGGACCCCGAAGTAGAGGTTTGGCCTGTAGGGACCCCATAGCAGGCTCTGATTGTTCAACCGGCCGACCTCGCTGTTCAGAATGCCCTCGTCCTTGGCGACGACACCAGCGCCAAGCTGCAGAAGGGCGAGGGACGACAGCAGCCCGTCCCTCAATTGGCGGCCAATCGCCATCACGGAAAGTTGTCGGCAACGACCTGGTTCTTCCGCCGGTTCCAAGGAGCTGTTCGGCTGGGGTTCTGCTTCCAAACCAGGTGTAAAAGCGAAGAGGGAGCTTCCAGTCTCCTCCTCTCTGTCGTTGATGGGCTAACGAAGTGACCACGTTTGAAATGCCGACGGTTTGAGGTGTGGTGGAACAGGGGTAGCTCGCTGTAGCTTTGCGCCGCTTCGGGGTGGTGGGGCAAACCGTTGGGCGCGGAGCGGAGTGAATTTGATGGTGGCGGCGGGGATCCAGGTCCACATTGGCGGCTGACGTATTGTCCCAGCACCATGCTTGGCTTCCACCATAACGTTCTCGGCACGGAAGGAGTGATACTGCCTACAACTGGAGGACTCACACCAATGACTACTTAGATATTACGCAGCAGCATGTACATTGATCGCTAGGTACCTAGCCAATAGTTACTTGTACAACATAACAAATAGTCCATATTCAACTCCCAAAACACCATGCTGACGCAACAGGAAAATCGCACGACTGTCCGGAGACCGCCACTTGGAAGCAATCCTTCTGCAGTCTTGCCCATACACACTCTGTGATCCTGGGCCCGACGAGAGTAGTTCTGCTTGTGACTGGTTACCTGCTCGGACTCAGCGGCCTGTTGAACCCACCCTGGCGGTTCATGTACTGCCTGTACTCGGTCTTCTTCTCCTTTCTAATTTCGCCGACGTCGTTTCCAACAATCTTTTTGTTCTTTGTAGTGCCGAAGCCGCCGAAGCCCATCATGGCCTGCATGGCCGCCAGCCCGTCGTCGTCTACTTCAAGGTCATCATCCTCCGCGTCGCCGCTACCCCCCATTGGCGTATCATCACCTGTTTCACTTGCGTGGCGCTGTTGCCTCGACACGGAGCGGCTGCGCCCCTCGTCGCCATTGTCGTTGGCGCCGACTTTGAAGGACATTGGTGCAGACTTCTCCGTCGCGCTGTTCTTAGAGCGTGTCGGTAGACTGCTTTCCTTGATGTCGTTGTCCCTGCTGCCCTTGGTGGCTAAGCCGGGGCTTGCGCTGCGCCGTGGAGAATTGGATCGGCGGCGGCCGTCTTCACGAGGTCGGTCTTTGGAAACAGTCCACCATATCAGTATGCAGGCATTAACTGCTGTCGCGACAAAAGCTTCTGCACAGGGCTAGGTGGCAAAGTGGCTATAACTCACCTCTCCTGTGGCCATGATCACGGTCTTCGCGACCGCCCCGGCGCTGAGAGTCCCGGTCCCTGTCTCTATCCTTGTCGCCCCTATCCCGGGGTGGTCGGTCTGCGTCGCGTGTTCCACGAGGAGGCTCGCGGCCTGCGTCGCGTCGCCGATCGCGATATGAGCCGCCACGGCCGTCGCCTGGTGACCTAGAGCGGGTTCTGTAGCGTCGGTCGCGATCCCGGTTACGATCGTAGTCATCGTCTCTCCGCCGGGGGTGGTCGCTGCCACGGTCCCGTCTGTCCCTGTGGCCATCCGGTTCACCACGGGCCCCACGGTATCCGCCAGCATCATCTCTGCCGTCATCACGACGGTACTGTTTACCGCCTGCCATGGTCGCTAATGCCGGTGAAGGTAGATGGACTCAATATATCGTCGCGCGCGGGAGACAGGGCGTGTCAAGCTCGTTGGGTGTGTGGCTTGATTCAGTGGAGGTCACTCGGTTCCGATTATGCAGCAAACTCAGCCACAGCCTAGGCGCGAACTTGAGTCAAGCTGTGTTGGTGTGCAGGCGCAAACCGCCAGCGAGCGTGAATCTGCGGCTGAGTTGAGGCAACGAATGACATGGGTGCTGAGAGTGGCTTCCCGGTGACTCAGCTCCGAAAAGTAGGCAGAAACCGAAAGGCGGTCTGGTCCAAATTTGGCAAAAGAAAAGTTGTCAGGAAAACGCACGGACCATGTCAAATTCTCCTACTTAAGGGCCGCCTCCCGCCCGTCCTTTGGAATTTTCTTCTCTTTCTTCTCCATCTTGGTGCATGGGCTTTACGCATGCCAGTGAGGATTCGTCCGAGGCTGTGTTTTTGCTAGTTGAAAACTACTACATGACCGCTCCTAATCGACTTAGGTCGGTTAGGGAATTTTTGGAACATAATCCACTCTCTTGGAGATCTTTCTCATTGCAACCGTTGCCTTGCGTAGCGCTGCGAAGAGGAGGCTAGCTTTGTTGGTTGATGATTCTTTCACGACGCCTGCGACTTCGCTACCCATAGTCAATTCTTGCTCGGCTTCACCTGCGTCGAACCACCACTGTCGGTGGTTCACCAAGCATTCTTTCTTTCCGCTTCGCACCGCTCAGATCGGTCGGTCCTTTCGTTGTCTCCTGCAACAGGAGCATCGCCACCTGATTGGTGTTTGTTTGTTTACACAATACAATGTTGCTTAGTGGGTGGCCTTTCCGCCGCGGGCTGTCTGCCTGTTTCCACCGTTTTGTGTTTTTTTTCCCTCGAGTTCGACTTCGGCTTTACCCCCCCTTAACCCTCTCCGAACAACAACCGCCTACCGACTGCACTTTTTTCGTGTGTTTATATGTCGATATAGCTAGCACTTGCACTTGACTTTTATCAAGGTCGAATGCCTCCAAAGACCTATCTATCTCGGTGGGTACCATAGCCACAAGGCACCTGGTACCTAATCCTGCTATCCTCCTCCTCCAGACACACTCAGGCAACGACATAATGTATTGACATCAGAGGCAATATTTCCCTACCCACACGTGTTCTTTGGCCTTCGTCTAGCGCTCTTGGTTCCGGCCTGGTTGCCTTGCGCCGCAGTTCCTAACTCTCCCTCATAAAACTTGCTGGACAAGCTCCAGAACGTCAAAGAAAGCCTCCCTGTCGGCTTCGGCCTTCCGCAAGCCTAGGCCAAGAATCAAGGTGCGCTTCTCATCCGGATTCTTGAGCGACAGAAAATTTGCTATCTGCGCAGCGTAGAGATGGCCGACTGTCTCGCGGCCGTCGCTGCCTGCCCCCAGCAGTGTTGTGGCTGTCAGATGAGCGGGCGGCAGGGAGCCTATGTTTGTTCTTGGGAGGGCCATCTCAACCATGGCCGCGGACGGTGCCGAAAGCTGCACTTGGACCTAGTATGTAGCGTCAGTGAAGCGCTAATGGAGCCTGTTTGAACCGCCGCACATACCCATTGTGCCAGACGGCCTTCCTGTGACAGCGTGACCATGATCTTGTCCGAGAACGTCATGGAGGAGGCTTCGGTTGAAACGCCGCCAACTGTCCCTGTTGCCGTTTTATATGGCGCAGGAAAAGTATCTTCCCTCAGAGCTTTTTCTTCCATTGTCGAGAAATAATATTAAAGTCCAAGTAGATGTGTTCTCGCCTGTCTGTCATGCGCGGCAGGGGGTGTGGCCTTGGTGGCTTGTCCACAGGTCGAGGATGATGCTGAGGAGACCCTGAGTTTAGAGTCAGAGGCACACCCAAAAACGACCGAATTTGATTGAAGTCTACCTACTAGAGACAGGGCTGGACGAAAGAGCAGAAGTACGAAGCGGCTCGAGACAAGTGGTGCATGGGCTCAAGCCTGCTACATCATCGTGGCCGCGTTCAGCTCACCCCCACCCAGCCAAGCATTTGCCCCACTGTGATCGACGAGAAAACGCTGGCAGAATTTTGAAGGCGGTCAAAATTTCATTTTCTCTCCATCAAGGTCGTCTGCTCATTGCTTTCTTGGACCTTCTTGCGCATTTCGCCAGATGGGCCTTTCTACAGACGAGGATCGGTACCGAATGAGGCGCTAGCCCTTCGAACGGAAATTCCAGAAAAATGCCACCAAAATTCGTGCCACGACAAAGGAAAAGGAGGGTTCTAGATCGCGAGAGGGCAGCCCAAAAACAGCAAGTGAGCGATGAGGTCCAGGAAGGGGAGGCCGTTGCTGGCGGCTCCGAGGAGACGGCCAAGCTCAGGGCGCAACTCAGGAGTCAGGGCGGCACGGTGAGCGGAAAGAAGGCGAAGCGCCTGGAGAAGTACATTGAGCAGAAACTCAAGAAGGACGAGAACCGCGCGCTTCTGGCCCAGCTCGCCGCCAACAAGATCGACACCAGCCTCTTCTCCAGCAGCCGCTCAATAGGTCACACCAAACAGACCAAGCGTCAAGCCCTGAGTCAGGCGTTGAGAGAGGAGCGCGCTGGTCTTCCTCTGGGACAGGCTGCCAGGGAGGAGCTGCTCTACGAGAAGCGCGCGGAGCCTGCCCCCGAGGATGACGACAGCGAAGCCGAAGGCTCAGCGACTGAAAATGCCGACCGACCGGTCCCCGAAGCCCCCAGGACTTCCGCAGCTGCCGACTTCTCTGGTCTGATGGGCAGTGCTGCAGCCGCCACTGGATCCGGTCTGAAACGTCCGCTCGAGGTTGACGATGACGGCCGTCCGGTGATTCAAAAACGACAAAAGCGAGGAGGCGTGAAGTCCAAAATCGTCATTGTGCAGCCGCCGGCTCAGGAGTCGGAGTCCGAAGACGAGGATGGGGAGGATGAATGGGGTGGTTTTGGCACAGACTACGACGGCTCTAACGGGAGCGATGATGAGTCCATGGAGGAAGACCAAGAACAAGGTTCGGAGCAGGAAGGAAGTGAATCCAGCTCGGATGAGGAGAGTCAAGGGGATGGCGACGATGGCGACGACGACGAGAACGATTCTGACGTGGATTCCGACGTCGACGACGACAATGTTGAGGAGAGGCGATCCGCATTCAAGGCTTGGGCACGCGCACAGCGGAACGAGGCCCTGGGGTACAAACCAGCAGAACCGGGGGCGAGCATACTTGAAATTCCCAGGCCAGGGAACTTCAAGCCACGGCCCATGGAGCAGGACCCTCTACCTCTTGAACTTCAGCCTACCAGAAACACGGACCGCAAAGCATTTAGCGTTGCGGTTGTCCGCGCGCCCGAAATTCAGGAGGCGCGGCTCAAGCTACCCGTGGTTGCCGAAGAGCAGCGGATAATGGAGGCGATCCACAACAACGACATTGTCGTGATATGTGGTGCTACCGGTTCTGGCAAAACTACACAGATCCCTCAGTTTCTGTTCGAGGCGGGCTACGGATGTCCCGACTCGCCGACCCCAGGGATGATCGGAATCACCCAGCCCAGGAGGGTCGCAGCCGTGAGCATGTCTAACAGGGTTGCCCAGGAGCTCGGAGATCACTCCCAAGCTGTTGGCTACCAGATCCGCTTTGAGGGCACGGTCAAGGAAGGAACTGCAGTCAAGTTCATGACTGATGGTGTCTTACTCCGAGAGATTGCACAGGACCTGTCTCTTCGCAAGTACTCGGCTATCGTGGTCGATGAGGCCCACGAGAGGAGTGTGAACACAGACATCTTGATCGGGATGCTGAGTCGTATCATCAAGCTCAGGGTGGAGATGGCACAGGAGGACCCGACAGTCAAGCCATTGAAACTCGTCATCATGTCTGCTACACTGCGGATCGAGGAGCTCACCGAGAATCTCAACCTTTTTCCGACACCGCCTCCTGTTCTGGAGATCGAGGGAAGACAGTTCCCTGTCACTACCCATTTCGCCAGGAGGACGCATCACGACTACATCGAGGAAGCATTCAACAAAATAAGTAGGGGGCACAAAAAGCTCCCACCTGGGGGCATGCTCGTCTTTTTGACCGGCCAGAACGAGATTGCCCAGCTCAGTAAAAGGCTGAAACTCGCCTTCAATGGAGTCCACTCAACAAGTGGACCCCAGGTTAGGATATCAACGCAGGAGGCACCGATGGAGGCCGAGGACGTTGACTTTGGCGACGTGGACGACACAAAGCACGACGATTACGTTGATGATGACGGGGAATCCGAACAAAACGACGAGGAGGAGGAGGGGGAATTCAAGATCGAGGACGAGGAGTCGGGCACCGGGCCGACACGCATGCACGTGCTTCCTCTCTATTCGCTGCTGCCGACCAAAGAGCAAATGCGCGTCTTCGAGCCTCCCCCTGATGGGAGTCGGCTTATCATCCTAGCAACAAACGTGGCGGAGACGAGCTTGACGATCCCTGGAATTCGTTACGTCTTTGACTGTGGCAGGTCCAAGGAACGCAAGTACGACCAATTGACGGGTGTGCAGAGTTTCGAGGTTGGCTGGATCAGCAAGGCGAGCGCAAGCCAGCGAGCAGGCAGAGCTGGCCGTACTGGTCCGGGCCACTGCTACCGATTCTACTCGTCTGCAGTATATGAGCGCGATTTCCCCGAGTTCGCCTTGCCGGAATTGCTGCGAACATCGTTGGAGGGAGTGGTGCTGCAGCTTAAAGCGATGAATCTCCAGCACGTCGTCAACTTCCCCTTCCCCACGCCACCCGACCGGCAGAACCTGATCAAGGCCGAGAAGCTCCTTTGTTACTTGTCAGCCGTCTCGAGTGAGGGACGGGTGACGCAGGTCGGGCACACCATGTCGATCTTCCCCCTATCTCCACGATTCTCTCGCATTCTTCTGGTCGGACACCAGCATGACTGCCTGCCGTACACCATCGCCTTGGTAGCCTCGCTTTCCGCCGCTGAGATATTTATCCCCGAGAGCCAGGCCATTCCAGCTCTTGCGGCGCAAGAGGAGGGCGCCATCCGTACCAATGAAGATGTCCAGGCGGAGAACAGGCAGGCCAATGTGCGGCGGGTGTTTAATGCAGTGCACAAGAACTTTTGCTCTCTTGACGACAAATCCGACGCCATCAAGATGCTCCAAGTTGTCGGGGAATTCGCGCACGAGCCCACCGAGCAGTGGTGCGAGAGTCACTTTGTCAGGTTCAAGGTACTAAAGGAGGCGCAGAAGCTGCGGCAGCAGATCGTGCAGCTCCTCAAGACCAACATACCTGCATTCGCCAACCTCACTTTCCAAGATAAGCTAGACGCACCGAGTGCGAAGCAAGTCAGGGCACTCAAGCAAATGGTGGCTGCTGGCTTCATCGACCGGGTGGCCATCCGCGCAGACAAGGCCCCCAACCCACCGGAGCTGTGGCGCAAGCCGAGGCGGGCCATTGACGTGCCGTACATTCCCCTGTCGCCCCTGGCCATCGGGGGCAAGCCTGCGAACGATGAGGAGAAGCTCGTCTACATCCATCCCGAATCTCCTCTCGCACATCTTAGCAGGGACGAGTGCCCCGACTACATCGTATACTCGTACCTGCAGAAGGCGGCTTCGTCCCCCGGAGACGAGGAGAGTGGCAAGAAAGCCAAGACGAGGATGCACTCGCTGACGGACATCAGCGGCGGGGTGCTCGCGGCGTTGGCCAAGGGCACGCCGCTCGTCAGCTACGGGAAGCCGGTCAAGGCGATCAGCGACGACGGGAAGAGCCGCGAGTGCTGGGTCGTGCCGTATCTCCGGGCAGAGGGCACAGGGGGCATGGGCTGGCCGCTGCCGATGCAGAAGGTGAAGCAGCGGAAGATGGCTGGCAGCTGGGTTGTGGAGTAGTCTATTCTGGGTGTGCTCTAATTCTGGCTTTGTCGATTATTGTCGCCACATAGACGCGAGGTATGTGAATGAAGCGAAATTCGCGCTGGAACCGCAGAGCAGGCCGGTAACAGATGCCGCTAGGTACTATATCTAGTCAATGTAATGAGACATCATCCATGGGAAAGGAAGATACAAGAGACGGCCGAATATGAGCGCCTCGGGTTATTCTACCTAGCTACAGTGGGCGAACCCAAGCCATTCGCAGTCTCGGTTCCGCTTGGAGTAGGCGGGGTCGGGGGCGTTGCAAGGGCTGCCACATGATGTGATTGATATAAGCGCCAGGGCAGCTATACACAGCCAGGTGCCATGCAGATTGTTGGCCCAATGTGCAGGCCACCCACCATCAGCCACTCTCAGAAACAACAAGGCTGGCTACCAATGAATGAAGCTGATCGGAGGCCTTGTAGGCAACCTCACACCCCCAGCTACTCTCATAAGGCCTGTATTTATGGCTACCATTGCCAGCTCTGGCACCCCGCCCCTGCCGACTGTTCTCCTCACATTCACATTCATTTTCCCATCCGCATCGCTAGCACCTGCACAAGACAATCACTACCATGGCCCCTGCCAAGGATATCCCCCGCACTGCCAACCAACCCCGGAGGCGGACGGGAAACGTTTTCATCTACATTGACAATTCGAACCTTTGGATCCAGGGCCAGAGGACATACGCCGAGAAATACAAGCAGAACGCCGACCGAGACCCCCGATGGCGCTTTGACGCCGGCATCCTGAAGGACGTCCTGCTGGGGGAGTCTGGTCTGAGCGCCGACGAGCAAACGTTTCAGCCCAAAATGAGGCTGTATGGGTCGACGCCCCCAATCGTCGATTCGGTGTGGAAGGCCTTTGAGCAGCACGACATCAAGGTCAGGACCTTTGCGAGGAGCTCCTGGACCCGGCGCGAAAAGGAGGTCGACACGGAGCTCATCGCGGACTCGGTCGAGGAGGCCTCGGAGGCCTACTACACTGGCATCCCGGCCGTTTTCATCATCGTCTCGGGGGACCGGGACGTCCGCTCTGCCGTGGTCAAGATCGTGGGCAGGGGCTTCCCGGTCCACATTTGGGCTTGGAAGAACGGCATCGCCAAGGCATTCACCAGGGAGGACCCAGACATCAACCCGGACCTGTTTAAGGCGCACCTGCTGGACCCGCACCTCGAGGACATGGGCCTGACCCGCACCACCTTCCGCGTCGACCGCAGCGTCATCAACCCGCACAGCATCGTCGTGCTGGACCCCATGTCCAAGGTCGACGAGGTCGAGAACTTTCTCAACCAGCTCAGGACCCCGGCGTACCGCTACGAGATCCCGGACCAGCGAGGGGGCGGCGGATCCAACGACCTCGCCATCATCCCGGCCCAGGCCTCCATCATGAAGGCCGATGAGCTGCGGAGCCTGTACATGGAATGCAAGGACAAGCTCGAGAGGAAGGGGCTCCGCGTGCTCTCCTACCAGGAGTACTCCCAGAAGTATCTACTAGGCGGCGGCGGCACAGAGAGCACCCTGGCCGTATCCAACCAGTTCAAGGAGCTCGGCGGGGACGACGAAGAGCGTAATGAGGACAGCGGCGGCGACGGCCACCACCAGGGCGCGGACCAAGACGCGACGGCCACCAGCTCCCAACAAACGCCCTTCGACGGCGACGGCGACGGTGACGACGGTTTCGAGGAGGTCAACGGGCGGCTGAGGCAGCAGCAGAGCCGGCTGAGGAAGGGCGACGAAAGCCTGCAGATCCGATGCAACTGGCGCGAGTTCTGTGAGCGCGGGCTCGACTGCAAGTTCGGCCACACCAAGCCGGAGCGGGAAAGCTTCAGCGTCTACGGCATCAAGAAGGCCAAGAAGTACAAGCTCTGCACGCGCGACGGCTGCCTGGCCGGGGCGCGCTGTGGGTACGCCCACGGGTCGGCGGAGCTGTTCTGCCCGACTTGCGGCAAGACGGGGACGCATGAGATGCACTTGTGCCCCGAAAGGTCGTCGTTTCTGAGTGCGCGGCGGAATTACAGCCGATAAGTGGTCGTTTAGGACTTTGTAGCGGTCTCCCGCCATGCCCCTTCCTGGATACGTTTTTATAGCAGGAAAAAAAAACGATACAAAAACCAACAAAAGCTCGCCCGGTCGCCTTGCGGGGACCGGGTTACGAAAGCCCTTGGCGGGCTTTACTTCGAAGCTCTTATCTTTCAACCGAGTGCCCTTTACTACCAGGAACTTTATACCCTAAAGGGACACCTGACAACACTCGTACTCGAACTCACGACCTGGGTGTACTATGCCTCACGCATGGAAGAAGGGGAGATTTCTCTGCCACTCGACCATTCCGTTTGCCGCGGGAGCTTGTTGAAAGCAATGCTCCTGGACGGACTGATATGTGCACTGGCGCGCCCTCGCTTCTCCTTCCTCGAGATGGGATGCCAGTGGTGACTGGCGCAACATGGGACGAGCCGGTGGGCCATGGACGTCATTGTGCTGTCGTCCCAACTTTTGGCCCAAAGTCTGGAAGTTTAAAGAGGCCTTCAGCTCAGGACTGGGAGCGAACCCAGACCATTCATGTCTTGGCCCACCCGATTCTGTGCATTCCTGGCTCAATGTCTTTAGAATTTCCGAAAATGGCATTTATCGATGCATTGCCAGGGGCTTGGGTTTTTATGGCTTCTTGCTTGAACAGAGCCAGTCCTTTTTTAGGGCGGCCCGTCTCTTGGCACTAACGGCGGAAAGTGGGAAGGTGGGAAAGGCGGCAAGAACCGTCGATTCCGAGTAGGAGCCTCCTGCGAGCGAGTGTCGTGTCCAAAAACATCAAATCGACGCCAATCACTCGTACGCCAGGAGAGAGGACTTGGATTACCAAACAAGCATCCTTCATCAAGAGAGTGTATCGTCACACACGTTTTATATCGTCAGCCAGCCTATCTGACGGAAATCTGTTTTCGGTTTTCAAACCTCGGCGTCGTCTCTGCCTTCTGCTGCGCCCAGCACCCTGGCCTGGGTATCTCTGAATGCCTGGATCGATGGCCATGTCTACCACGAGCTCGATGTATGGCGGGAGATCCTTGTTCCCTGGCGTCGCAGTCATCACGGGGGCTGCCTCAGGTAAGTTAAAGCAAGATTCCACTGTCCCGGGCGGTCAGGAGCAACAACGACCATTACCTAGCAAATACTAGCCAAGAGCCAGCACATCGCCCGTTTCCCACACGGCAAGTGCGACAAAATATTGATGGCGATCGTCGACAGGCATCGGGCGGCAGTGCGCCACAGCGTTTGCCAGAGAGGGCTGTTCCCGGATCGCGCTCCTCGATAAGGACGAGGACGGCATGTCGGAGACGGCGCGCCTGTGCAAGCAGGCCTCGGCCCGCGCCGTCGTGACATTCATCATCCCCTGCGACGTCCGCGTCGAGACCGAGATCGCCACGTCACTGGATGAGATCATTGAGGAGTGGGGTAGGATAGACTATGCCGTCAACTCTGCCAGTGCGTTCCCTTCTCTCTCCATCATGCCACCTACCGGAAGCTATCGGTGGCAAGCGGCCTAACATGCTACTCACCCCTCTCTCGAGGCGTTTACTTCCCCGGCGCGGCGCACCGCATCTCGCCCGAGGAGTTCGACAGAGCCATGAGCGTCAGCTGCAGGGGCGCCATGATCTCGTCGCGCGAGGAGATTGCGCGCATGCTCCTGCAGGGCCCGCTCGAGACGCACGACGGCCGGGCGGGGAATAGGGGTGCCATCGTGAACATTTGTAGCTCGGGTGGGATCGCGTCGAGGCCTAGCTGCCGTACGTGCTTCCGTCATTCTCTCACATTTGGTTCTTCCTCCTCTATTTCACCCATAGTCGCTAACAACAAGAGCTTGCGGAGGGGAAAAAGCCGCATATGCCGCGTCGAGGGCGGCGATCATAAGTCTGACACGTGCAGATGCTGTTGAAGTGAGTTTTCCCCTTGGGCGTGACGCGCGTGGCCATAAGGAGGGAAGGGTTTTTTTCCTGACCGAAAAATGATGCGTGTAGTATGCGAAAGACAACATCCGCATCAACTGCGTGTGCTCCGGTGTCATTGAGTAAGATTTTGCTCCCTCTGCTTCTCAGGGGCTCCGCTGACACTGGAGGTATGCCCCCATGGCCGAGCACTAGCATACCGGCCGAGATTCCCCACGACGATCAGTTCGTGGCTGGCACCCCGATGAAGAAGGTAGGTACTTCCCAGGAGGTCGCGGACGCGGTACTTTTTCTGTGCAGCTCAAAGGCGACGTTTATTCACGGAGTGGCTCTTGTAAGTCGTCATCTCTTTGTCGCTTGGCTCTGACCCTGATTCGCTCATCCGGACACGCCCCTGGGGCTAACAATGAACTATGCGAATACAGCCGGTGGATGGCGGCTATACGGCCTGCTAAAGCGCAGGAACTGTTTGACTACACTGTGCCGGCTGGGTGGCCTGGGATTAGGGAGCATTACTGGAGCTGGACACACGAGAATACGACTGCATTTCTTTTGGAAGCAAGGAGCTAGTGTATTGCATGCTGTTTGTTGGGGTTGTCTTTATTTCTACTCCAAACTTCTATTGCCAAGGGTATCATAAACAAGCCAGAGAAAGCCAGAATCCGGGCCCACAGTACCGCTGGTAAGAAATGACAGAAAATGAACCTACTTAGTGACGGGTGCCGCTGCCAACCCTTTCTAGGTGCGTTCCCCCTTCCTCGGCCGCTTGGCGGCCTTGGGCCGCTTGGAGCCATTCTCCTAGGACGGCGTAGTGGTGCCGCCTTTGCTCTTGCGCCTCTTGGGCTTGGGGGGCCCGCCCGCCTTGGCCGCCTTCTCGGGCTTGATGTCCTTGCTGAGCGGGCTGCTGTCGGGCAGTGTCTTGAGCACGGGGAGCGAGACGGCGGCGCCCCCAGGCCCGCCGAGCACGGGCACGGTAAGCTTGTCCTTGCGGCCTGTGGACGACAGGTGGAACTCGCCGGGCTTGCCCGTGATGGGGTTCTCGTCCATGTACTCGCCGCCGTAGCGCGTGTGGATGGCGAAGGCCTCCTCAGCCATGCGCGCGTCGGGCGCCGACCGCTCCGTCCTTGCCGACGGCGGCGGCGCTTTGGACGCGGCGCCCGCGCCCGCCGCCGGCGTCAGGCTGTCGGGCATCGGCGTCGGCTCCTTGGACTCGAGGCCGCGGGGTCGCGGGGCGGCGGCGGCGGCGGCGGGGGTGGCGTAGCCGTGGCCCAGCGCCGGGGTCCACGTCTGTATGGCGGAAACGGCGGGGAATAGTTTGCTTATGGCGGAAGATATTGTGGCCTGGCGCGGTGCGTTGATGGTCAGTTCTACTCGCCTTCGCGCATGCGCAGGCAAACACTGGGCGACTCACGATGCGGGAGCTCAGAACGTCGGACAGCGACGGGGCCATGTAGATGTTCTCGCCCATGACGAAGTAGTCGGCGTGCACCTCGAGCTCGTCGGGCAGCGGGGTGCCGTCGGCGGCCTTGACCTTCCTGCGGGTCTGCTTGCGGATGACCCAGACGCCCGTGCCGGCGCCGGGCCCCGTCTCGGCGGGCTCCTGGGCGACCATGTACTCGAGCCCGGCCATCTCGCGCAGGCGGCCCTCGAAGGCCTCGCGCGTGGCGACGATGTGGAGCATGGACTGGTTGCGCACGGCCTGGTTGAACACGACGGCGTTGTTGGACGTGCGGTCGAAGAAGGGCGACTCAGCAAGGTAGTAGAGCACCGAGTTGGAGTGGATGCCCTGGAAGTTGACCACCGACTGCGGCGAGCTCCATTGGATCTCGTCCAGCAGCTGCTCCGTCTTGTTGTCCATGGCGGCAGCGGCGGTCGGTCGGTCGGTCGGTCGGGCCTTGTCGCGACACCTGGGTAGACGAGTGGGATTGAGGCAGGTGGACAAAGAGGCGCGACCTTATTAAATGCTTCGAATTTGAGGCAAGCGGGCACCGGAGATGGGCGGAGCTGGTGGAAGATCGAGGCTAATCCAGTGGGGGATGCAGCGCGTGAAGTGAGCACGCTTGGCCCCTGGAGACCCACTACACATCACTGACGTATTCTAGCCGCGTCGCATCCCGGTCGCCGAGAATTCATTCAAAGCATCTTCATCCATTATAATCACATCCATTACAATCACACCCAATTCGTAGCCCAGGCACGACAAACATCATCCAAGCCATTGTTACCGACGCCGCCACGGGCGCCCAAGCGACAAATCACGCATCGAATAGCCAATCGACAGCCGACCGAGCCATCGCCGCACGACCATGGATCTCCTATCTACAGTCCGCAAGACGGGCTCGCGCGGAGGCGTTAACTTCAAATGGGAGGATGTCGCAACATCGTCGCACCGAGAGAACTACCTGGGCCACAGCGTTATGGCCCCGGTCGGGCGCTGGCAACAAGGACGCGACCTGACCTGGTACGCCAAGGCAGACTCATCGGCAGCGGCCGCGGGGAGCGGCGATGGAGAGACGGAAGAGGAGCGGAGGGCGCGAGAGAGGCGCGAGGAGTTGCGCAAGATCAAGGAGGCTGAGGAGGATGCCCTTGCCCGGGCACTCGGGCTTCCCGTGCCGCAACGCGACGTCTCAGGCGCCAACGCCATCGAAGTGGGACCGACCCGGCCGATGGGCGGCGCGGCGGGGGCCGATGAGGGCGCTGAAAAGCCCAAGGGCGGAGCCGTCGACGATAAACCAGCCCCCGATACGAGAGGCACCCGGCGCAGAGACGACGCTGGCCGCTCTAGGGAGCACCGGGATGAAGATCGGCACCACCACCGCCGACGGAGACACCGCGATAGGAGCCGCAGCCCGGATTCCCGCCGCGATCGGCCCTCGCGGCGGAGAGACGACGGCGGCGCAGAGCGATCGCACCACGATCGGGACCACCACAGGGGGAGAAGCCGCAGTCGCAGCCGTGAACACGACCGCGGGCGAGATGACCGGGACCGAGAGCGGGACCGCCGAAACGATAACGGCGATCGCGCAAAACACCCAGAGGACGGTTCTGCTGCAGACGGCGGCCGTCACAGGAAGGAGAGGAGGCACAGAAGTCGGAGCGGCAACCGGGATAGGTCAAGGCCCCCGCGGAGACGACAGAGCAGGAGCCCACGGAGGCGCCGCGATAAGGACGAGCACGTGCGGGGGGATAGAAACTGATGATTCCCTTTGTCTTTATTCCCTCTTTCTCTACTTTTAATGGCCTGTGTTTGAGAATAATGGTGGTGCCTGGGCGTTACCTCGCACCGTCAATAGAAGCTTATGTTGGAGATCAAAACATCTCGATCAATACTAACGGCACAGTAACCATGTGGAATTTGTGCACAATTGGTTTCATCAAGAAACCCACCCTCCGTCTGGAATGTGATATGCCCTGCATTCCGCCGCAGGTGGAGGTGGTTGCCCGCACTTCCCGCATGCGTCAGTGCCAATTGCGCTGCGGCTCGACGCACGAGGCACTGTCAATCATGAGGCTCGTGCATAGGCGGGCCCCACCCCTGCAAAGTACACAAGGAGCAGCCACTGCAGCAGTGGCAGGCTGATCGACAGCGGAGCGAGGCGCGGTTTCGAGTCGGTGTCTGAACCTACAACGCCAGCCGAAGAAGCCGCCGTTGATTCACTGCAGCGACCGGACGCCGCTTCTTTCTCTTTCCATCGGGCTGGTTTCCCGTCGACGATTGGTGTTTGCCTGCTCAGGTCCCTGCCTAGAGCCTAGAGGTATATACAGAGACCTAGAAGCCTCAGGCCCTCCACCACATCAAGGCTAGGTGCCTAACGTGCGCGCCCTTCTCGCCCCAGCCGCCAATCGATCTGTCTAAACGCCTATCCGCCCAACCGAAACAGTCTAGTCCGAACTGTCATCTCTTCCCCGGAAACAGACTTTCCGCCGAGGTTACAGGCAGTAATAACCTACCTAGATCCAGTAGCCACGGCCGCACATAACCTCCTCGATTACCACCACTTCCACTCCGCAACAACCATCGCCGCTCTCCAGTTCCCATCACACCTCTGCCCCAGCGGCAGGACGCAGCCCAGGGAACGACCCGACTCACCACTCCACCCCCGATGATGCTTGCGGCGACCAACACCACGGCCCATCTCAACACCGAAACTTCCATTTGAGGCGAGGATGGACTACGCAAAGCTGCGGGATGCGGCCCTCCAGCATGGTGAGGACGAGGAGGCTGTCACCGTCGACACCCGCGCCCTGATCGACAAGGTCCTTGCCAGGTACTCGGGCGAGTGGACCACGCTTCGAGAGCTCATCCAGAATGCCGCCGACGCCCAGGCCACAACCGTCAAGGTCAAGTGGGAAACCCACCCGTCCACCACGGTCCCGCTTCCCCAGACCACGAACCAGACGGAGCTGCTCAAGCACGTCATCACCAACCACACCCTCAGGCGGCTGCTCGTCAACAACGATGGCCAGCCCTTCACAAAGACCGACTGGGCCCGCCTGAAGCGCATCGCCGAGGGAAACCCCGACGAGACCAAGATCGGCGCCTTTGGCGTCGGCTTCTACAGCGTCTTTGCCGACTGCGAGGAGCCCTTCATCAGCTCCGGCAGCGAGGCCATGGCTTTCTACTGGAAGGGGAACGCCCTCTTCACGCGGAAGCTGGTGCTGCCCCAGGACCAGAGTAGCTCCGACACCACATTCGTCCTGGACTACAGGAATTCCACCACGGCCCTGCCAAACCTCTTGTCGGTCGGGCAGTTCCTGGCAACCAGTCTGACTTTCGTAGCCCTGCAAAATATCGAGTTTTGGATAGACGACTGGATGATATTGAAGCTGCAAAAGAAGACATCGCCCAGCGTGGACGTTCCGATCCCGCGAGACCTCGAGGCCACCACTCAGGAACGCCTCATGAGGATCGCCAGGGTTGACCGGGTCAGCACCCAGATCGATGCGACGACTATGCGCGTCATTGGCTGGAAGCCCAAGGTCGGCACAATATCAAAATTGACAGAGACCTACGGCTTGGGCAGCGCCGAGATGGGTAGCTCTCTAAGGGGCTTCTTCTCCAGGCTCACTTCGAGCTCTTCTCAGAGTACACTAAAGACCAAGGCGACCAAAGAAGAGAAGGTGGTCCCCGAGACCACTGAGGACTTGACTGCGACGACAACTTCGAGCATCTTCCTCAGGGTCACGTCAGCAGCTGTAGCAACAAGTGTGCAGGCATCATTTGCTGCCGAGCTTGAGCGGGCAACCAAGAAGCCACCGCCGAAAACCACCAAGCTCGCCATCCTGACCTCGTCATACGACGAGAGCCAAGCCACACAGAGTTCCAGGGATACCTCGACAGGCTCTGCTGATGTCTTCGCCTCTGTCCTGCCCACCAAGAAGCCTGGAGGCAAGATCTTCATCGGCTTTCCGACCGCGCAGACCACAGGCGGCGGCATGCACATCTCGGCCCCATCTGTGATTCCGACAGTGGAGCGTGAGGCCATCGATCTCAACGCCCGATGGGTGCGAACCTGGAACATGGAGATGCTACGTGCCGCCGGAATCATGACGCGGCTGGCCTTCTCGGTCGAGATGGCGGATCTGAACGAAAAGTTCTTGAGGGCCGTGGCAGCTGCTGGCAAGGGCGGCAAAATTTCGGCGGCCGATGTGGCAAAGTTCACGCCCGAGGCGATACACATCCTGAACACGTACAGCTTCAAAGATTCGACTCCCAGTTCTAATGTCGGGCAGCTTATCGAGAGCTCGTTCTGGACCGCGTTTAAGAAGGCGTCCATCGAGGTCTTCTCAAGCAGGGGTGTGCTTCCGTCGACGAAAGTGCGTGTGGGCTCTGACGAGCTTGGGAAGTTCGTCAACGACATACCCATAATCATCAAGGAGATGGAGGACCAGCCATTCGTCAGGAAACTGCATGATTTTGGCCTGATAGAGGATATCACTGTCAAGGATATTCGGCAGGAACTGGAGGCCAAAGCCCTCAACAGGGACCAGCTTGCTAATTTCCTTGCCTGGGCTGGGAAGACGGCCGTTTCGGGCGAGCTGGATATGCGCAGCAGACAAGCCCTGCTCGATGTGGCCGTCGCCACCATCGGCGATAGCGAGGATCAGGGTGAAATCATTGCTCTCTCTAGCATCACGAGCTATCTAAGTGCTAACAAGATCCCGGCAAACCTGCCACTCCCACCCACTACTCTCCCCTACTCCCTGACTGTCAACATCCCGCAGGCTCATCTGCAAGCCTTAGGATGGCGTACGTTAGAGATCGTTCCTTGGCTGAGGTTCCTCATCGATGCCGCTGGGACCAAGGGCGACGAGCAAAACATTACAAAGTCGGAAAAGTTCGCTGTGCAGGTCCTCACCGTGTTGTCAAAGAACTGGGACAACCTAAACCCTGGAGACAGGACTGCGGTTGTTTCCGGCTTGCAAGACAAGACCGTCATGCCGACCAAGGTTGGGATGAAGCGGCCAGCAGAGTCCTTCTTCACATCAGTCAAGCTTTTTGACGACCTTCCCACCATTCAAGGGTGCCAGGCCGTCAAGGAGAAGGTCTTGGTAGCCCTCGGAGTGCGCAAGACGCTGGACCTCGAGACCATCTTCACCCGCCTCCTTTCCCCTCAACACGAGGGTGCAGTGAGGTGGAGTCACATGGAGCTCATCAAATACCTGGCCTCTGTCCGTGACGATATTCCTTCAGATGATATGAAACGCCTGAAGGAGTCGCGCATCTGCCCCCGTGAGGCCGGGCCGCCTGGCATGGAGGCAACAAAGGGCTCCAACCAACTATTCAAGGTCTCGGAGCTCTTCGAGCCTAACGACTCGCTGCGGACGCTCCGCCTGCCGATCATCCACTGGCCGGGTCCCCCAGGGAGCTTCAGGCCAAGCGGAGTTGAGGCGCGCTTCCTGTCCAGTCTTGGACTTCGGTCCTGCCCATCCGTACCCGAGCTCGTTGATATGATGGCGTCGGAGGACCCGACGATGAGAATCAACGCGAGGGCTTACTTCATCGGCAACCATCACATCAACAACTATGCCTCATACAACATCGCGGGAACAAAGAAGGCTATTCTTCCCATCCAGGGGAACGAGAAGCTTCTCGTGCCACCAACCGAGTGCTACGTCGACAACGGAGCCGCCATTCTAGGCTTCAACGTGCTGGAGAAAAGCCTCCAGGTCCATGCGAACAAGTTTGGCGTCGCTCGGGATCCTCCCATCACAATATGCGTCAACAAGTTGATCGCCAAGCCGCCTCGGGATCAAGCAGCGGCGGTGACTTTGTTCAGATACTTTGCCACGCGTCTGAGCGACCTCCACGAGAGTAGTCTCGCGAAGCTCAGGGATGCGCCCCTCGTGCCAGTCACGAGGCTCGTACGAGGAAGCGGCCCCAAGGAGATGTCCAGATCAACAATCTTGATGAAGCCATCGAACTGCTACCTGGGGAGCTCGTCTACTTATAGCGACATTTTCGACTTTGTGGACTTCGGCTCGGACGCAAACGCATTCTTGTTCAAATGCGGCGCGAAGAGCGAGCCCACCAAGGTCGAGATTGCACGCCTGGCATGCAGCGAGCCGGCGCGCCTGCTGAGTATCCTGCAGAGCCCCGAGAAGTACCTGAACCTGCTCAGGACCCTAGCCGACGATCAGAACGCGCTCAGGAAAGACAGGGAGCTTTGGGCCAAGATGAAGACTTCTTCCTTCCTGCTCGCGTCCAAGGAGATAGCAGCTCCCAGAGCGCCCGGAGCCGACCCCGACGAGGATGAGGCGCCCATCAAGCAATACCAGCTGGCAGCTCCGAACCAGATTGTGATCCTAGACGACTATATCAGCTACCGTCTCTTCAAGGATTCGCTGGTGTGTGCGCCTGAGGAGGATCTCCTAGAGAGCTTCTACCTGGCGCTCGGATCGCAGATGCTCGGCAGTCTAGTACAGGAAGATCTCAAGATCGGACCCCAGAGTGATAAGCAGGATACGGCTGCCATTTTGCGCAAGCATGTGCTGGAACGCTCAAAGCTCTTCTTGTACGAGTGGACAAAGCACAACAGGGACCCCCTCAAACATGATGTCAAGTGGCTGGAGAAGAACCTTTCGGTTCAGACGGTCCGAAGCGTCGCGCTCAGGAGGTCGCTCCGCGGCCAAGGCAAGTCCCATTTGGAAAAGAGGTCCGCAGCCAGCGCCCCGAGCCAGAACGGATGGGTGCTCTACATTTCGGCAGAACGGGATCATCCAGACATGTACCAAGTTGGGCAGGCCGTCTGTCAGCTCCTCCTCACACGCCCCGGTCAGCAGGCATACCTCTCTTTCGAGCCGTTCCTGAAGCTCAACCTGCTGGACCTACGCGCTCGAGGCTACAACGTCGACCGAATCCTGAGGGCGAAGGCGGCCGAGGCTCGGATCGCCGAAGAGGAGAGGCGAAAGGCGCTCGAGGAAGAGCAAGCGCGCATCAAGGAGGCCGCCGAGGAGTGGCAGAGACGGAGCAACGGGTCGATGGCTGTGGCTGCAGGGAAACAGAGGGCGCCGACACCGCCCCCTACCATGCCCGGCGCCTTTGGTGCTGACTCTCCGGAAGAGCACGGAAAGCGATCGCCACCACCAAACGAGAACCGGAAATCTAGAGGTGGATTCCTCTCGAACTGGTCCAAACAACTGGGCTTCGGGAAGGACGAGGGTGACGAGTCCCAGAAGCAACTGCAAAACTTCCTGCCACCTCCAGAGCCTGCCAAGCCCAGCGCGGGCGCAGGGTCCAGCGGCAGCGGCGCGGGGACCGAACAGCAAAGCAAAGGCGACGACGGGCGTGTAACGTCGCCGGCGGTGGTGCAGCAGAACCTGCTCAACGCCATCAAGTCGACGCGGGCTCACGACTCGTCCAAGCTCTTCTCGCCGCCGCAGACGAGCGAGGTCAAGGAGCAGGCGACGTACTGCGACAGCAACGCGGCGCACGACCTCAAGTTTGTCGCCGAGGGGCCGGCAGGTATGCGCATCTTTGTGGCCAATGACCTGTCAGTCGACGCGAGCAGCTTCGTGGTGGAGAATCGGGCGAGGATCAAGGCGTTCGAGTCGATGCTGCGGGAGATCGCCGACGTGTACGGGCTGTCCAGCAAGGTGCTGCACATCTTCTACGACGAGCGGGGCGGCACCATCGCCTTCAACAGTAGCGGCAGCATCTTCTGCAACCTGCGCTTCTACGCGCAGCTGCACGCGGAGCGCGTCCTGGCCTCGTACGCGGCGACGCGGCGTGAGGCCATGATGGAGGCGGCCACGTGGTGGTGGGTGGTGATTGCGCACGAGCTGGCGCACAACATCGTGCAGGTGCACGACGCGCACCACAGCTACTACACCGAGTCCTTCATCCAGCAGTTCTTCCCCAAGATGGTGGCCAAGTCGGCGGCGCTGGCTGCGGCAGCCGACCAGGCGGCGGGTGGTGGCCCGGCGGCGGCGGCGGCGAGGGCATCCCTGCCACCTCCGCCGGCGCGCGACAGCAGCGTCCCACCGCCCTACAGCCGACGGGCGCCAGCGCCGACGAACCTGCTCGACTAGGGCCGGGGTGGTTCGCTGGCGGTTCCTTGTCCCCCCCGCAGGTGGCGCGTTTGATGCCCGGGCGTCGGGCCGCGTCCACCCTTCTGGCTCCACTTGTCGACTGATGGGATGGGCTGGACACCGCAAACACACCACATTCTGGTCGCACCACATTCACAACTCGGCTGCGACGGCTCCGTTTTCGCAAACCTTGTCCCGTCCGAGGAATGTCGGGGCATAATGTCGGGGCATCATGCGGTCTTCTTGTTCGGGACGGCATCATAGAGTAGATCATCAAACAAACATGCGAGGCCGTGAGTAAATAGATATTATTCGGGTTTCTTTGTTTTGCCTGGGCATATGTCTGGCGCTAGGGATTGTTGGTAATATGCTCGGTCATTGAACATGATATTTGTTAGCGATAGAGTCATAAATTTCCTTCTTCATTCTCTGGGCAATCATTTGAGGTTCTCATAACAGTTCATGTCGAGTTAGGGGTCAAATTAGCAAGGCAAATTGTCTGAATTATTTAATAGAATGGAAGCCAAATATTAATGCGATCTGTCAGTGTGCCTGTTGGGGTATAAGATATGCTGATATAATAGCAACGCGCCAAGAAAACCCCAGTTATTCTCCCCAAAAATCTTAAAAGTAACGCCTTCCGTGTTTCTCCGTCAAATGCTCGTGCCATGGCCTGATCCTGTGTCAAAGGCAAGGTACCGTTTTACCCTTTTTTCCCTTTTTCCGCCGTGGCTCTGATCCTCGAACCACCACCCTTCCGAATCATGACCCCTCTCGTCCCCACAGCTTAGCTACTAGGAGCTAGCAGCAACCAGCGATCCGCAAAGCCTCTAAGCAGAAGTGACGGGCTTGCGGGCTCCCAGGATGAGGAAGCGCGGAGTAACGCCCTCGGGCCAGTCCGGGTGCTTGCGGCCGGCGTCGGCGGTGGAGCCCCACTCGGCCATGTCGTAGACCTCGAAGCCGGCGCCCTTGAGCAGGCCAAAGTAGGTGGCGGTGGTGCGGTGCTGCTTGAGCACGCTGGCGCCCAGCCAGGGCACGTGGCGATCGCCCTCGGTGAAGTAGGACTCGACGGGCCAGAAGGTGTCGTTCTCGGTCACCTCGTCCTCATCACTCTCGGAGGGGGCGGGGGTCGGGGCGCGCGAGGGCACGACCGAAGAGGCGGGCGAGGGTGCCTCGGAGTCGGCGGGCGAGGGCGCCAGCGACGCGGCCATGGAGCCGGTGCCGACCGAGGACGAGGTCTGCGACTGCAGCTTGGCGAAGGAGGCGAAGGAGCCGACGGAAGAGTTGGCGCTGCGGTCGGGCAGGACGGCGGCGGTCTGCGGGACGGCGGGCTTATTGTCCGCAGCAGCGAGGCTCAGCTTCTCCATGTGCTTGGCTGCGACGGCGGCGCGGACGCTGTGCTTGAGGAAGCCGGGCTTGACGGGCGCCGTGAGCATGGGGTGCTCGACCGAGAAGACGAAGCAGCCGCCCGGGCTGAGGGACTCAAAGATGCGCTCGGCTAGGGACTTGAAGTCGGCGACGTAGTGCAGGGCCAGGCCGCTGACGACGAGGTCGAAGGTCTCGCCGGCCAGCTGGAGGTCCTCGAGGTCCTGGCGGCCGTAGGTGGGCATGGTCAGGGTGTTGCCGTTGGCGGCCGCGGCGCCGACGAGCTCGGTGGCGTTCTGGGCGGCGCGCTCGAGCATGCGCTCCGAGAGGTCGACGCCCAGCACGCGGCTGGCGCCCTGGGCGGCGGCGTAGCAACCCAGAATGCTGTCGCCGCATCCCAGGTCCAGCACGCGCAGACCCTGCAGGGGGCTGGGCAGCATGGGGCGGAAAAGGGGCCACTCCGAGGCGCCGTCGAGGCCCTGCTTCATGCGCGGGAACTCGCTGTACTGGCCCCAGAAGGTGTCATCGTTGTCGTAGACGTTCTGGGACTCGTGGAGCTGGTGGGCAGACATGATGGCGGCTGCGGTGGTGAAAGCTGCTGGTGGTGGTGGGTGGTGTGGTGGTGGTGGTGGACTGCTCGAGGCTGCCGAGTTCAAGTCTCCAAGTGGATGGTGGTTGCTATATAAGCTGGTGGTGTCCGATGACGAGGCGTGGTGCCGTGGTGGACTGAGGAGTGGAGTCGAGAGGCTTGACTGGTTGATCGAGAGTGGGTTGGTGTGTGGTGAGAGGGAAGTCTGAAGAGGAGGATGAGAGAGGAGCGGGAGGGTTGTTATATACACAATCTCGCAGCTCGTGGTCCCCTTGAGACAGCGAGGTTGACAGTGTAGTGGCGGGTCCTTCGAGCTGGCTCACTTGCAAACCCCATCACCTACCACCTCACACAAAGGACCAGCGTACAGCTGTCCAGAAATGATCGTGTCTTTTTTTCCTTGTAGCAACAGATGGGACGAGACAAGGGCATTGAGCTAGCTCACTCTGCCGGCGACACACAAAGCCACCCCTGGCGACGGCACACGATTACCCCTGACGTAGGTGCTCTGGCGGGCGATCATGATCCGTTTTCTGCTCCTCAGTCGAGGTTGGTACATACCAACCCCCACGCCACAAGGGTCAGAAGGATGCCGCTGCCGAAGTTTGGCAAACAACAAACCAGTCCATTTGCAGTGCCGTGCGGAAGGGAGAAAAAAGGGGGATCACTTGTACTCTACACGGCTGGCTGTTGGTCTGGCCTGATGCCCGGGCATGGCAGCACGAGCGCAAATCACGAACCCCTGAACCAATGACGTTGGGATGTGATGATGGTAGCAACCTTGAAAGCTTAGGGAGGACTTTGACGTCCCATTGTGCTGTGTTAGTGAGCGATGGTGACGGGTCGGGCCAGGGACAAACAAAGGGAAAGCTATGGTAAAGCTACGGCTACGAGAGCTCGGACAAAGGGCAGCCCAAGTCACTGACATTGTAGCTGAGGTGTTTTTTGTTTCCTCGACCGACTGGGAAGTTCCCCTAGCTAGCCCAAAGGAGACCGAAGAAGCCGTTGAGGGAGAGTGATCATGTCTATTTTGAGTGGAGGCTCTGGGGTGCGTGTTTGGCGAACCAGCCAATGCAGCGGTACGAACAGGTCAGGCACGGCAGTCTGGAACCAGGCTCCCGGGGAAGACAAGGGTGTTGGTCCCACCATGAGGTCGGGCCTCTGGAAGCCGCCATGTTGGGGTGCCGGGTCGTTTTGTGGGCTGATTGGGAGCCCCTGTTTTGCCATGACAGCCCACGTTGTGAGGGTGGCGCCACAACATGCGTTTTTGGTTTGTTCTAGACGCTAGAGTAGCACATGCGCAAGACAAGTGGGAACCTTCTTCACCTGGGACCAAAAAAAAAAAAACATGACGCGCTACCCGCTGTGGAGGAAGCTATTCACAACGTCCCTGGTCCTGGCATTCGCACGACACTTGATAACGCCCACCCTGGCAACGGACCCTCATTTCAATACGCAGACGGGCCGAACAAAATGCCGTGACAGTCCTTGCGTCCGAGAGCCGCAGGGAAAAGTCGACGGGACGAGCTCGGGTCCCGAGGCGAGCTACTCCCGCGCCCAAAGTGCCACGGACTCGCCAAAGAAAACAGAAAGCATCGGTTTGCCAAACATTGCGGGCTGTCGGGCAAGCAGCCACGCGAGGGCGCACGGGAGATTGCACTTCCCGGCGCCCTGGGTGTGGCTGTTCCCCGACAAAGCGGCAGTACAAAGAACCAAGATGAGATGGTGGCTGTGAATCTTGCATTTCCACCAGCCCGGCGTGTGGCGTGTGTTGACAGCTCATCTGCTCAGTTCAGATGAAGTGAACAGAGAGAACGCCCTGAAGCCGGTGTTTGAACTCGGGATGCAGGACAGGCACGGATTAATAGCATTTTATCCACGTCCAGACCTCACTCAATTCCTAAGAAAGGAATAATCGCGGGCGGAATTGGGAACCACACTACTGACGCAACCTTCCTAAGCGCCAGCCCCGCTCCCACACAAATGACCTGCAGGCCCAGCATGCCGAACGTCGGCCGAGAAACTCCCGCCGCGCCATCCTCGGCGTCGCGGGGTCGCAGCGCAGCCAGTTCTGGGACATGGCCCTGCGCGGCTCCCGACTCGCCAGCTCGTCGAGTCCCCTAGCAGCGTCTCCCGCTGAGGGGTAATGCAATGCTGCAGATTCTCCTCCTCTTGGTGAGATGAGCTGCTCAGCGTCGTGAGGGGGGATGAGGAGGGGGTTCGTCTGCTGGTTGGCTAGGCCGGCCTAGGATGCGCAGCTCTCAACGGACAGGCGTCCGCGCCAGGCCAGCAGGGTGCATGATCGGGCCGAGGGGAATGTGTGATGCGCAGGAGTGTGTCTTGTCTGCATGGTATCAACGCTGAACATCTACAGCACAAGACGAGGGGAACTCTACAGATAGGTATCCAGGTAGCTGGCAAACTTCAGGGCGTCAACCGTCGAAATCTCTGTCAGCTAGATCTATATCGACGTGTTCATAACCTTACAGTAAAACTCAAATCCATCACAAACAGTAAAACCTACGCACATGAACATATGTTCCTCGACACGACAGACGCACGACAGGAACCCTTAACAACCAAACCCCTCACGCCTACGTACCACTATGTAATCGAGACGAGTATCCACCCGCTTTGCCCTCCTAAACCCCCTTGGATGCCGACCTGCCCGCCCGCCTGGCTCGGCCGATCCCAGGACGTAGCCGTCGGATCTCAGCTGGCGACTCGGGAATTCGGATTTGCCTGGTTGGCTCCTCTCTCTGCTGCCGTGCTTGCGTCCTGCCTCCTTGTTTCTTCCCTCCTTCTCGACCTCGTGCCGAAACTCACCCTCCTTCTCCTCACTCTCGACACCAACTCCTCCCAACATCCCGTTTTACCAAATCTCTGAGAACCCCCTTTCCCTCCGCCTTCGCCGACGCCGCCGTGATCTCGCATATCACGTCCCGCAAACGTATAAGTAGGTCTCTCTCACCCTCTGCTCTGTCGGCCAGCTTTCCCACGATGTCTCCTTGATTCCTCTGTATCACACTCTTGCCATTGTTATAGATTCTACACCTCTCCTCTCCTCTCTCTCTTCTTATACCCCTTTTCTACTACCATTGAAGCTCTCTCTGGCCCGCCGGAGCCCGATAATTGTATAACTGACACCGATCATTTGGGCTTCCGCTTCTTTCGAAACCGATAGACAAGACATAAACAGACACACATAAAAAAAACCGCGGGGAAACCCCCAGAGAGACTCTTCCAAAATGGTACTATTAGCCTCCTCCTCCCGCTCCTTCACCCGCCCGCTCGGCCCCGTGGCCTCGCGCCTCCGGGGCTTCCACAGCAGCACCAGCGCCGCGCGCCCCTCGCTCTCGGCCGCCGCCCAGACCGCCCTGCGCAGCCAGACCGCCACAGCCCGCGCGCCCCGGCACTTCCTCGGCAGCGCCCTGAGTAAGACGTCGGTCAGGATGCTGACAACCAAACGCGAAAAGGTCAAAGTACTGCTGGTTCTGTACGACGGTGGACAGCATGCTAAGGACGTGAGTCTCTCCCAGTTTTTCCATTGAGCACTGTTTTCGTCCTTTGGTTGTTCGTTCTGGCCTGTTCTCCATTTCGAGTCAGGCCACCTGTTTTTCCCATCATCTGTCCTCACTCGCTGCCAATGCCTCGAACCTCGCCTTGTTTGCGTCCCTCAATGACGCGCTGTTGCCACCCGGACTCGAGACGAGAACTGCAAACAAGCAGTCCAATGTCCAGACTGGGCGGGCGGCAGTGCACATTGTGTGTGGGACCCCTCGCGACTGGTTCGCCCAGCCGAAGCGAGAGGAGGAGGCGAATAGGGGGTTCGTTGGCTGCGGCTCGCGAGAGTGGACGATGGGATGCGGGGTTGCAGGGGATAAATGGCGACATCTCGGAGAGATAGCAAACATGGTGTCACGGCAACGGCAATTGAGCTGGAGCTACTGCGGGGGAGAGGAGTGGAGGGGTGGAGAGGTGGAGCCTCTGGCCCGATGATGCGCTCAAGGGAAGCAGAGGAGAGAGGCTAATCTGATGGTCCGTCTTGCACAGGTGCCCGAGCTTCTCGGAACGACGGAGAACGAGCTTGGAATCCGCAAGTGGCTGGAGGACCAGGGCCACACCCTGGTCACCACCTCGGACAAGGAGGGCGAGAACTCCAAGTTTGACAAGGAGCTCGTCGACGCCGAGGTCATCATCACCACCCCGTACGTGAAAGCGAAGACCCCAGATACAAATACAGGACAAGGACAAGGACAAGGAGCTGACTGCAACACTCACCCACAGCTTCCACCCCGGCTACCTGACAGCCGAGAGGCTCGCCAAGGCCAAGAACCTGAAGCTCGCCATCACGGCCGGCATCGGCTCCGACCATGTGGACCTCAACGCGGCCAACAAGACCAACGGCGGCATCACCGTGGCCGAGGTGACGGGCTCCAACGTGGTGTCGGTGGCCGAGCACGTCGTCATGACCATCCTGGTGCTGGTGCGCAACTTTGTGCCCGCGCACGAGCAGATCCAGGCCGGCGAGTGGGACGTGGCGGCCGCGGCCAAGAACGAGTTCGACCTCGAGGGCAAGGTCGTCGGCACCGTCGCCGTCGGCCGCATCGGCGAGCGCGTGCTGCGCCGCCTCAAGCCCTTTGACTGCAAGGAGCTGCTCTACTACGACTACCAGCCCCTGTCGCCCGAGAAGGAGAAGGAGATTGGGTGCCGCCGCGTCGACAGCCTCGAGGAGATGCTAGGCCAGTGCGACGTCGTCACCATCAACTGTCCGCTGCACGAGAAGACGCGCGGTCTGTTTAACAAGGACCTGATTGCCAAGATGAAGCCCGGTAAGTCTTTTTGTGACTAGGTCTTTTGTGACTATGTCTTTTGTGACTTTGTCTGCCCAGTTCCCAAAAGCTGACCAATCCTCTCCCCCAAGGCTCGTGGCTCGTCAACACCGCCCGTGGCGCCATCGTCGTCAAGGAGGACGTTGCTGCCGCCCTCGAGACCGGCCACCTCCGCGGATACGGCGGCGACGTCTGGTTCCCGCAGCCCGCGCCCGCCGACCACGTCCTGCGCACGGCCAAGAACCAGTACGGCGGCGGCAACGCCATGGTGCCTCACATGTCGGGCACCTCGCTCGACGCCCAGAAGCGCTACGCCGACGGCACCAAGGCCATCCTGCAGAGCTACCTGAGCGGCAAGCACGACTACCGCCCCGAGGACCTCATCGTCCAGGGCGGCGACTACGCCACCAAGGCCTACGGCCAGCGCGACAAGATCAAGGCGTAAGAGAGAGTGAGAATGAGAGAGTGAGAGAACGAAGGTCTATGGGGGTTGTTTCTTTTTTCTCGACGCGAAAGTTTCTCAGAGACGAGACAGCGAGCGAGCGAGCAGATGCAGGCTTAATCGCAATCCTGGCAAGATGCCTTGCTCAGGATACATCGACGTCGAGCCTCGGGACGGGCTGCCAGCTATTGTTGCTGTGTAACTGCCCGAGGAAGATGTGTTGCATATAGCATTGTCACATAGCCGTTATTTTTTTCTTCTCTTGAACTAGTGTTGGTTGGGAATGTGAAAATGAAAATGTTCAAATTTAGCTCCCATTGGATTCAAACACCGTATCGACACGGTGTTTTTGGTGGTTGTGGGGCCGTCAGCACAGTGTGCAGGTTTGGGCCAACTCCACTTCTCACTCGCCACTTTCACGACAGTTTTGGAGGCAATTCACAACTTAATTCTAGCACATTAGCAAAAACTGAAGACGAGCAGACAACAAGGCCTGGTTTCAACCAGATAAGCCAGGCTGCCCCGGCCCCTGAAGCGATGCCGCGGCTCCGCCCATCGCTGCTCCGGGCCGCCCACAGGCTGTCCCCCCACGCGGCGGTGCTGCTGCCCGTGTGCAGGAGCATCCCCTCGGCTCTGAGCGAGCTGCGCTGGATCCGCGAGCACGCCGACACCCTGCCGCAGCGCCTACTGCCCCGCGGGGAGCACAGGCGGTGGTGGGGGGCTTATGGGGACCGCCGCGAGGAGCTGACGGCCCGCCTGTGCCGCCGCCGCGGGCGTGGCGAGCCCCTGCAGTACATCCTGGGGACCCAGCCGTTTGGCGAGCTGGAGATCAAGTGCCGGCCGGGGGTGCTGATTCCGAGGTGAGCGAGTGACATGTGGGGAGTGTGGTGTTTTGAGTAAAAGAGAGCATATCTCGCAAGTGATGGGGGAAAAAAAAATCGAAAAAAAAAAATCACATGTACACTTCCCTATACTGAGCGCCCTCAACTATAAAACCCCAGACCCGAGACAGAGGCCTACACCGTCCACCTAGCCGACCTGATCCGAGGTCGCCGGTTGCACGCCCTGTCCTCCCACCCCGCCCTCCAGCCCGCAGCCCCAGCAACCGCCAACTCTGCCTGCACCCGCCACCCCCTCCGCATCCTCGACCTCTGCACCGGCACGGGCTGCATCCCACTTCTCCTCCTCTCGCGCCTGGGCCGGTCGCTGGGGATAGACGTCGAGGCGCGCGGCCTGGACGTGTCGGCGTCTGCCGTCCTCCTCGCGCGCGACAACGCCGCCCACAATCGCAGATACCTCCTTCCCCCCACCCTTCTTCCTCTCCCAACAGGAGCAGACGGCGGCGGGGAGGAGTCAGCATCCCCAACCTTTGCACTTGCCGACGTCTTCTGGCACGACTTCACCCTCGCGCGCTCCCTCCTCGCCCACCCAGGCGGCGGCGGCGGCGGCTGGGACGTGGTGACGTGCAACCCGCCCTACGTGTCCGAGGCCGGCTTCGCGCGCGAGACAGCCCGCAGCGTGCGCGACTTTGAGCCCAAGGCCGCCAACGTGCCTCTGTCGCCGTACCGCCATCGTCAACGAGACGACAACGACGCCAACCGCCGCCGCCGCCCCGAGGACGTCTTCTACCCGCGCGTCCTGTACGTCGCGGCCGCGCTAGCCCGCGCCCGCGTCGTGCTGCTCGAGGTCGGCGACCTGGCGCAGGCCCGCCGCGTCGCGGGGGCTGCGCTGCGGCTGCTGCGCGGGGAGAGGTTCTGGCGGCGGCGGCGCGCCGGCGACGACGACGACGACGATCCGGGGCTGGTGGGCGAGGGTGTGGCGGCGGTCGACGTCGAGATCTGGCGGGACTGGCCCGACGCGTCGACGCCGGCCGGTGCGGAAGAGGTCGACCACGTCGTCGTGGACGGGGTCCGCGTCCCTGTCAGGGGCAGCGGGCACGGCAGGGCGGTGCTGGTGCAGCTTGACTACGAGCCGCGAGACTAGAGGGGGGGAGTGTTGGATATGCAAGTAGCGGCTTGGGAACGTTGGTCGTCAATTGCGTAAAAAAAACACGCGCTTTGCACTAGCCCCGATGCCTGATATACAATGTTTTCCTTCTTTGTTCGTCTATCTTATATATAATTACAGCACAAAGTTGACGAGCTTCCCGCCCCGGACGACGTACGCCTTGGCCGCGTCCATCGGTCGCCCCGCCAGCTTCTCCCTGGCCTCGGCGCTCGCCAGGACCTGCCCCACGATCCAACCGTCGAGCTCCGCCTTGCCGAGGTGCGCCGGCGGCTGCGGGATCCTGGCCACCACGACGAGCTTGCCGTTGACCTGGACGGCGCAGTTCTGCCGACTCGGCTGCAGGCCCGCGAGGCTGCCGTCCGCCTCGGGGAAGCGCACGCCGCCGTCGAAGACGGAGCCCGAGCCGCCGCGCAGGATGGCCCAGCACTCCTCGGCGAACGCCGGCGCGATGGGCGCCAGCATGCGGAGCAGTGAGGACAGAGCGGCGGCCGTAACGAGCCCGCTCGCCGCGTCCCTGTGCGCCAGGACCGTGTTCGTCAGGCCCATCAGGTCCGAGACAACCGTGTTGAGCGAGTAGACCTTTTCGTACGACGCCGTCACCGACGGTATCGTCTCCTGCACGTGGCGCCATATCGCCACGTCGGCGTCCCGCCTGGCCTCCGTGTCGGCGCCGGACCGGCTCTCTAGGTAGGCCTTGGGTGAAACGTCAGCGCTGCTGCCGCTCCCGACGGCACCGGCCGCGCGGACGACGGCTTCGTGCAGCCGGCTGAGCCACCTGGTAACTCCTGAGATCTTGTCCTCGTCCCAGTTGAGCACGTCGCCCACAGGCGCCTGGAAGAGCATGTGCGCCCGCGTTGCGTCGGCGCCGTACTTTGATATAAACTCGGTGGGGTCCACGCCGTTGTACTTGGACTTGGACATCTTCTCAAACGAGATTGTGGCTGGCTCGCCCGTGGCCGCGACCTTTGGGCGGCTGGGGTCTGACATGTCGACCTCGTCAGGCTTGAGGAAGCGACCGGTGGCCGGGTCACTGAGGGTCTTGCCGTGTACCATACCCTGGGTGATTAGCCGTTTAAAGGGCTCGTGGATTACAGGGCTGGTCTCGTATATTTCCCCGTCTTCTTCGGCCACAGCTGCGGCGACTGACGACGGGCCCGGGCCGTGAAGAAGGGTCGAAGACATGAGAAACTTGTAGATGAAACGGGTGTAGAGCAGGTGCAAGATGGCGTGCTCGACGCCCCCGATGTACAGGTCGACAGGGAGCAGCTGGGCGGCCTTTTCAGCCGAGAAAGGCGCATCGCGGTTCTTGGGGTCGGCATAGCGCATATAGTACCAGCTCGAGTCGACAAACGTGTCCATCGTGTCCGTGTCGCGCTTCGCGGGGCCGCCGCAGCTGGGGCACTTGGTGCGGACCCAATCTTCGGCCGTCTCGAGCGGGTTGCCAGCCTTGCGTTCCGCCCAGTGGCCGTCGACGCGCGGCAGCTCAACCGGCAGCTGGTCGTCCGGCACAGGCACCTCGCCGCAGCTTCCGCAGTGCACTATGGGGATGGGTGCGCCCCAGTAGCGCTGCCGGCTGACGAGCCAGTCGCGCAGGCGCCACTTGGCCTCGGGGCGCGCCAGATCGGCCTCCTCGAGTATCTTAATCAGCATCATTCCAACCTCTGGCGATGGCCTGCCTTCATATGGTCCGCCGTGTGCCGTTATGACTCCGTGGTCGAGGAAGGGCTCGTCGGTGCCGTCCTCGGTAGGCATTGTGACAGAGGTTGTGGCTCCATCATAGGCCGGTGCCAGGACCATGCGGACCGGCTCGTCGTTGCGGTGATGACGCCAGAAGGCGTGATCACGTGTGTCGTGTCCCGGCACGCCCATGACTGCACCCTCGCCGTAATCACCCAGCACGTACGGAGCGACGTAGACGGGCAGAGACACCTTGGTGGCGTCGGGCGACTCCTCGTTATACGCGAGCGGGTTGATTGCCCGGACGTTGGGGAGCTGGTATCCTACCTTGGAATCAGGGGGCAGTCCAGGCAGCACGTCCAGGAACGCCCGGAGGTCCGGGTCCCGACGGGCCAAGCCGACGACCAGCGGGTGCTCGGCAGCGAGGGCAAGATACTGGACGCCGAATAAGGTGTCTGGACGAGTGGTGAAGACGTCGATGCTGTTGTGAACGTGCCCGTGGGCGATGATGGGGAACTTGACCAGGGCGCCTTGGGAACGGCCGATCCAGTGGCGCTGCTGAGCCAGTACCCGCTCGGGCCAGGCATCGTCCATAGCCAGGGCCGTGAGGTCTTTCAGCAGCGGCTCGCGGAACTCGGAGATGCGCAGAAACCACTGCTTGAGCCGGCGTTTCTCGACCAAAGCGCCAGACCGCCACGAGCGGCCGTTGGCGTCGACCTGCTCGTTGGCAAGGACTGTTTTGTCCACGGGGTCATAGTTGACCTCGGCCTCGGCTCGATAGGCAAGCCCGGCTTCATGGAGGAGGAGGAAAATCTTCTGGGTATGCTTATAGAACTCAGGATCGCATGTCGAAATCTCCTGAACAGTACACATCACGTGTCCACGGGTCAGTCTGGCATCCGTAGGGCAAGCATGCAACGATTTGCTCTGGGGCTGGGGCTACCAACCCGAGACCAGTCCCACGACCCGTTCATGACCTCCAGCTGCCCTTTCATCTTCGCAATGTTCTCCTTGGTCCAGACGGCCGGGTCGATGCCCCTCTCGATCGCGGCGTTCTCGGCCGGCAGGCCAAAGGCATCCCAACCCATGGGAAGGACCACGTCCCGTCCTCGCATGCGATGGAAGCGAGCCACGACATCCGCGATGGTGTATACGCGCAAATGCCCGAGGTGGAGAGAGCCCGAGGGATACGGGAACATGGGCACGATGTAGGACGAGTTCCCGCCATCAGGAGCGGCCCCAGAGCCGGCAGCCGACGTCGAACTGGCGGCAGACCACCGCTGGCGCCATTTGCGGTCGAGAGCAGGCAGGTCCAGCCTGATTCCCGGGGTCGAGGTGCTATAGGGGGTGCAGCCTCGGCGGGCAGCCGTGGCCGGGGCCGCTGGGGCGCGGCGGAGCAGCGCATGGCTGGAGCAGCTGAGCGGCCTCAGGCGACCGAGCAGTCTTGCGCTAGTCGAGTACATCTCGGCAGCATTATGCCCCTAACTCCAGGCGCAGCATCAATGCAGTGTGGGAGCTTGATCTGTCTACTCTGGATAGCACAATAAGGCGAGCGCGATGTGGGGTTACGGCATCTCGAGTCGATGGGTTTTTTTGTTGCCAAGATTTTGCCTGATGTTTTCCAGGTCCCCGCAACGCCTGAATGTCTGGCGATGTCGAGCGCCGTGTGCCTCAGCCACACTAGCCAGGTGCACTACCCAGGGATCTGGGGAACTGTGGATCTCAGTGCAGCCAAGCCCACGCTGCCACCGTCCGGGAGATATTTAAGGCTGGAGCCGGCCCTTGGCGTGGTCCTCGATGCGGGCAATTATCATGCTTTCTGTTCTTTTTTTTTTTTTTTTTTTTGGAAGCCCTGCAGTCCAACACTTTATTATTTATGTCTCATATTTGGCCGTCAGCAGGACAGCTGCGCCGTAGATCCTCTGTGTCACGTCTTGGTGCGGACAAGACACCTCTTTGGGGAGAAACTTCGGCACGGGCCTGACGTGATGGGTTCCGTTGCAACTCGACGTGCCCTCTGGTTGTCAAAGCGGCCATCGCAGGCTCCATGTCGTGTCAAGCCGCTATCGCTGCCTGAATTTGAGGGATTGACGCCGCCACGGAGACGTAGTGGGGTCTATCGCATCGTGGCGGCTCTGCTATTTGGCCCCCCAGCATGGCTCAGGCTCAACCCCAGAAAACGGCAGGGAAAAAAAGACGGTAACAGGGATTGGACAGGACTGACCTCGAGCCGAAACCAAACAGCGGCGGTTTCCCCTTCTCCGCTCTGCTCCATCTCAATCGTTTCGTCGGCTGCGGAAAACAATCTGGATACTTGCCATTCCTTTTTCTTTGTTGCATGTCTTAGCTTCTCGGCGGCACTCTGTACAGTAGCGCCTGGCGTCTTGTCGCATTGTCCGAAATCCCCTTTGGCGATCACTGCTGCTGCCCTCCTCGATCCGGCGCGCCAGGGACCGTCGCCGAAACGAAGGCCAGCCAAGTCAGTCCTCGCCAGACAAGCCCGCGCCCGAGGTCTCGCAGACCGCCCTTGTTGCAGCTTCTGGATCGCTGCAGTTGGATACAGACTTTGTATATACCCTTGAAGCATCAGGAGTCTACATCTCTAAGCCGCCTGTTACACAAACACCACAAGGAGAACGCCCCTGAACCGAACCGAACCGACGACCCCCCCGATTCCCGGAGCCAGGCGCGGCTCCCCCCTCCTTCCTTTCAGTCCGATGCCGCATCTATATTCCAGAGCACAGGGGCACGCCCGCGATTCCCTGGAGCTCGCGTCGCTGGCGAGCTCCAGCCAGGAGGACACGGCAGAAGAGACCGACTCGCGCCCTAGCATATCTTCGTCCCGCAAGGCCTCGCTCGAGCGCGACGACCCCCTCGACTCGCACAACCCCGCCGCTGCCGCCTCGTCGTACGGACGCACGAACCGCCACGACCGCTCCTTCTCCGTCTCATCGGGCTTCGACCTCGCCGCAAACCTCTTCCCGCTCTCCTCCACCACCGGCTCCGGCTATGCCCCGTTGGGCGCCTCCACCGCCCCTGGCCAGCCTGGCGGCGGCGGCCTGGGCGGCGGCTCGCTCGAGAAACACAAGACGCTCACATACCTCAACGGCCTCTCGCTGATCGTTGGTCTGATCATCGGCTCCGGAATCTTTTCGTCGCCTAGCCAGGTCAACGTCAACGTCGGGTCGCCGGGCGCGTCCGTAATTGTCTGGGTCATCGCCGGCGTGCTGGCATGGACCGGCGCAGCGAGCTATGCCGAGCTAGGCGGCGCCATCCCGCTCAACGGCGGGTCGCAGGTCTACCTAGCCAAGATCATGGGCGAGCTGTCTGGCTTTCTCTTCTCATGGGTCGCCGTGCTGGTGCTCAAGCCTGGCAGCGCGGCCATCATCGCTATCATCATGGGCGAGTACTTGGTGCGCGCCTTCATCGGCGCCGAGGCCGAGACTATAAACCCCTGGGTCGGCAAGTCAGTCGCGCTAGTTGGCCTGGCCCTTGTCACGTTCCTGAACTGCGTCTCGACCCGGCTGGGTACACGGCTGAACGATGCGCTCATGTTCCTAAAGTTTATTGCCTTGATCGGCGTTACGGTCACGGGCATCGTTGTTGCCGTCACGGGCTTCACGTACTCGGGCGAAGCCAACCAGGACTGGAAGCAGCATCCATGGTTTGAGGGCACCAAGACGGATACGGCCGGCTGGGCCGTTGCTCTGTACGCTGGTCTGTGGGCATATGATGGCTGGGACAACGTAAGTCGCTTGTCCACTCCTGTCCCCCGCTCGCGGCCGCGAGGTACTTCCCCAGTGCATACATCCCATGCTAACCCACCCTTCCGATCCTCCCAGACAAACTATGTGGTCGGGGAGTTCAAGAACCCAACCAAGGACCTGCCCCGCGTGATCCACACGGCGATGCCGATGGTCATCATTTGCTATGTCCTTGCAAACGTATCATACTTCTTTGTTCTGCCGCTCGCCACCATCAACTCGAGCAACACGGTGGCGGTAATGTTCGGCGCCAAGGTGTTCGGTCCCATTGGCTCACTCGTCCTGGCCCTCATCGTCAGCGCATCGTGCTTTGGCGCGCTCAACAGCTCCACCTTCACCAGCAGTCGTCTAGTCTACGTCGCGGGTCGAGAGGGCTACTTCCCTGCGTTCCTTGGCAGGATCGGGGTAGGGAGTGGCGGCGAGCACGGGGCCATGTCGACGCGGGCGCAGAGCTCCTTCGCGAAAAGACTAGCCCGCCTGTTTGGTGACGAGGACACGGGCCTCTTCTACACGCCCGTGTGGGCACTGACGGTGAACGCGATACTGACGGCCGCCTACGTGGCCGTGGGCGAGTTCGGGACCCTCGTCACCTTTTACGGTGTCGCGGGCTACACCTTCTACTTCCTGACCGTGCTGGGCCTGATCATCCTGCGGGTCAAGGAGCCGGAGCTGGAGCGGCCGTACAAGACGTGGATCACGACCCCCGTCATCTTTTGCTGCGTCAGCCTGTTTCTCCTTAGCCGCGCCGTCTTTGCGCAGCCGCTCCAGACCCTCATCGTCATCGCCTTCGTCGTGGCCGGCATACCGGTGTACTTTTGGCGCGTTAGGGGCAGGGGCAAGGCCGTGAAGCGGGAGCTCGGCAGCGTGGGCGAAGGCGCTGGCGCGCCGTGGTGGAAGTTTTGGAAACGGTGGTCCAGGTGATGACACCGCGGTTAGAATGGGAGGCGATGCTGAGCGAAGCCCTCGCACGATATCACAAGAGAAGAGCGGTCGGGCCCATGATGGGTCCGACCATTAGACATTTCGGGCTAACCAGCAGCTTGAGCCTAGCTGCTAGCGCCGCTGTGTATATTTGTACTAATACTGTCCTCACTGGTCTGGGTTCGGCTCTGCCGCCAGTTTCGGGAACTGGTGCGTGCTGCGGATGGCCCAATGGGCCATGGACGATGCCTATTGACGAGCAATGGCATACATCCTTTGCTCGATGAAATGATTTAAGGTTGGGGATAGGTAGACAGGTATATAATGTCGAAAGGATAGAGGTTTTGGGTTGTGAGAGAGCAGGCGGTTGCTCACAGGGAGCCAGTATAACCTGTCACGTGGGAGACAAAAAAAAAATACGTCATCAATCAGCGAGGGTCTTGGCCTGATGCAATTTGAACGCTCCTGAGCCTGCCAAAAGGGTCCGAACAACGCACTGAGCCCTAATGTTTTCGATCAGGGGTTTATCGCGAGCTTCCACACAGGCCGCCCGCCGTGTCACGAAGGTGGCTTGTGTCCCAGAGGCGGCCGCAATTGCAAATACAAGCCGACGCCGCACCCTGTCCTCAACAGCGGCGCCTCCGCCGTTCCCGACGGTCGACCAATGCCCGTCGCCGACGTGCCCCTGCGCCGCGACGCCCGAGCTACCCGACGGGCTAGAAATTGACCACACGTCGCCCCTTAACGGCGTCATGACGGCCTACCACCAGCACGTCCTGGTCTGCACTGGCCGCGACGACTGGCCGTCCCGAATCGAGGAGGACCACAGCGGCGACAACCTGGCCGCCGACCTGCGCGAGCTGTTTGGCCGCGGGGGGCGGTATAGCGACGTGAGTGTTTCTTGTCCATGAGGACAGCGAGAAGTGGACGGCGCGGGGATGGTCATTTTTAGATGCCATCCCTGCTCTCTCATCACCCTTGTAACGACACGCATTACTGCGGTTCCAATGCTGACGGTAAGTCCTGCCTATCATGTGAACCATCCACCATGCAACGCAAAACGCAAACCCCAAAAGCACAGCCGTACCACAACATCTCGGTCCTAAACTCGTCCTTCCCGTCCTCGCCGCTGCCGGGCCGGGCCGACGTGGAGTCGACGTCGGCCTACCTGCTCCCGAGCTTCAAGCACGTACCGTTCCTGCCGCGCGTCTCGTTCGACCACGTCGACGCTCTGGCCCGCGCCTACCTGCTGCCCGAGCGCCTGCACCCGGCCCACGACGCCGAGTCGCCCGTCCACCGCGACCGCCTCGTGCGCCAGCCCGCGTACCGCACCGCCCTGCGGGGGGTGGCCGACGTGCGGGACGTGCTCGTGCTCGCGTGCGGACACGGCGGCCGCGACGCGCGCTGCGGCATCTACGGACCCGTCCTGCGCGCTGAGTTTGAGCGTGCGCTGCCGCGCCTCGGCGTTCGGGTGCTGCACGGGCCGGTCCGCTTGCCCGAGGCGGACGACGGTGGCGGTAGTGATGGTGCTGAAAAGGAGCTGCCGGCTGCTGGGGATGCTGAAAGGGGAGATGTGCACTGCACGGCGAGGGTCGGGCTCATAAGCCACATTGGCGGCCACAAGTTCGCCGGGAACGTGATTGTGTACCTGCCGCCGGGCCTGCGGGACTACCGGGGCGAGCCTCACGCGCTCGCCGGCCATGGGATCTGGTACGGGAGGGTCGAGCCGCGGCATGTGGAGGGGATCATCAGCGAAACGATCAGGAAGGGGGTCGTCATCAAGGAGCTTTTCAGGGGCGGCATCACCCGAGACAGCAAGATCTTGAGGCTTTAAAATGTTGGGCGCTTGGACTATAGCACGAAAAGCTTAGTATAATACCACTAGCCGTAGGTACTCGTTTACGCCTGAAAGGTGTATGTGTTTGGGGGAAGGCTGGCCGTGGGAGACTGGCTTATACGAGGTGGTTGCAGGGTTAGGGTTGGTGTTGATAAGATAGCCTTCAAAACTACTTGGAGTCCGCAACCTGCATCCATTCCCACTTTCTTGGACGATGGCATTCATTAATGCATGAGTAGAATCCGGCCCTTAAATATGAAAACAAAACACAGCACATAATGAGTCGAACAATGGCCTCGAAACTGCGCTTGGGGAGGGCCATCACACAAGGGACGACCTTCTCATTCGCCAACCCACCATGTCTCCCTCACAGGACCCGGGCGCTATCTTCCACCCCCTGCCTCTCATCCCGGGGGCCCAAGCCCACGCCCACCGCACCACCGCCTGCGCCAGCAGGGCCAGGAGTTGAATCCCCGCCGCGGCCCGCCGAGGGGAAGCCCTTCCCGCCCGCGTGGCTGCGCAACACCCTGATCGCCGCGGCCGTCGGCGGCACGCTCTGGGGCTTCTACGCGTGGGGCCAGTCGCGCAGCGGCGACCTACCCCTGGCGCAGTACCTGCTCACGGGGCGGGAGCTCAACGACACGACCTTTGTGCCCTTCACCATTGTGTCGCGCGAGCCCGTGACGGCCGACACGTCCGTGCTGACGCTCCGCCCGCGCCACCGCACGCTGGGCGCGCGGTCGTCGGCCGCCAGCCGCTTCCACGCCCGCCGCCTTGACTGGCTCTCGGACTGGTCGCCCTGGATCTGGCTCACGGGCGCGCGCGAGCACTCCAACGAGGCCGTCTACGCCCGCGCCTGGGCCCACGGCCTCTGGGCCGTCGAGGTCAAGCAGCCGCAGCTGCAGATTGTGCGCGAGTACACGCCGCTGCCGCCGCCGCCCCCAGTTGAGGGTGGTGAGGAGGAGGAGGACCCGTGGGAGGTGAGCCGCCGCAGCGGCGACCTGCGCATCCTGGTCCGCGCCGTCGACGGCGGCGAGGTGTCGAGCTACCTGGCCCGCCTACGGCTAGGCGCCGTCGTCGAGCTACGCGGGCCTCACCTCGGGCTCGACGTCAAGAGGCGGCTCGGTAGCGGCGGCGGAACGGAGAGGGAAAAGGAGAGGCGCGTGGTGTTCCTGGCCGGGGGCACGGGCATCTCACCGGCGCTGCAGGTCGCGCACGCGCTGCTCGACGGCGACGACGACAACGACGCCAACAGCAAACCCTCCGTCTCGATCCTGTGGGCGAACCGCGAGCGCCGGAGCCTGGCACCGTCGTCGCCCGTCGTGCGCCAGCTGGACGGCATGGCGAGGCGCCACGGCGGCCGCCTCGCCCTGCAGACGTTTGTGGACGAGGACAAGACCTTCATCGACGGGAAGCTCGTCGCCGCCGCCGTGCTCCCTGCAAAGAGCACCGCTGCTGCTGCTGCTGCTAGTGCTCCGGCGGCGCCGCCCGACGGCGCCTGCCCATACCACTCCGAGGCGCTGCTGCAGCGCACAGCGACCGACCCGCCCGCCAACGAGGGCGGTGCGTGCCGCTGCGGACCCGGGGCGTCCGCGGGCGCGGGCAAGGACCTGGTCTTCGTGTCGGGACCGGACGGGTTCGTCAACAAGTTCGCGGGCGCCAAGGTCTGGAGGGACAAGCTAGAGCTGCAGGGCCCCGTCGGCGGCCTGCTGGGCGAGCTGAAGAAGAAGAACGCCGAAAGGCTGCGCAACTGGCTCGTCTTGAAGCTGTAGGGGAGATCCCGCTGTATATAACTGTATAATCAAGTAAAAAAAAAAATCCAAAAAAAAAAAATCCTGCATATCCAGCCATAGGCCCATCACGCTTTCATCAATGCGCCGGCGATCCTCCGTCAAGGAACAATTTATATGCCATAAACCATTAACATCATCACCATGACGAAAACACAAGGAACACGCCTTTCGTTGATTCAGGACGCGTTATATCCGATAACCAACCTCCTATGAACCAAAATTCTGGAATGGTAGTCACGGCATTGCCCCAATGAGTATTCTTACGATACCATAGGTGAAATTGAGAAGTAAAAATGAATAAACAGACAAAAAAAGAAGGAAAACGCCATACTGATGCGGCCGACAACATACAAACAAGGCTAAACAGCACAGCGCGCTTGTTCAACAAAGGGAATACAACCCAAAAAGCCACCCCTTAAATCCGTCTAACCCTGAACCTTTCTATACGATGGTGGTTTCAGCGCCCGCAGCACCACTTTGACCACGTAGGGCGGGATCAGCGAGATGCTACCTATGGCGAGGACTTTCCACAAGAATTCCCTAAGAGTAGCAAGATTGTTAGTAAGCGCATGGAAAATCAACATGTCCATCATCTAAGAGGAAGCTCACCAAGAAGCCACAAAATGAAGGTCAAAGTACTCCCCCAGAAAGGGAACCGAGCCGGCGTAGATCAAAAAGGTGCCGATGATGGAGACTATCATGACGATGTGCCAGGTCGTGATCTCGATGGCGACCATGATCAGCTCGTTGAGGACGAGGACGGTGAAGCTGACGGCCACCATGCGCGTGTCGAACTTGTTGCCCGTTAGGATCTGCGACAGGCCCTGGATGATGCCGCCCTGGTAGACCGAGACCAGGACCCAAACGAAAAAGGTGCGGTACGACAGCGACCGGCCCGACGTCAGCTCCTTGTACAGCTCCGGGTACAGGTTGGCCAGCTCCTCATCCACGTCCTTGTCGAGCACGAGCGAGAGCACGGGCATCATGGTGTAACACGTGGCGTAGCCCACCAGCAGCCAGTCCTTGTACAGGCCCTCGGGCTCGAACTCGAGCGCGATGCTGTACATGGTCTGGCACACGGCGATGATGAGGCCGCGGTGGATGACGAACTGGGCCAGCTTGGCGCTGCGCTTGTAGCTGTTGCGGCCGTGCCACACGAGCAGCTTGGTGAGGTGGTGGAAGTGCTCGATGGAGAAGTCGGCCGCCAGGCTGGCCTGCCGGCCCTCCTTGCCCACGATGCCCACGCCCACGTCGGCCGCCTGGATCATGGACACGTCGTTGCCGCCGTCGCCGATGCAGCACACGCGCTTGCGCGTGAACTCCTTGATCAGCCGCGCCACCTCGGCCTTTTGCGTCGGTGAGCAGCGGCACGCCACCACCGTCGGCAGCGCCACCGCCACCGACACGAAATCGAGCCGGTGCTTGGTGCCCAGCAGGAGCGCCAGGCTCTCGCCGTCGATGAGCAAGCACGCGTCCGTCTTGCCGCGCAGGAAGTCGAGGTGCTCCCGCGCCGCCGCGTCGGACCGCTCGAGCTTGGCCACCGTGTGGATGTACTGGCCGCGCGCCACGAGCTTGGAGCTGACCGCCACGCAGCGCGCCGTCTCCACCTTGTCGCCCGTCAGCATCCAAATCTTGATGCCCGCGTTGCGCAGCAGCTCCAGCGACGGCTTGACGTCGCGCTGCAGCTTGTCCTCGACCCCCGTCACGCCCAGCAGCTCCAGGTCGCGCTCCAGGTGCTGCGACACCACCTGTCGCATTCCCGCGTCGCGTCCGTTGATGGCCAACGACGCCTCCTGGAACCGGGCCGCGAACTCGCGGTACTGCTCCGACGAGAGTCGCTTGCGGCCCACCACCAGCGTCCGGAGGCCCTCGCGCGCCATGTTGGCCGTCTCCTCATCAAGCCAGTCGTTTGCTGCCACGATGGACGTCATGACCGTGTCCGCCCCCTTCTGGTAGAACCAGATCTCGCCGCTCCCGATTTCAGGCAGGCCGTTCCGGGGCCGCTCGTAAAACTGAACGATGACGCCCATTCTCTTGCCCTCGGACGTGAACGGGAAGATGTCTAGCACGCGCACTTGCACCACGGTTTTGCCCGTGTCAGACGAGCTCAGAACCATGGTTTTTCGGTCGCGGTACGTCAGTCGAAGGCCAACCTCTTCAGTCCAGCGCACAATAGCGATCTCGTCGGGAGACGATGCCTGGTAGGATGTGACCGTCTTGCCGTCCTCCTCGTCCGTCGTCGGCGTTACGTTGTGGCAGAGGGCCAACGCAAGTACCACATCCCGCACACGCGCACCAATCTCGCGGCGAGTGCGCGTGGTGCCGCTGGCACCAGCCGTCGAAAAGGTGGACGAGGGTGTGACGAGCGATGAACTGGTCGTGCTGAATGCCTGCTTGATGTACGCAGTCACTTCGTCCATGGCCTCGTTGGCATACGATACGGTGCCGACGTGTATCTTCTTCATCTCCATCTCGTTCTGTGTGAGGGTACCCGTCTTGTCGCTGAGGAGGTACTCGATCCGCCCCAGGTCTTCGGGGATGGTGCTCGTCCGGACCACGGCGCCGGGCATGCCTGGATCCCGCTGGATGAACCAAGAATAGACGCTCTTGCCCATATCCAGGTTGACGCGTAGGCTGATAGGCACGATGGTGGAGAAAAGAACCAGAAAGCGCATGATCTTGACATACCACATGCTCGTCTTACCAAAGCCCTCCAGGGCAACGAGGATGACGGAGAGCGCCAAAGTTAGCGCACAAAGGATCTTGGTCAAGGAGTTAATCTCGTACTCTAGCAGGCCCGTCTTGGACCTGGAAGGGGAGGTCGAAAGGGCGGATCGGGTCTGGGGTCCGGTATATATGATGACGGCCAGAGTGGTGGCGCTTGATGCGATCACGGTGTTTGCCCAAGCAGTGTTGTCAATGCTCAGGGGGGCGACATTGGCCAAATCGCCGCCAGGCAGGGTGGCGTTGTGGTTCATGGCGTCCTGCCGAGTGGGAAGCAGCTCAAGCGTGCCCACAAAGTCGTTGACCTTCTTGTCCGGCTCCCCGCCCGTCACCCTCAGTCGGACAAGCTCCGAGGTTGCCAAGTTCTGCGACAGAGGAGACGCGATCCGTAGCTTCCAGTCCGTCTCACCGTCGAGCTGGTCGGTTCTAATGAAAGTTTCGCCGCCGGATCCACCTTGCCCGACATCGTCCTCAGATTCAGGCTCGGCATTCGCACTGGCCGAGCTCCCTTCGCCAGAGCTCTCGTCGAGCGACAGCAGCTCAGGCTCGGCAGCCTTCTTTGGCGCCGGCTCGGGAGCAGTGGGTTCCGAAGATATGCACTTCAGAATCACCACATCCGCCGGGACTCTTTGGCCCTTGGTTAACACTAGCACGTCACCCACACGCAGGTCCCTGGAAGGCTTAGTCACTTCCCTGACTTCGGAAGACGGTCCCTTATGGGTCCCCTCTCCCTCGATCTGCTCCTCCTCTTCCTGTATATCAGAGAGCCTGTCCATGCGGGCCTGGCGCGGGGCCGCCTGCCTGCGGGATGCGGTAGACTTGAGCTTCCTTCGGGTCCTCGGGTGCGAAGACGACGCACCAGGCTCGTCAAACTGGACAACGCTGTAAGGCTCTGAGTTGGCCTCATTATCCCTGCGGCGCCGGCCAATGTCGTCGTGTGCCTCCTTCCCCAGCGTGATCATGAGCACAAAAGCCAAAGGCGCGATATAGGTCGAGATGTAGCCTATTCTTAGCGCGGGAATGGCTTGGGAGAGGGCGACGAGCAAGAAGTACATGTTGAAGAAGAAGGAGAACTCGTTGTACAGTGTCACGGGCAGGAAGGACCAGGGCGTGTACTTGGCGTTGGAGATGACGTTTGGCGGGAAGCGCGTGGCCTGTGACGAGCCAACAGCAACGAGCCGGGAGCCCGAAGGGTCTTGGTCCTCCTGCGCGACCTGGTCGTCCTCGGCCAGGAGCTCTGCCTCGGCCTGGTTTGAGCCCCTAGACCTAGATATGAAGCTCGGCAGGCGTAGGCCGCCCGCGAGGCTCTGGAGCCGTCTGTGTGCCGAGCCTCGGCGCCGACCGTCCCCATTCTCGGGCAGAAGCGGCGCATCGTCATCGACGGCCGACCTGTCGGCGTCATCCTCGAACCGCGATGACGCCGCCCGGTTGCCCCCGCCACGGTCATCGCGTTCAGCAGGGGTTAGCAGGGAGGCCTCGGCGTCGGCGCTCCCGTCCCTCCTATGACCCAGCTCGCCATAGCTTCTGGATCGATCGCCGCGGCGCAGGCTCCCCATGCGGAGGTTGCGCAGCGGTATCCTCGCGGTCCGCTGCTCGGTCCGTGGCGCAGGGGCGGGCTCGCGTGCGGGTCGGGGCGACGTGGTCTGGGGATCGAGCTCCTGCAGGTCGAGCTCGAGATCGGAATCAGAGTCGTCGGCCGGGGAGTCGGGCGGCTTCGCTGGGTGGTACGAGGTGGGCGGAGGAGGCATGCCGCATCGAGGTCCTGGGCGTTTGGATGCTGGTGCTGTGCTTTATTTGCGTGGCCTCTCCCGGCCGTCGTGGGTTTCTGGTTTAGGTTTTCCGCTAGCGTAGGGTCGGTCGGGGAGGACAAGCTTGCAGCTGATCTATGCGATCATCGTTTGGCGCGTGACGGGGCTTGCGGACGACGGCGCGGGTTGGGGAAGCGTGTATGTGGAGTTTGGGGCAGTATTCGGTTGAAGCTCGAGTGTTGGGCAGGCAAAGCTCGTGGGGCTGTGATCTGGCTATGACGACCCAGCTGGGATGGAAGGCTACAATGGTATCGACAAAATCAACGACAAACAAAAAGGGGACCAAGCATGTACCAAGCAAGGACCTCGGCTAGGTTTTGTCAAAATCAATCATTTCAAGCGTCGCAATGTCTCGTGCCCTCAACCCTCAACTCTTGGAGGCCACGCGGCACAGATCCTCACAAGAAAATGCCCCAGGCTGCACTGCAGAAGCACAAGATACAATCCCAGCGTCCCAGTCAAATGCCCCAGTTCAGCCTGGCCGCCAGCCCTTTGTTAGTCAGGCGCGGGCAACGGAGCTGGGTCGCACATGCCTTCCTTTCCAAGACATGGAAGAACTCATTCGAGACGGCAGGGCGGGTCCTCTCCGACGGTGCCGGCGCTGGTGCGAGCCATCGTCAATGTCCCTTTTGTTAGTGAGCTACCGCGATCTGGCCCCGCTGGCCTGGCCCTCAGAGTACCCTGGCATCAGCAACCACCATACCCCTGCTGCGACCAACCAGCGCGGCCAATCGCAGCTGAGGCCAGCTTTTCTTTTCCAATGTTCCAATGACAGCGACAACGCCACCATCCGGAAGCTGTTCCATGTGCCAAAGGCCTCTCGACCAGCCCGTCCCGTCCAATTCGTCTTTGCAAGCGTTTTGAACAACCGTTGTACACTACTACTTACAGATTTGACCATGATGCACTTGCGCTTTTAATCATCCCCTCGGTCTCCAGCTTCTCCTGTACATGTGAGTTCCCGATTGGCGCGTGCGCCTGCCGTCGACGCGCTGCTTCAGATGATTGCTGTACCTAACTGGATCCCTCCATGATGCCACACGACCATGATTTCGCTAACGAGCTAATTTCCCAGCTTTGTTCTAGAGCCCTTCTCTTCCTCGCCTCTTCACTTTTCAGTGCTGCGTTTCAATCTTGCTCCAACGTGGCTACACCTCGCCTCCCCGACCCAACGAGAGCGTGCTGCAGTGGTGGGTGACTCGGCATCGCGATGCCGCAAGAGGCAAATTCTACATGGCACCCGGCTTTCATGCCTGATGCCGCTCCAATCCACGTCTCGGACGAAACTCTCAGCACCACAGCCGACGCCGACGACGCAAGTCAGCCTCAACAAGATGACAGCGTGACGGCTGACGCCCTCGAGGCTCCACCCGTGGAAGCCACAGAAACGAACAGCGTGTCCGCAGAGACGCCCAGTGAATCCCCCGCAGTCGCGACGGCCACAGAGCTCACGAATGAGGATGCGGCGCCACTCGAAATTGACGTCGGATTCTCTCCGCGCGTCGTCGCCAACGCCTCGATGCATAAGACCAAGGACTCCTTCGCCCGCACCGTCTCGCAGGGCATCAACTGGGACGCCGAGGGCGACGATACGGAGTGGAATCTGCCCCGAACCGAACCCGACCCATTTGTCAAATTCATGGCGCCTTCCGAGCGAACGAATTCGTTTCCCGTCGTGCCGCCGATGTCACATCCGTCACAACAAAGCCTTGGGCGCCATCTAGCCATCACGCAAACCGAGGAGCTCATGGCCGAAGTAGACCGCGAGGTCTCTCCCGTGCGCTCCGCAGCGCCATATGCGACGGATTTGGCAAAAGAGGCGGATAATATAGGGGAGTATAAAATAGCCGGCACGGCGAGCACACAGCAGTACGTGGGAGGGGAAATTGCGGCTGCAGAGGTTGAAGCGTCGGACGAGCGCTATGAGGAGGGCGTGCCTCTTATTTCCCACCAGGAGGAGCCACAGTCAGCTCGTAGCGAGCAAGCATCGGGCCCGGGCTTCGGGAGCCCCTTTGCTGATGCCGGAGCTGGCGAGGATGACTTCTTTTCCCGTCTTGGCGGGTTCGAGGGCGCCAAACCCGATGACTCTTTTACAACCCCGGGCCTTGAGCGCAAGTCGACCACGCAGGTAATGGACTCTCTTAGCGCTACCACTCCGACTCGCTCGGACACGGGTCTGGAGGACATGCTTGAAACTGCAGAGGAGGACGATTTCTGGAGCAAACCAGCCGAAACCAGCGAGGTTCCTGCAGGGCCGGCGGCCCAAGAATCGGCAGCCACAGAAAATGCGACCGCCAGTCAAGTGGCCACAAAATCTACGGAACCGGAGCAAAAAGACGAGCCTGCTAATGGCGATCTCGCCGACAAATGGGCCGCGGCTTTTGGAGATGAGGATGACGGCGACTTTCTTCTCGATGACAGCACATTGCCTACAGAGGAGGTGGACCCGACTGCTTTCCTTGGCGACGATGACGACGGCTTGCTGGAGGATACTGAGGATATGCAGCAACACAGTACTGCTGTCCCTTCGGCTGCAACACCAACGGCTACAGCTCCGGCCCCAACGGTAAACGGAAGGTATACGCCTGCAAACATAACCCCTGCTGGCTCGCAACAGCCTTCGGGTTCTAGTCAGTATGTTCCAGCCGTTGCCCCATTTTTGGCACAGTCGACAACCGCACCCCCGGCCGCAGCAGCCTCTTTCGCGCCCCCAGTGCCAACGCCGATGGGCTATGGCGCTCCGCCCCCACGCCCAGATGCCAGCAAGGCCGCCAGTTTTGTGAACCAGTCCAAGGGCGGCTATACGTCACCCTACGATCTTCCTATGGACTTCAAGCCTCCCAAGAAGAGGGCAAGCGCCCAGCTAATGCCCAGGGCTGCGTCCCAGCCCCCGCCGATGGCTGGACCACCTCAACCACTGAGGTCCGATAACATGCCACCACCTCCTGTGCCTGGTGCCCCAGGACAGCATGCTCCTCCCCCGCCCAAACAGGTATCTCAGCGGGCTGGGTCGAACGAGGGTTTCTTTGCCGATCTGCCTGTGTCATCGCGCGCAAGGCCGGCATCTCGATCAAGCCCAAAGAGCGCGTCGTCGCCTCAGTTTGGCAACACTGGTGCCCCTCCTGCTGGACACCCCCCTGGATATGGCCCGACACCTACTCAGGGACCCCCAGCTCCTGGTCCTCAGGCAAATGGCCATCCCCCCGCGACATCTGCGCCGCCAGGAAGCGGCCTGATCGCACCTGAGCGTGTCAACCCGTATGCCGCGCTCCAGTCCGACCCGGGACATCTGCCTGCGCCCCATGTTCCCTCGGCACCCACCAGCAGATACTCGCCCGCTCCAGGCGCTTCTGCCTCGGCCCCCATGCCGGCTTCAAACAGGTACTCACCAGCCCCTGCTGGAAGTCGGGCCCCAAGCTCTGCGTATGCCCCTGCACAGGTGGTAGTTGCGCCGCCGGTTCTCCCCCACCAGCCTCGGACATCCAGTCCACTGGCCCACTTCGAGATCTCCTCCGACAGAGGGAGGTCTGCGAACCACGATACAGCTCATCCACCCAGACGTAGCACGTCTAGCATATATGAGCCGCAGCTGAACCGTGTCCCGTCCCTGCCTTCGACGCGCGAGATCGATGAGACCGCACCACATAGTGCCATGCATTCCACCAGCCGTCCATCCTCCCAAGGTACCACAGGACTCCCAGGGCAGGGCCCGCCGCAGGCCTCACAAACTCGCGGGCGCACACCCCCGCCACTCACCATGTCACACCAACAAGCTACACTATCGCCACCTAAAAGGACTCCAAGCTACGTTCCCCATGCGGCGCATCAGACTCTTTCCCCACATGGCCCGGACTTTGTCCCTCCTCCTCGCTCGCATACCCAGTCTCCTGGCGCGCTGTACGGAAAGAACGGCATCACGCCCTCCGACCCGATTCCTCGCCCTTCTTCGGTTCACGATCTTATGTCACCCAGATCGACCACTTCTGGACATCCCTCGCTCCCAGGCACGTCTCATGCCACTGCCATCGCCCCGGCTGCGAGGCCCAGGGGATTCTCGCAGAGCTTGAATCTTGTCCCGCCCACGGACGGACGCGAGCACGATCCACTCCAACGCTGGAAGGGTGCTCCTCTGATATGCTGGGGCGTCGGCGGCACCATCGTCACATCCTTCCCGAAAGATGTTCCCAGATACGGTATTAACCAGGCCCTACCAACCATCCTGCGCAGCCCTGGTGAGGTCAAAATCAGAAACGTCAAAGAGATTTATCCACTCGAGGAGCAGTTAGCCAAGTTTCCAGGTCCCCTCAAGGGCAAGTCTAAGAAGAAGGAAACTATCTCTTGGCTCAGCGCGGGTATTGAGGCCCTGGAGGCTCGGCTGCCGCAAGTCTCATTCCAACCACAAGTCTCTCTCGATGACAAGCGCACCGAGGAAAGGATTCTTCTCTGGAAGATTCTTCGTGTGTTCATCGAGCACGATGGAACACTCGAGGGGGCTGTGGCTGTCGAGAGCGCCGTTCGAGACGTCCTTTCCCCAGGACTTGATCCTCTGTCAACGCAACCGGCAACATACGGCCTCGACCAGGGTGCGATTGGCTTCCAAGGTGCATCCACAACCCAGATGACGTCAGACAGCGTGGACTCTGGTGTCGTCGAGCAGATCCGGTGCAGCCTTATGGTTGGCGATCGCGAGAAGGCTGTCTGGGACGCGGCCGACAAACGACTTTGGGGACACGCGCTCCTCATCGCAAACACGGTCTCCACAGACCTGTACAAGAAGGTCTCGCAGGAATTCGTGCGTAAGGAGGTCAACTACCCCGGGCACAACAACGAATCCTTGGCTGTGCTGTACGAGGTCCTCTCTGGAAACCACGAGGAATGTGTCGATGAGCTGGTGCCCGTTCACGCACGGGCTGGTCTCCAGCTGATGGGTACGGGCTCTGGTCATGGCCAGTCAACGGATGCGCTGGCCGGCCTCGACAAGTGGCGCGAGACCCTGGGTCTCGTTCTCAGTAACAGGAGCACTAACGACGTGCAGGCGCTCACCTCGCTCGGAAATCTCCTCGCTGGTTACGGCAGGGCCGAGGCCGCACATATCTGCTACATCTTCGCTCGCGCCGCGAGCGTTTTCGGTGGTATCGATGACCCGAAGTCCCACTTTGTTCTCGTTGGCGCCGACCACAAGCGGCAGACGGACCACTTCGCCAAAGAGACCGAGGCGCTGCTTCTCAGCGAAGTGTACGAGTACGGGCTGGCACTTGCAGGCGGCCCCAAGGACGTCAATTGTCCCCACCTTTCCATGTACAAGCTGCAGCACGCCATGATCTTGGCAGAGAGCGGACATGGCGACAAGGCTCTTCAGTACTGCGAGACCCTGGCACATGCCATTACATCGCAGACCAGGAGATCGCCGTACCACCACGCCGGTCTTGAGGCCTCTGTGGAGAACCTCGCTCAGCGCCTCAAGCAAGCTCCAAAGGAGCAGTCCGGCTCGTGGATCTCTAAACCGACTGTGGGCAAGGTTTCCGACTCCGTCTGGAACCGTTTTAACAAGTTCGTTGCTGGTGATGAAGGAGAAGGCAGCGAAAACGGCTCAGCCGCTGGTGGGGGGATCTTTGCCGGCGTGTCCGGCGGAGGTCCGACCATCAGCCGTCCTCCGTCACCGCCGGGTGCCACGGGCATGGAGATGTTTGGTGGCGCAACTCAGGGTGGTCCCATGGCCTATCCGCCCCTCGGCGCCGCGGCTCTAATGTCCCCTCCTGCCACCAAGGCCGCGTCCCGCTACGCTCCTGGAGCTGCCCTGGCGCCCGTAGCCACAAACCCGTACGAGCCTCAGCAGGGATACCCGGCAAGAGGGCCGCCATCCGCCAGCCGGTCGTCTGGAGAGTACAGCCGCGGGTCGCCCGAGATGCCCAGACAATCGTCCGAGCTCCAGCGTCCTTCGTACAATCCAGCCTATCAGCCGAACTCGGCGTCATCGCCGTCCATGGGTTACACAGACCCGGGTGTTGGGTTATCCAGTGAGGCTCCGTCTGCCGGAGCCTCGTCCGTTGGCCCCCAGTATGGCGGCTACCAACCGTACATGCCTGATTACTCCTCGAACGGATCACCTTACGGCGCCGGGCACGACAATCATGTGGAGAAACCCGCGAGCGCTGGGGCAGAGCCCGATGCTTACCAGGGATATCAGCCACCCTCGTATGGCTACGAGCCCCCGTCTATGGGCTCGGCGGAACCCATCTCCGCTAGTGACAAGCCCGAATCCGAGGCCCCCACCCCCAACGGAGGTTATGAGCCACCTACATTCCAGCCCTACAGCTACGAGCCACCGACATTTGAGCCAGGGCCGGAGGCGCCCCAGGACGATGACAAGACGCCTCAGTCCAGGGACGAGTCCGGACAAAGTCCTGCGGACAGCGTCGCCCCTCCAGTGTCTACAAGTAGGGCTGGCGGAAAGACAAAGGAGGAGATCGACAGAGAAAACGCCGAGATGTTCCGCAAGGCAGCCGAGGAGGATGGTAAGTGCTAATAATGTACCCCCAGTCATCATGGAAAACTGGAAGCTGACATTTCCGCAGCAAAACGTGCCGAGGAAGAGAAGGCCAAGAAGAAGTCGGGAGGTTGGTTCTCGGGCGGTTGGTTTGGCGGTGGCAAGAAGGAGACGCTAGCAGACCAGCCCAAGGCCATCCGCGCCAAGCTAGGCGAGCAGAACAGCTTCTATTTCGACCCGGAACTCAAGCGCTGGGTCAACAAGGCCGCAGGAGCCGACGCTGCCGCCACGCCAGCGGCCACGCCGCCGCCACCGCGCTCAGGCAGCCCTGCTGTTGCGCCACCGGGCAGGGCGAGCGCGCCGCCGCCGCCGCGTGGGTCCCTCACAGCGTCAGCATCCATCCCGAACCTGGCCGCGGCGTCGCAGTCGCACTCTTCCCTCATGCCCGGGGCGCCCCCAATGACACGATCTGTGTCCAATAACAGCGAGCCGCCATTCGGCCCGCCACGCCCGCTGAGCAGCATGAGCAACGCCAGCAGCATAGACGACCTCCTCAGCGCAGCGGGCCCGAGGAAACCAGGGGCCAAGAAGCCACGCAAGAGCGGACGCTACGTCGATGTGATGGCCAAATAAGGGGCAGCCTTCTTCTTTTTTTCTTTTTTTTTCTTGAAAGGTCGTGGGAGACGGATGCATTATTTGTTTGCTTTTCAGGAGTCATGTCATGATGTGTGGATATGAGGAGATAACTGGATTGATGGTTCGGAAAATGCGCAAATGCGACGAGGACCGACGTTTGGCCTACTTCCTCCTGGCAGCAACAGGCCACACGAAGCTCGCCGACAGTTTGACGAGGGTTTCGTTGCCATTACACGAGGGACGGCGTGCCTGGTTGCACCTCGGCTGCCTCTTTTGTCTGATTCTATCGTATTTTTAGTTTGTACTATAGAACTTGGGTCAACGAATCTGGGTTGGCTGCGAGTGTTTTATAATACCTGCATTTTGTTTTCCCCCCTGGCCTAGAATCTTCACATTTTCCCTGTTGCCTTTGATGCCGACTGCCATTGTGCATATATCTTGCTGGACTACCGGCAGCAAGTGCGCGAGGGTGCCGGGAGGGCTCACGAGATAGGCGACGGAGCGGATGAGGTTCCCCGCGCGGGTACGTGTACCGAAGGATGCTGGCCGCAAAAGGTTGCTAATACCTTGTGATTATAGACCTGGCTGCGCGAAACCCGGATTCAAATGCCCTGGCCACGTGACAAGGAACCAACGGCGTTTGAAGGTTGGCCATGACAGTCTCGTCCGCGACTTGCTTGCCATGGACGAAACGCTTCAGTCCCTCAAGGCGGGAGCTGTCCCGCAGCCAAGCAGAGGTGCTCTCATCGTCTCCCCATCAACGGGGCTCTCAGTTATTTGCAAGTCCGCGTCTAAAGCACTCAGGCCCCCGCGCTGTTGACGCCAGGCCAAGGCTCTTTTCTCACTTGCTTAAACATAGCGGTTATACTTTGTGGGAATACGCCCGTTACATGGAGGTTATAGGCGTCGGCATCGCCGGCGCCGTTGTTACATCTTACACTTCATACAAGATATGGGAACGGACCCAGCAAACGCCCGTCGAGTGCTACCAAGCAAAGGTTGGCGCTTTCCTCTGGCGTATTTACAAAGGCGACGTGGAAGACGAATAGGGCAGGACATATCTTGATGTGATGGCCATTTCGAAACCTTGGTCGCTTTGGGCATTGCTCTCTCGCCTGAGAGATACCTTTGGCACTATGGATGTCCAAGCAAAAATGAGACAGCGCCTGGGGCCTGGAGCATGGAAGCAGACGCATGGTACTAACTCAGGCTGGTCACCTGTCGCTTACCCTGTGCCTCCCTCCCCTTGCTCAGGTTGAAGCGGCGGCAGCTCAGGTATGGCGCTAAATCCAGACTGGGGGGCAATTTTTTTTCGGGGATGACTATATAGGTTGGTATCATTGATCTCTGCGCCGTTTTGACGGGGATGGAGCACAGAGTACACCAGCAATCGTTAATTAGTAGGGAGATTATTCCTCTAGACATTCCTTTGATGCCGCCAAGCTCAGCAACTTTACACACATGATTTCTAGTAACCCCAAATCGTATTTCCTGTGCGCAAAGGACAAATCCTTCATGAACTGTAGCTCGAAACGTAATACTTCAAAGCGTGTTAGCAGCTTGCCGTCAGCCTCGAGTGCCCAAACAAGGGCAAAAGGGGAACTCCCTCACAGTCAAGACCGAATCCTCGGCGCCCATGTCGTCGGTCTGGGAGACGTAAACGTAGAGGATGAGGGCGTGGTCGTCGGCGAAGCAGGCGATGACGCGGCTGCCGTCGAGGCGACCGACGCTGAGGACGCGGCTGAGGTCCTTGCCGTCGACGCGCACCGAGGCCCACCGGTCGGGCCCGGCCTGCTTAAAGCGGGTGCTGGGGTGGTCCTCGATGGGCACCGACAGCTGGGCCGGGTCCAGCTCCGGGTTCTCGAGCCCGCGCCAGACCGACTCGACGTCGAGCGAGTCGGTGGCAACGCGCAGGCGCAGCGAGCCGTGCATGTTTGCGCTCAGCTCGAGCTTGGGGCTGCCGCCCGAGGCCGCCGCGCCCGAGGACGAGCCCGCGGCGGCGCCGTTGATGCTACCACCGCCGCCGACGGCCACCAGGGGGGCTGCCGCGGACGACGACGCCGAGGCCGTCATGGCCAGGCGGGTGAAGCGGTCGCTGATGGCCTTGAGCTGCATCAGGGGCGGCAGCTGGATGTGCACGTCGGGCTCACGCACCTTGGGCTGCATGATGGTCTCGACCGTGTCCGGGTGCAGAACGCGGACTGGTATGTCGTGGGTGATGACCTTTTCGCGCTCGCGCTTCATGGTCAGCTCAAGCGACTCCTGCATGAATGAGGCGTCGTCGGCGGCGAACGGGTCGTCGCTTGCACCCCCGCCGCCGCCGCCGCGTCCGAAGCCTCCCCCTCCAAAGCCGCCGCCTCCTCCCTGGTTCGCCACATTTGTGGTGGTCCGGATCGTCATGGAGAGGAGCGGGATGCCGTTCTTCTTGGTCAGGCGCAGGTCGGCATCGGTGCTGTTTATGGCGGACTTGAGCGCGCGCTGCAGGGGGCCGAGGGGCAGCTCGAGGTTGATGGTGTTGTTGGCATCGGCCGACTGGATGTTGTAGTTGTCGAAGATGAGGTCCATAGAGATGGTACTAGTTGCGGGCCCAAGTCACCTCTGCAGCGTTAGTTTTCCCGTACCAAGGAACAAAACGTGGTGGCTAGACCATGCCACTCACGCCCACACTTGCGACCCCTGGGCCGGAATGACGGTGAAGCGGGCTGTGTCATCGTCGAGGCGTACCCAGGCGATCTTTTCGAGCGAGTTGAGCGCCGCAGTCAGCTCTAGAGGAGGGCGAGTAGGCTTTGGTCAGCGTCGGGGAGGAGATGTGTGTGATGGCGTAGAAAAGGCCCGGGCAAATGGGCCCGGCGACTTGGCGTACTAGAAAAGGTGCGGATGTTCTTCAGCTCCGTCTTAAAGCGCATCTTGCGAGCGGCGCTGGGCCCGGGGTCGGTCGGATGTGGTTTGATGTCATGGAGAGGCACCTCTTGGGGGTCCGGAGGCTTGGGAGGCTCCTACGTGGTCGAGATTGTCGTTGGAGAAAGCCAGTATGGCGCGTCTGATGCTCTCCAACGCGTCTCGCTGAAGTCTGAAGTGACGTGCATTGGGGATTGGGGAATCGGGTCCAGCTGGCGTGGCGGGGTACAGCACATCCTTGCCTCAGCTCCCCAAGTTGAGGCGGCCCCGCCTCAGCTCCGATGCTCAATTGCCAGCCAAGAACCGTCGGTGGTAAATTCACCATGTCTAGCGAAGCCACGTTGAATAATCCCCGTTTCATCTCGAGTAACCGAATTCGAAGGCAATGCGAAAGGCAGATTGCTTGTTGCAGAAGACGCAAATGCCAAGTCAACTGTGTGCTAGAGACCAACGGCCAACGCCCGACCGAGCCCTGTGCACTGAAGTCTGCCAACGGGGGGTCGGATGGGCCGATTCTTGCGTGAGATCCGATTTAGGAATGTTAAATGGTTTGCCAATCCACAAGGGTTGCGCGTGTGTGTCGTGATATCAATGATGATCTGCCAACGGGTGGGATATCGGGACTACCAAACTGGGAAAGTGTGGCGGGGATGCTGGTGAGGTTGACATACCTCTCCCACCCATCCCTGCACTCTGACGGGCAGGGATACACAGAGCTGAAGATGGCATCGAGTTATAAGTGATGGGAACAAAGACAGGGTTGGACGCAAAATGGGTTCAGCTATGATGTGACAAAACAAATCAGAGTCTAGCGGAAAAAGAACGAGGACACCCAAAATACATTCCTGGCCCTGTTAACAATATGATTCCGTCGTCACCGGCGCCGCCACGCCCGTCGTCAGCGCAGCTTGGTTCTCCTGCCCGGTCGCGACAGGGGTGGCCGTCTCTACCTCCGCCTCCGCCTCCGCCCCCGCCACTACCCCTGCCGTCGTCGCTGCCGGCGAGGCCTCGACCTCGGGTGCCGGCGGCTCGTCCAGCTTCGGCTCCTGCTGCGACCACCAGTCGCGGAAGGCGACGCGCCAATGGTCGTGCTCGCTCTCACCGTAGTACATGGACGGCTGCATGGCCACGATGCGCCTGCCGCGCCGCGACCTCGACAGCGCCAGCTTTAGCGCCGCCGCCGCCAACCGGAGGGCCAGCGGCGGTCTGGCGCGGAGCGAGGCACAGAAGCCACACTGGCCCGAGAGCTTGCGCCCCTGCCAGCGCCACTTCTCCGGCGACGGCGGCGTCGCCGCCGCCGCCGCCGTCACCGTCCCCCGGGGCATCAGGTACTGGTGGTACAGGGAGCGGGACGACAGCAGGGAGGAGGACGCGGCGGCGGCGGAGCTCGGCGGGGGCGTGGGCGCCGCCACCCGCGCCGCGGCCGAGTTCGAGCCGAACCGGTTGGGTGGCGGCTCGAGCAAGGGGAGGACGGGATGGCGGCAGCTGTGGGCCATGGAGAGGCGGCAGATGGGACAGGTCGGGTGGTCGGTTATGGCGAGCCACGTCTTAATGCAGCCGGAGCCGAAGGCGTGGCCGCACGGGAGCGAGGCCCACGTCTCGGTGATGCCGTCGGCCGTGGGCTCGCCTACGGACTCCTGGCAGATAGGGCAGGCTGACGGGCAGGGGTCCTCCTCTGGCGGCGGCTTCTTCTCGACATCTTCAGCGTCGGTCTCTTTTGTTGACGCTTGCGCCTTGGATTTGCTGTCGAGGATGCCTCGTGTTGACCTTCTTATCGCGATCCGCATCATGGATGTGGCCTATCTCTTTGCTGCACAGCTGCCGTTGGTCTTGCCACCAAATGCAGAAAGCTGAACGAGAGGTGGGATTTGTGGTCGGGGCGCGAAAATACCAGCCAAGGGACGGCCTATATGGTGGTGCGGATTGCATACGACGGACGATGAAGGATGGGTCCGTATTGATTGTTGGGTCAGGTGGTGGTGTCCATGTGCATGTGTTATAAGGTCCAAGGAATGGAGGGTGGAGGGTTGGGTGCTGCATCTGGAAGGTGGGCGAAGCGACCGAACTGCAGGCAGCTGTCACAGTTTCCGATAGGACGAGGGGACAGGGAGAGGGGGAGACCTAAGAGGACTGGGAGGGAGAGACAACAAACAGGGCGTATGTGCGTGCTCATTGCGTGTTCCAGCTAAGGCAGGCCCGGTCAAAATCCAACGGGTGGCGAGCAGCGCATCCCACCCGAGCTAGTCGGCGCGCGTTGTTTTTCAGCTCAGCCTTGCCTAAGGTTTGCGCCCAACGCCTGCAGCTGGGTCTAGCTCCTCTGCTAGCCCATGGCGTCGGTAGGACTCGAGAATACCTAGCTCCTGGATCAGATCTCGCCCAACCTGCGTGCGGCTTGGCAAAAGCCGCTTTGTTGCTGTGGCAGAAAACGTCAACTCCCTGCCTCTCTCCGAGCGTTTGGGGCGGCCGTTGTGCAACGCTCGGGGAGCCTGGGTTGTTTTGGGGGGCGAACTAGTCCTGTGCATGAGGCCTTTTTACCTGCGTCGTTGATGAGCCCCGTGGCCTTGGCCCTCAAACCAAGCACGTGCATGCACGTGCACGCACAGGCTGGCAACCTCACCGCTAGATGGTCCTTCTAGGACCGAGAGACTGAACAAGTTCGGGCCGTGAGCCACGTTGCCTCCATCTTGAGACGATGCCAATCAAGGCGGCCCACTGGTTCCATCTAGGCCTGGTCTTCCCCTCGCAATCGCGACACCCAGCCATCGTATCGCCCCAGTTCTGCCGCCCCGGTTGTCCAGCCTTTGGGTTGTCCTCAGTCTGGCCCTTGCGTTGCATACATAAATACCGTAAACACCCACCGCGGCGACATGTTGACGTTAGCATGATTCACCAACAGGGCTAGGCCTTTATCACCCCGGGCTTTCCCACCCTAGGAGCGGCGCAAGTACTTTGCTTCGTCGTGAGGCTGCTACAACTGCCGATCTTTGGGGATACCTTGCCTTGGGAAGCACCGGTCGGCGTGGGAGCTATTGAATTGAAGGCGGCCTCTGGCCACCTCTGTGATCGCCCGACATGTGATTCGGCGCTGACCGTCGGCCTTCTATTGCTGGCGGCCCCGTGGCGAAGCGGTCAAGAGCGTGTAGAGTGTAGAGAAACCATTTGATTAACGGTATAGGCCAAAGCCTACCGACCGCTGCTATCGCTGCTGCTATCGTCTATAAATCCCTGCTCGAGGCTGTCGCTCGCAAGTCGGCGTTAGTACAAGATCTAGTATATGACGCATGCTGACATGACCGTCCTGCTCGGTCTGGCGGGACACTGGAAAGGAAGGGAAGGCGCAACGCACTCTCTGCTTAACCTCGTCGTCTGGTCGGGCCGGTTGCTCCTGCTAGTCAGCTCCGTTCTCCGACCGGTACCGTCGGCCACATTGTTCAACTCCTCGCCGTCTTCCGAGTCAAATCCAGTGTCGGAAGTGTCGTCATCCGCCAGGTCGCCCACGACGACGTGGGCATGGTCCCTCCGCCAGCTCGAGGGGCTTAGGTACTGAGCAATGCGGTCCTGGAGACGCTGGCGCAGCGACGACGTCCGGTCTGTTATCGAGTCCAGCGGGATGTAGTGGCTATAGCGGTTCTGGTATCGTTGCCAGAGCGGGACGGCGACGAAGGAAAGCAACAGGTAGATGACCAGGGCGATGACGGCTGGCACGATCAAGGCCTAGAGGCGAGGTTATGCCCCGCGACGTTAGAGACAGCGCCGAACACGGACGTCGCGGACAAAGCGGGGATGGAAATGGAACGGGAAGCGATGTTGCGCTCCGGATGCGCCCTCTAGCGTACCTTGATCGCGGAGATGGTGGCCCCCATTTTCTAGAGTTTGTGTCTGTCGGTCGAGCAATGGCAGGCTGGCGGTTCTATCGTCGCGTTGCTGCTACGCCAACTCGAGCGGGAGGCATTGACCTGGCCGGTCCACTATCGCCTACGACGGATGGAGCAGGCTATTGTGGCTCCAGTAAATACCGCCCGACACGTATGTGCGTCGGCGACACGTCGCGCCCAGGCAGAGGCCGATTACGAAGGCATGGGAGGAGCTGCGCGCGCCGCAGAGGCTAGCAGATCGGTTCGGTCGGACAATTATTACGACAGGGCGGCCTGGATTGAGACGCTCCGACCTGCCGGCATCAGGTGACTCTGCTGGCAGCTTGAAGAATGGACACAACAATGCGATGGATACTGCCTCACTGCCGGAATACAACCGGACACCACAACGGGATGGAGGTGGCTTTCCGCTGGGTAGCAGTTACACGGGAACCATATTCTAATTTTATTTCTTGTTTGGCCAGAAAGCTGCCCGGTAGTCGTTTGACGGTTGTTTGATGGGAAAACGAAACTAATTTCACATTTAAAGGCCTGTAGGGTCGCATTGTCTCGCTGCTGTTTGACGTGACGATGTTTGTGCAAGCCCATCTCCCATAGCACAGCTGATATTACGCTGGAACCAGCATGGCGACTTGCAATTTTGGACGCCGTCTGCGTCTCCACGATCTCTAGGGAAGGGGCCTAGGGAGGGGGCTCGCGGCGGGCCGTGGTCCGATAGCAGCACAGTCCACCAAAGTCCACCGAAGCCCACCTGCACGCACCGTGACGACGGCCCTGTACTCTGCTCACTCTGTGACCCCTGATGTGTCAAGTGTGGTTTAGAGGTCCCGGGCTAAACCTGTTTCAGAACAACGTGAAGTCGTCCATTTGGCTTCCATGCGGCCACTTTGCGCAATTGCCGGAAGGCTCCTCTCTCTCCCACCCAACCCGGCCGGCAGCAAGGCCAGCGCAGATTTCGGGGTCCTGTCACATTTTTATCTCCCATTTCTCATTCTATTATTGCCCATCGCTCAGTTCCTCCCACCCCTTTTCTCGACACAGTGATTATGCCACAACGGGCAAACGAAACAAGGGCCATCTGGATCGACTGCTTGTTTTTCAAAGCCAGCATCTGGCTCGATTTAGCGCGCACGAGCTAGCTGCATCCGTGACCTCCTTTCGATCCGGGTGGCGCTTAATAAAATCGAGGCCGTGGTGCTTTGGGGGTTCCATAGATTCGGCGGTGCGTCTGGTTGGCTGGCGGGCGGCGACAAAGCCCACACCTGACAGCGACACGCACCTTCTCGATCAAGCAAATCAAGCAATTGGCTGAGCAGCGGGCGGCGTCTGTCACTTCCTGTCTCCCGACTGGCTCACACAAACGGCCTTTTTTGACTCGTTTCGCCCCTCGCCCGGTCTCCCACGCCGCCAATCCATGCCAGACGCGCTCCGCGAGCAGCAGCATTGAGTCCCCCTCGACACAGCGTGCGTTCCCTGGTGCTTTGCGTTGCTTTGCGTTGCTTTGCCCCGATGCGTCGGCCCGAAGAGTCCCTAAACAGGCCCGGTTTATGCAGAACAGCCCGCTCCAGCTCCACCGTCCTACGAACCCTCCACGCACCCATTTCCGCTAGCAGCGAGCGAGCGCAGACGAGGCTGGCCAGATGACATGATGCCATCAGCCCTGCTCCTGAGACACTCATCCAACTGATCCTCCCGAACCGATCCCTGCCACGCCTCTGTCCGCCCTGGCTGCACGCCTCCATTCCGCAGAAGCCACCGCGAGCGAGCGCCCACCAACCTCTGGCCGCGCCGCCCGCCGAGGCCTTCGCCCACGGCTGTTTCAACTCCATCCCGGTAAATCGCCCGCCTCGACGCCGCCATGACTTCAGCCGACAAGAACTCGCGGCAGTCCTCGGGAGGCAAGTCCTTCTTCTCCCGCAGCCGCCACAAGGACAAACGGAACACCAGCGACGACAGCAGCAGCGGCCGCTACCTGGGCGGAGCCGGAGAGTACGAGCCCAGCGTCGCCTCCTCGCGCGCCTCCTCGCGCCACCACCGCGACTCGTCGGTAGTCTCCATCGACTCGCCAGACTCGCCCAGCCTTGGTCTGAATCAGATGGCCGGTGTTATAACCACCATTCCATATGACAACGCCCAGTCCGGCGACCGCCGCTCCCCCATCCCCTCCGAGTATCAGCAAAGGGGCGATCAGATGCCCGGGCGCCGGGACCCTCTGCCGCACCAGCTCAACAAGGCTGGCGTCGACTTCCACCAGTATCCGACATTCGAGCCCTCCTCAAGCAGCATGCAGTATTCCTCCACTGCTTCGCTGCAGCCGGGAGCGCGGGTCGTTCCTGGCTCCAACGTTACCATGGCCTCCACTGGCCGCCAGCCTCAGCTCCAGCAATGGGGAGCTGCACGCGACAGCGGATACACAGCCGGCTCGCACAACTCCAGATACAACTCGTACACCTCCGGAGGAAGAAGTTCAGCCGACCAGTCTAGCCTCTACTCACATGGTAGGAGCGATACACGACCCCTCCCTGCTATTTCAAAGGCCCCGCAAGTTCGCGGGGCAGAGTGTCTCTTGTATTCATGATGATGCCCGGTCCCTCTCCAGTCACTAATCAAGTGGACGCTCTTCAATACAGCACTTCCAAGCGCATCGTCTCAGAGCTCTTACCCGCTAAACTCCCCGCGAGAATCCCACCGGCTCACCAAATTCCCCGCCGGATCGCCGCAGATTGCTCAGAACGGCCACGAGGACTTCAAGCTACTGAGGCCGGACGATGACAACATTATTGAGCAAATGTTCCTCGCCCTCATGCAGAAGCGTGGGTGGCACAACCTACCGGACCAGGCACGCCGCCAGATGGTCGCCTATCCGCCAGACAAAAAATGGACCCTGATCTACCAGGACCGCCTGGCCGAGTGGCAGGGTGAGCAACGGAGGCGGACCACCGCTCGCCCCGGCCAATATCAGAACTTCGACATCACGACATTCTCGGACGAGGAAGGTTCACCGGAATGGTATGTAAGGAAGGTCATGGACAACAGCCTCGACAGCAAAGGCCTCGGTAGTCTCGAGGTCAACCTGAGGACACAGCAGATCGGCTGGGTCAAGCGATTCATCGAATGTCAGGGGCAGGTGGCCTTGACCAACGTCCTCATGAAGATCAACCGCAAGGCTGCCGTCGGCCCCGCCGTCCCCGAAAGCGCCACCAAGGGCGACAAGAACCTCGACCGCGAGTATGATATCGTCAAGTGCCTCAAGGCCTTGATGAACAACAAGTTCGGCGCCGACGATGCGCTCGCCCACCAGAACGTCCTCATTTCCCTGGCTGGCTCCCTAATCTCGCCGCGCCTGAATACGCGGAAGCTCGTGAGCGAGGTCTTGACCTTCTTGTGCCACTGGGCCGAGGGCGAGGGACATGTCAAAGTCATCCAGGCCATGGATGCCGTCAAGAGTCAGCAGGGAGAGAATGGTCGCTTTGACGCATGGATGCGGCTCGTCGAGGTCACGGTCGACGGCCGCGGAAAGATGGGCAGCCTCGTCGGCGCGAGCGACGAAGTCAGGAGCGGCGGCATCGGCATGGAGAACCTGCTTATGGAGTACGCCGTCGCGACGCTCATCCTCGTCAACATGTTGATTGGTGCCCCTGAGAAGGATCTCCAGCTACGGGTGCACATCCGCGCGCAGTTCACGGCGTGCGGGCTCAAGCGCATCCTGAGCAAGATGGAGGGTTTCCAGTACGACCTCATCGACAAGCAGATCGAGCACTTCCACAACAATGAGGCTATCGACTTTGAGGACATGCTCGATCGGGAGAACAGCAGCATGAAGGACAGCATGGAGGGCGAGGTTAAGGACCTGAGCGACCCCGTGCAGATTACCGACTACATCCAGACCAGGATCCAGGGAACCAAGACGCATGACTACTTCGTCTCGGCTCTCCAGCATCTGCTGGTGATCCGGCAGGCGGACGGCGAGGAGCGTCTACGCATGTTCCAGTTGGTAGACTCCATGCTCAGCTACGTGGCCATGGACCGGAGGCTTCCGGACATGGACTTGAAGCAGAGTCTGAACTTCACAGTCCAGAGCCTGCTGGACAAGCTCCACACCGATTCCGAGGCTCGCCAGGCCCAGGACGAGTCCCTCGAGGCCCGGCAGATAGCGGATGCCGCCATGGCCGAGAGGGATGAGATGAAGGCCCAGCTCGAGCTCGGCGCCGACGGCTTGGTTGCCAAGCTACAGAAGCAGCTCGACGAACAGGCCAGGTTTATCGAGGCCCAGAAGCGGCAGGCGGACAGCCTCAAGTCGGAGCTGGATAGTTTGCAGACCATCCGTGCTAAAGAGGCCCAGAGATACGAGCTGGAGACGCGCGAGCTGTACCTCATGCTCAGGGATGCACAGGATGTTGCCTCATCCAACGCCATCAAGAGTGCGAAGATGGGCGAGGATGACCCGGCACAGGCACAGGGCATTCTGGACCGCGATCGACTCATGGAGCGTTTGCAGATGCAGCTCGAGCGCCAGAAGACTCAGTACAAACTCGAAGGACGGGTGTGGGGCGAGGCTACTGGCCCTTCGGACAAGCTACGGGCACTCAGAGAGGAGATGGACGGTGTCGGTGGCGGCGAGGGCGATCTTGTCGCCATGGGCAATATCCCTGCGGGGGGAAGAGATCTCACCAACAGCATGCTGGGCAGCGTCAAGCGCAGCACCAAGCTGTCTCGCAAGCCGATCAACTCTCGGGGCGAGTCCATGGCGGGAGAAGACGAAATCCTGGAGGAGGACGAGGAAGAGGATGACGAGGGCGTCGTGTACGAGAAGCCGCGCATTGTCGAACTCAGGAGGCCAGTGGTGGATCCCAAGCAGCAAGCTGGCCTGATGAACGAGATCGTTGGCAAGATCAAGAGATACGACGGCAGCGACTCGGAGGGAGATGAAGAGGGAGTCGCCACGGGCCCATCACACCCCAGCCTAGAAACGCAGTCTCCGATGGACCAGGATCCCCCCAAGACCCCCAAGATCCAGGTCACTGCTGCCCCCGGAGAAGGAACAGGAACCGGTGCCTCGGGAGGTGCCCCACCGCCGCCGCCGCCGCCGCCGCCTCCGCCCCCTCTACCTGGCCAACTCCCTGGTGTTCCGCCTCCGCCGGGTCAGTCCGGAGCTCCCCCTCCACCGCCGCCGCCGCCACCGCCTCCCATGCCTGGGCAGCTTCCTGGTGCTCCTCCGCCACCGCCGCCACCTCCGCCACCACCTATGCCTGGCGTAAAGGGCATGCCACCCCCGCCGCCGCCGCCGCCGCCGCCGCCCGGCCCCGGTGCCATGGCAGGCCACTTTTTGGCCAAAAAAGCAGGATTCCCAGCAGGCCCTTCCCTCGGCCTGCCAGTGGTCCGGCCCAAGAAGAAGCTCAAGGCTTTCCACTGGGACAAGGTGGATGCGCCATCGACAACGCACTGGGCTGCACACGGGGCCTCGGCGGAGGAGCGGGAGGAGAAGTACATGGAGCTCAGCCGCAAGGGCATCTTGGACGAGGTCGAGAAGCTATTCATGGCCAAAGAGACGAAACTTATCGGAAAGGGGAGCTCGCAAAAGGAGGAGAAGAAGCAGGTCATCTCGGGCGACCTGCGCAAGACCTACGGTAAGTGCGACAGCCCTTATCGAGGCCCTGACACCAGGCCCCTCGATGTTATGACCCTATATAATCCTCATGCCCAAACTAATACCCCGTGCCACGACAGAAATCGCATTTGCCAAGTTTTCGCAGTACTCGGTCGACAAGATTGTGCAAATCATCATCCACTGCGACCCCGAAGTGCTCGACAACCCCGTCGTTATGGACTTTTTGCAAAGAGAAGACCTGTGCAGCATACCCGAGAGTGTGCGCAAGGGCATGGCGCCGTACAGCAAGGACTGGACCGGGCCCAAGGCGCTGGAGGAGACGCGCGACCAGGACCCGAACGAGCTCACCCGGCAGGACCAGATCTTCCTGCAGACCGCGTTCGAGCTCAACCACTACTGGCCGAGCAGGATGCGGGCGCTGGCGCTGACGAGGAGCTTCGAGACGGACTACGAAGAGATCTCGGAGAAGATCCGGATGGTGGTGGCGGCATCCGAGTCCCTGAGGGACTCGGTGTCGCTGATGAATGTGCTGGGCCTGATCCTGGATATTGGAAACTACATGAACGACGCCAACAAGCAGGCGCGGGGCTTCAAGCTAAGCTCGCTCGCGCGGCTGGGCATGGTCAAGGACGAGAAGAACGAGTCGACGCTGGCAGACCTGGTGGAGCGCATCGTGCGGCAGCAGTACCCCGAGTGGGAAACCTTCTCGGGCGACATCGCTGGGGTGCTGGCGGTGCAGAAGATCAACATCGAGCATCTGCAGCAGGACGCCAAGAAGTACGTGGACAACATCCGCAACGTGCAGTCGTCGCTCGACTCGGGCAAGCTGTCGGACCCAACCAAGTTCCACCCGCAGGACCGCGTCTCGCAGGTGGTGCAGCGCTGCATGAAGGACGCGCGGCGCAAGGCGGAGCAGATGGCTCTGTACCTCGAGGAGATGATACGGACGTACAACGACATAATGGTTTTCTACGGCGAGGACCCTGCCGACGAGAACGCGCGGCGCGACTTCTTCTCCAAGCTCTCATCCTTTATCCAGGAGTGGAAGAAGTCGCGCGAGAAGAACGTGCAACTGGAGGAGACGCGCCGCAGGAACGAGGCGAGCATGAAGCGCAAGCACGCGCAGCTCAAGCCGTCGACGTCGAGCACGGGCGAGGGCACGCTGCCGAGCCCAACCAGCGCGGGGGCCATGGACAGCTTGTTGGAGAAGCTCCGGGCGGCAGCGCCGGCGACGCGGGACCAGCGCGACCGACGTCGGCGTGCACGGCTCAAGGACCGACACCAGGTGCGGGTGGCGTCGGGGCAGAAGATCCCGGACCTCAACGAGATACCCGAGGTGGAGGCGGACCTGCAGACAGGACGGAGCGCAGGGTCGGCGTACGGCACAGACTCGGATGGGAACCTGCTCAGCCCGGACCTGCCGTCAACCCGGGACGCGGCCGCGGTGGGGGCCGGGTCGCTCAACTCGCCAGGGACGGGCGACGAGAGCGACGTGGCGGCGCGTGCGGCCCTGATGCTCCAGGGGATGCGGGACGGGACCGAAGGCGGGCCCGAGGACGCAGAGAGGCGCGAGAGCATGCGGCGCATGCGGCGGCAGACAGCCGAGGAGGAACGGCGGGCGCGCCGGCAGAGGAGGGAAAAGACACAGTCGACCCAGGGCGACGGCATCAACGAGACCGAGGACGACGCGCCCACGCCAAGGCCGGCCGATGCGGGAGAAGGCGCCGGCGCAGCAGATGCAGAAGCGGCAGGAGCGGCACCGCTAGAAGCAGCTTCATGACGACGAGGATTCATATGAAGGACGACCGCATATCTTGTTCCAATATACACAAGAGGAGTGGGGCTACAACACGGACGGCGCCGAGGGGAGGCAAAGAGGGGGAAGGATGTATACGATTTGGTATCCTGTCACGGCTGCCGAAACGAAGCCTCAAGTGAGATGGGCAGCGGCGGAGTTTGCATGTCTTCTTTTCTCTATCTCTTAGTGTCGGGAGCATCGCATTACATCCAAGCCCAAGCATATCCGTACGTAATGTTTATAAACTACTACCCAAGAGGCGACAAGAGGCATGAAGGTGTGCTTTCAGGTTGGCGCGCGCATATAAAGTGCGCCTTTTTCATGTTTCCTATACAGCCTAGATTGTTAGATCTCGAGCCGACGGGCTGGCAGGCTCGGGCAAGAGTTTTTCCGTCTCGTCCTTGGTCTTCTCACACAAGGTTAGGGGAAGCCCTCGATGTTGCTCCCCCACCCCCACACCAACCCTCCTTTTCCCACCGCTCTCCACATCTTTCTGCTATTCCCCGACCCCCAACATGAGCGATTTAGCCGGGGAGCCCTCGAGGGGCCAACCCCGAAGATCTGGGATACAGCCAGCTCGGGGGGCCCTGCGAGTTGGGGGATGCGTAACCCCTCCGCGCGGAGAAGATGTGGGGCCACTTTTGTCGGTTCATCACGTAGATGGGAGGATAATATGGAACCGGCGAAGGGGAGGGAGAGTCAAGCGATGGATGATGGGAGGAGGGTTGCTGTGTCCCTTGTATTTGAACAAATAACCTAGTACCCTAGCCGCTTACCTGCCACCTTACCTACCTACCCTAATCCCACATCTCGGGTTCTCCTTTCGAGCAGCGTGGGGACATCGCGCCGAGGCAGGCACAACTGGAATAACCCCCCTCTTCCCAACCATCAAAAGCCAGCCACCTTACCATGACGGCGGATCCCAAGACGGGTCTGGTCCTGGGCTACGACGGCGCGCACCCCTTCAGCCGCGTGGACCTGTCGTCGGGCTCGCGGGCCTCGGTGCAGGAGCTGCTGCGGGCGCTGCTGGACCCGCTCGAGCCCTTCTTCTCGCCGGCGCGGGCGCGCGTGCGCTGCCCAGGCGCCACGGCCGTACGCTTCGACCAGACGGCCAGCGAGGTCGAGGGCCTGTGCCGCCCGCTCTGGGGGCTCGCGTGCCTGCTGGCCGGCGGCGGGGACTACGACCGGACCAGGCTCTGGGTCGAGGGCGTCAAGGCCGGCACGGACCCGGAGAACAAGGAGTTCTGGGGATACCCGAGGGACAATGACCAGCGGATGGTGGAGATGTGCCCGTTAGGTAGGGACGGATGGATTGATGGCGGTGGTGTTTTCATTTGTTGGGTAGGATGATGTTTCTGAAAGTGTGCTGACTGAGAGGAACAAAAAAAGGGTTTGCGCTCGCCGTCGCCCCCGTCTTCTGGGACTCCATGTCAGCAAAGGAGAAGGAGAACATGGAGACGTGGCTGGGCAACTCTATCAACGAGAAGAAGTATGCGCTGCCCGCACCATATATAATATAACCCATCCTCTCTCCCTTCCACGCTGACCGGGAGCACCCACCAAAAAAAAAGCATGCCCAACACCAACTGGCTCTGGTTCCGCGTCTTCGCCAACCTGGGCCTCAAGAAGAACGGCGGGCGCTTCTCGCAGGACCGGCTCGACAGCGACATCCGGCACCTCGACACCTTCTACCGCGGCGGCGGCTGGTCCAACGACGGGCCCGAGGGCATCCACCAGATGGACTACTACTCGTCCAGCTTCGCCATCCACTTTTTGCAGCTGCTGTACGCCAAGCTGGCGGGAGACGAGGACCCGGAGCGCGCGGCCGAGTTCAGGCGGCGCGCGCGCGTCGCGTCCCTGGACCTGATCCACTACTACGACGCCGAGGGCCGCGCCATCCCCTTTGGCCGCAGCGTCGGCTACCGCTTCGCCATGGTGTCCTTCTGGGGCGCGCTCGCCTACGCAGACGTCGACCTGCCCGAGCCCCTGACGTGGGGCATGGTCAAGGGCGTGGTGCTGCGCCACCTGCGCTGGTGGCAGACGCAGCCCGACATCTGGAGCCCCAGCGGCACCCTGACCATCGGGTACTCGTACCCGAACATGTATGTAAGTGCGCTTCTTGTCGTGTCCCTCTGTTTCTTGCCGCCTAGCCCGACTAGATAGACCGAGATCTCTAACACATTTGTCTCTCCCACAACAGATGGCCGAGAACTACAACAGCCCTGGAAGCCCGGTAAGTAAAACCTCTGGCTTTTGTCAAACCCCCCACACCCACACCTACCAGTGCCTTGGATCTCTAACTTCCCGATCCAGTACTGGGCCTGCCTGGCCTTCATCTGCCTCGCCGTGCCCGAGACCCACCCCTTCTGGACGTCCGAGGAGGAGCCGTACCCGCAGGACCTCCTGCCCAAGGTCAAGGCGCTCGAGTATCCAGGCCACATCATGAGCTACCTGGGCGGGCACCGCATGCTCCTCTCGTCGGGCCAGGCCTGCAGCTACCCGATGAAGGGTACGCACGCAAAGTACGGCGGCTTCTGCTACAGCAGCGCCTACGGCTACTCCGTCCCTCCCGGCCTCTTCACGCTCGAGCAGTACGCCCTGGCCGGGCAGCTGGGCCTCTCGGACGACGGCGGCGAGTTCTGGAAGGCGCGCCGCAAGTCCGAGTACGCAGCCGTCGAGCAGCGCGGCGGCGGCGACGGCGACGACGACGACGGGGGCCCCGTACTGGTCTCGGTCTGGAAGCCCTTCCCGGACGTGACGGTGCGCACGACGCTGGTGCCGCCGACCGAGGCGGCGCCCAACTGGCACCTGCGCGCGCACTGCATCGACGCCGCCGGGCGCGAGGTCATGACGGCCGACGGGTCCTTCGCCGTCCGCAACGAGCGCGCAGCCGACGGCCGCCTGATGGCCGACTACGACGCCGCAACGTGCGAGGGGACCTTCCCGCGCCTGATCGGCAACTACGACGTCGGCACCCCCGCCGGGTGGGCATCGGGCGCCGAGGGCGCCTTTGCGGTCTCGCCCGTCGCCGGCGCCGTGGGCATCCGGGCCGTCGAGGGCGCCGGGAGGGCCGGGGTCGAGGACCGGAGGGCCATGATCGTCAACGCGGACCCAAACTCGAACCTGGTCGAGAGCCGGTCCGCCATCCCGACGCTGCAGCACACGATCCGCAAGGGCGCCAAGGTCTGGTACGTCTCGGCCGTCTACGCCAAGCCCGCCGGCGCGGGCGTCGCGCCCGAGTCGTACCTCGACGGCTGGGACAAGCCGCCGCAGCTGCCCGCGTGGCTCAAGGCCGAGATGGGTATCTGAGGGGGACTAGCTATAGCGCGTTGTATATACGAATGCGTCTCGGCGCTCATTACCTTGGTCAGATCGTGAACATGTTCAATGCCAGAGGCTCTTCCAACCCTACGAGAAAGCAAAAAAAAAAAAAAAAAACAAGATAACCGGTTCCCGTGACATAACCCTCAACGCCGATTTCCCCACAGTAAAAAGCAAAGAGGCAGTAATGGTGTGCTCATAATATTTCCTCGTCATCATCACGGGCCGCGGTGGCCCCTGGTTGAGGAGCGGCCGCAGGCCGAGTTTCCCCGCCGTCGCTGTCCGCCCCATCCATATCCTCATCGCCATCATCGTTGTAGAACTTATCAACAAGCGCCTGCTCGGCCTCGGCCTGGAGCTGCTTTGCCGTCTTCTTCTTCTTCGGCCTGGCGGCCTCGTCGTCGTCGCCATCTGCCGCAGCGGCGGCCAGGGCGCTGGTGTTGATGTCGTCCCAGGCCTTGCGCCTGCTTTGAACTGTGCGCGCCTGGCCCTTGCTCTTCTCGATCTTGGACAGGGTGCGGTCCATGACGGCCTCGGCGCGATCCATCCCCTTCTCATGGCGGCGGCGCGCGCGCGAGCTCGGGATGGCCTTGCGGCCCGACTTGCCCTTCTTGCCCACGCCCGCGCCGTGCTGCGCCGCCAGCACGGCGGGCCGCTGGTTGGCCGGCTCGGCCGGCGGCTTGACGTTCTTGAGCGACTTGTCCGTGTCGATGCTGGGCGACGTCGCCCTCCTGGCGGCCCGCGAGTGTTTTGAGGGGGCTGCGGCGGGGGGTTTTGTTAGCACTTGGGCGCGAGCGCGGGGAAACGACAGCGCAAGGGGTGTGTCTGCTTGCCGTTTTTAGCCATGACTTTGCGATTCCGGTCGGGTTTGTTTCTCGACCGTCCGTCTTGTTCAATGGCCGAAAAAAGTCCCTGTTAGTGGAGGAGGGGTCCCAAACTTGGTGCCGCCGGGGATTTTGCCGTCGCTGACCGCTAAAGTTTTGGCGACTTCCCCCCACAAGCCGCTGGTTGGTCAGCACCCACTCTGGACAGTCCGCTTTTGGTGCTTTAATTGGAACCGGGCAGGGGCTGGCTGGGGCTTGCATGCAACTGCCTGAACTGTCTGTTGGCCACGCTCGCAGCTGTCGCATGCGCCCTGCCGACTCGACAACTCCGCCTGCTGCCCACCCGTAGAATTTGGCTTGATCCTTGTCGTCAATCGCTTTGTGTGCTCGGGGAGCCCTCCGCCAGCAGCCCACGCCCTGCGCTAGGTGTCATGGAGATATCCAATCCCACTCGACTGTCGCCCTTGTTCGCACCCCTCGACCTGGGCCGGGCCGTCGCCTGAGCCCGTCGTTCATTCCCAAGCGCCTGTCCTCTCGCCTGCCACCACGCCGCCATCGCTGCAAGCTCTCCAACCCTCGCCGCCGCCCCCATCTCAACCGACGGCCGACACCCCTCCACATAATGAACGCCCGCGACCCCTGGAGCGCGAGGCAGCACCCCTCCGAGCGCCTGGTTCGCGGCTACCGCTCCCGCGCCGCCGCCCATGACAGCAGCTCCACCTTCGACCGTCTGTACGAGCCCAGCGTCCTCGTCCCGCTCCTCGTCCTCGTCGCTACCGCCCTCTTCAGCTGGGGCCCGAACCCCCACCACATCCTCCCCGGCCTGGTCCGGTGCGTCTGGGACGCCGTCGTCGCCCTCGTCCCCGCCCGCCTCCTCTTCGCCATCGACGGCTGGCTGAACCCGCCGCTCTTCCCCCGCGACCCCAAGAAAGCCCCCGCGCCCATGCAGCCCGCCATCTATGCGGCCAAGAGCGAGGCCCTGCGGAGGATCCTGGGGTTGGATGCCGGCATCCCCGGCGGCATCATGGCCTCGGTGTCCCAGGCCGGCCGCCGCCCCGGGGCCTCTTTCGGCTTCGCCAAGTCCGACTGCGCGCGGCCTGCCGGGCTGGGGAACATCAGCAACTCGTGCTACCAGAACAGCATCCTCCAGGGCCTCGCGTCGCTGAAGCCCCTGCCGGGGTACTTGGGCGCGCCGGCGACCGTCGCGGAGGCCAAGGGGGATGCTGGCAGCGGCATCAATGCAAAGACGGCGGGCACCCTGCTGGAGCTGATATCGGACCTCAACGCCCCCGGGAACAATGGGAGCACGCTCTGGACACCGGCCGTGCTCAAGAACATGAGCACGTGGCAGCAGCAGGATGCGCAGGAGTACTTTTCGAAGCTGCTGGACGAGGTCGACAGCGAGGTTGCCAAGGCCGCCCGACTGCTTCGAGGGAACAGTTGTGGACTGGGAGACGCTCTAGGAGACGCCCTAGGAGACTGCGCTGCGACAGTTTCCCCACCATCATCACCGACCGCCACAGTATCCTCACCCACCACCACTACAACAACAACAGCAGCAGCAGCAACGCCGACCACCACGGCCACGTCGCAGCCCTCGGACGACGGTTTCAGTCCCAACTTGGGTAGCCAGCACAGCGACGACAGCGGCTACCAGAGCCTGCCTACCCTGCGCAAGCCCGGGGGTGATGAGTCGGGCCCGTGCCCGGGTCGCGGCCCTGCCGCGGCGCTGCGCAATCCGCTCGAGGGCCTGACAGCGCAGCGTGTGGCCTGCGTGGCCTGCGGCTGGTCTGAGGGCTTGTCCATGATCCCCTTTAACTGCATCACGCTCAGCCTGGGGATGGATCGTCGCGAGCACGACCTCTACGAGCGGTTGGACGCATACACGCGCGTCGAGAGGATCCCCGGCGTCGAGTGCGGCAGGTGCACGCTCCTCGAGGCCCGGCGGCTCATGGACATGGTGATAAAGCGCATAGGCGTAGACAAGGCGCCACCGACCGTCGTCGAGCGCGCCGCCGCCATCGAGCAGGCGCTGGAGGAGGACGACTTTGAGGAGGAGACCATCTCGCGACGCTGCCAGATCAGCAAGAAGATCGGTTCGACCAAAACCAAGCAGGCCGTGGTTGCGCGCGGTCCGCAGAGCCTCGTCATACACATGAACCGCTCTGTGTTCGACGAGAATACGGGACAGATGTTCAAGAACCTGGCTTCTGTCCGTTTCCCCATGCTCCTGGACCTTGGGCCTTGGTGCCTGGGTAGTGCCGGTAAACCCCCGCCCAGAGTCGCCTCACCCGCGGGGAAGGAAGAGCAGGACCTTGAGAAGATCGAGAAGCTCCCACCGCCTATAGACGATGAGCATGGCGAGGATGAGGAGGAGGAACAGTGGCTTCTCGACCCGACGATATCCATGGTCGCTGGGCCTAATAAGTCCAAAATAACAGGGCCAATCTACGAGCTCAGAGCCGTCGTGACCCATCAGGGGCGTCACGAGAACGGTCACTATATTTGTTACAGGAAACACCCCCGCCCAGGAAAGCTACACTCAGGCGGTTCGGACGAAAAGAAGGTGGCAGCACCCCCAAACCTAGCACCCGACGGCCATGTCCATAGCGGCGACAAAGCGGTGGTCTCGACCGAAGAGGATGCCTCAGCCCAGCCGGCATCTCAGAATCCGTCCAGCGACCCTGAGGAGGCAGAAGAAGATGCGGACTGGTGGCGGCTGAGCGACCAAAACGTCACCAAGGTTTCAGAGGAAGTTGTCCTATCGCAGGGCGGCGTCTTCATGCTCTTTTACGACTGCGTCGACCCCGTGCCCGTCTTGACCTCGGAGGCCAACGACTCGCCGATCAGCGTCTCGGTCGGGGACGGAGAGGGTGAAAATGATGCGGACGATGACGAGGCGAGCAGCCAAAAAGCCGCTAGAGATGATGGCGCGGATCCGACCCCACCTCCCCTCTCCCCGGCCCCGCGCGACGGCGCCGCCGACGTGGAGGCGCTAGCGGAGGCGCAGGGCGTGCCGCTGCCGCCGGGTGAATGAGCTGTTGGTATTCGAGCGCGCTAGCGGCAAAACGGGGGACGCGCGACGCTCGAGTGGGCTGGTTATATGGGTAGTTCACACAGCACTGCAGCTCCCGATCGATTCTCAACCGGTCTAGAATACCTGCATCGTGCCTTGGGGAATGGTTGATGACATGCTGCCGAGGTTTCTGTTTGTTTTTTCTTTCTTATAAATGTCTTCTTTTACATGCTTGATTTCCTTGTTCTCCCTTTGTCTCGACTCGTGTCATTATGCCCGCACATGGGTGTCGCATAGCATTCGGAGTTCTGGAGCTTGGAATACTGGCCCTGCTGCTTTTTTATACTTTTCCCCCCCTGAAACGTTGCAGCAGATATGGAAACCAACCCTTTCCCCTACTACACGGGCCGGACCTTCGGGTTTTGATGAGCTATAATGGAGGGGAGTTATTAACGATTCAAGCAATCAGACAAGGGGGAAAACCCAAAAGGGGACACCACGGCCCTGCCCTTTCTTGCCGGAATCGGTATGCGATTGTTGTTTCCCCTTGTCAGGTCGTGGTTTTGGAACCCAACGTCACATTTGTCCACAATAAGGCTTGGCCGTTCCTGCCATGCCGGGTATTACCGGCGGGTAGGGGTTACGAGGAAGCACCTGGGAAGATTTGTTTGCCAACCAATCCAGAGTTCCCCAATCTACGTCAAACAGGGGATTCCCGACCGCACCTGCACATGATGAACGCGTGCCGGCCCGCGACAAGGGCAGGCCATGGAACACCCAAGACCTTTGGCGAATAAACACCTCAACCAAGAGTACCAAGATGGACCGCAGAATGGTGTGAACTTTGATCCTTTTCTGTTTTTTCTCTTTTCCCTTGGCGCGTGTGGTGCCACCCCTTGATGTCATTTCATACATCATCATCAGCTCGAAAGACAACCATCAAACTCTAACCTTTTTTCCCCCTTCTTTCTTCCTTATCATCGCACAGGCAAGCCCAAATCACATGGATGGGAACAGAAAACTGGCCTGAACGGCTACGGATGATCAGCAACAACGGGCGCCCCTCCGCGAGAGGTCGTGCTAATGACAGGACCTGAAGCCAGACCTGACATACACCCGGCTCTGGACAAAAGCAGAGCCAAGATTGTACAACACATTAGGTGGGGGAAATGCCCATTAGATACGCCATATGTCAGGGCGCGAGTTGATGCCTTGATGGTTCGTAATTGAGTTGGACCCGTCAAAGCCCATAGTTTTGCATACCACTGGCGCTTGCGACTAGCTCAGGGGGTGTAGTCAATAAAGTTGGCGTTGGGAGGGTCGCGATCCAGCATATAGCCGTACTTCTCGCGGTTGTTCATAACAAATTCGGGCACGTCCTTATTATGCTCGACGCGCGTGCAGTTGCTCCGCTCAAACCTTGTGACGAGCACAAACATAAGTCAGTATAACTGAAAGGAGGAGTCAAAGAGGGAACAAGACGACTTTGCAGCCACCAGAGTTGACGCCGCGTGGCGCGGCAATGTATGGGAAACTCACATGTCGCGGCCATTGCGGACTCGCTCGACAATCTTGACGGGGTCCTTGAACTCGGGCCTGTCCATCTCGGTATGCGAAAAGCTAGTGATCTTCTTGACGATCTCGGCAACGGTGGGGAAGCAGTAGCTGCAATGCCAGGCGGCGTCGTGAAGGATCATGTGTTCATTTCCGTGGGTGCGCAGGTCCTGGGGAAGAACTGTGTCCTTGCCCTTGTAGATGGTGGCTTGGGGGTGCATCCAGTCGTATTCGTTGACCCACTGGAACGAGTAGTAGAAGAGGTCCGACTGGGTGGTGACCTTGTCGGGGATGATGCAGTTGCGGAAGACTTTGAGGGTCTCGGGCTTGAACATCTCGTCGACATCGGAAACGAGCAGAACATCGTCGGTGTGTGCCTCCTCCTGGCCGGTGAGGAAGGGGATGACCTGGCTATACATGGCGTTGCGCGAGGCGGACTCGCGCTCCCACGTCTTCTTGAAGTCGCCCGTCGTCAGATCCATGGTGCGACGGATCATCTGCGAGTGGTGCTGCTGGAAACGGGCCCAGTTTTCCTCGACGTGGAGCGGCTTGGGTTTGTCGGTAAAGGTCGTGTCTGACTCCAGAATGACGAAATAGTCGACGCCCGGCGCCATCTGGCCCATTCGGACGTCGAGTATTTCCAACTCAGTGTTGATGAGCAGCAGGTCGTAGATCTTGCGCGAGGCGACGCGGTCGCGCGGGAATGGGTGCAGACGATAGTTGTTGCAGTACTGCTTGGCGGCCGCCTCATCGAGGATATCGGGGTGGGGAGCGCCGGATGGCTTGGTCTTGAGAGCCTCGTTAGAAGCCTCGTGCGAAGGCTGCTCGGGCGACGCCTTTGGGGGCTCCTTGTGGCTGGCATCTGTCCCAACGCTGGGAACGATGCCTGCGAGCCTTTCCTGGGCCTCGTTGCGAAGTCCCAGGCTCCAGACGAACCAGATAAACACCAGAAGGGTGGCCGCCGACAGGTACTTGACGGAATGGTTCTGAAGTGCCCTCCCCATTGTGGCGGTGGGGGTCAGAGACGTGAGGGCGAGTTGTGGAGGTTTGCGACGGTGATATTGGTGGAGATAAAATTACAAAGAAAAGTAGAGGGGGAAAAAAAACTCGACGAATCCGTTCCGCAAGCGAAGAGGGAAGGCGGACCAGAAAAGAGGAGAAGGAGAGGAGAAATGAGTGACTAGAAGGGGGTACCTTCAGGGCTGGAAGGAAGAGGGAAAAGGAAGAAAAGAAGAGGTAAGGCTAGTGAAGGAGCTGGGCGAGCAACCTTGTTGCGCTACACGCGATAATAAGGAGAAGGCGAAGGCGAGGGCAGGGCGATGGGTGCGACGAACGGGGGCCCACGGCCAGAAGGGAATTAAACTCCACAGGCGCCAATTCGTGGCCCATCCCGCACATTCCCTATCTTGTCAAGTCTGGATAAGGCTGCAAAAGGGTGTGTGAAGGGGCCAGACCAGGGGGAGGGATGGGCATTGCAGAATCGAACCATCATTCGCCAAGCTACCTGCGGCTGACGTGGTGACGCCAAGGGAGGAGGTTCAGAAGCAAAAGGGCGAAACCGGGTACCGTGGAGCACGTAGCCCCGAAGTCATGTTCGTATGTGCGTAGTACCTGAGTACGTGGGTACGTGGGTACTTAGATAGTAGGTACGGGGGGGTACTTCCCGGGAAGGTCGATCCTCCCGTCAGGTCGAGCCAGGGACCAGGATTGGGGGCTGACGCAGGGAATGGGCGGCCTGTCATGTTTGCCAATGGTGGACCGTGCAGCCGTCCACTCGGGTTCCATCCAGAACAGCGGATAAAGGAGCTGAGCCGTATAGGTGTCCAGGATCACAAACACCCTTGGAAAACAAGCCAAACTGATGTACCACCAAGACCCACCGCGCTAGTGTTTGTGATCCTGGACACCTGTAATTTTCTGTGTTGTGTGATTGGTGAGTGTAACCAGTAGAGGGGTAGCATGGCAGCCACCAAGGCTAAGGCTGGGCGTGGGCGCCGTGCTGACCGACATCCACACACATGCGAGGACAGGAATGCGAGCAGAGTGGCATGGTGGATCTGACATTGCTGAGCAGACAGCCATTTGTGGAATGGCACAGGGATTCCGATCCGCGGCCACCACTCACAGCAACAAACCAGCACACCAAAAGATCTAACCCGGCGCCAATCACAGCCCAGGCTTCTGGCCCGGGCTGGTGTTTCCAGAGACCCCAGCCAACCTACTGTTTGTCTTGCTCTTCACCGCCAGCCCCAAGATTGCCTCTGCACCCATCCGCTCGCATCCTCCAGGCGCTGTCGCGAGGCCGTGCGCCAGGCAGCCGCAAGTCTTAGCGATAGTACCCGACGTAAGACTAGTCCGGTAGGTAAGACTAGTCCCGAGCTGTTTCGCCGAGTGGGCGCCGGAGGGTTTGTGACGGATAGACCGAGGGCGGGGAAATTAAAAGTCATGGAGATGGTGTTTTTGCCATTGCCATTGCTTCCGCAAAAGGGATGGTGCCACAGAGCCACTGGGCACCCAACGTGTATCAGCAACATGTATCATGCACGAGAGCGGCGCTGCAGGCCCTGTAATGGCTGCATGGCTGCATGGCTGCATGACTGCAGCTGCGGAAATTCTTCAACGCCACACTTCGTCTCAGCCGCCGCCCGAAAGGCGCAAGCGCATCGGTGCTACTCCGTAGGCCTCTTATCGGCAGGGCGCGCAATCCGCCAGTCTCAGCCACCACACGCATCACGCGCTTGTCGCAATATGCTAGCTTCTGCTGTGAGGAAGTTGGACATTGCGTGCTGGTTGACAAAAAAATCACCGAAAAGGAAGATAGGTAGGCAGCAAACGTGTGTTATACAAAGGCTCCCCACACGAGAAGACCAAATAAGGGAGAAAAAAAACCTCTGAAACTGGGCTTGGCGTTCTGTGCCTGATCGGAAATGTCACTTTGGGTCGGCTGGTCGGCAGCATATCGTGGGCCGAAGTGGCAGGGGTACCTGGACAGCCCATATGACGTCTAAAAAAAGAAGAAAAATTGAGGATTGAGGACCAGCCCCTTATCGGGCCCCGGTCGCTGATCTTGCGTGCGTTGGCGAATAAAAATGTTTGTTTTTTCGGTACTTCCGCGTGCGCCTTCATTAGCCCGTGATAGAAGTACCAGCATAAATCATTGTGACAAAGCGGTACATCGCGCTTGAATTTACTGCGAAAATCACGTAGGGCGAAAATCCGTACCCCCAAGTCACAGCAATAAACAGGGGTGCTTTTGCTGATCACATTCCAAATCCGGGCGACCTGGGCCGAACGGCACTCAAAGGGATGAGCCTCGATCCGACCGCTCACCATGCTCTCTGTGCTCTACTAAAGTCCCATCCTCCTGGCCCGCAACGCATCGGAGGCCCTGGAATTACCTATTTCCCTCGTACACTTCTCGATTTGGAAGGCCCATCACGGGCGGCCTGTCAGATTTCTTGTGGGGTCAGCCCATATCATTGGATACCTCCGTTTGCTGTGTGAGGGGGTGGTGGCCGCTCGTGGCTCAGGATCCGACAGCGACGTCAGCCTTCCTGTCGCTGGCCCACTCCAGGCATCCATCCCACCGTGCTCTCCTTCCCTCACCCGCGCCGGCGAAGACCACTCCACCGCCCGTCCTGCGCGCGACTGCGAGCGTGTCGCTCGTCTGCCCTCCTGACTTACAAATCTGCCAACAAGACGACAGCAGCCAGCAGCCAGCAGCCAGCACCAGCACCCGTGAATCTAACCCCCATCAAGGTTCAACATGTCGCTGCCAACCGTCGAGAAGGCGCCCAGCGCCCGCGGCCTACATCCCGCCTTCTACATTGGGTATGCTGCCATTCGCATGCTCCTCACAGCCTGTCGCGCAAGTCTGGCTCCCACCAGCGCGTGCTCTCCGCACCTCTGGTCGGCCTGCTAATCGTCCGGGGCACCTGTCCGTTCAGGAGCTGGATCTTTTTTTCCAACACTACAATCCTCTTCAACAAGTACCTGATCGGCAAGGCTGGCTTCAGTATGTGCTGCACTCACGCCCCCCTTCTCCCTCTCCCACCGCCCGCCTCTCCTCCCACAGCTCCCAGCCTCCGCGCAACACCAACCCCAGCCTCCGCAATGCTTGGTTGCGCCTGTGCTTGTCCGAACTACTTGCTGACGTCACATGCTGTCGTGCAGAATACCGTACGTACATGAACGGCCCGGGCCTGGCCCGCGCGCCCAACCCGGCCTTCCCCCACCTCCCGTGCACCCCCAGGAGTGGCGGCTTTCCGTGCCACATGGCCGGCACTTGCTTCTGGACCGTCGCTCAAGCACGGCTCCGAGGAATGGAGCTTGCACGAGCCTACGCCCGGTGTTCCCGCCAAAGGCCCAGCCTTTTTCTCTGTGCGCGGGGAGACGAGCCTTCTTGTCGTGTGGCCGACTAACTCTTTTCGCTCTCCACAGCCGTCGTCCTAACATGTTGGCACATGATCTTCTCCGTCGTGGCGACGCAGCTGCTGGCGCGCACCACGACGCTAATCGATGGCCGCAAGAAGGTCAAGATGAACGGCCGTATCTACCTGCGTAGCATCGTGCCCATCGGCCTCCTCTACTCGGGCTCGCTCGTCTTCTCAAACATGACGTACATGTACCTCTCCGTATCCTTCATCCAGATGCTCAAGGCCGCCGCCCCCGTCGTAGTCCTGCTGCTGTCGTGGGCCTGGCGCCTCAAAGAGCCCTCAGCCAGGGTCTTTGCCAACGTCTGTGTTATCGTGCTCGGCGTCGGCATCGCCAGCTTCGGCGAGATCCAGTTCAGCTGGACTGGCGTCTTTTACCAGATGGGCGGCATCGTCTTTGAGGCCCTGCGCCTGACCATGATCGAGGTCATGCTCGCCGGCGACGCCGACCAGCAGAAGATGGACCCGCTCGTCTCGCTCTACTACTACGCCCCCGTCTGCGCTGTCATGAACTTCTTTGTCGCGCTTTGCGTGGAGGGTTCTACCTTTAGCTTCGACGCCGTCTTCACCACCGGCGTCGTTGTGCTTATGCTGAACGCTCTTGTGGCCTTCCTTCTGAACGTCGCGAGTGTCATGCTGGTATGTTGCTCTCATGCAGTCACCATTGTCAATGGCCAAGCCAAGAAGACTAATCGAAAATTCAATCCATACAGATCGGCCAGACATCCTCTCTGGTTCTCACCCTCACCGGTATCCTCAAGAACATCCTCCTCATTGTTGTCGCCGTGCTGCTCTGGTCGGAGCATGTCAGCTTCCTGCAGTTCCTGGGCTACTCTGTCGCCCTCGGCGGCCTGACCTACTACAGCCTGGGCTGGGACGTGATCGAGCAGCGGCTCCTCGGCTCGTTCAAGTGGACCTACTCCCTGTTCACGTCTCCCCAGTTCGACGAGTCCCGCCTCTCGCCCGTTGCTCGCCGCGGTCTCATGGCCACCCTTTCGCTCCTCATCGTCAGCATGCTGGTCATTGGCTTCGTCTATGACGGCAAGGCGAGCGCCGACAAGACGCTCATGGGCCTGTGGTAGCGAGCCAGGCGCAATCCTTGACCGTGGCCCATCTTTTGACTATTGAGCCGATATCCTTTTATATCCTTGGGTTCTTCTTTGATTGTAAATTTAATACCCTGTACCTCGACTCTGACGCATACATGTACCATGGGATTGGTGACGAATGATTTTCATTTGGGCTTGATGTTTTCGTTTTAGCTCCATTTGGCCCGGTGAGGGGAATGGGACGAGGACACATGCGACTTTTCTCAGAGTTGAGAGTTCTCCCTATTTCACTTGATTATAGACGATAGACCTCAAAATTATCATAAGTGGCGAATTAGGCGTTTAAAGAGAGCAATAGACATCGTTGAAACACGGAGTTTGGACACATACGTCGGTCTGCGTTGCGAGTGACTTTTGCTGGGCACGACAGAATCCAAGACCCCATCAGACGTTTAGTCGTGGTCAAGTAAGTGAACATCGGCTCCGACAAAAAGTTTTACACACACACACAACAACCTACTCTATGGTATATAGTACAGTATAGTTGCCAACAAAGGGGTATCATGTCAATTTCCTCACGAATTGACGCCAGATTGTTGGGTGTCCGGGTGACTGACAAGGCAATATATACGCAGACAAAGATCTGTCACACAGCTCACGAAGGTAATCGGTAGTCTTACAATGCACCAGAGACCCCATGTTCAAGAACAAACGAGAGGGGGGGAAAAAAGAAGAAAAAGAAAAGAAAAAAAGACGCCGTCTCAACTGATTGAGGGCTGTAGCATATTCCCAGCAAGCCCATACCGCCAATCATCTATTGCACCCCGCCCCGGGGCTTGGTCAGGCGTTGCGACTGAGCCCGCTGCCCCATGACGATACGGTCCTGCAGACTCATCTCGGGCAGGAACATCTGTGCCATGGCGCGGGGACCAGTCGGTATCGGTGCGGGAGGAGGCCGGAAGATGGGGATGGCGAAGGGAGTAATGGAGGGTGCGGGCGGAGCAAGCCTCGACCTCGCGGCGGCCGTGGTGGCGGTGGGAGTGGTTGTGCCGCTGGAGCGCCGAGGCTTCTAGCCCCGGCTGCGGCTCCGCCGACGGCTTCTGCTCCGGCTGCGGTCCCGATGGCGCCGCCTGACCGAGGTGCTCCTGGACCGCTCTCGGCGCGAGTGGCGGTCCCTGTCCCGGTCCCTATCACGATCGCGATCGCGGTCACGGCGGTCTCGGTCACGGTCGCGATAGCTGTCGGTGCCACGATCTCTGCGTGGGCTGCGGCTTCGGGAACGGCTGCGGCGTCGGTCGCGCCTATCATCGCGATCGCGATCCCGATCTCGGTCCCTGTCTCGGTGGCGATCTCGGGAGTGATCTCGGTCCCGGTCTCGATCTCGAGCCCTCTCGCGATCCTTGCTACGGTCACGATCACGGTCTCGGTCGCGATCCCTGTCGGCTACCGTGCGTCGGTCGATGCCGCGCCGGTCAGATGGTACATAGCGATCAATCTCGGGCGAGCGGTCGCCGATGCTGGGCCGCGCGTCGTCTAGCTTAGAGACGGAGCTGTCTCGGCCACGGGGGCTACCCCTGCCTCGGCCATCTCGCTGGGCCGCGAGATATGCCTTGGCCTCCTTTTCACGCTTCCGGACCTCCTCCTGTTTCCACTCCTCCTTTCCATCCCTATCGAGACCGGCGGGTGGTCTGTAGGCCGACGAGGGCCGACGTCGGGGGGAGCGGCTGCGTTCCCTGCTTCTGCCACACCGACCGGTAGATCTACTCCGGTCTCTGTGGCTCGAAGGCCGTTTCTCGCTGTTGTCCTTGTCGACAGCGCGCTTGTCCACCTCCTTGGCAGATGAGATGGGTTTGGCCGCAACCGTCTTCGTATCGATGGGAGCCGCTTTCTCGCTAGCAGCCTTTTTATCCCCCGCCTTCGTTCCAAGGGATCCATAGGTCTCTACAGCAGTCTTGAGCTCGATCCTCGACCGACTCTCTACCGGCTCCTTCTTCTCAGCATATTTCTTATCGGCCACCTTGCGGTCAAGGTCCTTGCCGAGTTCCTTAGTGCTTGCGTCCTTCTTGGGAGCAACCTTGTTGTCGATATCCATCTTGTCGGCATTCTTCTCGACAGCTTTCCTGTCGATGTCCATCTTGTCGCCATCCCTCTTGTCGGCGCCCTTCCGGTCCGTATCCCGCCTGTCAGGTCGAGCTGGCGATCGTGTACGGTCTCGGTGTGGCCGTGCTCGGTCCCGAGATCTGCTCCTGTCTCGCCTGGGAGATCTCGCTCGAGATCGGCTACGCTGCCGCCGGATAGAACGAGTCGGAGACACAGCTCGGTCCTTGTCTCGCCTATCCGAACCAACGTGCCTGGAGCTGCTGCGAGCTGTCCGCCTAGCAGAACGCGCTCTAGAGCGGCTCCGCTCACGCCGCCGCGAGCGACTTCTATCCCTGCGCTCGTCCCGCCGGTCATCTCGCCGATCGCCCCGCGCGCGAGACTTGCTCCCATCTCTCCGGTCGTCGCGACGGTCCGGTCTTGCCCTGGACCGGCTTCGTTCCCGGTAGCCGCGGCTCTCGCGCCTGCTCCTCGGGGAGTTTGACCTGCGGTCCCTGCGTCGCCTGTCGTCTGCGCGTGAAGTCCGAGAGTGGCGGCTGTGGTCCCTATCGCGGCTGTGACCTCTGTCGCGACCCCCATCCCTCTCACGGCTCCGATCCCTATGACGACTGGGGGGCCTTGTGGATGCTCCATTGTCCTTCTCTTTCTCCTTCTCTTTGTCCCAATCAGATGCACGCTTGGGGCTCCGAGGCCGGCTAGAGTCATCCCGAGGGGTTCCTGGGACTGTCTCTTTCTTAACGGCTAGATCCTTGCTCACCGAGGCTGGCTTTGGATCTGAGCTCATCTTCAACTCCTTCACGGCCTTGGGCTCCGGTTTGGATGCTGGAGTAGGTGGCTTTGAGATATCGACAACCCCCTTAAAATCCTTGACAGGCTTCACCCCAAGCTTAGGCGCATCGAGTTTCGGCGCAGGCGTGGTTGGCTTTTTCACCTCCGGAGCCAATTTTGGTTCCTTTGGAGCCTTTATATCGGGCTTGGGGGCAGGGGTGAGCGGTTTCTTCGCCTCCGGAGTCGCCTTGGTCTCGACCGTCGAGTCTTTGCGCACGAAAATGGCAGATGCAGGCTTTGCTTTCCTTGGGGGCGGAGCAAGCGTTTCGTCCATCTCTAGCTCAGGCTGTTTGGGTGTATCCGTCGTGCTCTCACGCAGCAGGTCCTCCATCGCCTGCGCCTCTAAGCGCTCGAGCTCTTCTTTGGACAGTGCCTTCTTGGCCCGTTCACCATGCTCTCGGCGGCCATCCTCCTTGGAGCTCTTCTTCCTGTCGTGCTCACGCTCAGAATCGCGATGACGGTCCCTGTCCCGATCCCGGTCCCTGTCATGGTGCCGAGACCTATCGCGATGCCGAGAGCCGTCCCGATGACGAGATCGATCGCGATGACGAGACCTCTCTTGGTGGCGGGAGCGGTCACGTACACCATCCTGACTCTCTCGCCGTTTCTCCCGATCCCGCCTCTCGCGTCGCTCCTTGCTCCTCTCGCGGCGCTCCTTGCTCCTCTCGCGGCGCTCCTTGCTCCGCTCGCGCTCGCGCTGCTTGCGCCTCTCCTCGCGCTCCTTCTCACGGCGCTCCTCCTTCTCGCGTTCCTCCTTCCTGCGGGCCTCACGGGCGGCGCGCTCCTCCTCGCGCTTTCGCAGCTCCTCCTTCTGAAGAATGTCCTGCTTCAGCTTCCACTTCTCAAGCTCGACCTTGCGGAGCTCCTCCCTCACCCGTTCGCGCTCCGCCTGGCGGGCGGCCCGGTCGGCTGCATACTCGGCGTCGGTCTTGGACCCGCGCACCTGCTCTGCGGCGGCGGCCTCGTCGCCAATCTCGGCACGGCGGAGTTCGCGGATATTGTCCTCGATTGCGCGGGAATCGATCAAGCTTTCGATTAGGGACTCGGCTTTTTGGTAGACATCGCTACGGTCCACGGCGCCGTCGATAAGGGCTGCGGCCTTCCCGCGGTCGATTGTGAGAAGCTGCAATGGGTTGCGCTCTATCTCTTTCTCGGCAATTTCGAGTATGGCTTTTGTGATTTGTGCCTCATAGTCCTGAGCATGTGGGAGATGTAAGCTGGTTGTTGCGCGACCGCTAGGCGGAGGGTTTGGTATAAGAAAACCTACGCTAGCCTCGAACTTCTCCCAAACTTGCTTCCGAATGGAATCGTAACCACCCTTCTTCTTGAAGCCGTGTGCGAGGCCGTCTACAGCGGAGCGGACGGCAGAGGAGAGCGGAAGATCGGATGCCTTGAACGATCGCGGAACAGGCGCCTTGAGAGTGGACGAGTTGCCAACAGCGACATGCTCTCCCGCCGCAGGCATTGCGGCGACAGCGACCATGTAAATCGGGGTTGATCGCGGAGTTTGAGTTGGGTCGCAGATATGACGTGGGTGAGGCGTAGGGTCGGGTTGTGACGGTTCGATATTTGAGTTCGCGATCTGAGATGGTGGTGAGGCCCGCTGTGATCAAGTTCCAATCAGGACTGCGGCGCGAGAAACGCCCTGGTGGGCACCAGTTTCTGGCAAATACAACCACAGTTTAGATTCGGGAGTAGTATTGAACTATGATCTCCCGGGCCATCTTCATGCCCCTTCGAGGCAGTGTGGTAGTGGTGACGGCGCGACTAAAGACCGACCATCTGATGAGAACTGGAAGGGCGTCGGAGGCTTGTCGCGAAGCGGCACAATGAAATGCAGGAGCCGATTTCGCGTCTGCAGGTTGAACAAGGGTACGCTCGAGACAGGTGGGTCCCGCAGCGATCCCTCGCAGCCAAGGGCCCCGGTCCATGCACCGTTATGTCAGCGGTCTAGGGAGAAACTGAATCCCCGATGGAGGCTCAACCGACAGCCAATCAGAGCCCAATTGATTCCCATCTTGCTGTGAGGTGAGCTCGACCGACTGACTTGCCCGCCGGTTCAATCAACGACGACAAGGCAGCCCGCAGCTTCGGACCTCGTGATCCCACGCCACCACAACAAACTCACTCCCGGCCACAGCGGGCGAGCCCCCCGATTCGAGCCAAGCCCGTCGACCAAGACAACGAACCACCGCTCCGTCGCGTAGGTAAACCGCGCGACCGCTAAAGGCCCCCGTCCCCGCAATACAGTGAAACGAACAAACCCCCTCCTCCTAAACCCTCCAAAATGGTCCACAGGATTGTCTTCTGGTCCGGCTTCGGTGGGTAGACGCATTCCCCTCTCACCAAGCAGCCTCCCAGGCTAACCTTTCCCTCCCCCCGCTCAAAGGCGTGGCCGTGCGGGGATGGCAGCTCGGGCTCGAGATGAGGCCGCTCTTCAACAGGCAGTCGCTCTGGGCCTGGCCCGTCTTCGCCGGCGTCGGGGGCAGCTTCGGCTACTGGCTCCAGACGGTCGACGACAGGCAGACGGCGGTGCTGACGGAGAGGAAAGAGGCCCTTCTGGAGAAGCGCGCGAGGAGAGCGGCGCGCCTGCAGGAGCAGCAGCAGGCTTAGGCTTGAAGAGCGGATTCTGGCAGAGGGAGAGCAGCGCGACGGTGGGCGTGCATATGTACCTACACGCTAATGCCCAAGGAAATTCAGGGGGTACACATCATATCTCTTCAAACCGAATGCAGTGGGTGCCCGAGAGGCTGTGGCCCGCTAGCAAATTTTGCCTTCAGAATGACTATGGTGATCTACCGTCCATTTAAACCACCCACGCCGCAACTACAAATACATTAAGGAGATAGAATCATGTGGACTTTTCGAAATGCCCTTCCCAATACCGCCCATACCTGGCCCCTAGATGCCAATAAGTGCCTCTTATCCGCTCTTGAAACCTCACTACTCCGGCCGATTTTGCCCCCAATGTTGTCTTTCAAAAAGCATGAAATCAACCAAGAAATCTTCTATTGCGGTCTTGTTCATTACGGATCACGGCCCGCCCTCTAGTTCGGATCTTCCTGCTTCTTTAGAATGGCGAGGACCGACGCGCTGGGCGCGTTCCCGGTCTCGGTCTCGTACTCGGTCACCAGGACGGACACGTGCTTCTCCCTGGTGGTGTCGAACAGGAGCCGGAAGCTGGCCTCGGAGCACCTGTCCGGGTCGACCTCGTTGTACGTGAGCGGCTCGACGGCCACGCGGTCGCGGTCCACGTTGATGGACTCGCAGAGCGCCACGACGGGGAGCGCGAGCGCCGAGGCCGCGGCGGCAACGTCGCTCGTGCCCGCGGGCGCGTAGAGCGTGCCGTTTGCAAAGACGGACTCGACGCCCAGCATCACCTTTGTGCCCGCCCGGAGCACGCTGCCGAGCTCGACCAGGCACGGCACGTATGAGACACCCAGCAGCTCGCCGCCGCGCAGGAGCTTGGCCAGGTCGCGGCCCGAGCCCCAGGGGTCCTCGACGACCACGACGGAGAATCGCCTGCCCGCGGCCCGGGCCAGCTGGATGGCCTTGCGCACGAGCCTGTGGTGGCCGTAGGTGAGCACGACGTCGCCGTCGGCGATCATGGCTGCCGCGTTTTTCGTCACGATGACCTCGGCGTAGTGGACCTTTTCCTCGATGAAGGTATCGATGGTCTCGCACAGCGACTCGACCGCCTGCTTGTCCGAGGTGTCGATATCCAGACCCGAAACGTGAGTCTTGATCATACGGATCGCGTTGCCCATGGCGAAGCACATGGGCCTACACGCGGCCAGGTACTCGATCTGGGGGTTAAGCACATGTGGGACAAAATGCCTCGAGAAGGCATTCCCAGCCGGTGCCTCATAAGAGCGTAGGACCTTTTTGTCGCACTGTTAGCGACGGGCCCCGAAAAGCTACCGCGGCATCAAGCGCCAGCGCCCCCCGTCAAGATTCGGATTTACCTCTTTGAAAGCCAGCAGCGTCCCCTTCAGCCTGTCCATGTTCTCCCTCAGAGTGAAAGTAGCCATCTGCTGACCAAGCGCAAGCACGGTGGGATGGACGTCCCTGTCCACATCCGGGAGCGCGATCCTCTTGGCGACGGGGATGTGCGCAAAGCAGGCCGGCACCAGCGGCTTAGCCTCCCTCTTCTTCTCCTTGTCGGCCTGAGGGGCGAGGGCGCCGCTCTTGGCACCGCTCGCGGCCGGCTTCCCGCGCCCGCTCTGCGCCGAGCTCGACGCGCCCGTGGCGCCGCCGCCCTCCTGCTTGGCCTTAGTCTTGCCGCCTCCCTTGCCGCCCTCGCCCTGCTGAGAGGGCTGCGCCGCGCCGCCAGGCGCATCGGCGGCGGGGGCGGGACCCCCGGCCCCGGGAGGACCGGTCTTGGCCGCGATGGCCTGGGCGCGCCGGGCTGCCTTTTCGGCCTGCTTCTTGGCCTTGGCCTCTGCCGCGGCCGATTGCTTCTTGGCCGGCACGGCGGGGGCACCGCTGGTGCCACCAAGAGCCGCTGGTGCTGCCGCCGCGGCTACTGGCTTCTCTGTGGACGGAACGGTCTTTTCCACGGACGGCGTCTTTTCCTGGACCGTCTCCGGAGTTGGACCTGTTGGTGCGACTGCGCTCATATTGGATGTGTGTCCTCCTGCGTCCTGGAACCGCCGTCCCCTGCACCTCGATTCTCTGGCGCGGAACTCGTCGTCTTGTGCGCCGAGGTGTCTTTCTCCACAAAATCGATGCGCCAGGCAATGAGTTTATGCGCCAGACAAGGGATTCTCCTAGTAGGGTGACTGGTTTTTTCTCTTTCGCTTTCAATACCGTTTTCCTTTGCTTTTTCCGGATTGAAAATATGGCCCGAGTAGTGCCGTTCAGAAATCAAGTCTAATGTGAAGTTATGAAGTTGAGTCACGGGCTGCGCCTTGTATGGTGAGCTGCAGCTGCCCCGCATGGGGAGCGCCACAGTAAAGCCAGGTCGAGTTGATTGACACACACCCCTCTTGTTCCGCCAATTGAAGGCCAAGGAAGCAACTGGTGCTCTTTGTCGTTGAGCCGTGTGCCAAATTGGTAGCGCGCAACGTTGCTGGTACTTGTACAGTCGATTGATCCAAGTCAAACATAGCTTCTACCATATAACCCTTGGTAGATGTCGGTAAGTTTAAGAGGGGGGTATCACACTTCATGAAGGCGGGGTTAGCCACATTAGTGGTTGTGATGTCGGGGCTGTGACCTGAGGCACAACCTCAATATCAACCTAAGCGGTTCATCTGTACGATTGCTTCGATGTCCCTCGTGCTGATTTTCTCATATGTCATATTCATACATCAGATAGATTACGACATAATCCCGTTGATACCCAACCGCCCGGATGGTCTAGGCAGACGAGGAGCTGGCAGCGCCATCCTCGGCAGTACTGTCCGGGTCGGTAGTGCTATCTGTGTCAGCAGACTGTGCAGCAGCACCTTTGGCCATCTTCCAATTCTTGACTCCTGGGGCGTCAAACGTCAGAATATATGTGCGGTCCATGCTACCCTCTGGCCTCTTGCACTGCTTTGCGCCCGGCACCTCGGTGGCGGCCTCCTCGAAGGCTCGGACCACCTCCGCAGCGCTATTGTCGTTTTCATTGTTCGCCGAGCGTTTCTTGCCCTTCTTCTTGCTCTGGAGAAACATGACCCGCACCGTGTACCCCTTGCCCAGGAACTCGCGCAGCCTGCGCACCTTGTGGCCCAGGTCGTGCTGGTCGATGGTCCAGCCGATCTCGAGCTCCTTGGTGCCCAGGTCCCGGATCCGCTGCTCCTTGCGTTCGTTCTCGACGTGCTCCAGGTACTTTTCCTTGTTCATGATGGCACAGATCGGGATCGACGGCCTTTTGGATAGCGTCTCCGGTGTCTCGTCCGTCTCGGCTGTCTCTTCGTCGTCCGACTCGGCCTCGGCCGCAGCGTTTACGCCCGCGTTGGAGGTGGACGGGAGGTATACGCAGACGAGCGTATCCGTCTCGAGATCCATGCCGTCGAGCAGGAGTTCCGGCGACATGGGCTCCGAGAGCGTCCCCGCCTCATTGTCCTTGAGGTGGATGAGCGGGTAATCGAGGAGATCCCTGTCGAGGAGCGTCGTCGCCGTCTTCTTCCGTCTGTCCTTATCCCGCCCATATGCGCCCTTGGGGCCGTAACCTCTTGCGCCAGCCCGCTCCGCCTCTCCTGTCGAGGTCGTTATCACCACGCCCTGCACCCTCGGCTTGAACGAGCCCCGCTTCTTGAAGCCACGCGACTGCTGCTGTGATGGCGGTGGCTGTGTCCATGCTGCTGGGGGCCGCCATCCGGAATAATCTGCTGGTAGTCGACACTTTGCAGCGTATATGTGGCGCACAAGGCAGGGCCGCGGGGCCGCACTGAGTGCTCTCGGACAGAGCATGACGTTGGTGTTTGCGAGAAGGGAGGGGCTCTGTCCGACCGGCCGATGCAGTTTTCTGGGCTCTGCTGCCTGAATCTACAAAGGCCTCGGATGGTGGCCGGTTCGAGCTTGACAAAGTTGTGCAAGATTCTGCGGCGAACGAAGCAGCTTGGCAGCCGGCCCCCAGAAAAGCGTCAGATGTGGGGCTTGCCTGAGGGGTGGGTGGTGCAGACAGGGGTCTCTCTAGCTGCCGATTGACCTACCCCTGCTGATGAATCCAGGCACCACCAGCAAGCTCATGTCGGAAGCTCACCTTATCACCACTCACCCTCGCTGGCACAACAGATATGTGATGCTTGCGCGGATGAATCCAGAACCAGCATAGACTACCTAGACTCTGCGAAACGCAGCACAACAGGAAGGCAATCCAAACCCGGAAGTTAAGACCTGATAAAAGAGAGAGAAAAGCAAAAAAGAGGTGAGCGGAAAATGTCGTTTGGAGGCGGCATCGGCTCGCGGCTCACCCAACCCTTCCGGGTCCTGTGGAGCCGGTACCGGAACCCGATCCGCGCCTCGGTCTGGACCGTCCAAGGCATCGCGGCCTTCCACATGTTCTTCGCGCACCTCTACGCCTTCGACTCGGCCGCGGGGCCCTCGATGCTGCCTCTGTTCGACCTGGTCGGCGACTCGATCCTGATCAAGAAGGAGCACCGGCGCGGTAGGGGCGTCGGCGTCGGCGACGTCGTCGTATTCAAGATCCCGACGGAGCGCGAGTCCTTTGGCGTCAAGCGCGTCGTCGGCATGCCCGGCGACTATGTCCTCATCAACTCGCCCGAGAGTGGCAGTGACAAGATGCTGCAGGTGCCCCAGGGCCACTGCTGGGTCGTCGGCGACAACCTGCCCGTGTCCAGGGACTCGCGCCACTGGGGCCCGCTGCCCCTGGCCCTCATACAGGGCAAGATCATCGCCAAGCACCAGCACTGGTCCGACTTCCAATGGATCGAGAATCCTCTGTCGGGCCCCCGATAAGCCGAAGCCGAGTCGCATTGGACACATAGTGTTTTGGGCGCACCAGCTGCCCCGAAGCGCCTAGTTTTGTAGACTGCGCACCGCCTCGCGGTTTGAAGCAAGTCTAGGGAGCTTTTCCACGAGCACTCAAGCGTCTCCCCGATGAGGCTATGGAAAATCCCATTCGGGGCCGTCGGGCTTGGAAGCTTGGTCTTCACCTGATGAGCATAGAGACAGGCAAGCAAATGGCCGAGAACAGAGCTCCCATGGTGGGTATCGCCGATCGATTTGCTTGGTCACAGAAAAATTCTCACGATGCAAGGCTTGCGACGGCGAAGCACGCGGGTTTGTGCACGTGGGGAGGATCTAGAAAGAGTATATTCACTAGGCCCGCCGCCTTCATAGCATCCTGTATGCAGTCCAGAAACGATAGGATAGATAACAAATGGGGTGGGCTAAGAAGGTGGATAAATAGAGGGAGAAAGGAAAAGAGGTTTGCCGGCGGACCGAGCACAAATATCAGCCTGGTCATTCTACGCTCGAGGCCACTGTACCTTCTCCGCACCTATAAAAGTGGCAGCCCAAACGTTGCACTATTATAGAAAGGGGTTGGATCTTCACACTCCCAGCACAGGCGGAGGTATGAAAACAAAATAAGAGAGCATGAGAAGGAAAAAAAGGGGGAGGATAGAACAGAAAAGAAAACAGAAGACTGGATACGCCACAAACACCGTGCCCGCCTCATGTCCAGAGGATGCCGTAGGGATGATAGCCAAAGTGGAGAACACTGAGATGTGAGTAAAGAGATAAAGTGAGGGTGAATAGGGGCCTGTCAGATTGCATGATGACAGGTACAGCCGTGGTTCCTCAGCCCTCGATGTGGGACTTTGAGGATCCAAGCCCCAGGAGCTCGAGGCAGCGTTGTGCAAGATTGACCACCTCGCCTTCGTCATCGTCATCATATTCGTTGTCCGAATCGACGGGCTGGTTGGCAATCTCTTTTATCATGTCGACGACGTCCTCAGATTTGCCCACCTGCGCCACGAGCTTCTTGTCTTCGGACTCGAGCAGCTGGAGAAGTGTCCATATGGCGATATGCTGGAATGTAGCATCGCCGCTCGCCAGGAACCGACTAAGATAGCCATGGATTCCGCCAGCGGGTTCGGTCCAGCACTGGATAAACATGGAATAATCCCCGACTGGCGCAGGGATGGTCAGTGGGCTGAACTATACTTTTTTTGTGCTTCAACATCGGCGGGTTGACGGAATGGATAACACACCTTTTGACGAAAGATTACCCAGCGCGGCTGCGCTATTGCCCTGGACTTCAATGCTGGTGGACTGCGTCAAGGGTATCAAAACGTCAAAGACGCCCAGGCTGAGCAGGGTGAGCTTCAGATCGTCGCTCAAGGCCAGAACCGCGATCGCAGCAGTCATCTCAGACTGCACGGTGCTCGGAACATCGAGGACAAGCTGCTTGCACTTTTGGACAGCGCCAGCCTCCAAAACTAGTGCCTTGTTTCGATCCGAGCTCGCAGCGAGGTTCCGAAGAGTCGAGATGGCATGGCACTGGATTTCCTCGTTATCCGTGGAGCCCAGAAGATCGACTAGGGGCTTGAGGAAGCCCTCCTCGATGATGGGAGACTCGTTTAGGGGGTGGATCGAAATGTTCCTGATGCAGGCGACGGCAGAGAGAATGAGCGGCAAGTAGGATGACTGAAGCAGGCGTAGAAGAGGCACGAGTCCCGAGGCGCGGACGATGTCGAGCTGGTACTTCTCATCGGACGCGAGGTTGCGCAAGGCCAGCGCAGCCTGGCACTGTACCTTGGGCGATGACGACTCCATCAGAGAGACGAGAGACTGGATAAGCTTCGGTTCTGTCTGAGCCAGTTTGGCGCGGTTCGTAGCATCCACTGCTATGTTGCTGAGGGCCGTTGTGCAATAATATTGGACATCGACGTCAGACGAAGTCAGGAGGTGGACGAGGACCGGAATCGCCCCGGCGTTGACGAGCTGTTGTCGGTTTTCATCTGTGGCAGATACACTCAGCTTCACGACCCATCGACGTTATTTCATAAGGCAGAAGTGGCAGGGTGTCGCATCATACCCGAGTGTGTCATGTTGAGCAGAGCCCCGGTGGCATTTCTCTGCACCCGCATATCCTTAGACTTAGCAAGTCGGGTCAGAGGGCCCAGGGCGCCCGACTTGGCAATCTTCGCCTTGTTCTCCTCGTGCGTCGCCAGGTTCGTAATGCATCCGACTGCGTTGCATTGGACTTCGACGTTGGTAGAGCACATTTGGTGGATGAGGGGGCTCAGTCCGCCGAGCGAAACGATCTTGACCTTGTTCTCGGCTGGTTGCGCGACGCGTCAGCAGTTTTTCCTACCAAGATGTAGGGGAAGGGCATATAGATCGGCGATAGGCTCGGAACCTTACCATTGACAGCAAGGTTTCCCAGAGCAGCGCTGGCAGCCCGCTGGACCTCGAGGTCTTCGCTGGCCAAGAGGAACAGTATCGGGTGAAGCGTATCCCGGTCGACTTCACGAACATCTGGGGAGACGACGACGGCATTAGTACGACGTAGGATGAGGACGGCAAATATGTGAAAGGACGAAGGACGGGGCGTACCTCGTTCTGTGATCTCGGCGAAGGTCAAGCTAGCACTCCTCTGCAGGTCGAGATTATCGGAGTAGACGAGCGTGCTAAGAGCCCTCAGTGGTTCACCGGAAAAGAAATCGGTCTCATTTCTCTGTGTCTGGTCAGCAAAGGCGTCTGGCGAGCGAGTGCGATGAGAGCGATCGAGACGTGGATACGGACATGCTCGAGGTAGGTGAGGAGGTCCGCGACAGCCTCCCGCTCGTTGTCGGCAAGGGCGGGCTCGTAGAGACCCTCGCGGGCGGACCCTGTTGTCTGGAGTCAGCGATGCAGGCAAGCGAGTGATGGAGCCGAGGAGCGTCGACGCACCTCCGCAACATGATGATGTGCAGACACCCATCTCGGCTGCGGCTGTGGCGTGCTGGAACTGGCGGCGTCAGGTAGGACCGAGCCTGAAGGGATTCGCGGAATCTCGTTTTTAGGTATCCACCTCGCGGGAGCCCGACACCGGGCCGCAGAGGGCACAAAGGTCGGGAAGCGGCCGGGCAGCTCGTGATCAAAACGATGGCTGCGGGCGTCGAGCGGATGCAGCGAGTGAGGGTTTGATGGCGGGCGTCGGCTGCACGGTGGAAAACTGGGGGCGGCAGCAGGATGTGGTGAGTGTTATCGGGACAGAGGGCCGGGTCGTTGAATCAAGGTGCGTTGTTGCCGTGCTGGTGGATTAGGAAGTTGCATGGATTGCGTTGGACTGCAGCGGCCCTGGAAGCAGCAACTTGGGTTGCCGTGGGTTGCTCCGTCGGTTGCACCGGCCAAAAAGCCTGCGCGCTCGGTAGCTGCTCTGTGCCTGGGTTGTCGGAGCCTGGAAGGTGAGAATGACGAGGGCCCGTGCACAAGGATAGTTGGCTGGTGACTGGTCCCAGGCGTGAGTGTCAACTGCGATCGCCGTGGTGGGCGGGCTGCTGGGGCCCAGGCGGCAGGAGCAGGGGTCCACGCCACAATACTCGCTCCCTCCAGAAACACATCGACACGCACACACGCACCCGCTTTGTCGGTCGGCTTTGGGCTACACGGTTATGCCTTCCCCACTCCAGGCCCACATGAGCAACGGCGGGGCTCCATGTCTTGGTAGTTGCCAGCGGCACGAGACCAGAGGCCGAAGCTGCCCGCCCTTGTGCTGCGAGCAGAGCGGCAGCAGCTTCAGCTCTTACTGAGCATGTGGTCATTGCGCACTCCCATCATGTGTCTTACCCGCTGCCAGACGCGCCACCGCAAAAGCCACGGGCGTCGAGGTGGTACTCGAAAGGCAAGCTGCGCTTTTATTCAGGCACAGACAGACACAAGGCACATGTCTGGGTTCATGCATCGATGTACAGTACAGGTCCCAGGGATCAGAATTGTTAGTCCTCCCGCATGAAAAATTGGCCGCAAATCATGTACCTTGGAGGCCAACCACCAGGCTCCAATGGGCCTCAAAACTCAGAGTCAACCGTTCTCACACCAACACATCGCGCTTGAAGCATGCATAGGTAGGTATCGTCAGACGAGCCCAACTGTGGCAACCTGTGGAGTTCTGTGCGTTGTGAGCGCATCGGCGACCGGCCTGTCATCTGAGATCCACCACGATATACCTATCGGGAACAAGAGGCCGGCCGAGGCTGACGGCTCGGGTTGGTGTCAGGTTTCCCCAGGTTTGCGGCACTCGGAGACGAGCAGAGGTGTTTCGTCCCCCATTATCCGGGTGGCCACCATAAATGTTGAGTTGTTCCAAATGCTCCGAATGCCTTCAAGTGATACGATATCGAATGCGCACTGTGTCCGTCACTTCATATGTCATCGTCTGCCTGTTTGGTCGCTCTGTTTTTAGTTAGAACTTTGCGACTCCCCGCTTGTCTCCTTATTGGTTCATGACGCGGGATCAATACGGACTAGCGGAGGCGATCTGGATGACCAGGATTCAAATGTGAGCGTCTCCATTGTAAACAATACGTGATATCTACCAAGCCAGCCTCGTATACAGCACAAAAAAAGCAAGAAAAAAAAAGGGCCTCTTAGCCGCATCGGCGTCTTGACTGAGAGAGGACATGGAAAGGCCAAGGCGAGAAAAAATCGCGGTGGGAATTTAGGAAAAAGAAAAAGGTTGAGGCAAATCGGGCGCCATCTCCTTTTTGTCGTGATCGGGCCTTGTTTATTGGTAGCGTTATCGCGGATTGTCGTTGGACCAGAGAAAAAAAAACGTCCGAATAGCTTAGCCCAAATTGGGTGCGGCCGCCCTGGTTGGCGCTGTGCCGGGGCTTGAGGTCAAGAGGGGTAGAGTTAGTGCCGGTGCCCAGCTTCACTGTCGCAAAGTCAAGGCGCCCAGGGTCCCGCACCGTAAATCGCTGCCACCAACCGCACACAGAAGACGCTGTTTCCGGCGCTCAACGTCCATCCTTTTCCTTCCTCCTCCTCCCGCAATTTCCTTCTAGCGGCCCTGCCGGCCTTTCTTTTTGTTTTCCTGGCATTTTCATCCCTCCCTGCCTGCGGCTCCCTCCTGCTTTCCTCAACCTGGACACAACATGCTGGAGTGTGTTCCACAGGCGCCGTAATGAATGACGTCCCTGCGGCTACGGCCGTGGCCAAGGCCAATGAGGAGGGCCCGGCCCCTCCAGAGGCACCAGCCGTTATCGCTAAGCCAGGTCACGAGCTACCCTATGTCGCACCCTCTTCCTACCTTCGTCCGAAACCCAACAGCCACGCCATGTCAGAACCGAAGCCTTCAAGTCCCCTAGACAAGGAGCAGATGCAGGGCCTGGTGAGTCTGCTGCTGCCGAGTCCTCCCTCGGAGGGGGAAAGAGAACCGAAGTAGCGATGCAAAGGGAGGGGCGCTACCACCCAGCGGACAGGATGGCAAGGACGGGAGATGCGCCGGTCGCATGGCTGCTAGCAGCGCCGCCGGCCATGCACTCGATCGGCGGGAAGGGTGGCCTAGTGGCAAAAGAAGGGCAAAGGGACGCCCGGACAGATAACTACACGCATGGTGCTAACGAAGGCGACGCCGCTTTTCGCAGAGGGGAATTCGCGAATTCCTCAAGGTCCGCACCAGCTACGATGTCCTCCCGCTTTCGTTCAGGCTCATCGTGCTCGACAACGATCTCCTCATCAGGAAGAGCCTCAACATTCTCATACAGAACAGTGAGCAGCGACCGAGTCTCTGGACCGCTCCCCCCTAGCCTCTGAAGCGAGCTCGACTGACCACTCGGCCTCTCCGTTTTCCCGTGTTCTCGTAGACATCGTCTCAGCCCCTCTGTGGGACTCGCACAACTCGACATTCGCGGGGCTCCTGACGAGCACCGACTATATCAACCTCATTCAGTACTACTGCCAGTACCCCGACCAGCTCAATGAAGTCGAACAGTTCCGACTGAGCAGTCTCAGGGGTCCGTGTTCTCCACCCCCAGACGCGCGCCTGCACCCCCTTGGCTCCGAAGCGAGCTAACAGCTGGGATCTTACAGATATCGAGAGGGCAATTGGGGTGGTGCCTCTTGAGACGGTGTCGATACACCCCATGCGACCACTGTACGAGGCCTGCCGATCCATGATCGTGACGAGGGCCCGAAGGATCCCGCTCATAGACGTGGACGACGAGACGGGCAGGGAGATGGTAGTCAGCGTCCTCACGCAGTACCGCATTCTCAAGTTCATTGCCGTCAACAACGAGAATTACACCATGATGCTCAAGAAGTCGGTTCGCGAATGCCAGCTGGGAACATATACGGACGTGGCCACAGCGCGCATGGGTTATACGGTGCTCGACGCCATCCACCTCATGGTGAAGTACAATATCTCGTCGGTGCCCGTCGTGGACCGGGACAACCGCGTGCTCAACGTGTTCGAGGCTGTCGACGTCATCCCCTGCATCAAAGGCGGTATCTACGACGAACTGTCAGCCTCCATCGGCGACGCGCTCGCCAAGCGTTCTGACGACTTCCCGGGCATCTACACGTGCTCCGAGGACGACCGCCTGTCATCCATCTTTGACTCCCTCCGCAGGTCACGCGTGCACCGCCTCATTGTCATCGACGACGAGAGTCGCCTCAAGGGCATCATCTCGCTCTCTGACATCCTCAAATACGTGCTCGTGCACGGCGAGGAGGATGACGAAATCAAGAATTCATGAAAACGGGAGAAGGTTTGAGGGCATAGGTTGTGGCATAATTCCCAGATGATGCCTCTACCACTCGCCTTCCTTCGATTGCCCCCCTCTTTCTACTCGTTCCCCATACCCCCACTAATAGGTCCTTTTGGTGGATTTTGGTCGCATTTTCACGGCGTCAGGCCATGGTGATTGATGAAGGATGGAAATGGGATACCACGCTTGCTTGCTGCATGTCTTTTTTGGCCTCTTCTTTTCTTGAGCCGTCTGGCTTATGTGCTTATACCGCGTATCGGACGCTTCTCTCCATAGAGCTGGTTTACTTGTTGGGATTTTCTTTGATTTTCAAGGGTCGGACATAATTATGAGGGCCTGGGGTTTTCTCTCTCGTTTCCTTCCTTTTTTGCTTTGTTCCCCTGTCATCCCTGCTCGCATCTTCGGGCTCCGAATGATTCGCTCGGGGCCAGAAAGGGACATATGAGACAGGCACCACGGCGGGCAGCTGATGGTCCATCACGGTTCCATTTGGCGTCCACTGATACTATCCCCTGCCATCGTATATGCCTACGATTTCTATCTCGCTGCCCTCTGATTAGGTAGCTACTTGCCCATGCTGGGTTCAAATCTAGGCAGGCTTCTGCCAAGCCTACCCACTCCCGTCGGCATATGCTGCTAGTTCCCTCACATCCCGTCACGCATCTCGGGTATTTTACTGTTGTGAAACTCAAGCGCTGTTTGTCTATAAGGGGATCGTGGCGGAAAGCGATGGGCGCGCTGTTGTTTCCCGGATGCGGACATCCGCCAAACATCCATTGGAGCTGTTTGTTGTAGGTGTATTTTGGAAGGCTGTGCTTGTGGCTAGGTGGGCTGGGAGGTTGCGCTTTGGGATGACGCTCTTGCTCTGTCTGTATTGTTTTTCAAACAGGTGTTAACCTAGCATGAAGACCCATTTAATGGACAAGCGCCAGTCGCTCAATTTGCCATGGTGATATGCTGGAAGGCTGGGATGTTCCATGAAAGTTCCTGGCAGTTCCAAGGCCCAAACGGCAGCAGACATGGAGTGGAGAATAAACATAGGTAAAGGCAGGTACGCCATCATGGAAGGAACGAGGGGGGAAGGATGCACCAAGACGAGGACGTACAAACACGGGAAGAGCCTCTGCGCAAATCTCCCGTCCAACGAGCACAGCTTCCATCTGGAGAAGCGAACCGCATTCGAGACTGTGGGCCCGACCTGCCCGCTCACGGCCGATCTGGCAGTCAGGGCCCGGAGATGAGCTGGCTGCAGATGTTGCAGCAGCCTTGTGACCGTCCCTCTCCGTCGGACCCGTCACCTCCTCGGCCGTCTCCAATGATTTTAGGGTAGACTTATACTTGCTTGCCGTCGTCAATCTCTGACTGACCCTGGCTTTTTGTCAATCTCTTCTCTGCCATTTATTGCACTGACGTCTGATTTCATCCATGGCCGCCGCGGCGCCGGTCTGATGCGCAGCTGCCGCTCTTAGCTCAACATCACATCCCCATCAGTCCACCCTTGTCGCTAGACTATTTCTCAGAGCCCTGCTTCAACTCTGTTATGCTCCAGGCTAACCGCCAGCTTCGGAAACGCGCCTTTTCAACTATTCTGCGACGGCAGGTCGCACGTGTCGGTTTCGAGGGTCAGACGCGCAAATCGAGGAGCAGGAAACCAGTCCGGGCACCGAGACCTCCCAAAGGAAAGCCATAGTCTCGCGTCACGTCGCACCTCGTACGCCTCTGCTCCCCTGCGTCCCAACAACGGGTGGGCACATGCAAGAGGGGCATCCGCGATGGACTCCAGCAAGCCGGCAATACCTGCCCGGGCGCCGGGGCGTCTACCTCCATCCCTGACCTTTGCCGCACTGCAGACTGCGCCAGCCTCGTCTCCCTCCTCTCGCCGCCGCGAACGCAGCAGTAACACCTGGACATCGTCGAGCGCCGACATGGCATTGCTCTCCGACACGGACGACGTCGACGATCGGACCTGTTTTTTTGAGGAGTACAACCGACTAGCCAGCAAGGTAGGGCTCTTCATTCTAGCTTATCCTCATATCTTGCATTCTTGCTACCTTTAACATGTGATTTCTCTTGCTGTCACACTGCAGCATGGTTATTCACCTCGCAAACCCGCGGGGGGACCTACACTAACCCTTATACTGGTAGTATGGCATCCGCCCCTTGGTCCCAGAGGTCTTCGATGACACACCATCTGTGGTACGTACTGGGCCTAGACAGACATGCGTGCTTGCGGGCGAGAGCTAATTCGTAGACCGCAGGCAGAAGTTGCGCCGCCCGGAAAGAAGAAGTGGTTTTCGCGAAAGCGCGACGCCTCATCTAGCCGAACCACGAGTGGGAAATCAGACAAGACGCTTGGCCACAAAGCAAGCATCAGCGATCTCCATCTCGGCCTTGGAGCTCAAGGAAAGCGAGAGTCTCCCAAGGACAAGAGCCTCCAGACCCTCGTAACGCTATGCGGCAAGAGTTTCTTTTACTTGCCTACGGAGTACACCCCTGGCTGTCTCATTATTCCAACCTGTCTGCGGGCCACGGGGCAGTATCTCGCCCAGAATGGTATGCATCTACCCTAGCAACCCCCGCTCTGAGTCCGTGTTCGGCCGCTGCTCACGCTATATCTGCTTCACGTCCCTCAAGGCCCACAGGAAAAAGGCTTATTCCGAGTTCCTGGCTCGGTGCGGGCGGTGAATGCGCTGTACGACTACTATTGCGCTGACAACGACGGGGGCGGTACCATATCCGGCACTGTCCGAACGCCCAACCTTCCCTCACATCTCGATTTTGGTGTGCACGATGTGGCCTCAACATTCAAAAAGCTACTTGGTGGCCTGCCAGGAGGCATCCTCGGGTCGTTATCTGTCTTTGACGCTCTCGTCGCGATACGCGGTCAACTAGATGGAGGCCTGGAGACAAATCGGACACGGCAGACCAGGTTGCGTGCGCGCCTGATCGCCCTCGCCATTGCAACGCTCAGGTCCCACTACCAACGCGAGCTGGTCTGCGCCGTCTTTGGCCTGCTCTGTCTCGTTGGCCGAGCGGCGGAGACGGCACCCCGTGAGGACGACTGCGGCAGACCCCTCCCGACATCGGATCTGATGGGCTACAACGCTCTTGGTATTATCTTCGGCCCGCTCCTCGTGGGGGGTCTGATAGATCGTTGGTCAACAGACACCACCGTCCCCAGTGCCGGTCCTATGCATCTTCACCCTGCCTTACCTCCTAGGAAGGACAGGGGCAAGCGGCGAGCCATTTCTGATGGAAAAAGGCCAGTGACTCCGGTCACGATCGACAAGATCCTGATCGCGAATTCCATAGCTGAAATGGTCATTGCGAACTGGAGGGATGTTGTGAGACATCTGAAAAGTACCAACAGTACTATACATAACGACCCTGCCCTCGCCCTGCCGAGGGAAGCACCTGTGAGGGCTCTGCGGAGCTCGGCTTCTGAATCAGCTCTCGGAACACTCAGCAGACGCACGCGGCTTGAGAAAAGTGACGAGAGTCAGGAAACCCCATCGGAGAACCTGGCGATCAAGAAACAAAGGGTGAACCCAACCCCACGGATGGTCCCATTCGTTCGAAGGACGTCACCTCGACTCGACTCAGCCACAGGGGGCAGGAGGAAGCAGAATGGCGACACTGATGCGACCGAAGCAACGCCTCGCGTCGGCCGACTTGTCACCGTTACGTCGACACCATATGTGGACGTTCCAGATCACCATGAGGCCACAGCTGTAGAGCCAATACAGGGCATCAACCCCCCTGGTTTGCTTTCTCATGACCAGCCGCCCACCGCCCACGAGCGTGCCTCGTCAGGGGATCGGGGCCTGCAGTCGGAAGCTTCCTCTAAGGCAGGCGATTCTTCGACGAGTGTTGGGATTCTGACCAAGGCACACCGGGCGTTGAAGGCTAAACTTACAAGCGCAGCGCAACGCGGAAGTCGCAGCATAACACCCCATTCGTCCGGGACTATTGCTAAGAAGGAATCCTCCTCGACCGAAGAAACGTCAGCCAAGGGGCCGGCACTCAAGGAACCAGACCTCAACAGAGAGGCACTCCTAGAGCAGTCGTCATTGAAACCCTCACGACAGTTCACCACTACTGTGCGACGGGCACCGCGCACGAGCGAGGCGGTACCATCATTTCTCGACGCTCATATTGATGGGCGCAGGGACAGCCGGCAGCACAGCTCAACGGTGGTTGTGGAGAGTGTCCCGGCGACCCAAGTCGACGAACAGGCGGCAAAGAGTATGGCCCGTAAGAATGCAACAAGGCAGCAGCATCACCCGCGACAGAGTAAGGGTGCTGTGCGAACAAGCGCAGAGCTGAATGAAGCGCGGCCTCTAGCCCAGCCGATTGCCGAGTCGCAGGAAGAGCGTATGAATCTCGGCCGCGTTCCTCATTTCCACATCGAAGCTCGGGATGTTGCCGCCTTGAGGGAGCGGGGATCCCCGACAAGATTCCATGCGGACACCACGGTTCGAATGGGGAGAAAACTGTACACAGGCTGCAACGCGGACGAGTACCATCCGCGCAAGAATCGGGAGAACAGACGGGAAGCGCATGACGTGAAGTCAGAGGCGTTGACTTCAACCATGCAAAAGACCCAGGGTCTTTGGAACGATGGCGAGGCGGATGATTTGAGACCCCGGGATCAGCTGCAATTCCAAGCTATCCGCCACAGTCACAAGGACACGGCCGATGAGAAGCCAGCAACGGACTGCCAAGGGGATGCGGCGGTGGCAGTCCAAATCCAAGAACCGGCAACCCCACGGCAGAGCCATTTGGCACTCAGCCCTGGCAGTGCGATGCTGCGTACGCGCGCGTCCGTTAGTGGCGGAAACGTAAGAGCCATGGCGGCTCTGTTTGAGAGCGTGTCGAAGGAAAGCCAGGGAGGCCCCTCGTCGCCGGTTCAGGGGGCCGGCGGCGGCGGAGCCGCGATGACTGAGTACGTCGTCAATGCGACGCCTCTTAGGACTTCGCGGTCGTCCAAGTCCTTGAGGTCCGGAGAGCTTTTCTTCCCAGCGGAGTCATATGGCGAGAGGGCGATGGGCGGTGGCGCAGGAGGACAGGACGGGGCCGGCTCGGAGCATGATGCTCGCCAGTACACGCAGCCTGGTTCCCGGAGTATCAGGGAAGCCAGCGCGGACCTGATAGTGCCAGGAGCCTCAGATGTGGAAGAGGTCTCCATGAAGCGGGCCGGAAACAGCACCAACACAGTTGGGAAAGCAAGCATGCCGGCCACAGAGGATGTGCCGATGGCGCAATGCTTGCGTAAGTCTCGGTCTCGGTCAACTCTTGGAGGCGAGTCAAGCCCATCGCGGAGCCGGAGTCCCGGAACGTGCCTTCTCCACGCCCAGATCCGGTCGCTGAAGATGCAGCTGGCAACAAAGGCGGACGAGTGCGAGAAACTCCGCGCCGAGCTTCTTGCCAGAAGCACTGCAGCGGGGACAGTATGGCGCGAATCCGACAGCGCCGCCGCCTCGCTGAGCTCGCAGCTCCGGTGGGCGAGACAGGAGGCGAAGGCGTGGCGAGAGAGAGCCGAGGCTGGCGAGCGGCGGCTCGCAGCGCACGACCGCTGGATGCCTCATCACGCGACCACCTCTGATGCGCCCTTGTATCAGCAGCGCATCCCTAAGGAGCCAACCGCTGGCGGCGGTGAGCTCGGTGTGCTGGCCGAGAACGCTGCTCTAGCAGAGGCGGTTCTGTGCTCACTGCGACACCCACTAGAACAGCAACCACGGGTTCCCATCACCAATCCGGCAAATCCACAGCCCCTATCGCCTAGAACAGCCCTCAACGTTAACAGAGGCCGCCGGCAGCTCGAGAGGCGTAGGGCGACCACCCCGCTGCGCGGCGGCGGCCAGGGAGGGCCTGGGGAGTGGCACGTCAGCCCCTCTGCAGAGTTCCAGGGGAGTTGCAAGAAGGAGAATGTCAGTGACAGCGACTCTGTCAATAGCAGCAAGACGACTATCTGCCATGGCCAGAGTAGTCCCGAGGGCAGCCGCGGTGACGAAGCCCAGAGCAATTACGCCCGCAAGGTCGGTCAGTGGCCAGCGAGAGGCTCGAGGGCTGTGAAATGACGTGGCTTGATAGCTTGAGTTGTACGAGCATTCAGTGCAGTGAAAGAAGGCAGTAGGGAGACTGGAGATGGCAAGGCTTGCGCGCTATCTGTTGTATTGGATATCCGGCCGGACTACACGTGCGTGGTCTTGTCATTTGTTGTTTGGATTGATTATAAAGGGGTTCGGTGCAAAATGGCGTTTTCGGTGTAATCATAATATCGGGGGCAAGAGCAAGCAAGCCTCCATGGAGTCTGGATTGTAGGATAGAAGGTACTTGTGAGCATGGGCCATTACAGTCCTCTTTGGCCACTGGACGTATGGGGTGGGGGAGGAGGCTCATGAGGGTGTCTGTCAGGGGCTCGACAGAGGCTCGAACTACGTGTAGGAATAATTTTTTTTGAACAAAAGAGCACATCACGAGATGGACCCGATGCTTTTAGTTCTCTTTATTGAATAGTAATAGTATACAGGAGTGGCAAGCAGCAGCAGCAGCACGCCTCCGTCTACGTCGTCGTCGCCCCCGATCAGCGCACAAACTTGCGCTTGGGCGTGCCGATGCGGTGGGTGTACTTCCACAGGTGCCTGTACTTGGGCCCCTGCCTCTTGGCCTCCCAACCCCTGGCCTTGCGGGGCGGCTTGAGGGAGTGGACGCGGGCGTGCCTGAGCTCGACGTCGGCGCCGGGGATGTCGTGGCGGGCCATGACATCGGCCGTGTGGTCGTCCCACACGGCCCGGAAGAGGGTGAAGCCGGCAGGGACGAGTGGGAACTTGTCGCGCAGCGACTTGATGCTGAAGCCGTCGCGGGCGCCGTAGGCGTCGCGCAGGGCCTTTGCGTCGACGGGCTTGTTGTCCTTCTGGTCCAGGACGAAGACGGAGAGGCGGTGGTAGGGGGAGCCCTTTTGGGCAAAAGGGGGGAGCCAGGGGACGGCGAGGCTGCCGTTGCTGCCGCTGCCGCTGCCGCTCTCACGGATCTGGCCTAGGGGCAGCAGGGGCCTGGTCGGGTGCAGGGGGATGTTGGCGGCCAGAAAGTGGCAGCGGCGCGCGAAGCCGTCCTCGTCGACGAGCGGCACGTCCGAGTCAACGACGGCGACGGTGACGAGGCGCTCGCCGCCCGTGAAGCACTGGACGCGCAGGGTCGGGGGCCGCTCGGATATTAAGCTGTCGACAATGTCCCCGGGCGAGACTTTGCGCTGCCTAAAGGTCAGCTGCACGTCCAGGTTGGGCTCGAACTTGGGCAGCAGGTCCGGCACGATGTAGTACTGGTCGATGCGCTGTTTGATCAGCTTCAAGGCGTAGGAGCGCCACTTCTTCTCTGCCAGGTGCCGGTAGATGGGCTTGTTCATGTCCCCTAGTATTGCCATCTTGTTAGCAAAAAAGACAAAAGTTGCTCCGGCCGCATATACGCTAAATCATGCACGTTACGCAAAAGAGTCCCTCCTACCCAGCCCGTCCTCGAACCTGCGCTTCACCTCTGGGTCGTTAATGTCGGCCAGGATCTTGAGGCGCTCGACGTACTCGCGCAGGCTGGCCAGGCGCAGCTGCCTGCCGTGCTCGCCGTTCTCGCGGTCCTTTGGTGGCTCCGCCTTCGCGAGGGCCCGGATCTTGGCCATCTCGGCCGCTATCTGAGCTAACTTCTCCTGGCGGTCGGCGACCAGGATCTTGCGGGCCTCCTGGAAGCATTGCAGCGGCAGCTGGTCGAAGGGTATGTTTTGCGACGTGCGGATGGCCACCCTGCGCCGGCGCGAGCCCACGGGCGGCGTCCCCCGCTTCACAAGCAGCTTCTCAGCCCAGCGCAGCGTCGTCACCTCAGGGTCCAGCATGCGCCGCTTAAAATCGGTGTCATTTGGTTTCCTGCTGGTGGGGGGCTCCTGTTTAGGCGCCTCCTTCTTAGACTTTTTGCCCGCCGTTGCCTGCTTGGTCGCTCCAGTTGGTGATGGTGAGCCCCCTGAGCTTCCTGCGCCCGCCGGCTCTGGCTTCTCCGACTTCTTTTTCTCCTCTGCCGTTGTCGTGGTGGCGGTGGTGGGGGCGTCGTCAGGCCGCCCAGTGGTGCTCGAAAAGGCACGGGCGGCGGCAGCCATTGACGGCCGAGTCGCGAGGGGCTGCTGCCGCAGGCATGTCGCAACCGCCCTTCCGACCTGCTGGCACCTCGACATGGCTGCTGAGGTCCGGGGTTTCGTCTTGCTGGTCCTCAGGGCTCTGCGGCTTTTGCACTCGCGACGTCGGCTTTGACAAAAATTCGGCGGAGCTCCTGCATGGAGAGCACCCCTGCAAAGCCCAATCCCGCTGTTTTATTGGACGAAAAGGGCGAAAATGCCCCGCTATCGTCCGTGCACACCACAAGAGCTCTCGAGGCTGTCGTTTTTGTGAGGCCAAAGGTGGAGGAGGGAAGACAAGAAGAGGGGAAACAACGGCTTCAATAAACGCGCAGCCACCAACACACCGCGCCGGCGTCCAGAGCACGGCTGAGTCCAATTGAATTGCCCATCTATTGGCCGTCGCCAAGCGGGGAGAAGGCGGGGTGGCAGCCATGGCCGCCAGCAAAGGTACCAGATGCCTCCTCGAGGCCATGAGGACCTTGAGCATATCATCATCGTTGGCACCAGCCAGGCAAAGACTACCAACTTTTAAGGTATGCACCAACCCTCTGCAACGGCCTACACATTTTCAATCTGCTTACCAGAGCCACCATGCGTCCAACAGAGCCAGATCCTTCCTCCAGCCTCAAGATGTCGGACCATAGCCACCTCAGCAGCAGCCTCCATACCGCCCGTGGTAGCGACAACCCCCGCCGAGGCGGCCCCAGCCCGGAGAACCCCGCTCTGGACGCCCCCGACCGAGGTGCCCGTGACCATCTACGACTTCCCCTCGCTCGAGCCGCTCGAGCTCGAGGCGTGGCCGACCAAGCACCTGCACCTGCCGCTGCGGCGCGATATCCTGCACCTGGCCGTGACGTACGAGGGCGACAGGACGCGGCAGGGCACGGCGTCGTCCAAGACGCGCTGGGACGTGGCGGGCTCGCACCGCAAGTTCCGGCGGCAGAAGGGCTCGGGCAAGGCCCGCGTCGGGTGGCGGCAGTCACCGCTCCGGCGCGGCGGCGGCAAGTCGCACGGCCCGCACCCGCGCGACTTCTCGACGGGCCTCAACCGCAAGGTCTACGACCTGGCCTGGCGCACCGCGCTCTCGTACCGCTACCGCCGCGGCGAGCTCTTTGTCGTGCGCGACGGGCTCGACCTGCCTCTACCGGAAGACGTGGCCGCCCTGGCCGCCCGCAACCGCCTGCCCCGGGAGCTGCACGACCAGTACGTCGAGCGCATGGTGCGCGAGGTCCTGGCGCCCCTCGGCTGGGGCCACGACGGCGGGCGGTCCACATTCGTGGCGGCCGAGCGTCGCGAGGGCTTCTTCGACTGCCTCGACGTCGCCAGCGGCTACGACGCGCGCGCTCTCGAGGTGGACGACGTCGACGTCAAGGACCTGCTCGAGACGGGCCGCATCGTCATCGAGCGCTCGGCCCTGCTGCGCCTGATCGAGGAGCACCAGAGCGACCTGGTCAGTAACATCCGCGTCAACGGTGCCCTGGTCACCAGGGGCCCGCTGGCGGGGGCCACGACCACGCTGGTCGCGGCCTGATCTTGGCGGCCGTGGAGGGGGGGCACTGTATCTACTCTTTGTGTAATTACATATCAAGCACCCAGCAAGTCTTGTGCGAGCCGTCCCTTCACTGGGAGGCGAACAAATGTTTGATTTATGGCATTCCACAAACACAACTACTTGACTCAACAGGGGAACTCCCTCGGTGCATGCCAGAATCTCCTCACGGAACACTACGATATTTGCAAGCTTTTTTTTTCTGCCTCCTGACTTCGTGTTATTTTGCGCTTTAGGCATTTGTTTGCGCACTGAAAATAACGGTTCTCTGCGCTCCCATAAAGTGTCATAGTAAGCGCCCGCTGAGCGAACGACGCGAGTATGACGCTATTTCGACGTTGGCACCAGCCGATTGTGTCATCAGAGCCGATCCCCACACCACAGACGGACACAGCGCCCCCATGGCCGGACCCGGACACTGCTCCGAGGGCACCCCGTGGCTTGCCATACTTGGGTCCTCACGCGCGGGAGAGAGAGGGCTGCTTGTTCAGAAAATAAAAAGGCAAGCACTGCTGTGCGTCTTCTCCACTGCCCTGTTTCGTTGTCATTTCTCTAGTTTCCCTCTCCGACTTGCGATCTCTTTTCTCTGCTCGTCTTGGACCAGGTCTCCTCCCCCTCCAAATCAAGACCCGATCGGGACTCGGCCGAGACAGCCATGTTGGCCGATTGGCTGGCGCTTCGGCACGTCATCCGATGCACTCAAATGCTGTTTCCCCAAGAGATGCCTTTCAACTTTCACTTTCTAACTCATGTTACACCAAATGCTCAACACACGGGCAAGCTTTCGTCACGAGCTGTCATTGAGAATCTCCCAGCCACAAAACACTGCTTTTTAGCCTTTGTGTCCAGGCCACGGCCATTTTCCCTGGCCATTAACCTGCACCTTGGCTCCCATGCCCCAAGAACGCCGAGCCTGACACTCTCAACAAATCCCCTCACCCAAACCGTGACAAATAAAGGCATGAAATGTCGATCCGCCTGGGCTAGCCCAGCGCAGCAGATACCCCGCCACGAGGCCCTTCCAAAAAAAAAAACCAGGCGAGAGAAGGAGGAAAAAGAAAAGAACAAGGAACGCACGCATAAGCCTATCCTACACGCAAAATCCTCCTCCTCCTCCTCAACAACAAGACGGAAACATGGGGCTCATGCTAGGTCACGGCTTTGATCCCGTTCCTCCATCAGAGCGCCATATCCCCACCCCCGCGACGAGGGCAAGTTTGGTGATGACGCCGACGTCTTGCTTTGCATGCAATCTAAGAATCCGAGCAAGAAGCCCCAAAAAGAAATCGCAACCCATGATTGCGCTGCCGCACCGCGCCGGGAACCCAGCATCCAGGTGAACAAAAGCCATCTCGAGGCTCAGTAACATCCCAGGTCTCTCGGCTAGGAAGGCCCGAACTTTCGGGAATATCAAAAACCATCTCCGTCCTCGCCTGAAAGGCTAAGATCGAAGTTAGGCATTGTCGGGGACGTCTCTGCCGGGTGAGTTGCAGGATACATCGTCAGCTCTGATGGATTTACCCATGTGGTTGCTTGGGCGGGCTGCATCACGTATGGCATGGGGGCCACACCTCCTTGGGGGTGAGGGATGCTGTTCCGACGAGACGATTGCGAGACCACCGAACCGCAGGCCGAGCTGGGCTGCGTTGAGGCACCCGAAGCGAGGGCCGGCCCCAGCATAGCGCTGGCAACCGGCGCAGCTGTGTCGATCAGCTCCTCGTAAGTAAGGCCGTCGGTGTTGCCGTAGGTACGGCTGTACCGCTCCTTGGTTGTTTGCACAAAGCGGCGCGCCTCGAGATCGAGCCAATTGTCGATGTGTGGATCGTTGCAGCTAGCATGATCCATGAGGCGGCTCTTGATGCTCGTCACCTCGTTCAGCAGCGTCGAGTACTCGGCCTGGAGCTTATGGTGTTTCTGCTCAAGGCCGATGCGCTGCTCCTCAAGTTCCGAGACGAAAACTTTCTTCTTTCTGCGGCACTTCAGCGCCGCCACGCGGTTCCTCGCCAGCACCGAGTCCCGCTTGGGGTCTTTCTCGTCTCCGTCATGTTCACTCCCTTTGCTACCCTTCCTTCGCCGGTCTCTCCTCTTGAGCTGGCCCTCCCTCACTGCTATGTTGGCGGCGTTCTCCTCCGACCCAGACCCAGATTTGTACCCTGGTGACTTCGTCCTTGAGTGCGAAGTTGATGCATCGCATGCCGTTTCTCCCGAGGACCCCGTCGCCGGCAGCGCCGGTCTAGGGGTCGGGCGCAGTGTAGCTTTTGACTCGGGGTTCGGCGCGGCGCCCAAGTTTGGGCTTGGGAGTGTCGATGCCATATACTGAGCCTGCTGGCGCTCCAAGTCTCCTGGGGCTCCTCCCACGACTCCCTGGCTCTGACCGTCAAGGTACGTCAGAGGGTAGGGGTCGCGGTCCTTGTATGCCTCCATCTGCTTCCCTTCAAGGCCGCCAAAGAAGGAAGCCATGGTGGGATCGATTTTGGCCGAACTCCTATCGAAGAAATCGGGCATATTCATGAGAGACATGTTGCTGGGCGTGGGTGGGCGGTCGCGCTTGTGCGTGGGCTGTGAGGATCTTATGCGAGGTAGGACAGTACTCTCGGAAACCCTTCCGGCTGCCCTTAGCTACCTCAGGGCAGGTATATGCTATCCCAAAGCAGATGGTCCACCTCGGAATGTGGGGGCGATTTGGATCGTTGACGTCGCTGGTTTTCGATGGTCGGCAGCGAGCAACGAGTAATGCAGTCAGGTTGCTACCATGAGAGTCGCGATGGGACTCCAGTATGGGTATGCCCGAGTGGGCGCAACGGGGTGTTCGTGGTGGTGGTGGTGGTTGTGGTTATGGTGGTGGTGGAGGGGGAGTTGAATGTCCCGATCCATTGGTATTCCTGTTGGAGTGGCACAGGCCTTGGTCGGTGGTTCAGTTACCTGTTTGCGAGGCTGTTTTGACGTGTCGAAGATTGCCAATAGCTAGGCTGGGCTCAGTGCCTTGTGGACCGGGATCAGATGGTTATATGGCAGAGACCACGCCAGTACAGGCATCGCCCCAGCAGGAGATGGAAGGCGCTGGTGGCATCTAGTCTAGGGGTCCGAAGTGGTGGCATTGGCGGTATGTCTAGCGGACACGATACTCCACCGTCTGCGCTTTTTGATCCGGTTGGCAGCCAGGAACACAGTGACTACCTGGTACCTCTCTGGGAGGCACTGTACATCGGGTTGGGTTTGCGCAGAAGGCGCGCTCTTCACTGTCCGAGGGCCCCTCACCACCACGTTCCTACTGCCAGATTACGCAACATCAACATCGGGTAGGCAGAGCGAGGAAGGGGCGAGGGGGCGTCCTTTGCTGGAAGTCGCGGAGTAAATGCTCCTGGTGAGGTTGCCGCGTCGCCCCTCGCCCACTCAAATTCCATGCCAACCCCAAGGAAAGCAAGGCAATTGGAGGGGCCTGCCGCTTGCATGGGGCAGCAATGTGTGCCTCCCTTGCTTTCGTCTCCACTATCGAATAGCACAGAGATGGGAGTGCGCTCTCTAGGTTAGGCGCATGTTTTGCTACACAATCAGCAAAGCGCAAATCTCGATGGCCCGATAACTGGCGACTGCCGATTTAAAGATTTCCATTTCGCGAGTCCAACTTCCTACGAGGCACTCGCAGTCCCCATCAAAATATAAAGATGGGACGCTAACGTCTGTTGGAGTAGTACGGTTGGTCCCTCGACTGGTCCCTTGTCTGGTCTTTGGCGCAAAATATTGGATGATATGCAGCGGCAGTTGGATCGTCGACCTAAGGTGTACCAAGCCTGGCAGGTGTACTGTACGTTCTTCCATCCATTCAGCCCATTAGTAATTCTGCCTACCAAAAGCCGAATCGCGAGGCCATCAATTTTTCCTTCGTTACCACCCCCACCAACATGGGCCGAGAGGGGTCTTCATAACGAGGGGTGCATGTCGCGATAGCACATCCAGGTGCAGCTGGTATCCACTTAACCCTCTATCCGGAAATTCGACCCGGAGCCGCTAAGCCTTTTTGGGTGCACAGTGCAGGTACCTTGCGCACAACAGAAATGCTTGCCAAGGAAGCCCCTCTTTGACTTTGCTTGTGTGCCGGCCCTTGGAACCTATGCTTTTATCGCTTAATTCGGTAGGCGCTGTATGTGGCACGTCCACACCACATTGACTCGCCTTGACAGATGGATAGCAAAACCTTTTATGTTGTTTCGTTTCCAGGGTCCATCCTCCTTGTCGGCACTCCGCGCGCCCAGGCTGCCAGGCTGCCAGGCAATGCCATGTCGCCGAGCCACAGCTACGACTGCAACCCCTCATGCCTAGTACATCATCCGTCTGGCTCTCTCCTCACCTCAGGCGTGACCTGACTCGGCTCCGGCCGCAGCCCCCTTTTCGCGCAGCTCGTCGGCGCGCCGCTCGAGGTCCTCTGCCAGCCCGGCGCTGTACTTTGTGCGGTCGGCTCCTGGGATGATCCAGGGCGCGTTGGTGAAGAGGTAGTTCATCTCCTCGAGCGGCAGCTTCTTGGTCTCGGGCAGGACGAGGTAGAAGAAGAGGGCGTTGGTGAAGTTGCAGACGACAAAGACGAGGTAGTAGCGCCACTTGATGTTTGTGATTGCGATCTCGGTCACCTGCCCGATCATGGTGTTGAAGGCGAACGAGGTCATGGTGGCGATGGAGACGCCCTTGCTGCGCGTGTGCGTGTCGAAGATCTCGGCCGGGATGATCCACGAGAGCGGCCCGCACGTTGCCGAGAAGCTGATGTTGTAGAGCCAGGTCACGATAATGAAACCCCAGCCTGCGCCGCCGTCTTGGTGTGTTTCGGGGTCGAACTGAGCTGGAGGGTGGGTATAACGGTAAGTTTGCGCTGCCTCGTCTGCGTATGAGGGAACTCAGCCTTGACTCACCAATGAGGACCGTCGCGATGAGGAACATCAAGCAGTTGACCAGGTTTCCATAGATCAGGGGCCACCGGCGACCGAATCGGTCGACAAACAGAATGCACATGGCCTGGGCGATCAACGCCAGGACCGAGCTGATAGCCTGGTACTTGAGCGCGCTCTGGCCGTCGATGCCGATCTGCTTGTAGATGGCGATGCTGAAGTACTGGATGGCCGAGACGCCCGTCATCTGCACCGACGCCTGCAGTGCGCAGGCGATGAAGAGGCGCCGGAACGAGCTGCGCGACGTGAACAGCTCGCCGTAGCTCTTGGCCTCGTGCTCGCGGTCGAAGGCGATGCTCTCGCTGATCTGCGCAAACTCGGCCCGCACAAAGGCGTCGTCGACGTCGCCGCCCGCGTGCAGCCGCGCCAGCGTCGCGAGCCCCTCATCGGCCCGGTCGTGGTCGATCAGCCACCGCGGGGACTCGGGGAAGAGCAGGATCAGCAGCGCGAGCGCGACGGCCGGCACGTTCTGGATCCCCAGCGGGATCCGCCACTGCTTGGACCCTTCGAGCGAGAAGGTGCCGTAGGACAGCCAGCCGGCGACCAGGGCGCCGATGCCAAGCATGAATTGCTGCAGCGCCGTTACGCGGCCGCGGATGTCGCGGTGGGCGATTTCGCCTTGGTAGATGGCTGTTGGCAACGTTAGTGATGTTTCCCATCTGAGCATTTAGGTACAAGTTGCCACGAAGGGGTTGGTAATATCTCACTGTTTCGCGAGCTGTTAGTTGAAGTCCGAAAAGGGTATGTAACCACCACCACGAGACAACATACCGGATGATCATGACCAGAAACCCAACGCCTAGCCCACTAATGCACCGCCCCGCCCACAGATACTTGATGGACTGAGCTGCCGTCTGGAGGGCCCCTCCAAGGAGGAAGATGATGGCCCCGATCAGGATCGTCATGCGGCGCCCGAACCAGTCTCCAGTCGGCCCAGCGAAGGCGGCACCGAAAAAGGCACCGCCTGTGAACAAACTCACAACGACGCCACTGCATGGTGTTGGGGGTTTGCTCAGTTAGCCCTCTTCACCAGCCAACAGCATATGTCCCTTGTGCACGAGAATAAGCCCACGGGCAAAACTAACGTTTCGGCAGGGGTCGGGTTGAACAGCTCCTGGTAGGAGCTGCTGCCCACCACTTCTGCTATGACACCGAGGTCATATCCAAACAACGCAGAGCCGAGCGACGCAAAGATGCTGACGAGAAACTGTTACCGGGGTCGTCGGAGTTAGTGCGAAGACTGCATCACAAAGCGTCAACAATGGGCTGCTTGTTGGTATTCGGACCTGGTATGTGTGCGGGTTGAGCCCCATCTTTCCAGGCAGCACCGCGGTGCTAGAGAGACGGCTTAGATACTGCGAGCTTCAGGGTGTGGCCAATATGGTTATCTAGAGATGTCCAAGGCATGACAAAAAAAAAAAAAGGGCCTCGCTGACAGTCATGCCAGCTCATATACAAAATGGGCATGTGACCCTGGCCTATGCTGCCCTCCCGTCTCCTGCTACCTTGCCGCCACGCCTCCGCGAAGGATCATATGGCATGGAGGCCAACGTTTCATCGCGCAACCATGCCCTAAAACCTACATCTCTGCTCCAGCAGGTGGCTGGCTGGATGGCTTACCTACTCCGCACTGCGGGGGAACCACCCGACCAGATTTCCCGGGTAGGCTCCGGGCCCATGCCAGAACCTCGGGGCTCCCCTCGCCCAAATCGTCGGAAACCTCGGTCAGGATTGCTGGGGTTTCTCCGCGCTGCGGTAGCGAGTGAGTGAGACGTGTGTGGGGGAAACACAGTAGCGTGTTGTTAGAGGGGCCTCGGTGTAAGTCGACGCAAGCGCGCCAATCAGCGGGCGCGCCCCGATCAATCAATTCCCACCACTGACGATGCTTCACCAGATGGAGAACTACGGTTGCGGTTGAGTGTCGTCCGATGTCGTGGGGTGACTATCGGATTATTCTCTGAGCATGGGGTTTATTTGCTGCTCGTGTTTATGTGGTACTCAAACTCTGTGTCGCAGGAATTGGAGGCGTGACAGCATCGTTATTTTGAGCCGCAGAACCTCTTTTGAATTCACCCCCTCGCCCATCCCCAGCATACCACCCACGCACGCTTCGTTGCCAACTGCCGCTGATTGCCTGTCATGACCACATTTACCAAGGTCTCCGACGAGGAGACGCCGATCATCCATGTCGATGCAGACAGGAAGATCTCCAAGATCGACCGCATGATCTATGGTGGCTTCACCGAGTATGCCCCCGCCTTCCCCGAGCTACGAATGCCGCAGTGCCGATGCGTCGCGTGAAACCACCTATTAATACCACCAGACATATGGGCCGCTGTATCTACGGCGGCATTTATGACCCGAAAAGCCCCCTGGCCGACGCCAACGGGTTCCGCACCGATGTGATCGAGGCGCTGCGCGAGATCGACGTGCCCGTGATCCGCTACCCGGGCGGCAACTTTGTGGCGACGTACCACTGGCAGGACGGCGTGGGCCCGCGCGACAAGCGCCCGCGCCGGCCCGAGCTGGCGTGGCTGGGCGTCGAGACTAACGAGTTCGGCACCGACGAGTTCATGACCTGGCTCGACCTTCTGAGCAAGGGGCGCGAGAGGCGCGTCGAACCCTACCTGTGCCTCAACATGGGCACCGGAACCCTGGACGAGGCCCTAGCCTGGGTCGAGTACTGCAACGGCACGGGGGACACTCACTACGCCAATATGAGACGAAAGAACGGGCACCCGGAGCCGTACAAGGTGAAGTACTGTAAGCTTGGCTGTCCGCTCACTACTCTGCCGGCCCGTAAAGCGGCAGGCGGCCTGCCGGATGAGTGACTGAGCAGGCAAACCAATAGGGGCACTAGGAAACGAGGTCTGGGGCCCGTGGCAAATCGAGCAGATGACGCAAAAGGACTACGCAAAGAAGGCGATCCAGTGGTCCAAGGCGCTGCGGTTGCTGGACCCGTCGATAAAGCTGATCCTGTGCGGCAAGACGGGCATCTCGTCGTGGGACCAGTACGTGCTGAACGAGTGCGTCGGGGCGGTAGATATGCACTCGATCCACATCTACACGGCGGCCGCCTCGCACCTGGCCAACGCCGTTGCGCCGCTGAGCGCTGAGCGCGCCATCCTGGCGACGGCGGGCATGATCGAGGTGGCGCGCGTTGAGAAGGACGTCAGCCCGGACGCGCCGCCCACGAGGATCTGCTTCGACGAGTGGAACGTCTGGGACCCGGAGCGGGCGCCGGGGGAGCAGGGGGCCGAGGAGAAGTACACGCTCAGCGACGCGCTGGCCGTGGGCGTGTGGCTCAACGTCTTTGTGCGGCAGTCGCGCTGGGTGGGCATGGCCAACCTCGCGCAGTCGGTCAACGTCATCAGCCCGCTCACCACGTCGGCCGCGGGGCTGCTGAGGCACACGACGTGGTGGCCGCTGCTGCTCTTCGCCCGCCACGTTAGGGGGTGGACGCTCGGCTGCCACGTCCGCTGCGGGAGCTACGGCGGCGAGACGCGGCCGGCCTGGCTGCGCGGCGCCCTCGAGGACGGCGCGCCGTGGCTCGACGTCAGCGCGTCCGTCGACGGCGACGGCTGGGTTAGCCTGGCCGTCGTCAACATCCACGAGACCGCAAGCTTCGAGACCGAGGTCAGGGGGGCTGGCGCCAAGGTGGACGTGTACACGGTGACGGGGGAGTCTGCCGACGTGGTCAACACGGAGGGCAACGAGGTTGTGGGCATCAAGGAAAGCAGCTGGGATGGGAAGGGCAAATTTAGCTTTCCAAGGCTGTCTTTGACCATGTTGCGATGGAAGTCGGGTTGAATTGTAGTTTGCACACCTAAGTGACCCCTGTACCTGTTAGCGCATCATCCCATCGCTGCCTGGAGCCCCACCCCGGCTCAAGGCTCCCCGCTGCCTGGAGCGCGTCTTGGAGGAGCTGAACCCCGCGTTCAGCTCCAGCTGAGCTGCACGCTTTTTGACCAGCCCATAAACCACACCGTCGTTTTTTTTCTCTTGTAAACAAACTGCTGGTGCCCAAACCTCAAGCAATCGCGAAAAGCAAAGAGCTGCCCACAACACCAAAACTCGAGAGGAACCCCCGCAAACAGACTGAAGCCATGGATCAGATGTCAACGCCCCGCGTCAACTGCGGCCTGCTGAACGCCTATGTCGGGCGCAATGTCATGGTGATAGGCAAGGTCCAGCAACTCCGCGGCGACGTCGCCCTGATCGACGCCGACGGCAACATTACGGCCAGCCTCAACCGCGTATGTTGCTCGCAGTGCTTCCTTCAACCTTTCGGTGAGGACTCAGCCTGCTAACTCGATAACTATGGGGCCGCACCAGGACTCCCACCTACTCGTCGGCAACGCCGCCCAGCTCATTGGCAAGGTCAACCCGGACTTGTCCTTGAAGGTTCTCACCTCGATGGACCTGGGGTCCAACGTCGGTATGTATCATCTGCGCTGCGGCGAGGCCCGGGTAATGTGCTTCCTTGTGTCGCAACACAACTGACCGACTCCGTTCCCTTCACATCAAGACATGTCCCTCTGCCGGTCGGTCGTCGAGGTGGCGCAGAAGCTCAAGCCGATGTTCGAGTCGGAGCCCAGTCAGCAGCATTGACGGTCCTCTGCCGGCGGGGGGTCGTCCCAAGGGACGAGAGGGGGAGGAGGAGGTCCGGCGCCGGCCAGGCGTGTCACCATGCTGTGGCCGGACGCCGCCGCCGGCTCTGAACAACAACAAGACCACAACAAAAAACAACAGCAAGAACAGAAGCAAAAGAAGAAGCAGCCGGACCGCTCGTCGCCGCAAGCCAGCGGACGTCTCCCGTCGCCACCGTCGTCTTCGTGCTCCGACGAGATGGACCACGAGCCGGAATCGTTGCCTCCTACGCAATCGCCAGTACCACATCGTCACAGATCGCGCGCAGAGTCTGTGTCATCGGCCGCCACGTACATAGGCCGGAATCCACACGTGCATTCACCATCTCAAACTTCATATGAGGAGGAGAAGGAGGAGGGGCTGACCCGTCCACTGTCTCCAGCGCCACGTTGGGAAGAGGAGGAGGAGAGAAAGGAAAGTGAGGCGCAACAAGAGGAGACACCCCGACGCGTCGCCCGGGGCAGTCGCCGCACTAGGGGCGGGGGTTCTAATAGTAAAAGAAAGGTGGTCGACAAGGGCAAGACTGTAGAGACCGCATCGGCACCGCCCAAAGCGGTCCCGCCAGCGAAGAAGGCGGCGGCAGGCCCTGGCCGCCGTCGCCGAGGCAAGGCCGTGGACGTGGACGCGGGGACCGTGCGCCGTGACGTCGAGGCCGTGGGTAAGGGTGTTCGCCGTGACGAGCCTGCCGATATCGACCTTGGCAATCCCGACGACGGTGACGATTACGACGATTCGGAGCTGCTCGACTCGATCCTCGACGGCATCGCGACTGTTAGCGTTAGCGCCGCCGTCAAGCTGGACGACGCGGGCCGCTGGCGGGTGCTCAGACAATCTGGAAATCCCAGGTTTTAATAAATGGACTTCTAACAAGATAAAAGAGCCCCTTATCATCTTGTGCTTGTGTGATGTTAGCTGCGGTGAAGCCAAGATGGCGAAGTTTAAATTAGACTACGTTACTAAAACCTTATATACCCTGATTTGCCGCCGGGCTATGCTCCCAAAAATGGCCTTACTTCCCACCTGACCATCGGGAAACTGATCTTCAAGGAAACCCCCCACGTGGCACCCAAGCACCGTATGGTGCATCGAGGGGTGTGAGTATGCATGTCCTTGCCATGCGGCCTGCGTGACGGCGTCACTGCTGTGACACAGGCGGTCTAGCTAGACATGTGCTACCACAGACACCAAGAGGGAATTGACATGTAGAATATATTGAATGTACCCTCATAATTGCGTCCGCTAGTGTATTGAGCGGGAGTCGGCCAAAGCGAAGAGTGAAGCACGTGCCAAGGTGATCAAAGTTGACTTATTCTTGCATCTGATTTTCTACTCGTTTCTTTGCGATGCGAGAAGAGAAGCAGCTACCTAATTCTACCTAATGGGATCTTTCATGTTGCGTCATGGGTTTGTTTCCTCTGTCCAGACAAAAAAAAAGGCATGCCAAAAGCGGCCGGTTTCCTCAACCCAGGGGGTATATCGCCCGATCAAGGTACTAAGCAAACCCTAAACAAAACAAGCAAAGTCTCTGCTCCTGAGAGCTAGATATTCCCAACAAAAAATTGAGACTTCAATACAAACACACCAAGGCATAAAACGCCGGCTCATGCAGAAGGGCCCAGGAGTAGGGAGACAATTCGAAAGCAAGAAGGCCAAGGACAAAAAAAGCAAAGGGCTGAGGAACATTGTTCCAGGGCCAAGTCCTATTAAAGACGGACGAAAACATAGAGGGTGCGAATGGAGGAGTTGTGTGGCGTTCAAGCAGGGGCCTCCACAGAGTGGCCCTCGCCATCCGTAGGCGCCGTATCGTTGTCGACTTGCGACCACAGCTCCCACGAGGCCTCGAAAGCCGCGGCCTGCGACGAGGATACGCCATCCCCCCGCATGAGAAGTGGAGGGGAGCTGGGCATGGCCATGTCCGTGTTAAGGTAGCTGCCAAAGTCCATGGTCGCCGCCGAGGCCGAGAAGTGGGCATTGATCTGATCGAGATCAGCAAGGCCATGCGATGGGGAACCCGAGGTGAAGTCGTTGGCTTCCGAGAGAAGCTGGTTGATGGTTGCCGTGAAAGGCGAATCACACACGCCACCTGCCCCGAGGTTCATGTCGTCGGGAGCAAAGTGCGCGTGTAGGTTCTGACGGCTAGGCGTCTGCCTGACGCTGCTCCTACCGGGCGTCTTGCAGGGCGTGCGCTGCAGGCCGGCCAGGGCCTGACTGGGAGATAGCGGGATTGCCCTCGCTGAAGAGCGGATCGACTTCGAAATACTCCTAGTAATCGGTCGGTGGCTCGGCGTGGGGCGCGTCGGCGTCTTAAAGGGACCGCTGCCAGATGTCGAGTCGTTGGGGGTTGGTGTGGATGGTCGGGCCGGCGGGGTGCCAAAGAGGTCCGCCATGTCGGTATCGCGTAGCTTGGGCGTTACAGGAACCTTCTTAAGGTCCTCGAGGCCGACTTCCTTATCGCCACCCTTGAGCCTCGTAAACTCGGGGCCGGTCCTGACGATGTTAACCGCCATCTCACCAAGCACCTTGGGCATGTTGTCTTTCCTCGGCGAGGGGAAGAGCAGCCTTCGCGTTTGCCCGAGATCGTCCTCGACCGGGATTGGGCTGTCAGCCGTCCCGCTGCCCCTCGAGTGTGTCGATCCCGGGCCCCGCGAGTTTGGGGACCCCGTAGGTTCAGTTACGCGCTCCCCCGATTTTCTAGCCACGTTGGTGGCTGTCTGGGAGGCATCGGCCATCTCCTCGTCAACATCGGCCTGGTCATAGCTAGGTCCGATCGGGTCGGTCTTGTAGCAGGCTTCAGATGTGAGAGTTGTTTGCTGGTCGTTTTTGGTCCGCTGTCTCTTGGATCGCGAGCCGTTGCTGGAGCCTTTGGACGGGTCTCGCTTTCGGCGGGGCTGGTTCAGCCGGGACTGGTCCTTCTCCCACCGGTCAGGGGGTCGATGGCTCTTGAACTTGCCAAGCCAGATGCCGCAGGGGTTGCACAGCAGCATCTCGACCCACTTGTGCTTATCCTCCCCTGGTCCAAGAGACTTCTTCACCAGCCGATACGACGTCGGCTTGCCCTCGCCATCTCGCTCTAGGATGTCTATGGCAGTCACCTGCCCAGGCTTCTCAGAGTAGTCGTAAAACTCGGGAGTGCCCTTGTGATCCTGGGTCCACATTTTGCGCCACGTAGGCGTCTCGATTGCGCCGCAGTTGGTGCAGAACGGAGGCATCTCACCAGACTCGATGGCTTGCTCTAACCTTTCCTTAATGGTCTGCTTCTTGACATAGTTCTTGTTGGCTATGCTCTGTTCCTGTATCGTGTCGCTGGGCGGGCACGGAGCCTCGGAGAACGACACCTGGGGCAGGGTCAATAGCGCAGAGGGTCCAGCTGGATCGCTTGCTGGTGGTGCCGATTTTGTTTCATGGGCAGCCGGGGTGGACCTTGACCCTGACGAGCCCGATCGCGATGCAGTCTTGGGAGGTTTCATGGCAGGCAGCTCGGGCTCTGGAACAGATGGGGTCTCCTCGAGGACATTTGTCTGGGAAGAGACTTCCCTGAGAAGGGCGACCGGTTCTAGGGGTTCCTCGGGTGTCAGACGGGTGATGGCCGAGTCGGCCGAGGGCTCCTCCACGGATGGTCGGACCTCATCGACGAGTTGTGACATGGGCGGGGTTTGTTGATCTTGAGGTTCCTCTGCAGCCGTTTTTTGAGCTCTGGGCTCGGCATTGAAACGCTTCGGTTTCGGGGCGCTGGCGTCTACCTTCCGCTTCTGACCGGGCGGGTTGTACAGGCTAGTGACTGGAAGAAGCTCTGGAGGGCCAGGTGTCACTTCTTGAAATGGGAATCCATGGTACTGCGGTCGACTGTTGCCGCCTTTCTTGGGTACTGGCTTCGCAAGAGGAGCCAGCCGAGATGATATATCATCCTGCTTAGACTGAGGCGCTTGGGGCGGTAGTGACAGGAGATCCTCGTTGTCGAAGGGCCCCTCAATACCGCCACTCATGAACCCCGAATCCTGCTGAGGACGCGGTAGCCGTGGCAGGACAGGGCTCGAAACCATCGGACTGGAGCACGGGTATGCTACCGACCTGGGAACCGGCGGGGAGGAACCTAGATCAGCCGGGCTCTCATCCGGCGTGTATACCTGTTCTGATGCGGCGATGGACTCGGTTGGCGATCGAGCGTCCTGGGGAGTTGGCATCTGCATACTGGACTCGGTTGGTAGGTTGGGATATATTATGGAACCATCAGCACTAGTGATGGAGTCTCGCCTGGATAGTGTCGACGCCGGCTTCTTTCGCTGCCGTGGCAGCTTCTTGTCGTTTGGGCCCTGCGGAACTGGTGTGGGCGCGCGTGGTCCCTCATGCAGATGGCTTCCAGATACCCCTTCGATTCCTGCACCCACAGGCCGCATTGCCCTCAAAGAGCCGGAAGTGGCAGCAACAACCCGCAACGAGTCAGCGGTCGACTCCATTGGGGCTTTGTCCTCAGACCAGTCGGCCTTGGTGGTCTTGGCTCTTTTTCTACGGGACCCATCGTCCACGTCTGTTGGATCCTCAGCAGCAGACGTGTTTCCATCGGCCACGGGCTTCTTCTTTGGCGGGCGACCTCGTGGTCGGCCCGTGGGTGCCCTTGACCTCGAGGCTCGGGAAGAAGGCCGGGATGGTTTGGCAACTGGTGCCACCATGGGCTCCACAATGTCTGGAGTCCCCGTTCTGGCCGAGATCGGCACAAAGCCATCACTAGGGATTTCCTGGGACTGGTGCTGCTGAAGCTGCTGACGTTGATGATTTTGGTATTCGTGCTGCGGCTGCTGGGGCTGAGGTTGCAGCTGCTGTTGATAGTGCGGCTGAGGGTGCATTTGTTGCGGGTGGGTCTGGGGCATCTGAGGCGCTCCTGGTGCCAGCTGATTCGGGTTCGGAGGTTGTGCCTGGCCCTGACGGGGCGCCGGGGCGAGAGGAACAGATCCCGGGCGGGAACGGGGAACTTGTGAGTAGTAAGGTTGAGATGGCGCAGTATTCGTTGGGGGTGCCGGGCCCATGTTGGTACGCTGCCCCAGATTCGGGTTCGACTGGATGAAGGAATTCCATTCAGATGTGTCGGTCGGGGTCGGAGCGTTGTTCATAACCTGCTGCTGCGGTTGTTGGGGGTACTGCTGCTGTTGTGGCTGCCTTTTTGGCACCGAGGCTAACTTCAGCTTGACCTCGAGTGTCTCACGGGCGCCGCCGCCAAATACAGCCAGCAAATTCTTGGTCACCCGGCCAGTGACCATCTTGGGCTCCTCGTTCGGTTGTGATGGCTCGAGTCCCCGAGAGAACATTCCCTGTCCGACCAGCGGGGTGTCCGTTTCTGAGTAGTCGTAGGCATAGACCGTGTAGTCCATCTCGTGCTGGCCAACGATTTCAGGGCTGCACTGCGCAATGGCCTGTAGGCATAACCTCAAGTCGACGACACCGATCGAGCTCGTTTCGTCCAGAGGGATGGTCTGGATGGGCATGACCTGCGGCCAGCGTGCCAGGCAGTTGTCTAGGCTGTCGCGGAAGCTGTACAGAACCTTGACTGCAGCGGTGAACAGCAACCATGCCGGTTAGCCGAGTCGCGCGGCGAGCTGGGGATCACCCAGCATCTCCAGCTGGCTTCATTTCGGGCGCCTTACCTCCCATCGGCCTGGTCTGCATGCCAAAATCGTCGCGCTCGGGGGCGGCAGGCGGTTGCGGTTGGAATTGGGGGTGTGAGCTGCCACCCATCCAACCGCCGCCACCGCCTCCATTGCCGCTGTGGCCGGTCGGGAACGGTGAAGAGGCCATATCGGTCGGTGGCTTCGTTTCCGTCGCTGCGTCGGCGACGAGGAAGGCCGTAAACGACAAAATAGACTCGCAGCAGCAGCGACAAGCTTTTCAATGGCCTGGTCCTTGCTGTCGTCGTCGTTACCGGGATCAGTTATGCGTTTGGTCGTCGGGAAGTCAGGCAGCACCACTAGTTGGAATGAGTGGATGTGGGTGCCCAGAATTTGGTCTTGACCGTCGTCCGGAGAACTGAGAGAGAATATGAATGGGTCCGAATGCCAATTGAGGCGGAGGCGGTGGACGTGCGGCGCAATTATGATCCCTGGCCCAGATCGCGACAAGCGCGTACGGGTCGCGTTTGGCTGCCCAGTGGAGCAGACAATCGGCTAAGACAGAAATCGACGCCAAAAGTGGATGACGAAATGCGAGGGACGTAGCGATGGCTCGTGCGGGTGCGACATGGATCTTGATGGCTTGCAGGAATAGGCTTCCATTCCCCGCCGTCGCGGTAATTGACAAGAAGAAGAAAAAAGATATGAGATGCTGTCGTGATATTCGTGACGGGATAAAAGTCAATTGTCAAATCCAGCCTCGAGGGGCGTTGTGATGAGAGCTTCAAACACGCCCAAAGGGGAAGCTACGCGCTGCGGGACGTGTCTTTCGGGAACGCCAGAAGTGGGGCCCGGAGCGTTTGAACAAGGTGTGCCAGGGAACATGGAAGCACCGCGGACGCGCCTGGGGAAAACGCGCCAGCAGCACGAACCTGGCGTCAGCGCCTGGGCGGGCGCCCGTGCTTGGTTGTTGTGCCGGGGCTCCCTGGCTTGGAAGCGAGATGCCGGAGATGTGGGGCGCGCCGCTTTAGGCTTACTCGTGGGATGGGGTTTTGGGGCGGGGTGCAAACCGTTCGATTGGCGGTTGCGTCAGCACACCTTGCCAAGTCCCAAATGGCCGGCTTTCCGCACCAGATGGAAGCTCGAAAATCCGAGAGCTGTTTGAGCTGTTAGGCAACAGCCCAAACGCCGACAAAAGACAGGAAAAATGCTAAGGGGATTTCAGTCGGTTTTTATCGGTCCCCCGCGACAGCGGGGCCTCCTATTTATAATTTTTCGGTGCTCCATGCCACTACTGCAAACGCCCCGGTCGCCAGCAGGCGAAATCAAATGACTCAGCCGAGTTTCGAGGCCAGAGGAAGCGTAACCTCGTTGCACGTCCAACAGCTAGCCTGCCCCGACCACCCCACCGCCACGGGTGCCGAATGTCGACGCTGAGTGAAGGCATCGACAGCGCAAAATATAGTTAAATCTCGTTTGCACAATTACAGCGCCAACTAACCGGCAGCAAATATCGTCACAATATTCACACGCTCCATACATCCAACTATACAGATCTCTCTTTACAGTTAAGGATTAGACTCTTCAATCAGTAAATCCAAGTCGCCTCCTCGTTAGAGCCCTTTTGTGTCTTCCGGTACACGATCTCGCTCACAACCTCCTTGACGCCCAACTTGGCCTTGGTCTTGTCGACAAAGTGTTTGATGATGTCATGCTGGCTGCGAGGGATGCTGTCCTTGAGAAGGTCGTGCACGTCCTTCTCACGGGGTAGGCCCAATTCGCGGTGTGGGTACTGGTAAAAGTCAAGGTCGGTGAGGAACTTGATGGGCTCGGGCGTCGCCTCGGGCTCGGGCTGTCTCAAGAATGCCCTGACATCCGAGTCCTTGATCTCATCGAGAGTGGCTGGCTTCCACTTTGGTTGTGTGGCCGGCTTGTTGATCAGCTTGGCCGTCACGCCTTCGGTGAAGTCCGGGGAGGCCATGAACTTGGCCGCGAGCAGGTGCTCGCGCTCAAAGACCTTCCGAATCGACCAGCCCTCTGCCATGCGCATCTGCAGCAGGCTCACGTGCACCGCCGTCGGCGAACGCTGGCGGAGCGTCTCCAGCGTTCGCGTGGCCCACTTCTTGATCGGCTCATCGGGGCCCTGCTCCTCAGTCTCCAGGGCGCTGATGATCCGCGGAATCGAGTCCTTGCTGAAGCACCGGTCGATGGCCTTGCGCAGGTCACCGGATATGCACATGGGTTTGTCGTGCGGCAGGCCCGTCGCGTACTCCTCGATGGTTGCGCTGATGTGGGCCAGCCGCAGGTCCAGCGGGTCGTCGTCCATAAACCTCAGCTCGGCCAGGCGCGACTCCAGCATGGGCAGGCTGGTCGAGTGCATGTAGTGCGTGGCGATGCCCGTGTAGAAGACGTCGACGCCCTTGAGCCGGTCGCTCGTCAGCGCCAGGTAGGTGCCGACGGCGCCGTCCATGCGGGGCAGGAAGAAGGACGCGCCGACGTCGGGGAAAAAGCCGATGTCGGTCTCGGGCATGGCGAAGACGCTCCGCTCCGTCGCGATGCGCAGCGGCGCATGCACGCTCAGCCCGACGCCGCCGCCCATGGTGATGCCGTCCATGAAGGCCACGTAGGGGGTTTGGTAAGTTGCGATCAGGTGGTCGAGCGCATACTCGTGCGCAAAGTAATTGTTCGACTTGGCCTGGCCCTCGGGCCCCTTGACGTTGTTCTTGGCCAGCGCCGCCACGTCCCCGCCGGCGCAGAAGGCCTTGTCGCCGGCGCCCTTCATGACGACGACGTTGGCCATGTCCGACTTTTGCCACTCGAGCAGCCGCGGCGTTATCTTCTCGATCATGCTGCCGTTTAGCGAGTTGAGCTTCCCCGGCCGGTTTAGCTCGATTGTGCGGAGGCCATAGTGGCTGTTGAAGAGGACATCCTCCTCGCTCGCGGCCTGCGACGACATCTGTGTGCGGGGAAGGCTGCGTGAGCTTGCTGCTCCAGGTTCTTCGTTCTTCGTGGTGGGAGGGACTAGCATGCATGTTGCCAACGCACTCGTGATCGGGACTCCGGCTGCCGAGCTACGATCTTTGCCCTCAGTGGCATTGCGAAGCAGCCTCTCCAGGCCTTGGGGGTGGCACACGGCGCTGCCGAGGCCGCTCTGCTGAACAGAGCTTTGGAAAACATCAAAGTCGGAAACGAGGCCAGCCCGGGGATAGAAACTCGTCGGAAGAGTCGGCTTCTCGGCAATTCGCAGCTGCAGAGCTTCTCATTGAGGGATTGTGCTGAGGTCGGCAATTGCTTCTACCTGCTCGGTCTTGATCGGGTCAATGGGTTTGATAGGGTGCACTTCAGTTTGGCCGGTGCTTGCCGCAAATTTCACCGATCCCAGCCGCGCTTCCCCCAGCTCTTGGATGTGGCTTTGCGGTACCCACTCCACCTGTCCCTCACCGAGTTCAGCCTCATCGCGTTCTCAATTATCAGAGCTCGGGCAGATCTTCCAACTCTCCGCAACTAGAATCCCCTCCTCAGCTAGCTTTGCGACCAGAGGCATCACGCACACACACACACACGCGCAGTCATGGCTGACACAAAGATTCAGTAAGGATATCTCCTCCCGACCGGCAGAACAAAAGCAGATTCTTTCTCGTACTAACATAGCCATCCAGAGAACTGCTCACGAAGCCGCGAAACGAGCTCACGTATGTTCCCGCCGACCCCCGCCACCCCGCGGCGCACCCAGCGGCCGCATTGCCGCCGCACCGAGACCTCCCCTCTAGCCCTACTTTGGCGCGCCGGCGCCATTTGCCGTCCAGCTGCTGACCCCGCCCCGCCACGATGACAGCGAGTACGAGATCGCACAGCTCGAGGAGCATGAGTTCAGCGCCGGGCCGCTCTCCATTCTGCAGACCGCAGTGCGCAGCCACGCACAGGTCCTAATATCGATCCGCAACAACCGGAAGCTGCTTGCGCGTGTCAAGGCGTTCGACCGCCACTGCAACATGGTGTTGGAGAACGTGAAGGAGATGTGGACGGAGACGCCGCGACTGGCGAACGGAAAGAAGGGCAGGCCGGTCAACAAGGACCGCTTCATCAGCAAAATGTATGGGTTTTCATTTCAGTCGTTCACCGCCCTCCCTCCCCCGCCCTGCATTACAACTTATTGAACAACCCGTGCGCTGCTTTCCGTGGCGCTGCGCCTCTACCAGACCACTGCTAACATCCGACTGCAAATAGGTTCCTAAGAGGTGACTCGGTTATTCTGGTTCTTCTGAGCTGATATATCCCTCTGTTCTCTTGGCTTTCAACTTTCACGGTTCATGATCAGTGGTCTATTGAGATTCTGTGGCTCTGTATTTGCGCGGGACCTCTGTTTCGGGCATAAAAGGCGTTCATACCAAACAAAATCTCGAGGGCAAAGGCAGCGATGGCGCCCGATTCCTCCCTGACTGGATATCCAGTATTCTTCATGCACAGTGCAGAAATATGTGGAAGGCGTAGAGCCCAGGAAAGGCTGGCTGGGTAGGTAGTCGGCCACGACTACCGATCAACGCATCATGCAACCAAATCATCATGTATTGATATCGAGAACGTAAGGTATCACTCCTGCTACCAAGTAGCGGCACCTATTTTTCCTGCGGCAGCCCTGCCAGACCCAAGAAGAAACTCGCCAGCCCCCATGCACCAGGATCCGGCACCTGCTCGAACCCGGAGCCGCCCACGTAGACGGACCTTCCAAGGCTGGCCTGCATGCCCTTGGTGCTCTCGGCACCTTCGCGCGCTGCGAGCGTTGCCTTTGCCAGGTCGCCCGTCTGGCTCAGGGTCTCGACAAAGGGGTGGAGAGCGTCGACCAGGGTGCGGTCGCCGGGCCTGGCGGGCGTGTACGCGCTGAGGCCCTCGGAGCTGCGCTTCAGGGCCTCGGCCCAGACCTGCGGCGTCGCCGCCGTCGCCTTTTCGCGGGCCGCGACGTCCTTGAGGGCGCGCACGAGGGCGTTCAGGTAGATGGCGTAGAGAGCGCCCGAGGTGCCGTCCATGGACTTCTCGACGATGGCCACGATATTTGCAACGTCGACGGCGGCGTCGCCCGAAAGGGGCTTGCTGGCGAGGTGTTGGAGAACAGCTGGGCGGACCTGGGTTAGCTTTGCTTGTTTTCACGCTGTTGTCCTCCTTTGCAAAATGCACGTACCTTCGGCACCCCTCTTCAGACCGATGCCACAGTCACCGTCCCCGACCACGGTGTCGTACTCGGTAACCTCGGCTTCTACTGAGATGACCCTCTCCAGCGCCGCCGTGAGCGCCTTTTGGGCTGCGGCGGCATCAATCTTGAGGCCGCTCGGCTGGACCTCCTTCTGCTCGTCGGCGTTGCCCTCCCTTGTGGCCGAGTTCTTGGAGCCCCACGACTCGGCCGAGATGGGAGCCGACCAGCCCGTGGCCTCGCAAGGGTCGTCGAGGAGCTGCACTAGGCTCACGCCGCCCTCGATGCCCGCGTCGACGCCGGCGTCGAGCAGCGAGATGCTGAAGCCGTTGCCGTTCAGGCTCGTCATGTAGGTGCCGCTGAGGATCCTGACGGGCCGGATGCCCCACGTCTTCTCCAGCTGCGCCACCACCTCGGCCGTGACGCCGCCCATCTCCAGCACGCTGACGCCGCCGAGATTGTTCACCATGAGCACCACCTTTGGGCTGCCGCTTGCCATCTTCACAAAGGCCCGGTCCTGGTCCTTCTGGTCTAGCAGCTGCGCCAGCATGCGCTCCACCAGCGCCGGCAGCTCGAGCCGGTCCCGCCCGGACCCGGCCTCGTTGTGGATTCCCATGCCTATCTCAACCTCGCCCTGGGCCAGCCCGTCGTCGTCACCTATGGTCTTACGGCCCGGGACGTGGACGTGCTCCAGGCTGGCGCCGACGCTGGCCAGGTTCGCCGCTGCCAGGCGAGCGACCCGGGCGACTTCGCTCAGCGAGGCGCCCCTGGCGGCCAGCGCGCCGCTGACCTTGTGCACTAGCACGGTGCCTGCGATTCCGCGGCGGCCCTGTTGGTCGGTTTGAATCAGCCGTCGCTCGCTATAGTGTGTGTTTCCCAGGGTGCAAGCGAAACGGCAGGGGGGTAGAGGGGTGTGGTAGTTACGTACGACCTTGCCGCCACGTGCGCGGCCGACGCCGACGTCGTCGCCGACAACGACCATCTCGACGTCGACGCCCTGCGCGCGGGCCTTCTCGACGGCGACGCCAAAGTTGAGGATGTCGCCGGTGTAGTTCATGACAGTGACGAGCACGCCGCCCTTGTCGGCATGGTCGACGCGGCCGGTGATGGCGATGCGCACCTGGTCCGTCGACGGGCTTGCAAAGATGGTGCCCGCGACGGCGGCCGACAGCAGGCCCCGGCCGACCATGCCCGCGAACGACGGCTCGTGGCCTGAGCCGCCGCCGCTGATGATGGCCACGGGCTGCTTCTGCGCGGGGTCCGGGCGCAGGTAGACGATCTTGTTGGCCTCGTCTAGCGCCGTCCTGGGGTTGGTTAGCGTCACGGCGCGCAGGGCCGTGTTGACCAGCAGGGTCGGGTCGTTGATGAAGTGTCTGGCCGACATTCTGACGGCCCTAGGCGCGCGGAGACCCGCTGGTTTTACAGGAAAGGCGTGGTTTTTGTGATGCCTTCTGGCTGGCCTTGGCCTGAATAAGAGTACCTCGCGCAGCTCAAGCCGGTCGCGTATTATCGAGGAGCTTTCTTGCGTCAGGCTCAAGTCTTACGATCCGTCGTCCCCCCTGGGTGGAACGCCTCGATGGGGAGGGGAGGTCGGCCCCATTATATCCCCGCAGCCTTCCCAGCAAACCAACTGCCCGAGGCCTTGTGCCTGTGGCACCCGGCAGCTCGGAAAAGCATTGGCAGCTGGTGGCATGACGAGCGATGCGGGGGAAGCTCCTCCTCGGCGAGAAGTCGGTCGGGGAGCTCCTGCCGAATTTCGGGCCTAGGTCTTGGAACCCCCAAGAATGCGGGGTTTGACCCCCAAAGTTTGGATATGGCTATGGGGGCTTGCGAGTGAGCGGCAAGACTTGCCTGAACAGGCAGGTATGGAGCTTCATCAAGCACATTTCCGAGCATAAAAAACCAGCAACTGGGCACATCCGAGTGCTTCACGTCCCCTGTAAATACCGCCATCTGTCCTTGAAAAAATCGCTATGCTATTCATGCCGGCCACACGGTGGCTATGCTAAAACCATGAACTACAAAATTGTACATTTGACTGAGGCTCAGGGTCAGAAAACCAAAACCGCCAGCCATCGGATCATTACATCTCGCAACCGGGGTATCCAAGAAGAGAATAGAAGAAAAAGGCGCGGACAAGGAGGAGACAGGTTTACATGATCAAGAAGATGCTGAAGCCAGTGATGCTTAGCGCAAGCGCCGACGTCAGGAACCCAGCCGCGACCTTGCCGCTCGTCGTGATGGGCTCAAACTGCACCTCCTTCTTCTCCGCCAGGCCGGCGTTGACGTCGCCCTGGGACGTGCCGCCGTTGGCGCCCGTGACGGGCACGAACGCCATCGGCGGCTCGTCGTCGCCCCCACTGCTACCACCCCCACTCCCGCCACCGCCGCCGCCGTTGCCACCGCCACCCCCGCCGCCCCGGTCACCCCCGCCGGTGTTTCCGCCGCCGCCCGGCGCGGCCGTGCTCTCCCTGGGGAGGGCGAGGGTGTACATGAGGGCGCCGAGAGCGTTCATCTGCTCGCCGACGCCAACGTCGCCGTCAAAGGCGGGCACGCCCGGCGCCTGAACCCAGCTGAAGCCGCAGGCGGTGCCGGGCACGCCGTTGAACCCCTTGGCCGGGCTGCCGCTGCAGGCTTTGGGCACGAGCTCGGCATGGCCGCGCAGCTGGGCGGCGATGCGCTCGGCGGTGAAGGGGGCCAGGGCGGCGGTGCCGGCCATCCAACGCGTCAGGTAGCCCTTGAAGGAGCGCTGGTCGTTGTTGCACAGGTTGACGCCCTCGCACGCGGGCTCGAACATGGCGGTGCCGTTGAAGAAGATTTCGCTGTTGCGGTTGACGATGCCGTCAACGCGGCTGCGCCACTTGTCGTTGCCCGTCATGTTGTACATGAAGGCGGAGCCGTGCAGGAAGATGCCGGCGTTGTAGGACCACTGGATCACGTCGTGCTTGGTGCAGTTGATGCCCGACTCGACCGAGGCGCCGTCGTAGAAGTCGAACTCGGGCGAGATGAGCTTGACCGACTCGGTCCAGTCCCACACGCGCTCGGCCCACTCGGCGTACGTCTGGTTGCCCGTAAAGCGGGCCAGGCGCGCGGCCAGGTTGAAGAAGCAGCCGTTGGAGATAGAGTTCTTGTAGTTGAAGCCGTTGTTGAAGGTGAAGATCTGCCACCGCAGCCCCCCGCCGCACGTGGCCGTGTCCCAGCGCGTGACGTACTGGTTAAAGACGGCCTGCGCGAGCGCCAGCCACTGCGCCTGACCCGGCGGCGGGTCCGGGAACCTATTCTCGGCGGCGCTCATGGCCGCCATGGCCCAGAAGCCCTGGTCGTCGTTTCCTTCCGTCTTGGTCTGGTTCTTTGGCATAAAGTCCCTGAGCTCACCGGCCTGGTGAAGCATCGCCTGTATCGTGACGTCGCTATATGTTTTATCCCCCGTCAAGAACTGATAGTCGATCATGGTTCCAAACATGGCACCGGCCTCCCACCCTGTTGGCGTGCGCTTGTTAGTCGAGGAGGCCCCTTTTCAGAGGAGAAACGTACAAGACGGAGCGGGCGAGGGTAGAGCAACCTACAGTAGTATGGGTCTGGCAGGTTACCAGGGATTTGTCCCGTATTATTTCCAGCGTAGTACTTCATTAAACCAAACGCGACCGTGCTTGCGGCTGTCCTAACCGAACTGGGGTTCTTTATATCAACTTGAATGGCGGCATTGGCCACTGGCAGCTGTGTCAGGAGGCATGCCGCCGCGGCGACTCTTCTTAATAACCTCATGGCGAGGGATGTGAGGTCCGAGTTGAAAGGAAGGAAACTGGAAAAGGAGGTGACGGATTCGGCAAAGCAGCACGAGACTCGGATCTCAAGAGATGCCCGGGTTCATGCTCTGGTCGGTATGTGTGGTGAACAAAAAAAAAACGAAGGTCCCGAAGGCCGGATTAGTGTATAGGGCACTGTCCAGCAATGGTGTATGTGGGTGATATATCGTCTTCGCTGTCACCTGGACGCGGCCTAGGAAAAGGAAATCGGGAGATAGGAAATTCGGCCGGCTCGTCCAGGAGCAAGCATGTAGGGAAAGTCAACAACAAAAGAGGACGAGAGGGGAAAAAAAGGGAAAGCAATGAAAAGAAAGAAAGAAAAACGCTTTGCTTCAAGGCTCCATGTTACGAAGGTGAACAACACAAACTGTCTAACAAACAGACAGCGGCGTCGAGTCCTTGAGTGGTGGGAGAAGGAACAAAAGACGGACAGGAGTGAGAATGAGAAAACAAGACGAAAAAGAGAAGGCCAGAGCGAGAACGCAGCAACCCCCCGCAAGCGAACCAGGTGCGGGTGGGCGGCGATGGAGATCAACGGGGATCTTCACAAAGGCCGCCGCCATTTTTGGGGGAGAGGCGCTCCGGAATCCAGGTTTGGCCCACCTGTACCCTGGCCCCGGCCCCGGCCCTGGCCAACCTCGGGCCCTACCTGGCGGGCGCTTGCGTTGCGTTCACGATGTGCCACTGAGGTCGACAGGTGGGCGCCGCCTGGGCAAAAAAAAAAAAAAAAAAGAAGCGTGCTTCTTGCTGCGGCGGATACACACCCCAGTTCTTGGAAAACGGCAAGCGAAAGAAAAAGCTTGGACGCGCGGCTGTGGGTTGCAAGCGAGGCTCTGGCATCCTTGGCTGGAACGGCTAGGCTTGAAACATGTCGAGTCTGAGCTTTGCCTGAAAGCCGCGGCCGGTTGGACCCTCCCGCCATATGGGCCCACGTGCATAGGGAAGAGAGGGCAGGGTACATGGCCTCAAACCTTGGCCGATCCCGCCCATCCGAAGATCGACGGAGGGGGGCCGCCTTCTGTGCTGATGCCCGCCGCCCGGTTCTGCGTTGACGTTGTTGTCTATGTGGTACAGATAAAAAGTATGGGCGCTCGTTTCCGGGCTGGGTCTGGTGGTCCACCGCTTGACTTCTCCGATATGGCCATAGGTATTGATCCGTCAGCGGCCAATCTCGTATGCCCAAACCGAATGGCCGGGAGCGCGGGCAGAGGCGGCCTAGGCGACTCATGCGGGCGCCCGTTGTCTGTCTGTGCATCCGCAGGGGCGCAGGGGTTGGTGACTTTTCTCGGAGGCTAGGCAAAAATGGCACAGAAGGGGGGTCCAGATCTGGCAAAGTTGGCGCCTGCCAAGCCAATGGGCTGTCTTTCGCCAAGCCACTGCACATCGTCGACGACTCGCACGCTAACAGGAATGACAGCCTTCACCATCCATGTGTGCGCCAAAGGAGGCAGAGAAAAATGATATCGAATTCCCATCCAGACGTCACATTCCTTCCTCCCCCCTTTTTTTTTTTTTATCTTGCTTGTCCCAACTCCGATTAATGTCCCGTCCCGCGCGCGCCGGCAAGCATCTCCCAGCACCCATGTGAACAGCTCCCAAACGAACAGCCCCCGACGATCCGAAACGACTCCCAGAGAAACCCACTGCGTGCTCAAACGTGGCTCAGTTCTTCTGCTTGTGCTTCTTCACCGGGGGCTGGTCCGCCGCAGTCGAGGCATCCTCCGTGTCCTCGTCCATGGACTCGTAGTCCATCTCGCTGCCGTCGTCCTGCTCTTGAGCCGCCACTATACCCGCCAGTTGCGACGTCAGCATGCAAATAGAAAGATGGCGGGGGGAGGGGCGCAGAGGAGTGGCAAATGCAGGGAGTAGGTAGCACTGCTGTGCTAGAGCTACATGGAGAGGGGAGATGTTGACTTACGGAAGTACTTGACGGCATCCTGCCAGAGGTCCTCGACAATGCAGACGGCAAGCTCGTCGCCGCCCGGGAAGATCTCGAGCGGGTCCTCGTCCTCGTCGTCATCATCGTCTTCGGCGTCCTCGTCCTCGTCGTCCGGGACCTCCTTGCCCTCGGCCCGGAGGCGCCGGTTCTCCTTCTCCTTCTTGGTCTGCACACGGCTCTCCTCGGCCGAGACATTCTTGCCGCGGTAGCCGAACCAGGCGAAGAAGCTGACGCCGCCCGAGCCGCCCGACTCCTCGAGTTTCTTGGCGAGCGCCTTCTCCGAGGCCGTGAGCTCCTGCCTGTCCTTGGACGCGGCGGCGCCCGGCTTGTGGTCCTCATCCCAGACGGCCTTGACGGCGTCGAGCAGGCCGTTGGTCAGGTCCTTGCCCTCCTTCCACTTGAGGTTGACGGGCTCGCTGACGAGGCCGGACCAGGAGCCGCCCTTGGCGCGGCGGTACCAGAACTTCTTCTCGACCATCTTGTCCTCGAAGTGGTCGTTCTCGCCGAACTCGAACTTGATGGACACACTGCGCGGGTCGCCATTGGCCGGGTCGGCGGCGTCGCCCTCGATCTCAAAGTGCGAGACGTGGATCGACTTGAGCGCCGCCATGAGCAGCGCCGCGTCGGTCGGCTGGACGTACTCGTCCACATCGGGCGGCGCCTGCTCGAAGACAAGGGGCCAGAAGTTGGGGATGCCCGCCACCACCTTTGCGCGCTTCTCGTAGATGGGCTTGTTAAGCTTCACCTGGTGACGGACTGGTTGCGTGCGCGCGCGCGTTGTTGTTAGACAGAGCCATCTGATTTGGGGCGCGGCCCCAGAGTGACGCATCCTCCTAGGTAAACTTGCGACTCACTGATCTCGACTTCGGTCTCATCAAAGGCCTCCTGGATCTCAAAGAGCTGCTCAAAGGTAACCGAGCTGCCCTCGAGCTGGAGATCTAATGCGGAAGTCATGGCTGTGGATTTTTTTGCGACGTAAAGGACCTGATTCCTAGGTATCTCTACTGGATGGTTGTGGGTAGGTTGTATATAAAAAAAAGTTGCGACCGACGGGAGACGGGAAGTGAGAGGTGCTATCAGCAGCTTTCTCACGGCTTTTTTTTTCCTGCCGTCCCTCGCAATTTTTTCTTCCCCTCAAATCTCTTTTAAGCGTTCGCATATGCAACTCCATCATACTGGAGATGCTATGGCCAGACTGCTGCCACTCAAAAACGATGATTGGTTGAAGCTCTGGGGGAGATGCCTGCCAAGGGCTTGCAGCTTCACCGCTTTGAGCCCCGAAAACCCTTCCAGGAGCCTGGTTGATCCAGGGACGCACGCAAGCGGCGACGCCCCCAAGCCTGGTACCTGATTTATTTCGGTCCTCGTGCGTGTGAAAGATTTTTTTTTTTTTTTTTTCATTCTCCCCTCTGACGTTCCCATTTTTTTCTTTTTTCTGCCACAAAGTTTTTATGGCTGCCAAACCTCTCCCGCCCCCCCCCCCCCCCTTGAATTAGGTTGAGACAGCGAACGTTACCTCCAGGGATGAGTGACCCCGCTCTCAGGTTGTGCTGTTGCTGATGCGGTCATCATTTGCCCCTCGATGTCATGTTTGCCATGTGCGTTGTGCACTGCCATGCCATGACCTCCATCATCTTTATCAGCGTTCAGCCTTGTGTGATACGACGATACATGCATTGTAGGTGGGGTGGTAGGTACCTACACCAGTATGCGCAGATAAGTATCTGTGGAGAAAGAAAAGAGAAGAAGTTGCTGCTGCTTGGGTATACACCTAGAAAAGTGACTTGAAAAGGATTTTCCTTCCTCACCGTTGCTGAACAAATACGTGTTCATCTCATCTTCCCAAAACCTACATCTCATGATAATTGATCTACTGTTTCCGTCTGGTCTCAAACCCAGATGGCCGGTGAGCGCGGCAGTGAATTCTTCCAGCATGACTAGTCCGTTGTCGGTGTCCTGCAGCTCCCTTTTTGCTGTTCGTTATCTCTCCAATTCACGCCGATGACTAAACGATTCCGCTCTCTAGCCTGCAACCGAGTTACTATGGGGTAATACCGCCGCAGCTCCTGGTTCTTTTCGGTCGTCGGTCCTGGAATTCTGTGGAGAGCCAGCGCCGGACCCGGAGGCCCACTGGGTGGCAATCGCCCTAGTGAATTCGACCTAGAAGTCCAAGTTGAAAAAGGACCAAGTGCCCAAGCAAGAAAAAACAAAGACTTGACGGGCCGGTGTGGCTGTAGTTTCTTTGGCGCTACTGCTGGAAACCGAGACAAACACAGGACCCTCTAGCAATCAAGATACACCATATCCGGCCACCGCCAAGTATTGTTTATCTACTACACGCACACCCGCCTCATAACTTCTTGGCCGAGCGAGCGCTCCGTACCAGTACCAGATTCTAGAGCTAAACACCAAGCAGAGCTGCTTCTCCCCCCACGCCCCCTAGCCTCCCAATCACATCCACCTTCCAGCAACATGGCCAGCGGACTCCCGGCAATGGGGCAGCCTACCGCCCCGGGGCGGGCGAGCCCCAAGTCTTCTTACCCAGAGTCCCGCGTCTTGATCATCATTACGGGCGGTACCATCTGCATGCAGCCGTCCGAGGACGGCCTGGTTCCTGTTAATGGCTTCCTGGAGCATGCCATGGCCCCGCGGCCCTCGTTCAATGACTTGTCTCCCGGCCAAGGTAGGAGAACCCAACTGTTCAGGCCGCCGTGCCGTTCCTATCCCAGAGTAGTGCTAGTCGACTTACACGTGGCGGCGCATAGGCAACGAGCTCCACGCCTACCACAATGGAAAGATGCTCAGTCTCCCCAGTCTCAGGACGCCCTTGAGCTCGTACTCTAGGCATATCCGATACTGCGCCTTGGAGTTCAACCCGCTGCTGGACTCGAGCTCCATCTCGTCTGCAGGCTGGGCCGAGATTGCCCAGACGGTCAAGGAGAACTACCGGCTGTTCGACGGGTTCGTCGTGCTCCATGGCACCGACTCGCTGGCCTACTCGGCTTCTGCCCTGTCCTTCATGATGTCCGACCTCGGCAAGCCTGTCATCCTCACGGGCTCACAGGCGTCCATCTTTGCCCTCCAGTCGGATGCGACCGACAACCTGCTGGGATCACTAATCATTGCCGGAACCTTCATCATCCCCGAGGTCTGCCTGTTCTTCCACCACACGCTCTACCGTGGCAACCGGACCACCAAGGTCTCGGCCTCGGCATTCGCAGCCTTTGACAGCCCCAACTTTCCGCCCCTGGCCAAGGTGACGAGCCTGGGCGTCGACGTAAACTGGTCACTGGTGCGCCGGCCTACTAGGATCGCCGGCTTCCAGGTGAAGACTTACCTCGACACTCAACACGTCGCCTGCATCCGCATCTTTCCCGGCATCAAGCCCGAAATGCTGGATTCGGTCCTGCATGTGGAGGGTCTCAAGGGCCTCATCCTCGAGACCTTTGGCATGGGCAACGCCCCCGGGGGCATCGACGGCAGCTTCACCAAGGTCATCCGCTCGGCCGTAGAGCGCGGCATTGTCATAATCAATGTCAGCCAGTGCACCAACGGTTTCGTGTCGCCGCTGTACGCCCCCGGCACGGCTCTGGGCCGGGCGGGTGTCGTATTCGGGCAGGACCTGACGACCGAGGGCGCGCTGACCAAGCTCTCGTACCTGCTTGCGCTCGAGGGCCTCTCGTACACCGAGATAGTGGGCATGATGGCGCAGTCGCTGAGGGGCGAGATGACCGAGTCGGCGCAGCCGACCTTCTCCCACCCTGGCGGCAGTTTCATGGAGGGACGGTCGCGGCAAAACTCGGTCGGCGCGGGCCCCAAGAGCCCGCTGACGGAGGTGGAGACGCGCTTCACGGAGCTCGGGTACGCGATCCAGAACGGCGACCTAGCCAGGGTGCGGGAGATGCTGGCGAGCGACGAGGCGACGGGCCAGCAGCTGCTCAAACGGTCCGACTATGCGGGCAACACGGCGGTGCACCTGGCGGCGGTGGGGCCGACGGCCGAGGTGCTGCGGGACCTGCTCATGAGGGGCGCGAGCGTGCACGTGCGCAACCGGGCCAACAACACCCCCCTCTTCCTGGCCGAGAAGATGGGCAACAGCGGCTGCGTCGAGCTGCTGCGGGAGGCGGGCGCGCACCTGACCGAGTACGAGGCCGAGCAGCAGCGACAGCGGCAGCAGCAGCAGAACCAGCAGCCGTCGCCCAAGCGGCAGAAGACGGAGACGAACTAGGGGACCCTGTGTGTCCGGGCAAACCTGGCCGCAGAGGTGACGTGTTGTTGGATCACGTCGTATCGGTCGGGATGTTTTCCTTTTTTTTTTTTCGCTCTCGTGTCAAGGCAACACAGACACTGCTGTGTTGGACCCTGATTCATTGGCTGTATCATTGGCAACGAGCCTTCCTTTAAAGATTCAACAGGCGCCTCGGCATCCCGTTACGGCGTCTCGAGCTGGGAATGTCGAGGGTGGTGGCAGACGGCAACCGTAGCCGCGCGGCCAGGACCACTGGCCATAACCCCGCATATCGCCCCCCCCTACCAACCCAGTACCTAGGTACCGTGCCTAGCTAAGGTAGGTATTCGGCCTGGCCCAACGAATGGCGCGCACAAACGGGGATAGTTTCCGGTCGCGTTTATCGGCCGCGGTCTCTTTTGTCGGCCTCGCAGTGTTGGGTGGCTCAAGCGGCTGGGATCCATAGGGTCCAGGACGATTCCAGGCGAAGCCGGTGGAGGAGCCCCGCCATTTGCCGTCAATGGGATGCGCAAACACTCGCCGCAGACCTGCCTCAGTCTCTCTTTCGGCCCGCTGCAGTCTCTTTCCGGCAGTGACACGCATCCGGCCAGGAGACGGCCAAGGAGGGGGTTTCGTCGGGTTCGAGTTTGGACAACAGGAATGGTTGGCGACCTCCGTTTTGGAAGAGGCAGCCCGAGTCGGAAGGCCGAAACAGCCTTGCCGAGCCATCCTTTGCGAGTTTTTGGGCGAGGGAGTGGGAACCTAGGTAGCCGACATTTAAAGGAACAACAGCACACCTCCAAGTAGCCTCATTGGGCGAAGCCGCGCTCTAATTTCACTGTGCAGCTTGTGCCCGGAGACAGTGCGCGTGGATGCCTTCGCTCTCCACCAACAGCCAGCCACCTGCACCTGCCTGAAAAGGGCTGCCGCCACGGCACGAGCTGGGTCAGCATCGGTCGACACCCCTGCAAGCAGTCCTGAAGGAGGGAGACCGGGAAGCCGGACATGAGCTGGGGTCGCTTACCCCTAGGCTTGGAAGATGCAGCCAGCCACTGTGCCGCAATCCTAATCAGGCGGCAACTAAATGCACTCCTCCCGCGTAGATCGATGCAGATGTCACAATCGCATTGGAGCGGCTTTTAATTTTGGATCTGAGATTTGGGGGCGAAACCGGTGTGTGTGCCGGCAACGACAAGTGGCGCGCCCATGCTACGTGGTGTCTGTGTTTTTTTTTTGTTGTTGTTCGCCATTGCTTCTGTACCTGCCAACTTCGCCTCCAGTTCTTAAGCCTCCTTCTTGTCGCCAACTCCGTGCCGAGGAGGATGGGGTGGCGGAGGCATTTCCCTGTGTAACTGCGCGAGCGAGCGGGTGCCGTCATCACCACCATTTCATTCACAATTGCCTGTTAGGGGTGGGTGCCCGACATGGTCATCCGGTCGCACTGGATTTTCCATCCCACGTCAAACGGCCGGGCTTTGTGGCAGTCGTGTCGCCCTGTCCGTCGCACTGGCGCGCGGTTAGAGTGCGTGTCGTTGGCTGACCATGCTGGGTGTTTGTGTGTCGTGGGACAAAAGGCGGAGAATAACACGCAGTGGCACCAACGACCACATGGGCCACATATCCTCCGCAGGCTCATGGAAGTCGCTCGAATAGGTAAATAATGCATGTTTGCGTGTCGCCCTTTACTTCGTTCTCGTATTACGGGGCTGCCTCGGCACACCCATCCTCGAGGCCATCCCCTCCGTCATAAGCCCGTAAGGAAAGCAGAGGGCTGGCTGACCGAGATTCGATCGGACAGAGCACCGTACTTCGTCTTTGGAAACGGATACGTTTTGGAAACGGATACGTCGGGTATTGATTCGTTTTCATGGCTCAGCCCTATGCGTGCAGCTCCTCCATCGGGCCCGGGTGTTCCTTCCCTCTGCCCTGTGGCCCTCGTGTTCCCGGATCCTCACCCGAAGTGCCCTGTCCTGTCGGGCGGGCGGGCAGACTTGGAGTACAAGTTATAAGAGCGAGGTGGCCCCTGGTCTGGACACCCACCTCCTAGCCCTAAGGGTCTAGTGGTATAACATCAATTTTCATTGATTACGCCCACATGCTGTCACCTTAGCTGGCAGCCCAGCTCAGTTGTCCGGGCTCCACTGCATAGGGCAAGTGATTTAAGGAGGGGAGCTAAGCAAATTTAGGCAGGGAAACGTCTCCATCGCGATTTCCTCGTTGCGTTCGGGCTAGGTAGCCCCTGCCCGCAGCACCCAACGCATCCATCCCGCAGCCAACCTCCCTTCTTCTGATGACCCCCCATTCCAATCGTCAGCCGGGCACCTTCACGTTTTTAATGTTGTAACGCTCCAAATTGCCACCCAAAAGCCGTGGAACGCCAGTACGGCCAGGCCACGAGCGTGTTGGGTTGCGCCTTAGCTCTGGGACTCTGCATGGTGCAGTTTTGAGCGGACTAGCTCTGACCCGAGGCCTTTGGCCCATCTCCCTCGCTCAACCCAGCACATCCTCCATACCTACCTAGCCACCTACCCTGGCCCGTCATGTTGGCGGCCCCCGTCGTACGAGCCGAGGCCTGTTTGGCCATGACACGCCTCACACCTAACTGCTACCTTGGTTATCTAGCTTCAAAAAGCGTGGAGCGGTTCCATTGACGCCGCCTCGGCTCCCAAGGCCTTGCAAGCCCACCGGCCTAACAGTCACCGGCCCAGCCATTCGCCGTTTGTCTTGTTCATCTCGTTAGAGGCGGCTCTGGCCTGCAAAGCACTTGACCGTGGATTCCATCTTACACCCCATGGAGTCAAGTCACCCCCCCATGCTGACCTGCAGGACAGCCGAGCTGCTTGGCCTCCTTTTCTCTCGGCCTGGCCGAACTCTTCAAGGTCCCGGAAGGATCGAGTTACTGGACTTTTGCCACATCACCAACACTCACTCATGATGAGACGGACTGGGCTTCGTCGGAATTCACCTACCTAGCCTGCTTCGCGGCCTTGACTCCCCACTTGTGTGCCCAAACATACCTCACTCCACATCACCACAACCTTCCAGAATCGGGTTATCGGGCATAGGTAACACCATAGGTAGGGTGTATAAGTACGTTGAGGAGCCTCAAATGCCGCGTGCCGTCGACAGCAGCTTGTCTCACAAACCGCCTCTTATTGCCCTACCCACAACCCCGGCAAGAAGAGGGCCGCCTGCGGAATATATACGCCGAGTCTTTCCCCGCATTAGGCTCTGTTAGCACTACTGGCGTCATGGATTTCGACGCCATTCTCAAAGACCTCCTGCCCTCCCTCGACAATATCACGGCGACAATGTCGGCCAGCGCCAGCAGCGGTGCCGCCAACGGCACCGGCACTGGCACCGCGGGCAACGCGGGTATCCAGCTCCCCATCGGGTTCGAGAAGCTCATGCCCCTGTTCGGTGCACAGATCAACCCCTTCTTGCACACCTTCATGGCCATGAACTCCACCTTTGGCGCCTATCTGGGTCTCGACCTCGCCGCAATAGTTGCCTTCTTGGGCCTGCTCTGGGCAGCGGGCCGGCTGGCCCGTCAGGCATGGGACCTCGTTTACGGCCTGGTTGAGGAGTATCTGATGGCCTCGATACATATCAGCAGCGACGACGATATCCACCAACAGGTCCTGAAGTGGCTGGCCGCCCAGCCTCACGTCAGCAATGCGCGATCTCTCATGGCCGAATCGTCTACGACGGGTGCCTGGGAGGAGCAGAGCACAAACGAGGCCAGGCAACACGTGCCGGTCCGCGCCCTCGACGGTGATGGAGGGGACTTGTACCTCAACTTCTCATACCAGCACGCGACCACGGTAAGTTCTAATGCGACTCGGGTGAGCTCCCAAGTGGAGAATATGCGCTGATGCGGCGATATGCAGCCTCCCCGCTATGTCCCAGCCATGGGTAGCCACGGCTTTTGGTTCAGAGGGACGTACTTTTGCGTTTACCGGAAGCGAGACAGTATGCTCGCCAGCAGCAGCAGCACCCCCTTTGGTGCCTCGGTGGTCAAAGATACAGAGACCATGGTACTTTCCTGCTTCTCTTTCACTGCCGAGCCGATCAAAAGGCTACTTCAACACGTGAGGCAGGACTACTTCAAGGAGAACTTTGTTCGCACTGTCATCAAGCGACCCAACACGTCTATGATGCGCAGGTTCGGAGGGAGGAACTCGTGGTCCACAGTGGCCAACCGGCCCGTCAGGCCCATGTCTACTGTTGTGCTTGACCACAAGCAAAAGCGCCAGCTCCTGTCCGATATTAACGAGTACCTGCATCCGGCGACTCCTCTGTGGTATGCCACCCGCGGCATCCCCTTGCGCCGGGGATACCTCTTCCACGGGCCTCCGGGCACGGGCAAAACGTCGCTGTCGTTTGCACTCGCCGGTGTTTTCGGTCTCGATATATTCGTCATCAGCCTACTAGACCCGGCGCTGACCGAGGAGGACTTGGTGCTGCTCTTCAACAGCCTGCCGCGACGGTGTGTTGTGCTTTTAGAGGACATTGATACGGCCGGTCTGAGCCGCCCCGACGACGATGGTGACAGCAAGGATGACAAGGATGACAAGGACACCAAGAGCGGCACGAATGGAAGGGGCGATGAGAACGATGACGATGGTAAATCAGAAGACGATGGCGCCGGAAAGCAGACCGAAGGGAGCGGCAACGCGAAGGAGGATGATAAAGCTAAGGCCGCTCATCTCACTCGCCAAAGCGACAAGAAGCCTGCGAGGTCCGGAACGGCGACCGCCAGAGCAAAGCGCGGTGGCCTCGGAATGGGCGGGCACGGTATGGAGAACGAGGGTAACGGCATCTCGCTTTCGGGCTTGCTCAACGCCATCGACGGCGTGGCATCGCATGAGGGAAGAGTGCTTATCATGACCACAAACCGACCCGAGGTTCTGGACGAGGCCTTGATTCGGCCCGGCAGAGTCGATCTACAGGTCGCCTTTGGCAACGCCACCCAGCGCCAGGCCTGCGAGCTGTTCCAGCGAATGTACGAGGCCAGCCAGCCCCGGTGGACACAACAGGCCCCTGCACCGGCTAGCATGCGGCAGCCACGAAAGCAGCACAAGTCCGAGGACATGGGAGGCTCGATGGACAGGCCTTTTGGGGCCACATCTCTGATGAGTGCCCTGCACTCGAAGCTGGAAGCACTGGCTACCACAATCGCCAATCTCACTAGCGGGGTGGAGGGTGGTAACGATGGCGACATTGAGTTTACCACGGACCACGGAGGAGCGTTTGTCCATGTCGACACCGACGAGAAGAACGAGGCCAGCGTGCACAGCAGCGCTAGCGAGGAGAGCGAGGAGAGTGAGGAGGCCTTCACTGACCTCAAGGAGCTGGCGCGGATAGCGACCGCCTTCGGTGCTAAGATCCCTGACTGCTGCTTCTCGCCCGCCGAGATCCAGGGCTTCCTCCTCAAACGCAAAAAGGACCCGCGTCGCGCGCTCCGCGAAGCCGAAGGCTGGGTCGCCCACATGGTGGAGCAGAAGGCGAGTAAAAGCAAGATCCTTCAGGTGCAGTGAGGCCGGATGCTTGCTCGCGAGGAGACCTGACTAGACGTATGCGTCGCATCCTCCTGTTCTATTAGCATTTATTATCCTTCGTTTCTAGGACTTGTCTTTTATAAAACCTACATTCTTTTGTCATTGCTGTGAGATTCTCTTGCATCTTCTTTTTCGGCTTTGGCTTGGCCTGGGTTGTACACGCATCATCTAATAGACACTTTAGACGGCCGTTTGCTTTGCACACAGCATAGATTACGCACGTTTTGTATTTGCGAGGCTGGGATGGAGCCGCTGCCCGAAACCGTTCTGGTATTAGAATGTTGCGACTGACAGATGTTCACGCTGGATGGTGATGTCAGATTTTGGTCTCTGATCCAAAACCTGCGCCACGACCCCCTTTAGAGGATGATTCTGGGTGTTCGGTCCAAGGCAATCAAAATGGCCACGCAGGCAGGTCACAACATAGGAGCAAACATGGGCCGCACCCAAACCTCGATATATATTCATCCGATTTTACACCCCTGGCGCGCTTCGTTAATGCGTGTTTTGCTATGGGAACGCTGTGTCATGGTCTTTCGATGCTCCTTCTCCTTTTACTTCAAACATGCCTCGCTGGGAAACCGATATTGGGTAAAATCTGATGCTCGCTAGCCCCTGTTCCTACTAGGGCTCCTGTGGACCCTGCGAGACGATCTTTCTGTTATGAGCTGGTGGCTGGTGACTTCATCGTATCCGATGATCTGCATGAGGTAGTAGAGCCTGTGAACATGCACCTTGGTTAGCACTCGACTCAAGCGCTTAAACGCATGCACAACAGAGGCAAAGAGAGAAGAAAAACAAGACCTACTTTTCTTCCATGGCAACCTGGGCTTTGGTGTCCTCAAAGCGCTGCTGGCACTCCATCCAGGCGACGGCGCGGGCGCGGGGCTCGATGTGCTTGACCGAGAAGCGGAAGCGGCCGCTGACGGGCCTGTGGTCCGACACACGCACCTCGTGGCGGCGGTAGTCGAGCTGCGTGATGCGGCCGCGGGCGCCGCGGTGCAGCAGGCGGTCGCACCAGGCGGGCGAGCGTTTCTTCTCGGACGAGTCATAGTTGTCGGTCCCGACGTCGTACTTGTACGTCGGCGCGAACGAGATGGCGGCCTCCTCAAAGGCGCGCAGGCGGAAGGCCGGGTTGCGCCGCCGCGCCACCAGGAGCTGGTCGCGCTCCAGAAGCTTGGCGAGGTTGCCGGCCTTGACGGCCATGACGACAGTGTCGCGCGACATCGTGTCGATGCGGTAGTTGAGGTCGCCGTTGATGAGGCAGAGCTCGTGGTCCAGGATCATGGTGCCGTCGCCGCCGCCGATGAAGTTGTCAATGCGCGTGTTGGGGTCGCGCTCGACGGGCAGGATGGCAGCCTCGAGGATGGCATGTATGTCGTTGTGCCGGCTCTGCGCCTGCGTCTGTCCGGCCGCTAGATGACAGTTGACGAAGCAAAGCGACGTGTCGTCGAGCGTGAAGCGCACCACGATGGCGCCCTTGTTGCCGTGCAGGCCGCCCATGCCGCGCTTGACCTCGGCCGCGCTCAGATTGCGGATGCGGTCGCGGATGTCGGCCTTGACGAAGATGCACGTGAAAAGACCGACCATGTGCGCCGTCTGTAGGAGGTGGTACAGTTCGCCCGGCATGTAGTCGTCGAGGCTGCGCACCAGGAAGTCGCGCCAGTCGCGGTACTGGTGGCTCATGCGCTCCTGATCCGACCCCTCCTTCTTCTTCTTGGTCTTGAGGAACCGCTTGGCCGTTGCCGTCTTGTCTTCTAGGTCAACGAGCTCTTGGAAGCCGAATACCAGGATGTCGGGCGAGTCACTGCTCTGCAGGAGTTGCTGTATGAAGGTGGCGTCACTGTCCGAGTAGCGCAGGCTGTTGGGCGTCGATGCGCCGGCATTCCATGTCATGATCATGGCCTTGAGCTGCTCCATTTGACAGTACTCGCCGTCCTTGGACTGCATCTTGTCCTCAAGCCAGTCCTCCTGCAGCAAGCCGTCCCAAGCTCGGATCATGCTGTCGGCGCCAAGAGAGATGACCTGACTCCGCTCCGTCTTCCAGAAACTCGACCGGTCTGGTATTAGTTTGACTACGGGGTTGTCGTGCGCCTGCCAGTCCTTCTTGACCACCCACGGAGACTGCGTGATGTCGTAGACGCAGAGACGACCCGAGTTGAAGCCGGCCCAGATGTGGTCGCCCACGCCTGCCAGCGTGTTGACCTTGAAGGAGCTAATGTTGAAGAGGCCTACGCAAGAGTAGTCTGCTCTAGAGTAGATGCTGACCTTGCCGTCCCCATGGCCAAGGAAGACCTTGTCCGGGTCGGAGGGCATCAGGGTTCCCGACACCACATCCCCTGCCTGCTCTTGGTAGAGGGCGCGTATGAGCACCTGGAACTGGTTCCTGCCGTCCATGGTGGGCAAGAATATGCGCACCTCCTTTCCGGTCGCGTGCCACAGCTCGTCCCCGACGACAATGGAGAAGGTGTGCCCCTTGGGGCACCTGAATGCCTGGTGCGGGGGCCCTGCCATGTTGGGCACTCCGGTCTCCTCGTCAGGCCCCCAGACGTTGAGAGTGCCTGCTTCGTCCAGCGTCCAGAGCTCGTTGAAGTGCCGGTAGATCTTGATGATCTCGTGACGCCCATGTGCCGCTGGCTTGCTGGCCACGATGCTCTGAGTGGCAATGTCAGCCTCCATAAGCTCGCCCACATTGTTCCCAATCCAGACCCTCGCGCCTTCCTCGTCGACGTTGGCTCCCGGCCTAAAGGCGACGGCGGTGGCCTTGACGTTTTCGCCGTGCGATAGACTCATCAAGAGCTCGCCGTCTAGGACGCTCCAGACCCGTGTCAGGTGGCCGCTAGTACACACTAGCTCGCCGCAGACGTCGAATATGCGGCTGTCGTATTTGGTGTGGATCTCGTGGACGCCCTGCTTGATGAAGGGCGGCCGTCGGTTGGTATTGGAAGAGTCGGGGTAAGCTAGGTTGATCTCGGTCCTGGCCCCGGAGCCAGCCGGGCTCTCAGGCACCCTGTTTTCCGACACTGCGGGCATGGCGGGCGGCCCGGGCGGCGGCGGCGGCGGCGGCGGCGCGCGGAGGCTCGTTGACCTATCGAGTGTCGTAGTCCTGCCATGTGCTCTTTGCGGAGGCGGCGGGTGCTGCTGTGACGTAGGTGTGGACACGGCCCTTTTCTGAGCGGCGGGAATCTGGCTGTCGTTGGCGCCCGACTTCGGCGGCCTGGGCGGTGGCCTCATGACCGAATAGCCATTGTGCGTTGGGGCCGGCTGCTTCTGCTCCTGTGGAGGCGCACCGGGTCGGGTCGGGAGTGGCGGCCCCTGGTCACCGGTGCCCTGTGGCGTAAGAGGTCCTCTTGATGCACCAGCTCCCCCCACCACCCTCAGCGCCGCGCCGTTTGCCATATCATGTTCCCTCTCTTTCCGCCTACTCGCGATAGACGGGTGCAGGGGCGGGGGATCGAATTCAACCTGTATCGCGCTCCCTCTCCGAGGTATGTCATCGGCGGTGGGCGTCCCTGCGGGCTTTGGCCGGGCGGGGAGCGTGGGAGGCGGATCCTCATCAACGCTGCCGTTACTGCTAGGGGGGCTGCCAAAGGGCGATTTGGTCTCGACAAAGCGGCGGGCGAAGTCGGGGGAGTTCAAGGATGTGTCGGACCCTAGGTAGGACAATCTCGCCGGGATCAGGGGTTTGTCCGCGCGGTTTATTGGCGGAGGCACTGGCTTGACATCTCGATCGCGCTCACGCTCTCTCTTGAGTTCCGCGGACCGCCGCGGCGGCGGTGGAGACGGGGGCTGTGACGGGACTAGCCGAGGCGACCTCCGGGGCTCAAAGACGGGTGTGTGTGGGGTGCTGCTGGGAATCTTGAAAGGACGCGACGGCGTGGCGGGCGTGGATGGCTTAACAAGCGAATCCGGATTTAGGAAGCTGCCCGCAAAGCCGCCGGCAAGGTCTCCTGTGGCTATACGGAGCGACCTCCCTCTAGGCGGTGACCGCGGGGGCTGCACGTGGAGGGAGGGCGCGCCCACGTTGGCAGGGCTCGGGCTTAGCCTCGGAGGCGGCACGGCACGGGAGTTAAGATGGGGCTCGGGGTTGGGAGCGCTGGGAATGCGGGCGGGCGGCTTTGCCCTCGGCGGTGGCGGCGCCTCGTGGACGTGGGCGGGCGGCTCTCGTGGTCGGTCGGGCTTGTGCACGGGAGAGGCAGCGCGCGTAGGAACGGGGGATCCGGAGCCGCTGGACTGGTCCGGGCCCTTGCCCATGTTCTCGAAGTGCGATCTCAGCGAGGAGACGGGCTTCTGTGGGCCGTCACGTCAGGCATCAGCGACATGTCTCTTGTGGAGGGATGAAGGGGGTTGTGCTCTGGGGCTACGGACCAGTGACGAGCCATCAGGCCCGTCTCGTCCGTCGGCCATGGACGGGATGCGGTGAGAGGAGCGGTCGGAGATGGGGATTCCCAGAGGGTGCTTGGGAGCACGACAGGAGCGGATATCAACGGGCAAGTCTACCCATCACACCGGCAACGTCTCGGCCTAGCACTCATAAAGCAGCTGGGGGCTCGCGGGTCCATCAAGGGGAGCAGCCGCGGAGGCGCGCTGGGAGGCCAGTTGGAGGGTCGGGCAGGTCGGGGAGGCTGAGCGGTCGAGGTAGGTATGATGTTGAGAGGCGGGGAGTGAGTGACGGTACGAGGTGTGAGCGAGGTGTGGAGAAAAGGCCCAGCAGAGGCGACGGTGGAGCTGGGAGTGACAATTGGCAATTGGCATGCAGATTGGGTAGGATAAAATAGCATAAAATTCGGTCCCTAGCGAACAGAGCTGGGCGCTGGCGTCGGCGGACTACAGTGCAGCGAGGCGCGACCGAGAGAACCAGACGACGTAAAATATGGAAAGCACCAAATATGCTCCGTCGGTCAGGCTGCATCGTCAGAGAAGGCTTGGCTGGCGGGAGTTGGCGGGCAATGCATGGGCCCCCACTAAACAATGGGTACAAGGTCACCAGTGACACGGGCATGGCCCTGCGTCCAGAACGCCCATCGCTCTCGTCAAAGGCATAATCCATAATCGTGCATGTCGTGCCTGGCAGGCCTCGTGAGCGCTCCCAACAGGCCCCTCGCCGCCGCGGGAGCACAGCCGGACTCTCGCCCAGGCAGCTGGCGGCGACACGATGGACATCGCCACAAGGGTCAGCCCAGCACTGCCCGCCAGGTATTTGGCATACGTCAAGAGGGGTGCAACAGATACGTGGTCAAGAGCAGTCGCTCTCGACATAAGCGGACAGTGTGCGAGTGTTACGTAGCTTGGCCCACGACCTGTCCCTGGCCGGTAAGTTGCTGCTGCAGCCTGTGTTTCAGAGTTCTGCCCGTGCGCTAGATCAGACGCGGCCCCACCGTCTTTTGGTACATTGCGCCACAGACCAAATGTAGTCGCCACAGCGCACAGGCCAGGGCTGTTGATAGTTGTGGCTGCCCGTAGGCATACACATTATTCCTCAACCCGCCATCCGGCCCTGCAGCCGAATGCGCCCCGACCCATCCCGGCAAGTGGCCTGATTCCCCGTCCAAGCTGTCCCCCGTTCCGCGCGAAAGCGGAGCTGCGGAAAAGAAAAAAGGTTCAAATCTACGGAGCTTGCACCTTCCATCAACAGCTTTGTTTTGTCCGGACAAGAACATCCCAGAACGTTGTGCTTGTTAAATAGACATTCCTCTCTCCGCCATTGGTCCCTAAGCCAAGCTTGCTCTCCCTCGCTCGCCAACTCAGCTCTCCGCGACCTTCAAACAACGTCATTGCCAACCTACAACCAACCGACCTGCACCAGACAAGACATCGCCGCCACCATGAACACGGTACGCTCTCTGCTTTTGCCCTCCACTCACGCTTGCGGCTCTAACAGTCAGGGATTTTCCCAGGTTAAATCCTTCTGGTACGGACACGCCAATGGAATAAACGACGGAGATGCTAGGCACAAGGGTTAGGTGCACTGGCTAACACGCGAACTTGCCAACACGACAGGCTGGGCTGGGGCTCCCTGTGTCTTGGTAGGTCACCGCCTCGCGAGCGCCAGCTGTGATATCTATGCCACGCATAGCGCTCTAGCGCGCATGTGACAGCGAACTGACGCACCGAATGCCCCGCCCACAGCCGGAGGAGGTGCCTACTTCTTCGCCAAGCGGAGCATCAACGCCGACCGTCAGGCACGCTGGGAGGATCAGAAGCGGAAGCGCGCCTACGTCGAGTCGCTTGAGCACAGCGGCAATGTCCCATCCCACCCGGGCTCGTCCTCCGCCATGGGCGGCTCCAGCAGCACTAACAGCGCCCCGCCACGAACCGACACGGTAGGCTCGCCGAGCCAGGAGGCCAACACGGACCCAGCCCCGACGAGGCATGCGCCTGACAGCGAAGACCAGCGGATCGCCGAGAAGAGCAAGTACGAAAGCACTGCGCCATTCAGGAGTCGCAAGGGCGACAGATTTTCATGATTGGCACCGTCCCGGGAAGGGGAGAGTTTGGCGTGCGGGGCGACGAGTCTATGAATACCTATTGGCCTTCATACGGGATGGGAGGCTGTCTATATGCCCCGACCGGGCGGCGGCAGCAATAGCGAGCTGGCATGGATGGATAGCCATACTTTGGGAGCTGCGCGCTGGTGGAAGCCGACAGGACACAGGCGGGCCTCAAGAGGATGGAAACCTCACCAGCGTGGTTGGGACCTTGTGGATAGTGTATATTAACCATCGACTCGCCCAGAGATGTGGCCCAGTTGTGTAAAATACATTTCCCCTCATCTGCTAGATGGCCGGACCTCGCGCCATTGATCACGTCGTCACGAAAGATGTGGCGAAGAAATAGGGACGAATTTGGTTGGTCAAGTTGCGGACTCGGGCTTGCAAGCTTTACCCGGCCTCCCGCGACCTACCCTGCATCCTGGCCATCTCCAGCATGAGCCTGTGTATGCCCTGATGTTTAGGCGCCACCGCCCACCGGTACCACCCCCTCCCGGCATCCGCTATGCTCTTCGAAATTCTCTGGCCAGCCGCCGTTGAGGTCAAGAAGTGCACCAGGCCAGGAAGTTCCCCTAAGCCGACGCTGACAGGCACGTAGTGCACACAGGGCACGAGGCACTCGTCGCGCCACTCGCGGAATGTCGTCATCTTGAGCGGAACACTACGGGATACCAGAAGCCGGTAAAAGCGCCCGCTAAAGCCGTTGCTGTCCACGTCGAGGGCGAACTGATAGCGTAGCGCGCGGGACTCCGGGTCGGCGGCCCTACCGGAGCCCGGGGGGAGAAGAAACGGGGACATGGCATCGCAGACCGCGGCCGGTGCGCAGCCCACGAAGCGAGTAGAGGCGACGTCGAGGCGCGAACGGTCGACGGCGGCAAGGGCGACGAGCCGCTGCCGGTGGCCCCCGTGCCACGTGTCCGCGGACCAGCGCCCGCCCGTCGACAAGCCGGCCCAGTAGACGGCCTTCTTTTTTTGCGCCCCCGTACTGGTCGGACCAGGGCCTATACAAGCTCGACCTAAGGGAGTAAGTAGCGCGTGGCGGGGAAGAGAGCGTCGGAAAAGGGGCATGGAGCGGCGCGAGAAAGTATCGGGACCTCGGCCGAGGGCCTGTGCAGGGTCGGCGGGTACATGAAGAAGTCGTCGTGCTAGGGGATTCGGCAGAGGTCCTTTTGCTCATTAGCATCGGAGACGAATCGTGTCCCAAGGGCTGTTGGGGCCGAGCTGATCGTCCAGCGCCTTCGGAACCTCCCCTCGTGCCCGGCAGGCCTCGGCCACGGCCACGGCTATCGAGTGGTGGTAAAGATCCGGCCACATACGCTGCGACTGGGACTCTGTGCTACCGTTGTGCTGCTGTCCCGTGCATGTTGTGCCCAATATCACCGACGGCTCGTCGAGGAAGTTGATGTACGGCTCGAGGTCCGGTACAAACCCACACGAGTCGCCTAGCAGTATGACCAGGGGTTCCCCTCAGCTCCGACATCCGTACCAGAAGCTTTAGCCGGAGAACTCGCATATCATGGTGCCATGTGTCGTGCTTTGCTGCGAAGCGCGGTAAACATTTTGGTTGGCACGAAACTCTCTCCGTGTCTTTTGATGCAGCAGCACGATGGGGTGCTCGTCCCACGCCCCTGGGACCGTCGGGGGCTGAAAGAGCGTGTCTGTTAGGACGCCATCGGAGAAGTGGTTGTAGACTATCAAGGCAACCAACACGGCCGCGATGCGAACGCTCCACACGCCCAAGCGTCGGAGAATGGGGTGCATTTCTCGGATGACGGGAAGGCCCAAGAAAGTTTAAGCACCGCAGGATCTTAACGCTAGAAAGAGGAAGCATCATGATGCATTGTTTCTGGTGGTGGTAATGCTATGTGGGAGGCTATATGGGCGCGCTTTCGGCTCATTCTGATTTCCACTCATGCTGGGCAACTGAGCGGATAGAGCAGTTGGTACTCACGAGACACCGTGCGAGGCTTTATTATGTGTTTAGTTTTTTTCATTTAAAAGAAAAAACCATTGTTTTCTGTGATGGTATTCTAGGTGCCGTGCCTTTTGGCAGGGGATATGGACAGCTGAATGACGGTAATGCTCTCCTATCCCGTCATATGGAGGCAAGTGCAGGCCTTCATTTGGAGATCGTGCCTTCCATGACAGTGAGTTGGGCTGCAACATGGATGGAAGCATAGAATGGGGCTTGAAGCTTCTGCCGACCCCACTGGTGAACCCCACACTTGAGCCAGTGTGGACTTGGCAACATCCATGGTACAAAACAAGGGTCCTCGCACTGCACTTTCGCCCTGCGACGTCCTGAACCCAGCATGGGATTGAACTTCATCGACCAATAGAGCGAGGGGCCGTCAGCCAACGAATGCGAGCAGCCTTTCCTTCCAAGACCAGATACTTGCTTTCAGACGCGGCATGGCGCCTCGAGGAATCTGAAGGCCGCATAAACGAGAACCGCAGAGCCCGCCAGCGCCGCCGCCTCTTGCTGGTCTCAGCAATCCTTTATCGCATTTGCGCAATCGCGAACCCAGCACCCGGCGCGCCCAAACTCTCGGACAAGATGGCGTTTTCGCCGCAGCTTACCATCGCCAAGGCATCGCTCCTCGCCTCCCTGGTGCGAGCGGAACCGACGGCTTGCTCCCGCGACGAGATCGAGCACTTCCACATGCTGCTTGACTCCGCCATCGCCCAATGCTCACCAGCCAACGTTCAGGTTTGGAAACACACCGTCACCAGCCCATGAGAAGACAAGCCCCTCGCTGTCTGCCTCCATACTCCTCCATCCACGCGAAAAGCGTCGAGCTTTCGAATCAGGGGAGTGATTTCCTCGCATGGGGCCGTAGCTAAATATTTCATCCCGGCATCACCACCGCCCCTCGTTTTGCGCGCTCGAACAGAAATGCAAGAATTGGACGCTGCGGCACATTGCCCAGTCTACGGCAAGGGTGGCCGCCCTGGGCAAGTTCCTGGCCGCCCTGGCCGCATCTTCCGTCGCCTCTGAGCGACACCACAACAAGAAATCGGCTGCGCCCGCCAACAACAAGCCCCGCGTGGCGCCCCGGAAGCCTTCGGCCAAGCGAAGGAGACTGCACCTGCTTTACATCATCAGCGACGTCCTGCACCACACTCGCACCGTTGACAAGGATGATACCTTCGCCGCTGGCTTGGAGCAAACCCTCCCGGCCATCTTCAAAAGTGCAGCCTCCTTTAGCAAATCGCCCAAACACATCAAGAAGCTCCATGACCTAGTGTCCTTGTGGGAGGAGAGGAGTTATCTGCTGTCGCCGGAGCTTCCTGCCAAGCTTCGCGAGGCCATCGCAGCCGGCTCAGCAGCCATTTCAAGCTCGAATGTTACCGAAGCTGATGGTCAAAGGGGTGGGAAAGCAGGAGGCGCCCCGGCTCCCGCCAAGGAGGCGCCGTTCTTGCTGCCCTCGACCCACGGCGACCCATCGACGGCCTGGTATGACCTGCCGGCCGCCAACTGGCTGCACGTCCTGGAGCCCAATTCGACGCGGGTTGTGGATCCAGCCCGAATCAAGCCGCTGGAGCTGAACCCGGGTGCCGCCGACGTGTATCTTGTCGAGGCGGTCAAGTCCCTCCTGGCCGATGTTGACCGCCAATATTCTTCCGATGTCGGCGTCATCGGCGCCGCCGACGAGAATGACCCTTCAGTGAGCATCGACCAGATGGGCGAGCGCGTCGAACTCGATGAAATCACAGGCAAGATCCTTGGTGGCACCACATATTACGGGTGGTCCCGTGACTTCTGTCTCAAGATGAAGGCCCGGCGGAAGCAGGGTCGCGCTGGTGGTAGGGGCGGCGGCTCCAGAAGTAGGTCGCGAGATTCGAGAGACAGCAGCGGTTCCACACGCAGTCGGGGTCGGGACGTTAATCGAGACCGGGGTGGCAGCTACAACCAAGGCAGAGAGAGGAGCAGAGGGAGAGATGGGAGCAGTGGTGGCAGCCGGGCCCGTAGCTCGTCCCGCCCGGTCTTCAAGCGTCGCCGTGTGTCTCTGTCTCAGAGTAGGAGCCAGTCGATGGATCGCGGAGGGATCGGACGCGGCCGCAGTCGCAGCCGCAGCTACTCCCCGGACCACTACCGGCGACGATCCAGGTCTCGCAGTGGCTACGCACCTTCCAAATCACGGTCTAGGAGCCGAGACCACCGCGGGATGGACCCCTCCCCGGGATATTCGCCCCCTCCCGCAGCCGCTACAGGGCCGGTCGCGCCGTTTTTCCCGGGCATGCCGTCAAACATGCCGCCAAACCCGCAATTCCCGCCGCAACCGCCCATGCCGCCGATGCCCTTGCCTCCGCCGCATATGATGCCCGCCATGCCGATGCCACCTCACCAGTTCCCCGGCCAAGCGTTTGGAGCCTACCCCCCGCAACCCCCGTTTCAGCCCTACCCCAACCAGTGGCCCGCTGCTGTGCCTGTGCCACATCCTCATGGCCTTCCAAACACCCCGATGGGCATCCCGATGCAAGCCCCGCCGTGGCTGCCACCGCGGCCGGATCAGCAGGGCGGATGGATTGGCGGGTGGGGTGCTCAGCCGCAGCAACAGTCGCCTCAGTCCCCCGCGGGCTCCCCTCCGGCCCATCAACATCATCGACCGCAGCAGGGCGGCTATCAGCACCAGTACGGGCGGGGCGGGGGAACGGGCGGCTACAGAGGTCAGTCGTCTGGGCGCGGAGGATACAACAGCGGCCACGGGCGAGGATGGTAGGGATGGGCGTGCATGATTTGATGTGCCAAATCAGGGTTTCAAAGATGGTGGAATGCATTCACTGCAACGTCCTCCAAGCCCTTGAAAGCACTTCACGAAAGACCGCCGGGTCTTGCTTCTTACTCCCCTGGCGACGCCTCTGCAGCTCAGATATATTTGCCTAATACAGCAACGCGTGTGCGTTTCTTGTAAAGCTGGGCCCGACCCCTACGCGCAGGACCTTGGTCCCTCGGCAAAGTAGTGCAGGCCTACACGCTATGCGATGGAAAGGAGGGCTGTCGCATTCAAAAGCCGACTGTTGCGGCCGGGCTGTTTTTAGGGCTGAGAGTGTACGAATAGGAATAGAGAGACGGGGAACACGTCGTTGTCCCCCCCTCGAGACTATGCGTGGGTGTGTTTTTGGTATTCTGGCCAGGATTTTCTAAGACCACGTCCTCCCCACCCCAAACTCTTCAAACAGAAAAATTGTTCAGTACCAAAAAGAAAGCCTGAGAAAAGGACCTCGAACTCAACGGCTTGATCCAGCCAAAAAGAAGAAGAAATGAGAGAGAAGAGGAAAGAAGAGAACATGGGCGCCACCCTAAAACCCCCCACGCATTCATCAAATACACCTTGAAAGTCCGCCAAATAAAAAGGTGTTGCTGCCACCAGCTAAGGTCGACGTTGTGTATGCGTCAACCCATACAAATCCCACAAGAAACAGACAGAAAGCCAAAACGAGAGTTTTCTGTGCCCTTACCGTGATTGCGAATAAAAAGGGTGGCAACAAAAATCCCGAGAGCAAGGGCTCATGCGAATCCGGAAAGCGAAGCTGTCTATCGAGATGCGCCGTTGGTTAAGAGTAAAGAATAAATAAATAGGTGAGACATGGGTGTGGCGCATACGGCCAACAGACACAGACCCGGCCATGCGGTCGGGGAGAAAGGAGCGAACCACAAGATGACTTTGGCTGGCCGGGGCTAGACGCGCTTCGGCTTGACCCGGGCTACTTTTCTGTCCTAGGCTCACCGGCTCCGAGCCGAGCCCACCGAGCTTTGCCTGTCGTGCATCCCCGGCCGACGATCCCTCCGTTCGCCGTCCTGCAACTTAAGCGAGTCCAGGCGCTTCTGGTTGTCTTCGGCGGGGTCGACTTCGTCCAGCCGCGGCATCGAGTTCATGTGGGATCTGCCAGGCGTGCCCGACTTGTCGCCAATCCCATTGGCCTTACGCATGTTGGCCTGCTCAGTGATTGCCGCCCACTTGCGCTCACGCAGGGCTTCCCTAGCGCCCGCACTGTTCTGCTGCTCAGTGTATTCGTGCGAGCAATCGTCGAAGAGTTGGGGGTTGATCTCCATAAAGAGCTTCATGGCATTATAAACCATGCCGTGGATCGTCCTGTCGTCCTGGGTGTCAGCAAGAAACGATAAAAAGTGACGGTGACAAAGATCCATGGAGCCGTATACATACCGATTCCAGTGGCCTTTGGAGTTCTCGTAAAGGGGCGCGAACATGATTGGGAGGATGATCTCGACATTGTCGCTTACGAGATTGCAAAAGTACTCGTTATTCCAGAAGTACAGTGCTCTCTCTGCGACCTGGAAGTGGGGGCTGGCGACGGACTTGGCCAGCTGATGGAAAAGAGGTTCCTGGACCTTGGCAAATTCGGCAGGGTCCATAACCTCGAAAATGTCCTCGACCTCGTTGAGAAACATGACCTCCTTGGTGCTGTTGACTTTGGGCCAGTACCGCAGCAGACCCAAGACGACCTCCTCAGTAAGGGAGGCGTCTTTCTCGAGGAACTGAACGATGCAGTAGGCCAGCTGGGGATGGTACATGCTCAAACTCTTGACCTTGTGCAGCGGCAGCAGGACCCTGGTGAGGAACAGCTTGTGTTCCTCCTTGAGGGGGAGGGCGAATCCGTTGATAATGGATCCCAGGATCTCGAGCAGCTCCGCGATACCGTTGAACCTCTCAGTCTCGTATGTGAACTGGAAGAAGACGTTGTTGATTGACCTTCGGATAAAGGACCTCAGGTTGAGGAACTTGCCGTATATCCGATGGAGCGTGGTCTTGAGGAAGTCGCGCTCGCGTGGGTCCTCGGAATCGAACAGCTCAAGTAGCTGCAGGACGAAGCCGTGGTCGATGTAGGCCTTTGCGATGTTGGTGTTGAAGTCTTGACTCTCGATGAATCGGAGGAAGAACTCGTACACGACCTGAATGTGCGGCCAAGCCGGCTCGAGCACGGGTTCGTCTTCTTCGGGGTCGAAGGCCTCGCCTTGCGGGTTGATGGGCGGGGGGATCTGGCGGAACAGGTTCTTGGCAAACATCTTGACCACCTCCGGGTACATGCGCTCCGTGATGACCTGGCGGTGATTTGCGACGTAGTCGAGAAGCTCGTGGAGTGCCAGGCGCTTGATCTCCTTGAACTTGATGTCACTGCTGGCGTCGTTGAAGTCAAAGATGACATTGCACTGCTCAATCTTGTCCATGAAGAGTTTCTCCTTCTCGTGCGGCTTCTCGACCTCGTGGAAGCCTGGCAGTTTGTGCATCTTGCGATCCTTGTCTTCCGAGATGTCGAACCGCGACGAGTGCTGGCGCCTGGGAGTCCTGAGACCCTCTGGCACATCCTTGGGGGTTTGCTGGAGACGGTCGAACATGAGCGACTTCTGGCCAGCCTTGGGCGGAGCAAGATCGTGAGGCATGGTCTCTGCGGCTCCGGGGGGTGGGACATGCTGCTCAAAGAAAGCGGTTGGATGTTAGCGGAGGATTTCACTTTCCACTTATCAGCCGAGATACAGCTTGGTCGCTCAAAGCGACGGCTGATGCCTCGAGGCACAGGAGTGTCCGTACCGGTGCGCTGCTAGGGCTGATAATAACAGTAGGCGGGAGCTGCCCGTGCCTAACAGGTGTGCTTCCTCCATTAGAAGCAGGCGACGAGCCGCCCATGGTGGCAAACCGGTCTCCTCCCTGGCTCTGCATCATCTGGCTGCCGTCGGCACCGTGCGGACTGCCATTGTTGGGCGGCAGCGGCTTGTTTCGCGGGTCATTGAGAGTCGAGGTGGACGAGGTCGGTGTAAGTACAGGGGACTGGTTCGAGGCATCCCGAGAGCCGCTGGGTTGTGGCGAGGCCGCGCCGTCCTTGGAGTCCTTATTCTTCTTGGAAGACTTGTTCGGGTCCTTGCCTCGCGAGAGCTGCGCGTGGAGAGATAGGAAGCGTTAGCATTGCGCCCTGAGTATGATGGCGATGATGCATTTGCAACGATGTGACGTGAGCGGGAGCTGAGCACAACTCGAGATTAGAGCGATAACAAGCTGCCACTAACAACTTTCTGACTGAGACGTCTCATCTTGGTGAGCTGCCGGACACCCTGTCGCTCGCTGGGCGGTGGGGAGACGTGATCCAAGAGGGCCAGAGGGCGGTGCAAAGCGGGGTTGGTTTTCGCGGACGATAGCTGGTACACACGGACTAGCTATGCTCTCCGCGAGCGGCCCAGACGCTGGTGGGCAATCTCGGGCGAGGCTGCGCTGGAGACAAAGCAGGGCAATTGGGTGATGAGTGTTGGCAGTGCTACTGGTGTCGCCGGCAGGTTGCGGGGTGAGACCCTCGGCGCAGCTGGTGACAACCGTTGACGCAGGATGGGGCCAGCAAAGGGGGACGACAGGAGCGCGCTCCAATCCAGACAAGGCGGCGGGCCGCTCCCAGCCCCAAAGGAGAAGATACACGAAGCTAGCAGCCAGCTGGACGCCCAATTCGCGGAGGGCACTGCGCGGTGGCGGGGAGGCAGCTGGCGGAACAGGCAACGAGGGTCGGGCAGAGGGGTTTTGTTTGCTTGGTTCGTCTGACGTGAAAGAGAGATGGGGGAAGATGCAAGCAGGCGGTGGCCGATTTAGGGTGCGTGCGTACGGGAGGCTGCCGCAAAGGAGAGCGGAAGGCGACGACGGAAAGCAGTGGCTGTGGTGGTGGTGGCGGTGGCAGGGGATGGATCGAGAGAAGCGAGACGGGCTGGGCTACAAGAGGTGTTGGGCGGGACGAATATGACAGGCAGAAAAAGACACAAAAGCTAAGGCAACACAGGCAGGGGACAAACCTCGCGCTTTAGTTTGGAGAACATTTGTGCAGCGGACCAGGCAGGCAGACAGAGAGGTGGGAGGAGAGGTCTCCTGGGACTCTGCGCTGCTGCGTCTGCGATGGACGGCGACGGATCGGGTTGGGCTCACGGGTCGGAGCGGACGGTGCGGTGGTGGTGGCTGTCTGCGAGTGTAGGCAGGCGCTGCTGGGAGCCGAGCTGAGTTTATTGTTTTGCGGGGGGGCCCAAGGCGAGACGCGGCACTCGGATCGGTGGCTGCAGTGGGATTGACGGGTTGCTTGGGTTGGACTGCTGGCAGAATTGGGGAGACGCGAGACGCAGCAGGTGCAGGCAGGCAGGCTGAGCCTGGCTGTTGGCGGCGGATGGCGGCGCTGTTTGTCGCCCGGGAGCGGTGAAACGGCACGAGGCAGGTCGCGGGAAAAATACGCGAACAAGCAAGCACGCCCTCCTGCTCTGTGGTCTGTCTTGATCGGCCACTGCACAAGACAGCGCGAAGGCAGGGTGGGTGGGGTTGGCGCAAGGGGAAAGCGTGCCGTGGCTCGAGGGCGTCGTCGGGCGGTCGCTGGGGACGTCGGCTTGCTGGGTCAGGTCGGCCGGTCGGGGAGCAGCACCAGCGGGACGGCACGGCGGGGAGGTGAAAAGAAATAAATAAATAAAAAATAATAAAAATACGGACGAGATAGCCGGGCAGACTAACAGCCAGCCACGAGGACCAGGACGGGTTTGAGGCCTGGGGTCAGTGGTTTTGATGATGCTGCCGGTATTAAAGCCATTGAAGGGTCGACTCGAATGGGGCCGACATGTGTGGTGGCACTTTCGAGGACGCCAGTGCAAGTGGAGGCTCCAATTGTGCTCTAATTGGGGTGAGTGACTACTGGGCCAGTTGAGCCCAAGGCGGGCTGCGTGCACGTACCAGGCCGCAGTCTGGGCTGCAGGTCACAAGACTCGCTGATTCGGCAGCGAGCCTGAACAGGGAGCTGTGGACTGTGGGTGCCTGAGCTGGGCCAGTCGGAGGAAACACCACAGCACCCGCCCCGCAGTCGACGAGATTGCCGTGGTTGAGGGCAGCATGTCTGGACAGGCGCACAGAATGCCCGGCACCGTGGCTCACATGGATTTCTGCTCTGGGCTGTGCTCTGTTTGATCTCCAGCACACTCCCCGTCCTTCGTCGCACCAGTGCCATCAGGGAACGCGGCAAATGCCACCCAAAACGGCACCAGGCCAGAACACGCCTCTCAGGCTGAGTACCAAAACGGGAAATAGGGCCGCCTGCAACATGGAGCCGTCATATCTCCAGCTCCCTGATGGCGGCCGATGCATTTACGTTTCTAACGTGCAGTTTGCAGGCTGCCTACCGTTGCACATCGGACCGCCCTAACTTTCCAAAGCCATCCACATCGATCACTGCACCTCGCTATTTCTTCTTCTTCAGTCTGCCATGCTACCCTCTGCCCTGCGCCGTCTGTAAAGTCCCCGTAGATACATGCTTGCACAGGTCCCAGAGTAGACTGTGGCTGCGGTGAGACAGTCCTTTTCAGAAACAGGAATTAAGACCGAGGGTTAGGGTTCACGTGTAAAGTCCAGGTCAATGTTGTATGCGGGAGGATGATGTCTTTATTACCGTTTCAACCCGGAAAGAAAGACCCACGCGATCAACGATCCTGATCCCTGGGACTGTACTGTCTGTCTGTAAGTCTAGTGGTAGGTATAGCGCGACAGCTGCCAGATTCGGTTGTTTCAAGCAGCTGTGGAAGATACTCAGTGGGTCGCGCTGCACTTTAAAATGATGCGACCATCTCAAGATGCACAGTGCACGGGACATGTCCAACCCGTCATTTTAGCTTCCGCCTCACCTCAACCCAACCTGGCCCCGGAACTCAAGCTGATGGAGCACATGCCAAAAGGAACTCCGTCCCTTGATCTCTCTGCCCGATCCGCGAGAACTGCAAACTCTTATCGCCATGGGAGCTCGCGAGCATGACGTCCTCGGTGAGCTCGAGCTCTCTGCCCGCTCAGCCTCCCAGGATGCCCCCTTCTACCAAATCCCCTCCCGAGTTGTCTCGGCGGTTGAGCACCCAATGGTCGTGTTGGATAGTGACAAGGCCATGAAGACATTTGGAAGTAGCTTCAACTTCCACACAGTAGGTTCTTGGCCGTCGGTTGGGTGCTTGCCCTTTCAGCACCGCACGTGCTGACGCTGCTTTGCTAGATTCTCGACCACGAGAGCGCCCAGCTGTCGGTGCCCTTGTATCTGCGCTACGATAACCCTGTCGTGCGGCCTATAATCTCCCACAATGCTGCTTCTCACAACGTCCTGCTCAGGATTGATGTCCCTAGAAGGACTGGTAGGAAGCGCAAGCGTGGGAGCGATGGACCTTGGCAGGAGCCCGACGAGGCATCTTTAGACGCCCTACGTGAATCTCAACGGCTTCAGGTTTACTCGCAGAAACGGCTAGACAGTCCTAGCTCCCTCAGGCGCAAGCTTCGGGATAACGTGGGCAGGTACGAGGTCGAGGCTGTCGGCTTGATCCGGAACACCCACCGGTACAGAGGCCTCGCCGACTTCCAGTACTCGACTGTCAACAGCCCTTTTATGAACCAAGTTGTAGATAAGATTCTGCCGGGCGATGGTAAGCATCTACAGCTACTACACTTCTCTGTCTTGGGATCCCTCGCTGACTTGACTTGGCCACGCGCGCAGTGGCGATGCTACGACAGTTCGCCTTCAGGCCTGAGGTGGCACAGCCCCCAAACGTGGAGATAATACCTCCTCCCGTGTTCAGCCACATGAGTCTGCCATTTCAATATGGCTACTCGCAGAACCCTTACGTTCGCACCGTCGACGGCGCCGAAAAGACCATCAACGTCCAAGCCCGCGTTCGCTCAGCTGGTTACTTTATCTCCCACAACCGCTATCCTGTGCCCGATGCTCCCTCACGCCAACCTGACGCTACCGACCCGCAGATGGCGGCTGTGGTGTCGGAGCTCCGTCTTGCCATGGCTGAGCGTCCTCTTTGGACTCGCCGCTCCCTCACAAACCGCATCATGCGTGCGGCACCCTTCTCCGACAATCTTATCAAAACAGCGATTCCGTATGTGGCGTACCAGTTCAAGGCAGGGCCCTGGCGTGATGCGATGATCCCTTACGGCCTAGACCCGCGGTCCGACCCCAAGTACCGAATCTACCAGACCCTTTCGTTCAAGACCCGTCGTGCCGACGCCAACGCTGCCAGCCAACCCTGGGCCTCCCTCCGCCGCGCAGAGGCTGCTGCTGCGCGCCGTGCCGCCGAGCGCGTCTCCATTAACCCGCTACCCGTCAACCCTGACAATGGTGAGGCCGACGACGTGCCCTACGACCAGCAGCATCGCGACACCCACATCTTCGACGGCCACTCTTTCTACACGGACGGCAAGGTTTGGCAGGTGTGCGACATCACGGATCCGCTCCTTCGGGACCTCTTTGCGCGCGCGGCAGTGCGGCCCTCGTGCGATGATGCCGGCAGTGGCTGGTTCCACCGCGGGCTCTGGGCCAAGGCGCGCGCCGTCATGAAGTGCAAGATGCTGGCCATCACATTTGGCCGCGTCATCGCCGATGCCGATTTCGCGGGCACCCTGGCCATGGACGACGGCACCCCAGAGCCCACGCCGAGCGCGGGTACCATCATCGCCGGAACTGGCAATGTCCGCCATGCTCATGTCAATGTCCCCTTGCCCGACCTCGGTCTCACTGACGCCGAGCTCGCCGTTATCCGTGGCCGTGACCAGAGCAGGTTCCACTCGAGCCTCAAAAAGCGTGTCAGGCGGAGTCATGGAACGCAGTATAGGATTCCTGTGCTTACCAACAGCGGGCAGGAGAAGCAGAAACAGCAGCAGCAGCAACCGCAGCCGCAGCAGATTCAGCAGGCTGGGGTCGATGGCGGGGCAGCTGCCAGCGGAGTGGCTGGACAGACTCCATCACTCACAGTGACATCCCCGACGATGGTGACCACCAAGTTGACCTCTGGGGTTGTGCGTTTTGAGGACACCCCCCTCCGCTCGGTCGAAGATGTGATCAACCAAGACGATGACGATGAAGACGATGACGAAGACGAGATTGAGGACGAAGAGGAGGGCGAAGGCGAGGGCGAGGGTGACGATTTGGATGGCGAGGAAGATGAAGACGACGATGAGGAAGGTGAGGATGAGGACGACTTGGCCGAGGACACGTACTATGAGGACGGCGGCATCGCGAACGAGGCCGAAGTATCAGCAGGTCCAAAAGCGGTTCCAGTCCAGAGGCAAAACGCTTCCCAGCTCACCGGCCCCATATCGGGCCGTGACGGCGACGACGGCGGCGAGAGCGAGGGCGAAGACTTTGACGACGAAAACGATATATACGACGATGAAGACGAAGACGGCTACAGCAACGACGACGGTGCCGTTTTCGGCGGTGAGTTCGCGAACAGCTATGAAGAGGAGGGAGGGTTTAGCAGCGCCGAGGAGTACTAGGGTGGCACGGCCCGGATCCAAAGCAGACTGTCGCCTTGTGGAGTTGCGGACATATCAGGAGTTTGCGGTGACTACTCGAATACGCCTTTTTGTTCGGGGCAACGATTTACGCTAGCCCATGTCAAATGACGGCGCTATTGATGTGAGCCGATTGTAGTAGCACAAGGACAAGAAGAGACTGTGCTCGTTCCTAGCGATAGCCTGGGAAAATCAACGCTTTGCCAGTCACGCCAAACAGCACATCACATCCGCCACTCAACCTACCTGCCCGTTTATGTTCCACGATGACACGCGCGACGCCGCTTCTAGGGCCGTTGAGATGGCCGGCCCAGGAGCGGAAGTTCCGCTCCAGAGGCGGCTCGGCCGCTCCCCTGACGTCCAACGTCTCGACGGCCGCCTACAACGGCATGCTTGCGGCTGGTAAGTGGCTTGCTGGTGGGAATACTATCTTATTTCCAAGCTGCACGATTTGCGGCATTGACCCCGGCTGCTGTCATGCTGCCGAATCTGGCGCCGTGTCCCTGGCTCCAACGCGCCCGCGGAGGGGGTATATTACACCGTTCGACGCATACAGAGTTTTCTATGCCAAAGATCCGTCCAGTATCTTTGCCGCTCCTCCCCAGTCTACCCTAACCACTGACAGACTCCGAAATCTCGAATCATCCGGCCGACAATCACCATGCCGCCGATGCTGGGCACCCCGAAAGTGAGGATCAACCACAAGTAAATAAATGTGTATAGATGCCGGTTCGGGGCCCCGGTGTTGATGAAAGGTCGCCCCTCAAGCGGCTGGGCTGGCGCGACCAATGCTTGCCCAACCAGGCCGCATGCCAGCCACGCCATCGTCCAGGCCCGCTCCTCCACCGTGCTCTGCCCCGAGCGGAATGACGAGATGGCACCCACGATGACGAGCGGTACCGCGGCCACCATGAAGGTCAAAACGTACTCCCAAATGAGTCGCTTTCGGTTCTTCCGCCGGCGGTGCCGAAGATATCTAAGTTTGTATTCCTCGTAAGCATTTCCCGAGAGGTCCCGAGGTTGATACTCAGGCTGCAGATCATGGTCGGCTGTCTCGTCAAGTGTGCCGACGACGCCTTCAACTTTGTACTTTTCCCTGTCCTCGTCACTCGTGCTCCCGCGCTCTCTCCAGTCGTTGATCTCTCGCAGAGCCGCCGAATCGACGATGTACATGCAGTCGTACTGTGGGCATGCCAAATTACCCAGCAGGTTAATGGCTGACATCCAGGCATAAGGCGCCACTGTCAGGCCAAAAGCGGCATATCCGAAACGGTCGATTTGGTCAACCCTAGTCCGGTACAGGGTCCAAATACTAAAAAATAGCTGCGCCATTGATATCATACTTTTGACGAAGTTGTGGTTGCAGCTTATTACGGTGTGACCGTTGGGTTTGAAAATCCGTCGCGCATTTTCCCAGTACCGTTTGTGGATAGGCAACTGTTTCTCGGGTAACGGATAGTCTTCGTCAAAGGTTGCGTCTCTTTGGACTACCACCAGTTGGTAGCCCTTGGGTAGTTGACATCGGCCGTGAACTCTTGTCATGGAAAGGCTGCTCTGTTCTCTTCGAAGCCAGCCATCTAGATCAAAAAATCAGTTTCAGTTTTTGCTCTTCTGCGCCCAGCTATACCGACTTCCTCCCCTATTAAATTTCCCCTATCCTCACCTTCTCGAGCGTGTATTATTGGAGCCTTGATAACAGCGCAAATGGCACCGGCACTTGCAGCTGCTCTTAAAGGGGTTGGCTTTAGGACAGCGAACGTCGCGATGGTACTAATGGCGTGTGATATGCCACCACCCGGAAGAAGCAAAGCCGTTAAAATGGCGACTCCGGTGCTAAAGGTGGATTGGCCGGGCCGACTCGGAACTGTCGCCGCATGGGCGACGTAATTTCCCACGAAGAAGAGGAAAACATCGAGCCAGCGTGCGGAGCGGCAAAGAACCTTGCAATCGTTGCCGTTCAGAGTGAAGCCTGGAAGATCTTTGGGGCACGTTTGCCCGCCATTGGCGGTGTCGTTTCGGGAGTCGCTCTGCGCCAGCACGACAGTTGAGCTCAGGAGAATGAAGGTCAGGACAATGTATTGGCTAATAAGGGTGATCATCTTCCTCAAGGGTGGTGTGTGCGATCTGGAAACAGATGGTGGGAGGAGTGGATGAGCCTGGGTATGTGCTGACCCTTCCAAGAACAGATGAATGGGTATATTCGGGAGAGAGTTGAAGTCGAGGGGAAAGGAATACGAGGGAAAGGAGCTAGAAGCCCGACCAGGCGTGGACAAGAATATGCAAGTTGGGCATCGCAACATTTATTGTATGGAGGCTGAAAACCCATCTCTCGGCCTGGACAGTCGAACACTTGGAGGCTCCAAGGGTTGACCGACCCCATGTGGCGCCAGATAATTTGCTAGGCTGAAACGGGCAACTCTTTGCTCTCTCCTATCATGTTGAAGGCATTCAGCCACCTCGTACGGCTCTCACATTATGCCTGGGCGCCCGCAGCCCCGGCTTCAGCTCTCTCGGCATCCGTATCTGATTGGCTCAACTAACCGCGTGCTTTCAATGTGCTGCATGACGGGGACGCCGGCAAACCAATTGATTTCTCGGCAAGGGCTGACAGCATTGGTTGCTCCGCAGTGTCTGTCCTCAGCCTATGAAAGTCCACACGCCCCCTGGTCACTGGGTGTTCGCCCGGTTTGTTAACGGGCAGACTACAGCGTGGCCCCTATCCGAGGCCTGTGCCTTGGAGCGCGCCTAAGCAGCAGGCTCGACGACAATGAAATCCTTCACGACCGCAGTACCGTTGGCCAGTGCCTGGAGCTGCCCCGGCGTGCAAGTATAGCTCAGCGGGCTCGACCACGTGTAGCACTCGATACCACCTGGTACCGGCTCGAGGGGCACCTGGACGTCAAAGACCTGCGCTGGGCCCGTGGTGTGGTAGCCGGCGCAGCTGCCCGCGTTCACCTCGCCCGTCGCCAGGTCCTTGCCCAGGATGGTGCGCCGGAACAGCTCGAGCGACTCGGCAGGCTTGTACAAGGGTACTGTGTGTTTTCAAATCATGTCAGCACATAAACCAAACATAGGGGTAGGGTAGGATAAAGGAGGAGAGCGGGCAGGGGCTGGCTTACCTTCGTGGCCGGCGTTGTAGATCCTGCTGAAGCTGAACAGGCCGTGCTGGCGCACCTTGCCGGCCTTGGAGCCACCGACGGTGATGTCGGCGTAGCCGGCGGCGGCAAACTCGGAGCTCTGCTTGTGCTTCATCGCGAGGCTTACCGCCTCACCGCCGAGCCCTGCAGTGGTGTCGTGGTCACAAGGTCAGCGGCTACAACGGGTAATGAAAGGAACCAAAAAAAAAAAAAAAAAAGAAAGAAACAACACGCACAGTTGCAGCGGTGGTCGCGGTCTCCATAGATCAGCGCCACCTTGACGCCGTCGTCGACCAGCGCCGCCAGCTCCCCCATGAACCCGCCGCGGACGATGTCGGCGGCTTGCGCGAACACGTCGGCGACGACGTTGGACGAGGCCAGGTAGCTGGTCTTGACGCCGAGCGCCTCCTGCACCTCGGGCCGGTTGAGCCAGCCGAGCGCGTAGCTCCGGGGGAAGACCGCGGGGTGGCCCTGCGCGATGTCGAACTGGTGGCGCCCGTGGGCCGCCGTGAAGGCGAAGATGAGGCGGTTGCCGCACAGCTCAAAGGCGGCGCCGCAGGCCGCCTGGTACTCGGCGCCGGCGACCATGGACGGCGGCACGACGCCGTCCGGGTCGTCGCGGGCCAGGACACCGGCGCAGGCGCGCGCGCTGTCGAGGCAGCCGCCGTCGCGGTGGAGCAGGTCGTCGTAGGCCCTGTAGACGGACTCGTTGTAGATGCTGATGCCGTACTGGTTGCGGAACGCGTACTCGTTGAACGACGGCAGCTGCGTGTACAGGTCGACCATGCCGTTGATGACGCCGGCCGAGTCGACGCGGAAGCGGTGGCGGTTGGTGGTGGTGGTGTCGATGCAACCGACGACGCTGCCCGGGTTCTTGAACTCGCGGTTGATAACGGACGCGATGGCCGGCACGTAGTGGCCGCCGTACGACTGCGACCACACGCTCACGCGGTCGCGCCGGTACTGCTCAAACTCGCCGAACCACGCCTGCAGGAACCGGTACATGGTGTGCGCCGCCGTCTGCGTCGAGTTGGCCGTCCGCGCCGGGTCCTGGCTGGGGAACCTGCCGGCGACGAGGAGCTGGCTGGCGGGCGTCGTCGTCGTGGTGTTGAGATCGACGACGCCCGTCTCCAGGTTGTAGACGCCCTCGGCGGCCACGTCGTACGAGAAGCCCGTCTGGGCCGGCTGGTCGACGTACAGCATGTTTGCGACCTCGGTCCAGCTGTGCGGGTTGGGCGCCGCGGCGTGCGAGTCGGCGCCCACGACGCAGGGCCCGCTGTGGCCCGACGCCGCCTGGTCCGTCGACGCCGTGCCCGGCCCGCCCTGGAGCCAGAGGGCCAGCGGCGCCGTCGCGGGCGAGCGGCGCGCCTCGAAAAACCAGAAGTAGACGCTCGTCTCGTACGGCTGCCGGTCAGACTGGGGCAACGTCACGAAGCCGCTGTAGGCCTTGACGCCCGGCGTCGTCTCGCAGATGCTGGTCTCCTTGAAGCTGACCCTGGCACCCGACTGCGAGCGGGGGGTGACCACGGCCGCGTCCGTCAGGCACGCCCAGGCGACCGCCATGGCGGCCAGGCCGCCTCGGACGCTGTATCTTGTCATGGTCAATGTTTTGGTATAAGTGAAGCCGGTGTGGATTAGAGTTTGTATGAGGACTGGATAGGCTGGTCCGGTGTAGAAGCACACATCAAAAGTTATACATCACACGCGTGGGCAGCCTTCTTATACTCCAAGTTGGCCGACCATGTTGATATCCTTGACCCCTTTCCACCCAATAGGTATGAGCCTGTAAGCACGGGACGACGTTAGCCCAACACTAGAGCGGGCTTTGCTAACAGCGGGCGGCATCTCCAGCGAGAGTATCATGTTTGTCTTGCCGTTGACTCCCCCGAAACGCCACCTCCATAGGGAGTATTGGCGGCCGTGCCACGCAGCCCGTGGCGCAGCGTCGCGCTGGGCATTTTCGACTACCGGTAGTATTTTGTGGATTCACGGGTGGGATGCACATGCCGGTACAGATGCGAGGGAGCGGGGTTGGCACAACCATTTTCAGTAACAGGAATAAGAACAAGAGTAAAGCAGGAAGTGTGGGCAACGGCCCTTGAAGCCCCAATGCTGCGCCGGGACCCTACAGATCCCGGTCCAGGTCAGCGGCCGCGCAACCAACCAGCCTCTTGCTGTCCCTCCAATTGCAAGAAGCCAGCCCACCCTCCGTTAGGACCCTTGCGTCGTGGAATCTTCGAAATACAGGCCAAAGCCCCGCCAAGTTTTCATTTTTCTGTTCGAGACTGTATCCTGCGGGCTCTGTTGTCATTTCTCCCAGCCATCTAACTCCCTACAGTGATTCTAGACGCGGCAACACCAGTGCTTGCTCTTTTTTTATGCAGCTAACCCAACCCCCCGGTCTCCTTGAAGCGCCGACCGTTTCTTCTTCCCAGTGGCCCTCTCTGTGTCAAACCCACAGAGATAACCCCGTCATTTCCAGTTCAAGACACTCATAATATCACTAGGCGAGCCTTGCCTCGAAGCTAGCCCGGACGTCTGGCTCCAACCGCTGCGCCATAAAGGTCGAGATCCTGCCGCTGTGACGCGCATCCGCCTCGTGAAGCTGCTTCTTGATCCACTCGGGCAAGTTCGTGACGTCGGGGAAGTAGTCCCGGTGCGTTCGCTTACACGTGCTGAGCCCAGTGAAGACACGTCCAAAGCTAACGTCGTCGGGATCCGCCTCTTGCATGACGCCCTTGCTCTTGTTGCTCAGGTCGGGCTCGTGGGTGAGTAGATCCAACAGCAGCGAGGCCGTCCACCCCCATCCCTTGGCGTACTTCTCCGCAAACGCTGGCGAGTCGCAGAGTGTCTTTGTTAGCGAAATGACCGCGAGCTTGCGGTCCGCCGGATGCGTAAACTGGTTCGTCAGAGGCAGCACGCCCTTGACATAGATGGGCACGAAGTTGCCTGGTCCCATGGCCTCGGCGTACGTGGCGTAGTAGTCGGGCCCGTATCCGGTTTCCACTCCCAACGCCGAGATGAGATGGTAGAAGCGCACAAAACGCAACTTGTACCACGTGTAATCCAGTGGTATGAGTGTTCTTCCCTCCTTGGCAGCCCTCTTTGCCGCCTCCTGGGTTGCCTCCTCCTTTGCCTCGTACTCCTTGTATTTCGGCGCGATCTTCATCATAATTTGCGCAAAGTACGGACCCAGGGCAGCCCTACGACAAAATCAAGGCCAGATTAGTTGCTCTGTTCTCCAAAAGTGGTTGGGAGGCCTAAATGCCAGAGATGGGGTCACTCACGCTGGGAAAGACTTTGCCATGGCCTCCAAAAGGTCGAAAGCACTCTCTTGAAGGAGCCGCTTTGACTTGGAGAATAGCTTCTCGAAGATGTCTACCACCTGTTGCAAGCGGTTGCCGTCGAGGATGGTCTTTGCTGCTTTGGGGATCATGGCGGTGAGGAACCTTGCAGGGGCGGGGAGATTGACGCCCATACTATCCCACCTCGTCGTCTGGAGAAGCAGCTCAGAGAGGCTTGTGAGGCTCGCTGGCGCCTCGGTCGATGGCGACGCCTCGATCAGGGCCGCAAAGAGTTGGAAGACATAGGGGACGAACTCTAGATTACAAGTTAGTTGGGCATTATTTCGACAAGCATCGGGCCAGATCAAGGACAACTGCTGTTGGAACAAGACAATGGGTGGTATTACCGTCGATATCTTCCTCCAAAATCGAGGCGAATGGCTGCCACAGCATGGTCTCCAGCGTGCTAGAGGAGGTTGCGGAACAGTAGTGGATGAGGGCGCCAATCGCCTCGAAGAGGTAGAAATAGAATCTTGGGTTGCTGGGGCTCTTCTTGATCGCCTCGGTGATGTTGATGAGCTCGGTGAGGATCTGGGGAAGAATAGCCACCAGATTCTCCTTGAGGGACATCATGACCCTCATTATGCAACGCATCAAGAATTCGTTCTCCTGCTTCTTGGCTGGCAGCGCCTCGTTGTTGATGAGTCCAAATAGACGAGTCAGCAGCTCCAAAGCCTTCGACTCGAGAGCAGCGAAGGGAATGACAGGCTCTCCCCCTGGCTTTGTGAGCACCAGAGCCCGCTCAATGGTGATGGCGGCATAAGTGTAGACGACGTATTGATCCGAGTGCAGATGAGTGGCCAGTGCTTCAAACACAGCACCACCATGCACTTCCATAGTCTGGGCCCGGAAGTTGTGCAGGTACTTGATGGCGTTGACCTTGGGGATGAGTTCGTTGGCCGAGAGGTCTGACATGACGTGCTTTTCGAAGAAGCCCACGACGCCGAGACTGTGCATCGGCTCAAGCTTCGCGATCAGAGGGTTGAGCTGGGTGATGCCCTTGGCGCCCGTGACGGTTCCTTGGGCCGCCGTCGCGAGGTAGAGGTTGATGGCAACGTCCTTGGCCTCCCAACCGGGCTGCTGCAAGCAAACGTCGATCTGCTTGAGAACCGCCGTCGTGGCCGCGTCGCCAAGCTTCGCCAAGAGAACCTTCAAGAAGTCCAGTGCCGCTCTTCGCCTGGAGTCTGTATCGTAGCCTTCTAGATCGCGCCGGATAAACTCGATGGGCTCGCTTGTAAGCAACTCCACGTCTGATTCGCGCAGCCTGATGTTCAACATGATGACTTCGAAGGCGAGAGGCGACAGGTCGTCGGTTGTCCGACCGTCCGCCTTAATCTTGAACGCTTCCAAGTGGCATGGATCCGTCGCTACCGCGCTGGTCAGGAACTTCAGCGCCTTGCTCACAAGGAGGTCGTGCCGTGGCTCCATGCCAGTAGAACCAAGCAGGTTCAGCGTCGTGGTGATGACCTCCCTGTCGGGAGCCGTAGTGAAGTCCTCGTGTTCCTTGGCAAACCAGAGACTGAGAAGCTCATAGATGCTGGTTTTGGCCTGGTCGATGATGGTAGCCTCATCCTCATCGCCATCAAAGATGGGGTTCTGGTAGGGCAGGTATTTGTAAAGAGCCGCCGAGATGTCATTCTTGTTGTCGACGATGAAATTCGGGAGGTCGATGGTGGACAGGTCGTGCAGAATCTCAACGACGAGGTTAAATGTCTCGAACCACCCCTGGAGCTGCGTTTCATTGTTCGTGTTCTCCTGGATGTGCTTGTCGGCAACGAAGAGCAGGCCCTTGAGTGCATTGCCCAGATTCTCCATGGCGTGCACAACATTTCCTCTGGCGTCGTCGTCAGCGCCGTCGGCGTACCGCAAGCTCTCGAGTATCGTGTGCGCCATGGTCAAAACGCCGTTTGTGACAGTGAAGTCGTCGGCAGAGAGTCGCGAGGCGATGTCCTGTGAAGTTTGACAAAACTATTTAGCGGGCGGCCTCATGGTGGGCAGTAGGAGAAACCTACCGGCATGAGCTCGTTCCACCGCTCGTGGAAGTCCTGTTCAGCGATAATAGTGATTGCGGCTCCGAGCTGTGCTTGGATGTTCCGCGGCGACGCAATCATCTGGCCGACCAGCTCCCGCTTGAGGAAGCTCACCTGCTCGTCGGGGAGCGTATGCCGCTGTTCCTTGACAAGCCACTGTCCGCCACATCCTGTCAGTGCTGGGATCCTTGCAAGTGTCGGTGCCGGGGAGCGTGGGTGCTCGGCGTACTCTGTAGTTCTTCTTGATGAAGTTCTTGAATGCGAGAGCGGCCGCAAGGCGTGTCTGGTTGGGAAGAGTCGAGGTGGCGAGCTGGAGCAAGCTCTGTGAGTACCATGGATTCGCCTCGGCCTCCCTCAGCTTGGCCTCGGCTGTTTCCCAGGAGCAGTGTTAGAAGTATGGAACATGGCTTTGTTTGGGCAGTGCCCCGTTGCTGCGTCGGGCCGGCGAGCGCTCCGCCAGCATCGGGGTATGGGCTTGGGTGAGAGCTCCCGCCGAGCCCGGGACGAGCGGGAGTCGGGATCGCAAGGTTTTCTGGCTCACCTTGGGCGCGGCGCTCGTTGTCGACGACGAGGGTGTTGTTGAGCACCTCGGCAAGCTCGCCGAGTGCACCAGTTGCCGCCATCTTTCAAGCTTGGGCGTGGGTGCGCGTGTGTGCTATAGGCATAGAATTGGAGGTGTGGAATCGGAGCAGTCGTGAGCCTGAACGACTCCGTCGCGTTGATGGCCGCTTTTTGGACGAGGTGGGACTAAGCCGAATAAATTTAGGCGGAGCGTTGCCAGGTGCCGGCAGCTCTCAGTGCGGGGTCATCCGAACTTTCAAAGCCGCTTGCAATGCCTAAGGCTGCCTGCATTGAGCTGTTGTCGCTTTTACATCTTGCACGGTACTGGCTAATGAAATTGAGCACGATGCAAGCTGAAAGTAATCGAATAGAATCAATTAGAAGCCGGACCTTGTGAGCCTCCTCACTTGACCTGCAGCCGACTTCTCTCTGTTCTCGTGGGTTGGGTGGAAGGCCAGCCACCATCGACACTCCAAAATGCAAAATGCCCTCGCATATTTCTATTGTAACAAAACCAACCATCCATGCCCACCTCAAAAGACTATGTTCGGACTAGCTCTGCTAATATTGTAGTTTATTGTAGAAAAACAGGGGAACCAGAAAAGTGCTCGCGTCCAAACCCGAAGAAAATCACGTTTCGATTAGCGACAAAGTGGACCCAAGCTCAGGCGAGCGAAAGAATCCTTGTCTCGACGTCAACCGGCTGCCTCTCGTTTCAACCGCCGCTGTCTCCGCCAACCGACAGTTGGTGCAAGGGCAGCCACAACAGAAGGCTGCAGATCCTGTCAAAATCACCCGCCCCCAAGACGCAACGCACCTCTCGCGCCCGTCTCCGAATCCTCGGCTCTCTCTCCGACTCGCCCTCGCCCTCGCCCTCGCTTCGTTCTTGACTCCTGACCACCATCCTTGATGCGACTGTCTTGCTTGGGATGGTCGCTGTGGCTGACACCTTTTATGCAAGTACCAGCCGACCTGTAAGTTCGACACTGTGTCACCCGATCGCTGTCAGGCTGTGTTTTTTTTTCATGCGCTGTACCTGAGATGTCTTTGGCTGGCTCTTGATGTCAATCTGGCCAAGCGCGTAGTCGCTGCTGTGACTGGCAGTCCCTCAAGGGACCCCAACTCCCCGATCGCACCCCCGTTATCACGGGCGTCGCACCTTTGCGCAATCATCTTGCAACATGGTCGGGGCTAGCCTCCGGTGCATGTCGTCCACGAGCGCCCCGTTAACATAATGCTGCGTCGCATAGTCTCGCTCGGCCAGCAGGCCTCGGAAAGCGACGAGCACATGTCCCGATCGACTGAGGATACGGTCCAGTCAGAGAACAGGAGCACGGGTGGACTTGCCAGTGTCTTCAAGAACCTGACTGGCGCCCGCCTGACCAAGTCCCCGCCGCCGCAGCTACCAGTCCCCCCAGCACCTTCGCCGGCACAACTCTTCGTCGATCCTACCAATGCCACCAGGTCCAGCAGCGAGATCCCGTCGACCAACAGCCCCGATGCCCTCGAACAGCTCCGCAGCGGAACGATAAACGACCGCGTCCAGGCCGCGACGTCCCTTCGAATAGCCATCGCCAACTGCCCACTCGCGTCGGTCCTCGAAATATGGTACGCGGGCAAGGACCTCATCGAGCCGGGAAAGGGACAGGCTGCTCGGTTGGCCGGCTGGGAGCTTGTAACGGAATGCGTGAAGCACAAGGAGTCTACAGACCTGGAGAGGAGGGAGTACTTCCAGACGATTTCCGTGCCCGCGAACCCCGAAGACTTTCATCTCCAGCTCGCCGCGCTCGTGGATCTCACCCGGCGCGGACGTGACGTCTCGGGCTTCGAGTATGACGTCGTTCCGCTTCTCATCGCCTGGCTCCAAGTGAAGTTCAAGGCCGTCAAGGACGCCAAGGATGCCGCCAAAGACGCCGCCAAGGAGGCGCGGAGGAACGGTGCGAGGAGCGTGAGCAGGAACTCCAAGGGGAAGGCGGCGGTTTCGGGGGAGGAGAAAAACTTCCAGCAGCTATTCGCATTTGTCTCGGACGTGGTCAAATTCAACTTCAAAGTCACCGATGACACCTCGGCCAGCAATCTGATCGAGTGCCTGCTCGACATTTGCATATCCACCAGCTCCGAAGAGGACCTCAGATCTTGCATCACCGTCTTCAATTCTATCGTCACCTTTGGTGCGATTCCGTCGGGCAACCTTGCTCGATTCGTCAACGTTCTCAGCTCTATCTTCAGCATGGTCCCGAGCCTGGCAAAGGCAGCCTGGCAGGTGCTGTCGAACATCTGCAAGTCGCACCACGGAAATGCCATGGTCCAGGTGCTCCTCAACGTACTGCTGTCGTACAGGGCGAACGGAAAGCCAGAAACTCAGCAGCGCGAACAGCGCGAGGTCAGGGGCACCCTCGAGGTACTCCAAAAGCTGGTCTGGAAGACGTCGGTAAAAGGCTATCCCGCGGTGCCGCTGAACCCCTTGGTGGATGGTCTTGTCAACGTCATCAACAACAAGCCCACGCCCAGAATCTGCAACGCGCTGCTGCAGCTCATAAACTCTCTCTTCGACGACGGCACCAGCCGTCTCAACTCGTCCATTGCCGATGAGGAGTGGGCCGTCATATTAGAGGTAGCCTCGTTATGCTCCAGGAAGAGCAGGGCGGTCTCGGCGCGGACAGATGGAGGCGTGTCATTGGGAAGCTACCCAGGCTCCATCAAGGCCACGTCGACCGAAAGCTTGGATCGGGGAGATCCGATTGCTCAAGAGCTTGGCCGGTTGGTCGGGCGTCTTGAGCAACTGCTATTTGAAAAACGCTCCGACTTCATGCAGCGGCAAGACTGCATCGTGTTCTTCACCAAGATCCACGACCTCCTCCCTGACTCTGCGGCGGGTCTCGTTCTGGACTATTTCGATGAATTCCACTGCTGCTTCCCTTCAGACCTGCAGTGGGAAGACAACATCAAACTAGTCGTGGAATCTTTCTATCTTAACCAAGGACGATCGAGCCTGGTCCGGTCTCGAGGGCTCCGCACAATCACCGCCGTGATCGACATGCTGGAGTTGATTGGGCAGGAATCTGGCCAGTACAGCTCCTCTAGCTTGATAAAGAATATTCTTCGGGGGGTTCCAGAAGAAACCGATATCATGGTTCTCCAGGAAACCATCGCGTTCCTCGTCTCGGTGAGCCCGTCGGCTGACCGGGGTCTTTTCGAGAGCATTACCGATTCGCTCAAGGGCGCTCTGGCCAATGACAGGCTTCGGGACCCTCTGGTCTCTGCGCCCGTGACACCCACAAGTGGTGCGGTGGCAAGCCAGAGCCCGTCCAACGCTGTGGCGACGGGCTACGTGCAGATATTCATGCGAACAATGGACACAGATGCCTGGAAGGCCAATAAAGCTTTCAATGCCATCGTACACATTGCTCGCTCCAAGCAGTGCGAGACCGACGCCCGGTTGACTGCCATGAATATGCTCTTTCGGCTGAGGGCCGACTGGGCTGGCCGTATCTTCCTCACCACGTTCACTGAGAGTGAAGCGTTGGCGGCCACGCTATTCCGTACCGAGGCCTCTCTCGCCCGAAAGCTCTCGGATGATGCGCAGCATGCGAGGCCGTCCAGGGTCGAGCAAGTAGGCCCCAACGCGCGGCCCGGCCGAGCAATATCGTTCGGCCAGGCCCCGCACGAGCGAGATAGGGGTAACATCTCCCGCTCTACAAGCGGCACTGCCTCCATCCCCGGCGCTACCGCCTCAGTCGGTCGATATCGACAGACGTGGTCGCTTCCCGATCCCGACGCGCTGCCACAGACACCCTCGTCCACCTCGAGCCCGGTTCTGCTCTGCGTTTCTCCCAAGCCAACCGAAAAGAGGCCGCACGTTCCCGCATTGAGTATGGCATCGTGGCTAGAGGCCTTGATTACGGTGCTCCATGCTGGCTGCGACTGGGAAATCTACAGCTTCATCATCGTGCACCTCCCCTCGCAGCTTAGCAATCACGCCTTGTTCAAGGGGGCAATACCGCAAATACAGCAGATCCGAGGCATACTCTGCGAGATCATGCGCATGAACATGTTCCAAGAGCCCCCGCTCGCCTCGGGTATTCGGAAGCCCGAGGTCGCTGTTTGCTTCTACCATATCCTAACCATGATAATGAGCTATCACGCGCACTTTCAGAAGAGTGAAGAGGACGAGATTGTTCAGACATTCTCGCGCGGAATATCGGACAAGACGGCAAAGTGCTGCATACACGCCCTGTCCATGGCCTGCCACGAGCTGCCGCTTTCGACGAGCAGGTGTCTGGTCGCCATTCTTCAGAAGATGTCGCAGATCATCACGCAACAGGGCGTTGCGATCCACATCCTTGAGTTCCTTGCCTGCCTCAGTCGGTTGTCGTCTCTCTACTCTAACTTCAGAGAGGACGAATATCGTATCGTGTTCGGCATATGCTTCCGGTATCTTCAGGACGTACGGAACCGGAGATCGCTGTCGCGCATGGGGAACGCGAGCGAGCCACCCACGCCCTCCCCTTTCGGCAACCCAGATGTGTTTGGCCCACCTGCGCCGTCGGACGATCTCCCCCAGTACGTTTACGCTCTCGCCTACCATGTCATCACGTTCTGGTTCCTGGCTCTCAAACTGCCGGATCGTGCAAACCATGTCGGTTGGATTGCGAAGAACCTGTTCTCCGACGCCGATGGAGGGCCGCCAGACGAGCAGGCACAGATCACCATAGACTTCATGCAGAGGGTTGCCTTTGCCGACGCCGATGACTCGACCGAAGATGCACTCTTCACCCAAGAGAGATTCGGCGAGATGAAGGAAAAGTGCTGGATCATAGGGAACAGCATTGTGACTATCAAGCAGGCCACCAAGAGCGGCTGGGCCCAGATCACCAAGCGCCAGCCATCGGGGACCTCGTGCTTCGTCGTCCGCGAGAGCGTGAAGCCCCCAGCGCCACACCATATAGGCGCCTCAAATCAGGAAAATGGCCGTGACGGCCAGCTGTTGGGGAGCACCGTGTTCCCCAGCCACGTGCTAGTGCAACTTCTGTCCTCGATTCCGCAGGCCTTCGACTCGACTCTCCGCCCCATCCCGCTACCTGAGGACGAGGTTGTGGGTCGTGCGATACGCATGTTCGACCGCAGCCCGGCCCTGGACGGTCACAAAGTTGGCGTGGTGTACATAGGCGAGGGACAGACGAAGGAAACGGAGATTCTAGCCAACGTCTCGGGCAGCAGCGACTACGTTGAGTTCCTGAACGGCCTCGGCACTCTCACCAAGCTGAAGGGCGCCACCTTTAACACTCAGGGACTCGACCGCGAGTACGACACGGACGGCCAGTACACCTTTTGTTGGCGTGACCGTGTCACGGAATTGGTCTTTCACGTCACGACGCAGATGCCCACAAATCTGGACCATGATGCGCTCTGCATCAACAAGAAGCGTCATATCGGCAACGACTTTGTCAACATCATCTTCAACGACTCGGGTCAGCCTTTCAAGTTTGACACGTTCCCATCCGAGTTCAACTACGTCAACATAGTCATCACGCCCGTCTCTCGAGCCTCATTTATAGCCTCGAGGGAGAGGACCAAAAGGCGGGCGGACAAGGAAGCTGGTGGCGAGTCAGCCGAGAGCGGCGGAGCTGATGAGCAGTCGTCCTTTTACAAGGTCCAAGTCATGAGCAAGCCCGGCTTTCCGGAGATCTCCCCCGCGGCAGATACCAAAATGGTCAGCCTCCGGGCTCTTCCCGACTTCATCCGCCTGCTCGCACTCAACGCCTCGGTGTTTTCGCTGGTGTGGTCGAACCGAGCCGGCGGCGAACACGTGGGGACTTGGCGCAACCGCCTCCGCGAGATCAACAGAATGCGGGAGCGCTACGGGCCCAAGCCCACGGCCCCGTCCCCGTCGCCCCCTCCTACCGCTTCCGGCGGCGCAGGCATTGGAGGCATAGGGTCAGTCATGGGCCCGTCGTCAATGCACCCACAGCACGCGATGGGCGGCGTCGGCGGGATGGCCGGATCGACGACGGGCTCGATATCGTCGGCGCTAGACGCGTCACGCCCCGCCAGCAGCATGCGTGATAGCTTTAGCAGCCTGCGGCGGTCTTCGGTGGCGACTTTCTTCACCACGGCAAGCGAACAGACTTCACACCGCTCCTCCATGCTTTCGGCGGCCACGACAGAGAACACCGAGGTCGTGGCGGCTGCCAACACTGTCGACTCGCTCGTCAACTCACTCGACTTTTCGAAATGGGCGGCCTGACGCTGCCTCACACGCCCAGGGGCTTGGCGGCGAGGCTTCTTGGTACACTTTATGATTTTTGATGTAATCTCTTATCCGCACATAAATGGCACACACCACTCATGAAAACACGCGGCGAATTCTCGGGCTTGACCGCAGGATGAAAGGCAGGAAGAAAATGGTCTTCCCGGCTGGGGCACCGCCCGATGCTAGAAAAAAGAGCAGAGAGGGGAACGGAACATGTTACGAAGGGCGTTCGGGGCAGTTGTTTTTATGTATGGAGACAGAAGATGAGCTAGGATACCACGGAAAAGTTGAGGCATTGTATTTCATTGGCCCCAGGGCAGCGGTTCGTTACGCGTTCGATCAGGCAGGCGCCCTTGCTTTCATAGCTGAAGATGCCTAGCCGGCGCCTGATTTTATAGTCACTGAAGTCGCGTTAGTACTTTGTAGCAGCCGTGATCCATTTTAATCCCTAGCATCTGTAAAACTGACATTTCTTTTTGTGGCGGCGTGAGGGGACACCCGTGAAAGAAGGCTGCGGCCACCAAAAAATTAGCAGTACACCAAAAAAAGCTAAAAGTGGAGACACTTTCCTAGATCCCGCTCAACAACCCATCGGCAGCTGGAATCAGCCATTGCAAAAAGCAGTGTACAAATTTGCTAGAAAAATAATAAAAACCGCATTCGAAGCTTTTGCTTTTATACTCGCTTATATCATTTTTTAGGCTTTTTAATAAATTGTTTTGTGCTAAAAAAATACCTGGTGAGGAAGCTGCACCCTTTTGGTGTATCGCTAATTTTTTGGGCAGCGTGCCTGGCTCGCGCACTGCCACCCACTCCCCTTCCATCCTTGAGATTTCTAGCCATTCCACATTCCACCACCTGCCTGCCCTTATCTGGTTGTGAAAGAAGTATCAACTGTTTCTAACCGTGGGTTGTCCTGGTACCTGCTGTAATGCATACTGCAGCCATGGAACCAGCTCAATCAAGGCTAGGGACGCTCAGCGTCGAGCTGATAATTCATATCATCAACTATCTGGATGGACCTGACCTCCTCGCATTGCTACAAACCGATCGTCGTTTATCGGCCGCATCATTGCCTGCCGTTGGCGATTTCTACTTCAAGCGCCTCGACACCAACCTTACCCGAGAGAGCATTTCTCGAGTGCTCGGCGCCGCGCGCTTTGAGCGGTTTCGCCACCGCGTTCGTGCCCTACACATCTCCCCCTGGAGCCCGGTCGTCGAGGGCACCTACGATTGCACCGTGGAGCGCCCCCGGCCCGTCAGGGAGCACGACTGGCAGCGCGATGCCGCCGGCCGCCTGGACCTGACGACGCCGTATGCGGTGGCACTGCTCGAGTGCATCCGCGACGGCTTCCCCAACTGCCGAACCTTCGTGGTCGACGACAGCCTGTCGGCGGTCCCCGACTCCCGGCTCTCCGTCGTCCCGACTTGGCTTTACCCGACCGACGGGGTCGCCATCGTGCTGGCCCTGGCCGCCGACCCGGCCAACCCCTCGCCCGTGCAGTCTCTCACCCTGTATTTTAGCCGCAAAAAGGACGCCCTGCAGGAGCACTTACTCCAGCCGGGGGCAGTGCGCGGCGGAAACTGGAACGCCCTGCATACCCTCCGCTTCATCGTGAGTGATGTGGTCACTGGCCCGAGCCCTGACCCCGCCGTCGACGAGCAGCCGTTTATTCATGCCTTACTTTCGTCGTCTCCCAATTTAAATACCTTCGTTTTCGGAGGCAGCCCCGAGGTGGAGAAGTCATGCATCGATGGCGTGTGTCAACAAGCGCCGTCACCTTGCAGCATCCGCCACCTCTCCATGAAAGACTATAGTCTCCACACAAGCGGTCCCATCCCGCCGGTCTGGTTAGACCAGCTGTTTTCGGGACTTGATGGCGACAAGCTCCAGTCTTTGAACTTCAAAGGCATACACCTCCAGACCGAGCCAGGCTGTGATCCGTGGGTGCCGATACTGTTCAGTATAAAGAGCGAATTCCCCTACCTGCGGTCCTTTACTACGATGGGCAAGTGCGGGAAATACACAGGCGGTTGCGGGGATGACTCCCCGAATTTCTTCTGCCCCCTTCTCCGGCACCTCACCGACAGGCTAGGGGCGGCCAGCTTCGACTACCCATGCAGCAATGCCTGCTCCGAGGGCAACTTCTGCCCGAGCGTCCCTGACGAGCACGGCGGCAGCTTTCAGTTCCACTCGACCATAAGCGGCGGGAGGATGTTTCCGGAAGAGCGCAAACTCGGCATGGCGTACCGGGTACCCAGGTACGCCAGGTTGCGCAGTCTACACGAGCGTGGCGTGCGGTACGAGGTCGGGCCCTCGGGAACGGCAGAGGGGATGGCTCGCGCTCTCGATAATATAGCACGAAAAAATTATTACTTGGTGTGGGACGTGACGACGACAGAAGACTGCTCGGGGAGGAAGGGCTCGTACGACTCCAGGGACAGATGCTGGGGTGGGCACCCGTTTCGCCCAAGCAGATATACCGCTGAAGAGGCTGGCTGGGCGGAATGGACGGTTTACCGGGACAGGTTCCCAGATAGTCGGTGAGCAATGCGTCTTAAAAAGGCGACCCTGGGAGGTGCATCCTCGACGGAATGGTGCAAGAAAAGAGCGAGGGAAAAGATTGGAAAAAGGAAATGAAGATACAAGATGCTTCAGACCAGGGCATCGGTGGACAGTTTGTTGGAACGACAAATGCCACCTGCCCCCGGACAGTGACTACGAGCACGAGCCATACCAGGCTTCCCTCACGTGTACAAGGCCATAATCTCTCACATCCTCCCAGGGCGCCCTACTAGAAAGACGAGTATAGCGAGAGATATTGAACACTGTTGCAACGTTTGCGTATAATCACAGAGTTCCGACCCAAAAAAAAAAACAGCTGGGCGGCTCTACTGTATATAGTAGATAGGAAGATAGGAGTTGCTCCCCAGCCGCAAGATGGGGCACGGCAAGGTCCGCGCGGGCTGTGTGACATGGTGCTGCCTTGGGTGGGTAAACCTGGGCAGGGGGGCTATGCACCGGGACGGAAAACCAACAGCACACCGGAGTGCATAGCTGCGGCACAGGCACGCCCAAGCGCTGATATCAGTTAAATGCAAATCGTCAACTTGTCCAGGTATCAAGTTACCCGGTACATAACGGCCCCCCGCGGGTTACGTCCCCCAGCCATGTTTCTTGATTTAGTTAACGTTGCAAAGCTTTACTTGTAAGCTTTAACCTTATTCGGTTTTAATTTTATCCCGGTTTTTTCTATGTTAATTTATTACTTTGAGTTATTTAAGTAAATAATAAATAATAAAATAATAAAATAATAAAATAATAAATAATAAATAATAAAATAATAAAATAATAAAATAATAAAATAATAAAATAATAAAATAATA